TGCCCCAATACCCTCCGATGTGTCCTCATGATGGTCAATTTCTTCTTTTGACAATATCCCGTGCTTTACTTGTTGAACCGCGATTGTTCTTGATTTTCCCCTCGGTTCCTTGTACACAGTTGGTCTGAAGACCATTGCTCTATCCGGACATCCTCGGCTCCAAGCTATTGTCCTTGCGTTGGTATGACGACTACGACTCCTTGCTATTCTCATTAGTTACCCTTTAGCCCCGACGACCCTACCCCTCCTCAAGGATGAACAACACTCCAAACCTTGAACCCCGGATATAATAGAATTTCGTTTTTTCTCTCTCTGGTATTTAACTCATCAGCTAATGCCTTCTCCTACAGCTTGAGTACTCTATCATTTTCTATTTGTATAATTACCCACAACTTCCATTATGTCTGAAAACAACAACGGAACTGCCAATGGCAGAGAAAACCCAATTGAAAAGATTGAAAAAGTGGTTGAGGCATCCCTGAGGCCATTGCCCACTGAAACCGGCGATGGGACCTATATCCAAAGCAAGAAGATGACTGGATTTGCCAAGGACTTGAAACACATCGATTTGAACGATGTGAAGACGCTCGCCGAGGTTGCGAAAAGCGCAGTTAGCGGAGAGCCCCTCGATGACAGAGACTACGTTATGGAGGGAATTGTTCAGGTTTGTTTTCTGTGGACAACTTTTTGAGTATTTCATTCTGACATCTTTCTAGCTTGCCGCCGACTTGCCTGTGACATCTCGGGCTGGAAAGGGATTAACAAATACTTTCCTCAGTACGCTTTGGAATGATTTGGAACACCCGCCAAGATCGTGAGTCTAGTCCTCTCTTCTATATCGTTGATGCTTTACAAAGGTGTCGTACTGAGTACTAATTTTCGTGACGTGGAAAGGTATCTCGGCCGTGATGCTCTTTATCGCAGCGCCGATGGCTCGGGAAATGTATGATTTACCATATGACTCTGCTGGTAGAATTACCCTACTAACACAACTAGAATGTCTTTTGGCCAAAACTAGGTGCTGCAGGCACTGCATATGCTCGATCCGTTAGACCAGTCACTGTTCAGTCGGCTTCTCTTCCAGAGCCAGAGACTCTTTTCGACAGCCTGCTAGCTCGAAAGAGCTTCAAGGAACACCCGAATAAGATATCTAGCACTCTGTTTTATCTTGCGTCTATCATCATTCACGGTAAGAGAAAGCTTGCAAACCAGCCTCAATTGCGATTCAATTCATCGGACCATGCTGACACCTAGGAGACCTTTTCCAGACGGACCGGAAGGACAGCTCGATTTCAAACACCTCTTCATATCTGGACCTGTCTCCCCTTTATGGTAATAACCAGGAAGAACAGAATCTCGTGAGAACTTTCCAAGATGGAAAGCTCAAGCCTGACTGTTTCTCTACCAAGCGAATTCTGGGCTTCCCTCCCGGAGTTGGCGTCATGCTCATCATGTTTAACCGCTTTCACAACTACGTGGTGACGCAGCTGGCAGAAATCAATGAAGGTGGTCGCTTCACAAAGCCCGACGAGTCCAACTCCAAGGCTTATGCCACATGGGATAATGACCTTTTCCAGACTGCCCGTCTTGTCACCTGCGGTCTATACGTTAACATCATCCTGAAGGATTACGTGCGAACGATTCTTAATCTGAACCGTACCAATAGCGCATGGAGTTTGGACCCTAGATCAGACATGAAGGATAGCCTGCTGGGTGATGCTGCTGCGGAGGCCACCGGAAACCAAGTGTCTGCCGAGTTCAACCTTGTCTACCGATGGCATTCGTGTGTCTCTGCCCGCGACCAGAAATGGTCGGAGGATTTGTACGAGGAGATATTTGCGGGACAGAATCCCAATGATATCAACCTACAGCAGTTTGCTATGGGGCTCGGCCACTGGGAAGCAAAACTTCCTACCGACCCCGTTGAGCGCCCATTTGCCAAGCTGCAGCGTACTGCCGATGGCACCTTCGATGACGACGATTTGGTTCAAATTTTTGAACAGGGAGTTGAAGACGTGGCCGGAGCTTTTGGTGCTTCTAATGTGCCTGCTGTTTTCAAGAGCATTGAAGTACTCGGGATGAAACAGGCTCGATCTTGGAACCTGGCAACCCTGAACGAATTCCGTACTTTCTTCAACTTGACTCCTCACAAAACCTTTGAGGATATCAACTCGGACCCCTATATTGCCGATCAACTCAGACATCTTTATGACCACCCTGATCTAGTGGAGATGTACCCCGGATTGATTGTCGAAGATGCTAAGGAGCCAATGGTTCCTGGCAGTGGCTTGTGCACCAATTTTACTACTTCTCGGGCCATTCTCTCTGATGCAGTTGCCCTAGTCCGCGGCGATCGCTTTTACACAGTTGACTTCACCCCGAAGAACCTCACGAACTGGGCCTATAATGAGATCAACTATGACACCTCCGTCGACCATGGCCATGTCTTCTACAAGCTCGCTCTGAGGGCATTCCCCAACCATATCCGCGGAGACTCGGTATATGCGCATTTCCCGATGGTGGTTCCTAGCGAGAACAAAAAGATCCTGACAAGCCTTGGGCTCGGAAGCATATACAGCTTTGACCGGCCTACCTTTCGACCTATTCCCCGCTTCATCAACTCTCAGGCCGCCTGCAAGTCGGTCCTTGCTAACCCCGATACCTTCAAGGTTACATGGGGCAAGAAGCTCGAATTTATCCTACACCGCGATGGCCAGTCCTTTGGCCGAGACTTTATGCTCTCGGGTGATCGTCCGCCAAACGCAGCGTCCCGGAAAATGATTGGCAATGCCCTGTACCGAGACAAATGGGACTCGGAAGTACGCTCCTTCTACGAAGATATAACCCTCCAATTGCTGAAAAAACACTCGTACAAAATCGCAGGCGTGAATCAGGTCGATATCTCCCGCGACGTGTCCAATCTAGCCCAGATTAATTTCTGCGCTAATATATTTTCGCTCTCGCTGAAGACTGAGTCCAACCCCCGAGGCGTTTTCAGTGAAATGGAGCTTTACCAGATCATGGCTTTGGTCTTCACGTGTATATTCTATGATGTTGATGTTGCAAAGTCCTTCCAGCTTGAACAAGCTTCCCGCCAGGTTGCACAGCAGCTTGGTGAACTGGTGATGGCGAACGTCGAACTTGTCGATAAGGCTGGATTCATTGCCAATATCGTGAATCGCCTCCATCGTCATGATACCTTGAGTGACTATGGTGTTCACATGATCCAGCGCCTGTTGGACAGTGGACTGCCGCCCAAAGAGATTGTCTGGACGCACATTCTTCCATCGGCTAGCTCTATGGTTGCCAACCAGGCGCAGCTATTCGTTCAGTGCTTGGACTTTTATCTTGAGAAAGAGAATGCTGCTCACTTAGCTGAGATCCAACGGCTGTCGAAGGAACATACCCCTGAATCCGATGAGTTGCTTCTGCGATAGTGAGTTTTGATCATGGTTGAAATTGTCTTTGTAATTGTCATTTTGCTAACTAGAACTTCTTTGTACTAGTTTCATGGAAGGTGCTCGAATCCGCTCATCGGTGGCATTGCCGCGAGAAGTCGCCAAGCCAACCGTGATCGAAGACAACGGGGAGAAAGTGACGCTGAAAACCGGACAGAATATTTATTGCAATTTGGTAAGTTGAGTCCCTATTGTGTCGTGTTCCCTATTTTCTGGTATTAATTTGGCGTTTTCCATGTAGGTGGCTGCTAGTCATGATGCCAAGGCATTCCCGGACCCTGAACAGGTTCGATTGGATCGGGATCTGGATGAGTATATTCATTTCGGATTTGGTCCGCACAAGTGTCTTGGGTTGGAGGTTTGTCAAGTGGCCCTGCCCACTATGCTCCGAGTTGTGGGACAATTGGAGAATCTCCGTCGCACCCCGGGTCCTCAGGGTCAACTCAAGAAGATTCCCGCGCTGGGTGGAATTACCATGTATATGAATGCGGAGCAGAGCGGTTTCTCACCGTATCCGTCGACACTGAAGGTCCAGTGGGATGGAGAGCTGCCCAAGGCGAAATATTCGTGAAGGATGAAGGATGGAGGGAGGTGAGAGGATGAGGTTGAAAGGGCTGATATTTGATGTATTTCTTTGATGAGAGGGGGGTTTCCTCTTATGTGAAAATGAAATTAATTTATTTTATGATCATTGCCCAAATGTAAGATTCTAAGATACTATTATACTTTGTAATTTTATTGTGTTCTTTGTGATAGTTGGCAGTGTGATCCTCTGCCCGGTTTCTAATTACAAGCTGACCCGAGTGTGTTCAGACGAATTTACAAAGTACAATTCACAGATAAGTAAAACTTACAAAAATTAAAAATAAAAATAAAAATCTCCATGTAAAGTAAAGCATACTTTGCTACTCAGTCTTCATGCCCAAGTATGCCTTAGTGCCTGAGTCTCCGCAGTCTGCAGCCCGCAGTCCCGCTCACCTGCCTGCCACAGCCAGCCTGCCAGCCTGCCAGCTCTGCTCTGCTCTGCTGTACAGCTCAGGTTCTTCTTTCACCTTCTCTTCCTCCGCTGCATCCCCCTCCTCTTCCTTCTTTCTTCCACACCACCTCCCCCCAACCTCCCATCTTTCTTTTCTCCATTTTCTCGACCTTTTCCCTTCGGTCACTTTTCGATTGTCATCACCCCAGGGCCGAACGACCTGCACCCGTTTTTCCTGGTCCGTTTTGACTGCAACCCATACCTCTATCCTCCATCCAGCCGGAGCTATTTTAGATTCCTCACAGCTCGATTTGGTTGTCGATTACCTATTCCTCTATTCCGACCGACCTGGAATCTTCACCTGCGATACGATTCGCGCGTTCCCACGACCCGAAATCGACTCAGTTTTCGCGCCGCCGGAGAAGAGGATCCCAAAAACGTCATAAGGCACCCTCGCGCTTGTTCCGCGACCCGGCTGTCTCGACCTCCCCACTCCACCCTCGAGGAGGCTCCTCTCCTGCATTTTCAACGCCTCCTCATGGTTGGCTGTCCTTCTGATCGTCAACATGGGGAGAATTAAGAAGGTGGCTAGCCGCAAGCATGAGGCTACAATCGTATGTTCCCCGTTCCGTGACGACGAGTTGATCGATCCACACCCTTCCCTCCTCCCCCCCCATCTGCATTCCGACTGAAAAAATTTTCTATTTGCTATAGTCACCTTTTCTTGAAGAATTTATTGGGAAATCAATAAATCTTCCTATCCCAGAGCTTCCTGCACACCTGAGCTCGTTCCCCCGACTATGGCCCTTTCCTCGCGGCGACCTTTATCACTGGATTACAGTTCTAGACCGCTTCGATGAAATCCTGGCCTCCGTCATCGAAAAATACTTCCTAAACACCGGCCCACAGACTAAATCATTCGGGAGGAGTGTCCTGGAGGAGTCATATGCTGCCGATCCGAGCAAGAAACCGACGGAGGGCATCGATGCCAAACTGCATAACCTTGGGTATGGCCCGGAGGGAGACAAGGAGCTTGTGGAGGCGATCTTGAATTTCTCGCGCCTCCTACTCGAGAAATGCGGCAACCGCAGCCTCTACAATAGTAGCGAGCGACTAGGCGACCTTTTGAATACCACATCACTGTCTCTTCTCCAATCCACCCTACGCCTGGCCCTATGTCTAGCCCAAAGATACCACTCCCGTCAAAGGGGTCATCAACAGCAGACTATGCTGGCCACACACTACAATATTGACTTGGAGAAACTGCAAAAGATCGCTGCACCGTTCCCTCGCCCGTTTGTCACAAGTCAAACTCCATTCGCCGATTCTCCCGCTGTTGGCGCCAAAACCAAGGAAAATACTCCCCCGACCTCGACTAAGTTGAATGCGAATGAGTTGGTTTCGCTTGTTCGCGATGAAAATGGCTGGGAAGAATGGGGCAATCTTCGCGTGCTTTACTACCCCACTGGCAACTCTGAACAGACGAGAACAACATCCGACTTTGGGAAGGGCGAGCAAGATTCCAACACTCCGTCCACGCCAACCCCGCTGCGTCGGAGTGCAACACATCCTACTCCACGTCTAAGGCGCGGCTCGAATGTGGATGAGACCCCCGTCCCGCGCCTAATACTGGCGGTGGTGGTGCTAAGACCGAAGAACAATCTCGAAACGCCAAAATCTTGGATCTTACGCACTCCAAAATCTCATCAGCGAAAACGGAAGATATAATCGCCGCGAATGCGCCGAATCTGCCCGTGGAAGCAAAGTACGAGCTTCTTCATAAGCTCCGGGTGGCTCAAGCCTTGTCTGGATCGCGGGAAACTCGCGAGCAGATTCTGTCGATTCGTATCTTGGCCGTGACGAATCTGGCCTATGTCCAGACCGAGTCTGCATTCCAACACAAGATCCTGCAGTACGATATGGAACAGTCAAAACGCCTTCAATTGACCTACCAACTTGCCGAGATTGTTCACCTTGGCGCTAGTGGCGACCTTACGGTTTCGAGAACATTGCAAACTTTGGCAATCCAAGCACTTGATGCCTTGGCGAAACACAAATCTCGTGCTATCGATGTTTGTGCTGCTTTGAGCGTCAATGTCAACCATGGTGTGTTGATGTTCCTTACTCGCAAAGTGGTTAATGAATTGGCCGCCGAAGATGATGGAACTGATGATTCTTTCCATGATGAATGGCGGGATGCACTGCTTGCTCTTCTGCGGACGCTTCCCAGTTCGAGCTCCCGCACACCAGAGACACTGGTCGCGGCGGGTTTGATTCCGATGTTTGTTGATATCCTCAACCTCCGCACGAGCAAAGTTCGCCGGGTTTACTCGCGAATCATGGAATTCCTGGACACTTTTGTGCACGCCGTTCGCGATGCTCTTGGTACACTCACGGCTGCCAAGGGCTTCGATGCCATCTCTGACCTGATTGACTTTGAGACCAAGACGGCATTTGAGAATGTTTCTAGTGGAGCTGGGTTCCCGGACCAGTACAAGAATCCCTCCATCGATTATCAGATCCCCTATTTCCAGCAGCAAACCCTTCGGTGGATGTTCCGCTTTGTCAACCACATCATGCAGCATAATGGTGGAGGTTTCGATCGAGTCCTGCGCAACCTAATCGACTCACCCCAATTGCTGACCTCCTTGAGATTGGTCTTTGAGAATGCTCGGATTTTCGGTTCCCATGTCTGGAGCAATGCTGTCAATATTCTTAGCAGTTTCATCCACAATGAGCCCACTAGTTATGCGGTTATTGCCGAAGCTGGACTTAGCAAGAGTTTGCTTGCGGCTGTGATGGGGCGTGAGCTCCAGGCTGAGGAAAAGCCACCTGCCATAGAACCCGAAGGTGCTGGCACCGAAGCTACGCCGTCAGAGCCTGCAGCCGTTGCTGAGCCTACTCCTACTCCGGCAGAGGTGAAAAAGGCAGCAGGCCGTGAGTATGTTCTTGCGCGGCCCCGAAACACTCCTCTCGCCCCCGGAATCATCGCGGCTGCCGATGCGCTGGCTTGTATTCCCGCGGCGTTCGGAGCCATTTGCCTGAACTCATCTGGCTTGGATCTATTCCAGTCTTCCGACGCTCTCGAAAGCTTCTTCGAGATCTTCGAGAACCCCGAACACATCAAATGTCTGAAAGAAGACCCCAATTTGATCCGTTCCCTTGGTACAACATTCGACGAGCTTATTCGTCATCACCCTGCTTTGAAGACATCAATCATGTCCGCCGTTATTGTGATGGCTGCTCGTGTCAATATTCTCGGTCGAGTTAAGGCCTGGGAGTTGGGTCTGGGTACAAAATTATGGACTCAGGATTCAGAGGGCAAGTCTGTCCTTTCTGGAGATATCGCCTCTTTGTTCCGAGACATCGGCGTGGCTGTCGATGCGTCGGTAGAAAACCCCCGTTTCCTCGGTATACATTCTCTGAATTCCGTGGCCCTGCCAAACGGTGGAAAGCTCAGTTATGGTGCTCTAGAAAGCCTGCTTCCCTCGCCAGATGCCAGCTTCGAACCCAAAGACTATGATGAGCATGGTCTGACTCTCACGGACTATATATTCCCTGCTATTCGCTTCCTTGGTGCCTTTTTTGAAAACCAGCCGAATTGCACAGCCTTCATTCAGGCCGGAGGATCGGAGTTTGTCCTTGACTATGCTACCCTCCAGGGGATGTCCTTCCACTTCCACGGTACAGATGCCAACCAAGAGCTGACGGTCCTTGTCCACATGCTCGCTGAGACCAAACCACACCTGATCATTCCTTCATTGATGGACCGCGCGCAGCTTGCAGTGAACAACCTTTCGGCCTTCTCAACATCCCCCAACCCTTCTGGATTTTTCACTGCCCTGGCGAAGCCCAATGACTCAAAGGAGCCGGTCACAGAGCCCACACTCGCCACTCAGCATGGCACATTCTTCGCCAAGCATCTGAATGCTGTTTTGATTCTAACGGATCTTCTGCGTGAGGTTTTCGCCTTGCCGCTATATCAGACCCGATCGGTTAACCAAACTGCCCCCTTCGCTCAAGTCAATCTTGCGGATCGCTATTGTACATTGGTTGCATCTCTTGGCGATCTCCAAGCAGCATGTGTCTGGGAAGAAATCATGCTGGAAAAGAACATACCCGAGAAATGGGTGCAGTCAACTGGTGTTCCTACCGACCGTACCGACCGGAATGCAAAGAACCCTCCACCTGCTCAGCAAGCCACGGATTCTGCAACTGCAGCATCGCGCGAAGGAACAGCAGTTGCCGAGAGCAGCAAGACTCCTGCCCCCGAAAACACCGCGGAGGATGCCAAGGTAGACGAGGAGACCCCAGCTTTCAAGAATGTCCAAGCCCTTCGATATCTGTTGAGTGGCCTACCATCTTCTGTCACTGGCTTTTTCCACAATCTTGGACTCAGTTTGATTACCAAGAGACGACCTACTACCGATCAAAAGGCGAAGCAGAATGCCACGATGGTTGCTGATGCTATTGCGGAGTCTGTTCTTCGACAGCTTCAGTTGGCTGCTGCAAACTCTTCTGACAGCCCGAGACACCGGTTCGCGTATCTCATTGTGACCCTTTCCTCGTTCTCGCATCTTCTGTACGAGGTCTCCAATGAGCGTCCCCAGTCAAACTATTTGACCATGGTCCTCGTGGCTTTCAAGCGACAAAATGGTCTGAATGTTCTCAAGGAGATTAGCCAAATGTTCATGCGTGAAATCGAGTCCCTCAAGCCTTCGGAATATGCCCCTTATACCGATAAGAAGGTGCCCGACGAGCTCACTTCTGCCTACGGTGGAATCAAGATTATCCTTGCTCTATTTTCGGAGCTCGCGGGAGGAAAGAGCATCGTAGACTCCAGCCAGACCCAGGCCTTGACCAGTCACCAAGACCGTGATCGTGGCAGTCCTGATTACTTCCAACCAGGCCAATTCATCGTCGATCTTCGCATGCAGATTCTACCCATGGCCCAGGAGATGTGGAATTCCGAATTCGCGACTCAGTCCGAAAGCTCGGTCATCAAGTGCCTTGTTGATATCCTCCGGTCATCTCTGGACGGAGAGTACGAGAACGGAGCTGCTCATGAGTCGGATACTCAGCCTCTTCTGACAGAGACGACTCGCCGTGCATTTGTGGTCAGCAAAGAACGGGCTGCTTCTCTGGTTGAGAAGGGATACAATGACAATGAATTGAACAAGGAGGCCCTCTATCGCTGCAACAATGCGCTCGTCAACGCGGAAGAATACTGCAAGGCACAGAACTGGCTTCGGGCTCCGCCAAGACTTCCTCCGGGCCCTAATGATATTCAAACCGGTCATTCTGACACTGCTTCTGGCGGGGAAGGTGCCGATGAGCCTGTTGGCCCAGATGGTACGCCGTTCAACGGTGGCGGTTTCCTTGAGCGATCTGGTCTTGCGATGCTTTTAGCCCAGGCTACAGGACGTCCTGTTGATGACCCGATGAACCCCGAGCAAGAAGACGGGCGGGATATGGATCCTCTCATGCGGGACGGCTTGGCTCGTGCGATCCACAATGTTCTCAACGACGATGACATGGCCACAGATGACCAGGCTGAATCTTCCAACCAAACTCGCGATGCGCAGTCTCATGACGAAATGCCGCCCCTCGAACCGATCAATGCCCCTCCTCAGGCCCCTGCCGCAGCCTCGGCTGAATCCGCTCCTCGCCGCCAACTAGTTACTGTCGAGTCTCTGGATGTGGAACGGGAACAAATTCGTTCAAACCTCATCGATCGCTGTCTGGACGTCTTGAATGAGCACCATGACGTTTCCTTCGAGCTCGCAGACCTTATCTCTTCTGCCATCAAGAAGCACCCCGAGCCTGAGAACTTCCGTCGCGATATTGGAGAGACTCTTGTTCAATCCCTCGTCTCTCTGCAGATGGAGAACTTCCAGACTGCTGGCAAGAAGATTGCTGCTTATGCACACATTCTCGCCTTGGTCCTACAGGATCGTGACATGTATACGGCAACTCTTGAGGAATTGAAGGATTGCTTCTCAACTTTCCTGGGCTTCGTCAAGCTCCCTGAAAAGGCCGACGACGAAAGGTTCCCATGGGTTGGCCATGTCCTGCTTATTTTGGAGAAACTGTTGTCCGATGACTGCAAGCCACCTGTTATTACATGGACTCCTCCAAACCCTGAAAACCCCAAGGCTGATAACGATGGCCCCGCTCGACTTGAAGAGCCTCTTGTCTCTCTTGAGGAAAAGACCAAGCTCTTTGAGGCTCTGGTGGAAATTCTTCCTCGCGTGGGCAGAGATGACACACTTGCTTTGTCTATCTGCCGTGTCCTAGTCATCCTTACCCGCCAGCGCAGCATTGCCGCTCGTTTTGGCGAAAAGCGAAACCTTCAGCGCCTCTTCGTCATGGTTAAGCAGTTGGCCAGTGCGACAAATGACAAGCTTCAAAGCTCCTTCATGCTCATTCTGCGACACATTGTTGAAGACGAGGCTACGATCCGCCAAATCATGCGCGCTGAGATCGTTGCTAACTTCGAGTCTAAGACTACTCGCCAGATCGACACCACCGGCTACGTTCGACAACTGTACCACCTCGTCCTCAGGGCGCCCGAAATATTTGTCGAAGTCACCAATGAGAAACTGAGACTCCTTCGCTATGATAGCTCGCAGCGGCCGCAAGTTCTTGGGTTGAAGGCTGATAAAGACCGCACCGCTCGTCTTCGCCAGGGCAAGGGCCTCGAAGATGACAAGACTGAGCCCGCAGGTGAAGCATCGGCTTCGACAGCCGCTCCGGCACAAGCATCCGAATCGGACGATAAGGACAAGGACAGCAAGAACCAAACCAAGACGACTGAGCTCAAACCACCTGTGGTCGAGAACCCAGATGGTGTGATCCATTATCTCCTGTCCGAAATTCTGTCATACAAGGATGTGGATGATAAGGAATCCACCGAGCCGGTTGAACAGTCTGCTGCTGAGCAGGCCGATCCTCAAACCGATGTCGAGATGGGTAATGATGAGCCAACGCCTTCTATTGCGAGTAGCGCTGCCGATTCTCAGCCCAACCGCGCCGCCAACTCCGCCCCGGCCACGAAGAAGGGTGAAAAGCCGACTTTCAAGGCAGAGGACCACCCCATCTACATTTACCGTTGCTTCCTGCTCCAATGTCTGACGGAGCTTCTATCCTCCTACAACCGGACTAAGGTTGAGTTCATCAATTTCTCCCGGAAGGCCGATCCTCTGGCCACAACTCCCTCGAAGCCGCGTTCTGGAATTCTCAACTACTTGTTGAACGTGCTTGTCCCCATCGGAACTATGGAGCATGATGAGTCGCTGTCATTCAAGAAGCGCAGCATCACTTCTAGCTGGACGATGCAAGTTCTCGTTGCTCTTTGCACCAAGACCGGCGAGTTCGGCGGCGTCGGCCGTCGTCGAAACGAACACAAGCGCAACGAAGAAGATGAGCCCGAGCTTGCTTTTGTCCGCCGTTTCGTTCTAGAGCACGCTCTTCGATCTTACAAGGATGCCAATGCTTCCACTGAGCCCTTGGATGCCAAATATTCCAAGTTGATGTCTCTTGCCGATCTTTTCGATAAGATGCTTAGCGGTTACTCTTACTCTCAGGATGCAGGATTCCCGTCTTCGACAAGACAACTCGCGAAGACAATGTTCGAGAAGCACTTCATTCCTGCTCTGACCGCCTCTGTCGCTGAAATCGATTTGAATTTCCCCTCATCCAAGCGTGTCATAAAGTATATCCTCCGCCCCCCTCAACAAGCTTACTCAAACAGCCGTGCTCCTTAGTGAGACCTCCGACATCTCTAACCTCGGCGAAGCTGATGATGATGAAATTTCTTCGGCAACATCTGTTTCTGACATGGAGGACGAGCGTGAAGAAACTCCTGATCTCTTCCGACACTCTACTCTCGGCATGCTCGAACCCCGTCATGAGGAAGAGACCAGCTCAGAAGAATCCGAGGGCGAGGACGATGAGATGTATGATGATGAGTATGATGAAGAAATGGAATACGACGAGGACATGCCCGAAGACGATGGTGAGGTTGTCAGCGACGATGAGGATGGCGTGGGTCCCATTGAAGGTCTTTCTGGTGATGCCGTTGAGGTCATTATCGATGAAGATGATGAAGATGATGACGACGACGAGGATGATGATGAGGACGACCATTCGGACATGGAGGAAGATGAGATGTTCGCGGACGAAATCACCGGTGATCACGATAACGACAGCCTCGCAGATGGCGAAGATGACGAGTGGGAAAGCGAAGAGATGACTGAAGACGAAGAAGAAGCCGAGATGATGAACCAATTCGAAGACGAAATGGCCGATATGCGCCAGTCTAACCGTCAAACCGATGGTCACCATCGCATCAATGATCTATTCCGTGCTCTGAACGAAGCCGCCGGAGGGGTCGATGATCTCCACGGTGAAGGCCTAGGAGGAGATATCCACGATGAAATTCTTGATGAATTGAACGAGGACGGAGGTTTGTCTTCCTCTCTCCTTCGTGACGCACTTCGCTTATTAAATCCAGAAGACGACGACGAAATGGACGAACTCGAAGAAGAAGGCGACGATTATGACGACTACGAGATGGACCAGGGATCTGAAGGCGACATGGAAGGTAAGCTGAGCTTTCGTGCAAGGGCGGAGATGCGCGTTTCAATTGCATAACTGACACTTGTTTTAGATGATGATCTCCTTGAGCCATGGGGCTGGGAGGGTGATGAACTGCCACCCCCTCGTGGCCACCATAACCACCGCTTCCGTGGTGGACCTGGTCCCGCTTGGGCAACTGTCACCGAAATCATGCCCGGTCGCAATGGCGGCTTGGTACCAATTCAACCCTACCACCGTGTCCACCGAGGCCAAATGCCTGGAGGCCGAGGCAACGATGATGGCACTAACCCTCTGCTAATGCGCAATGACCGCGGTGATGCTAATCCCCAGCTCCGCGGACAAGGCCCCGAAGGCTTCTCTGACTGGCCTGCTCTTGATGCGCAGGGTGGCCAGGGCCGTCTCATGCCTATGGACAGTCCTATGAGCTTCATGAACGCCATCATGCAAGCTATTGGTGGCCAAGCTCAGCCTGGCGTTGGAGTTGTTACTCGACCGGATGGCATCCACATTCACGTCGACCGCAGCACCGTTCTCCCTACCAACCGTCTCAATGATATGTTCGGCCTCAGTCGAGGACAGGGAGCCAACCCCCCTCGTGGTCGCGATGACCCCCACCACGCCGTGAAGTTTTCCTTGTGTACGACCAAGAACCGCTGGCAAGAGGAAGCTCGCATTCTCTACAGTGGTACCTATGTCGAGAAGTGCCAACGTATTGTCAACTCCCTTCTGAAGGGCTTGGTCCCCCCTGCCCTTGAAGAAGAAGAGCAACGCCAGAAGGTGGCCGAAGAAGAGCGCAAGAAGGCGCAAGAAGAACGGGCCGAGAAGGAACGTCAAGAGCGAATTGCGCGCGAAGCAGAAGAGCGTGAGCGCAAGCGCCAGGAGGAAGAAGAAAATGCTCGACGACAGGCTGAGCAAGAGCAAGAAGAAGCCGAACGACAGGCTGCCGGCGGTGATGAGCCGATGGAAGACGTCCAAGAGACAGAGTCTGCGACCGAAGAAACGGCGACTTTGCCTGAGTCTGCTCCTGCCGAGCCTGTTGAACGAGTCCACACCACCATTCGGGGCCGCCAGCTTGATATCACTGGTCTGGAAATCGATCCTGAGTACCTCGAGGCGCTTCCGGAGGAACTCCGCGAAGAAGTCATCATGCAGCAGCTCGCTGAGCAACGATCCCAGGCTGCTGCTGCGGGCGAAGAGCCAACCGAGATCAACTCGGAATTTCTGGAAGCTCTGCCTGCTGAGATCCGTGAAGAACTGTTGCAACAAGAAGCCGCTGATCGACGCCGACGGGAACGAGATAGCGCCCGACGACAAGCCAATGCTGGCAATCCCCCCCCACGGGCCGAAGATATGGATGCTGCCAGCTTCCTAGCCACTTTAGACCCTTCGTTGCGCCAGGCCGTTCTCGCCGATCAACCCGAGGAAGTTCTCGCTACATTAGGCCCTGAGTATCTGTCGGAGGCACGAACTCTGGGTGGTCGACGTATGGCGCAGTTTGGCGATGTTTCCGGAATTCCGGGCATGGAGCCTCGTCAACGGGGTGAGGCCGCTGAAGGTCAAGAGCCCAAGAAGCAGCAGCGTCGTCAAATCGTTCAAATGCTTGATAAGGCTGGCGTTGCCACACTCCTTCGTCTAATGTTCATGCCGCTGCAGGGCAATGCCCGCCACCAATTGAATGACATTCTCCACAATGTCTGTGAGAATCGCCAGAACAGAAGCGAGGTTATCAGTCTCCTTCTGTCTGTTCTGCAAGACGGTAGCGTGGATTCATCTGCAATTGAACGCAGCTTCTCCCACCTTTCTTTGCGTGCCAAGGCCCCTGGTGTGCAAAAGACTCCTCAATCCACCAAACGCAACCCCACCATTCAGTCTTCCTCCAGCGTCAGCACTGATGTGACTCCTATCATGGTGGTTCAGCAGTGCCTGGGAACACTGTCTTTCCTTTCGCAGTTCAATCCTCACGTCGCTTGGTTCTTCCTGACCGAGCATGATTCTGCCTCTTCGCTCAAACTCAAGGCATTGCGAAAGGGCAAGGGCAAGGAGAACCGTTCTAACAAGTTCGCTCTGAACGCTCTCCTTTCGCTCTTGGATCGGAAATTGATCATGGACAGCCCCAATTGCATGGAGCAGTTGTCTGCTCTTTTGAGCAGTATCACCCAGCCACTTACTGTTCTCCTCCGTCGTGAGAAGGAGAAGCAAGAAGAGGAGAAGGAGAAGGGCAAGGAGCCCGAAGGAACTCAAACCGATGAGTCCGTCGAGCAGCCTGCTGACTCGGCATCGGTTGTTGATACCGCCATGACAGATGCCCCCGTGCCTACAGTTGAGTCTGCTGAAGATCAAGGTACTACTCAGACCACCGAGGGTGACGATGTGAAACCCGCCGAGAAGGATGGCTCGAAGTCTGGCGAAGAGGAAAAGCGCAAGCGCAAATCCATTGAGCCTCCTGTCGTCCCCAATCACAACTTCCGACTGGTGGTTCACATTCTTGCCGCTCGTGAATGCAATGGCAAGACCTTCCGTGACACTCTCTCAACTATCAACAATCTGTCTGCGATCCCCGGAGCTCGTGATGTTATTGGCAATGAACTCGTTGGGCAAGCACAGACCCTGAGTGATACGATTCTGGCGGACTTGGAAGACCTTCTCCCTCATATCCACCAAGCCAAGACCGGCACAGACATGCAAGGTTTGGCCCTGGCCAAGTTCTCCCCGCCAGCTCCGATCAAGCCAAATTGCTGCGTATCCTTACTGCGCTCGATTACCTCTTCGATCCTACTCGTGTGGACAAGTCCAAGGGCACTGAGCCTGAAGCCGCACCCAAGGAGGATGTCCTCAAGAGGCTGTATGAAAGTGCTACTTTCGGACCTCTGTGGACTAAGTTGAGTGACTGCCTTTCTCTCATTCGCCAGAAGGAGAATATGCTTAACGTGGCTACTATTCTTCTGCCCCTGATCGAGGCGTTGATGGTTGTTTGCAAAAACACCGCTCTCAAGGACCAACCGATTAACCGCAACAGTCGCGAGGCATCTGTTAACAGTGCTCCCGATGTTGGTCCTGGCATGGAAAACCTCTTCTTCAAATTCACTGAAGAACACCGCAAGATTCTCAACGAGCTTGTCCGCTCTAACCCTCGATTGATGAGTGGCACGTTCTCTCTGCTGGTCAAGAACCCCAAGGTCCTGGAGTTTGACAACAAGCGCAATTACTTCACTCGTCGTGTGCACTCTCGTGGCTCTGAGCCTCGTCACCCCCACCCTCCCCTTCAACTCTCTGTCCGTCGCGACCAGGTCTTCCTTGATTCGTTCAAGTCGCTCTACTTCAAGACCGCGGACGAGCTTAAGTACGGCAAGCTCAACGTGCGTTTCCACGGCGAAGAAGGTGTGGATGCTGGTGGTGTGACTCGAGAATGGTTCCAGGTCCTTGCTCGGGGAATGTTCAACGCTAATTACGCTCTGTTCACCCCCGTTGCTGCTGATCGAACCACATTCCACCCTAACCGCCTCAGTGGCGTTAACTCGGAGCATCTTCTGTTCTTCCGATTCATTGGGCGGATCATCGGTAAGGCTCTCTACGAGGGCCGGGTTTTGGACTGCCATTTCTCGCGCGCTGTTTATAAGAAGATCCTCGGCCGAGCTGTTTCTATAAAGGATATGGAATCTCTGGATCTGGACTACTACAAGTCTCTGCTCTGGATGTTGGAGAACGACATCACCGACATCATCACCGAGACCTTCGCCATCGAAACCGACGACTTTGGCGAGAAGCAAGTGATCGACCTGATCGAGAACGGTCGCAACATCCCCGTCACCCAGGAGAACAAGGAGCACTACGTCCAACGCGTTGTAGAGTACCGTCTCGTCGAGTCTGTCAAGGAGCAGATCGACAATTTCCTGACCGGATTCCACGAGATCATCCCGCCAGACCTGATCTCCATCTTCAACGAGCAAGAACTGGAACTGCTCATCTCGGGTCTTCCTGAAATCGATGTGGATGAATGGAAGAATAACACCGATTACCACAACTACTCTGCCTCTTCGTCTCAGATCCAGTGGTTCTGGCGTGCGGTCCGCTCCTTCGATAAGGAGGAACGCGCTAAGTTACTCCAGTTTGTCACGGGTACTAGCAAGGTCCCTCTCAATGGCTTCAAGGAGCTGGAGGGTATGAACGGTGTCAGCAAGTTCAATATCCACCGCGACTATGGCACCAAGGATCGCCTTCCTAGCGCGCACACATGTTTCAACCGTAAGCTTCACTCCCACCCTCACCCCCTACCCGCTGTCTTCGTCGCCTGTGGCAATTTACTAACTTTTTTTTTCTTTTGCAGAGCTTGATCTTCCCGAGTATGAGAGTTATGAAGATCTCCGTCAACGGCTGTACACAGCCGTGACGGCTGGTAGCGAGTACTTCGGTTTCGCATAGAAGCGAGCGGGTTCTGGTTTCTTTCTATCCCTATCCTTCTCTTCTAATTGGCAATTGTGTTCTCCAGCATTCAATGGCGTCCGGGAATGGTATGGAATCGAATCTTGGTGATGAATTTCTCGCGTGGAGGAAAGATGAAAGATGAAAATGGAATGGATTCGAATTGATATTGAATGGGTCGGGCGTATGTCTGGTTGAAGTGCAGGTCAACCAGACCTCCTGTATCCCATGTTTGTACTTAGATTGCTTTACGGAATATCCATATGTTCTACTTTTTGTTACCTACTCACCATGTTAGTAATAGTAGTCAGCTGTATACATACTGTAGTTTAGTATACTCCGATGCACGCGGAAGGCGGTGAGTGGCAGTCACGGGACAATGCGGGGCCCAAAGCGGGCAGTGGCAGATTGCGGGTAATCGATTTTTCGATTTTTTTTGATTGAATCTCGACTTTCTTGGGAGTTCCCTCTCTAACCTCTCCTCTCCTCTCTCTCTCACACACATCATGTCATCCAATTCCAACTCTATCAAGCTGTTGACGGGCAACAGCCACCCCGAGCTGGCCGAGCTCGTGGCTGACCGGTGCGTGCTGCAGCACCCGATCCCCGATCTCCATCTCCGTGCAGACGGGAAACTAATCTATGAGAGTTAGTCTCGGCATTGAATTGACAAAGATTATGGTCCTGCAATACTCCAACCAAGAGACCAGTGTCACAATCGGTGAAAGTGTGCGCGACGAAGATGGTATGTGAATATCCTGTTCACCAGAGATATACCGGTCATGAATCATATATTGAAAGGAACTACCACGACTAACAACCTTCTCTCATATACAGTCTTCATCCTACAGTCTACACGACCTAACGACATCAACGATGGCCTCATGGAACTCCTCATCATGATTAACGCTTGCAAGACCGCCTCCGCCCGCCGCATCACCGCCGTCATCCCCAACTTCCCTTACGCCCGCCAGGATAAGAAGGACAAGAGCCGTGCTCCTATCACCGCTAAGCTCATGGCCAACATGCTCCAGACCGCTGGCTGCAACCACGTCATCACCATGGATCTACACGCTAGCCAGATCCAGGGCTTCTTCAACGTCCCCGTCGACAACTTGTACGCCGAGCCTAGCATCTTGAAGTGGATCCGCGAGAACCTGGACGTTAGCAACTGCATTATTGTCAGCCCTGACGCCGGTGGTGCTAAGCGGTACGTTTTTCTATATTTTTTCAGAGAGGCATCTTGATCTTGATCTTTATCTCAATTTCAATGTCGATCTCATTAACCAACACTAACGCTTTCTCTTAGTGCTACCGCCATCGCCGATCGTCTCGATCTGCAATTCGCCCTCATCCACAAGGAACGTGCCCGACCCAACGAAGTCTCCCGCATGGTCCTGGTCGGAAACGTCAAGGACAAAGTCGCCATCATCGTCGACGACATGGCCGATACCTGCGGTACACTCGTCAAGGCCGCCGACACCGTCATGCAGCACGGTGCCAAGGAAGTCAACGCCATCGTTGTCCACGGCATTCTCTCCGGCAAGGCTATCGAGAATATCAACGGTAGCAGCCTAAGCCGTCTCGTCGTTACAAATACAGTTCCCCACGCCGAGAAGAAGGAGCAATGCGATCGTATCGAGACGATCGATGTCAGTCCCACTCTTGCTGAGGCTTGTCGTCGTACCCATAACGGCGAGTCTGTTAGCTTCCTCTTCTCGCATGCTGTCGCATAAGCGTTAGCTTCTTACCTCTATCTCTTCTCCTACTTCCTGCTTCCTGCTTCCTGCTTCCTGCTTCCTACTTCATCACGTCCCGTCCCGTCTCGTCTCGTCTCGTCTCTTTTCTAAGCCAATTCCTGCCAATCTGGGCGTTAACAAACCCCGACCCCTTCATCCACATCGTTTTCATACCTATCTATCTATCTCTATCTACTCTATCTCTCCCCCTCTCTTCTTTCAGCTCTACTATATGCTAGTGGCGGAGTCCATTGTGTTACGTGGGAAGAAAACAAAAATACGATTCCTATGACCATTTCAAAGAAACTCCATTCTTCGATGTACATCCTTCAGAGGTGCGAGGCTGTGCTCTTCTCTCCTCAATTCTTCTTGTGTCTCTTTTCTTTTTTCTCATAGACCTTCGAGCTAAAAATGAAGGCTAAAATTATAGAGCTTTTTGTCACGTCATGTCTGCCCAGGATATTTGGGTTCAATTTTCTCAACGCATATCTGTGTCTGTGTCTGTGTCTGTATCTGTATGACTCTGTTTGCGATATACAAATACTACCTGTTTCAGGATTCCCGATTCATTGCTCCGTGTCCTTGTCTTACTAGCATCTAGAATTCAAATGCCTTGATAGTCTCGGGTGATCTGATCATATGCTCTCCTCTGTTTCTTCCCCGTTTCCGCTTCCGAAGTCACTGTCTTAGTCTCGACATGTCTGTATGTATTGCTAGCTAGCACTAGTACCTCGAAAGAAAGTACTAATATTTTCAAGACAACTCCTTTTCCGACCTCTTTGTCTCTTTCTAGGTACGGATACTAGTGCCGGTGCTGGTACTAGGTAGGCAGTGTACCTAGAGAATCCAGGTCCGGGCTCTCGGCGGCTTGTGTTATGTCTTTGTCTTTGCCTTTCTCAGATGTACTAGTATGTCTCGGGTCAGGTAGGTACCTCCAGGGCTAGTGCCAGTGTGGCTTTGCAATTAGAGACGGTTTGCACGGACTAGATCCGGATGTAGATCATGTTTTATCTCGGGATGTCTTGCGCGTTACTAGTATTATTGGGATTGAGGTGGTGTTTTATGTGTGATCTAAGGGGTTGGGGGTGTTTTAGTTTAGGAAATGCAATGCCTGTGAGTCGACTTGACTTGGGTACTACCTAGGTACCTAGTAGGTATCCATAGATGTCTCGAAATTTGTGGTCAGTTCCAAGTACTACCTAGGTAGGTAGTAATACTGGAGGTATATATCCACATCTGAAATTAGGGTTAATCTTGCCAGTTGGGAGAAGACTAACTCACTCGGACCTCGGGAGTCACTGTGTGATACTACTACTAGCACCTAGAAGTTCTCACTAATTCGAATACCACCTATTGGATAATACCACATTTTGACTATTTATTAATGCATTCATTGAACCTATCTAAAAGCCGTTGTGCGTGGGACTCGGAGCATCCGCCAACTCGGCTGGTTCTGATGCTGAAATAAGGGATGATGGATACAAATAGAGACAATCTGGTATATGTGCAGAAGTAACTTAGTACAGAGACTTACATGCATTTGTCTTCAATAATACCGGTATGCATGTAGTACTTTGGCGCTGTCGGCAGGGCAGACTGAACAATCTCCATGGTTGATTGCGGGTCGCACTGTTCATCCCCACTTTGCGTAGCCCACAAGGTCAGACTACTACTAATACAATACGAGTGCATAGTTGAATCAAAAATAATGAGCTTGAATTAAATGATGCGTACTGCTCGATCGATGCTTACAGGATGCGCTGCCTATATCATCGACCACGAGTGCTGGAGATCTCGGGATATCATCACCCAGGCAAGTTTTAGACAGGCACCAGACCACTTACACACGAGGCACTGCTACGCGTCGAGAAACAGGAACAATAATTTAAACTTAACCCATTTTTTTGAGATTGGATTCTTCAAGTATCAGACATAAAAAAATTCCCCCCACGTTTTTGTCCGCCCGGGAAAAAAAATGATTCGCATTTTTGCTTTTTAAAAAGTGTGGCTTGCAAGATATCATTCCCTTCCAAAAACCATATCCTTTTCCCGAGAAACGTGGGGAAAAAATTCCTTCCCTTCGCCCATCTCTCTCTCTCCATTATAGAGAATCAGAGTAGTAAAAGTCTTCCCCCCACACCATTTCACCTATGCGGGAAAATAAAAATTCATGACGTCGCGGATCGGATCATGAGATTTACTTGCGCATGGATGAGGCGCGACGCTTGCGGAGCTCGTCACGCTTGGCCTTCTCCTCGTGGACACGGTTGGCGAGGAGCTTGGCGTAGTCGTTACTATAGATGAGATTGTTAGTTAGGGATCCAGATGATGACACAGTATACTGTAGATTTGCCGATGCAATGCATGCAAGGCAAACCTGGGACTGGGTGGGAACTTACGCAGCCTCACGGGCAGCCTCAGCGCGGCGGCGCTTGATGGCAATGGCGTGACGCTTGCGCTGCAGGCGCTGGGGAGTGACCAGGCGCTGGATCTTGGGGGCCTTGGTGTACTCGGGCTTGCCCTCCTTGGTGACGGTACGGCGAATGACGAACTTGCGGACATCATCCTTCTTGTCGAGGCCGAAGAAACGGCGGATCTTGGTGGCACGCTTGGGGCCGAGACGCTTGGGGACGACGGTGTCGGTCAGACTGGGGAGCTCGCCCTCACCCTGCTTGACGATGGACAGGGCCAGAACGGCAAGGTCCAGACCGGTGATGGCACCGCGGACGGACTTGCGCTTGCGCTCACCGGTGCGGCGGGGGCGGTAGCAGCTGTGGCCGTCGGCGAGGAGCAGACGGGTACGGGTGGGGAGGAGGACTGGAGAGAGGTGAGTATTTTGTGGGAGGGGATTTTGTTTGTGATTTTATTTGGGTGCGGTTGCTGGTTTGTGGGGGGTGGTGGGAGTGTGTAAAGTGTTGTTGGAACGTACCACCCTGCTTCATGGGGAAACCTGTGGTCGGAAGTCAGTAAACAATATTCCCGCGAAGGCATTATGGGATGGAATCTCGTGAGAGATATCCCGGAAGAAAAAAAAACATACCCTGCTTGTCGTTACCACCGGTAATCTTGAAGAGGTAACCCTTGAACTCATCACCGAGCGCGTCACCGGCAACCTGTAAAAAAAAAACCGTCAGCGGTTGTCCTCGACTATCCGTATTCATTTGTGTGTGATGTGATGCGTGTGATTGTATATGTGGATGGGTAGATGGGTGTTTTGTGGATATTGGTAGGTGTATGTGTGCGTTCCAGGTAGGTTGGGTGGGTGTATATGGGTGTGGTGCATCTTCATCTTCAAGATGTATTTTGAGATCGGGAGACTGACTTCGGTGCCCATGCGCTTCTCCATGAAGGGGCGGAGCTTGCGCTCATCATCGATCTCGATGATCTTCTGAGACCCATTGGCGGGGTAGGAGATGTTGAGCTTCATCTTGACGAGGTTGCGCGGTCAAGACGGTAGCGCGGAAGTTGTCGTACGTGAGTTTAAAGGGCGAACGTCGTTGTGGATTTTGCAACTCGCAAAAGTCGGCCGTAGCGAGTGTGTGTGGCTGACTCAGCTGACACTAGCCGAGTCTGGAGGTAGCCCTGTCACATGACTGCATACCCGCTGACTGGTTGACCGCCCACGTGATACATATCAATGGTTGGCAGTATACTCAGGGTTCCCTCACCGCTTTACCACACTCACCGCTCAGACAACTGCCGGTCTTGGCCTGGCACTCTTATCAGTCTAGCCTAAAGAAGTATTCACGAGCATCCACGAGAGTATCCCCAAGGGTGTAAAGTGTACACTCACTCTCTACATCTCCCTCAATTGACTACTCACTGCTCAGTTTAACCACAGCATTCACTCATCAACTCCAGCTATGCTCTGTCCTACCACTTCTCACCTCGCACAAGCTTATCCTAACCAGCTCCAGCCTGTCTTGGCATCTGATCGGCCGTGGCTGTCTTGGCCCCCACAATTAGACTGAAACTGTGGACTCCTGTGGTCCTCTGTTCTCTGTTCTCTGTCCTCTGGAGTTCTCGGTCCTCTCCAAGGCTGTACGAGGTCAGCATCCAGCTGCACTACCTGCCCATTGGCAGTCCACGGGGAGACTGCCTACACTCAGACTACTGGAGCCATCATGTCAACCGAGGACATGGAGTATTCTGTACTCTGTACTCTGTACTCAGCACCAGGATATTGAGCAGGCCATTTTTCATATGGCGGATATCAATACCAATACTAATACGTATACGAGCGGCTGCAGGGCGACCCGGCGCACGCGAGGCTTTTCCACGTTCAGCCTTCCTCCCCGCCCGCCACGCGGCCGCCGGTCGCATTCTTTATAGCATATACCATTACATAGTTAGCATGCCATGGCATACCTCAGTGATAGTACTTCCGTAGCTAAATTATCATTGCCTACATACACATATACTACACTCTATATACTCGTATAAATTACTCTATTAATATCTGGGGCCACTAGAGCCCAACTTCAAATTAGCGCCCCCTCCGCTCCTCCCGGTGGAGTGGAGATTTCTGACCGACCACCTCTCTCCTTTTCATAATCTCCAGCGGGCTGATCTTTGCTCTCCTCCCTCTCCTCTCCCATCCTTGCCATATTTCCTCGTTCCCCCTTGACCTTGGCGGAGTGGAATAGTGGAATAGTGGAATACGAATCCGTCAGTGGCGACAACGATACGACACCCGATCCGATCCCGCTGATCCAACCTGACCTCACCCTATCCTCACCACTCACCACTCACCACTTTCTCCCCACCCGATCGCCGCGACCGGACTTTCACCACCTACCTAGCAACCGCGCCGTTGCGCGCACACACATCAAAACTACGCAGATCGTCAGAGGAAGCGAAAATGCGCATGTTCAATCGGTTCTACGGCCTCTGTGCCGTCGCCGTCTGTTCCATTCTCTACACAGCATGGTTTTTGATGGGGAGGACTTTTGGTGATGTCGTGCCGCTGGCCGGTACCTTCCAGACCGCTGACAAGTTCGATCACCGATTGGTTGTCTTTGGAGACTCTTGGAGTGATAGTGAGACGGAAGAGGAGCAGGGCAAGATTTGGACGGATCATCTTTGTGACTTGGTATGTGTTTTCCTTCTTGCTGCCCTGGTGCTGAGAATTTGAGACAAAAGAGACGGGAGACGAGGGGATAAGACAAGAAGGGAAAATAAAGTTGTCTCGGGAATATGTCTTGCAGAAATGGATCCGACCAGACCAGACCAAACTGACACATCTGCAATGCAGTTTTCTTGCTACCAGGAGAACCTTGCGCAGACGGCCCGATCCGCAGGTAATACGAAGAAGAATACCGGAGCCGTCGTCGACAACGAAGAATTAAATTCTTTCGGCATGCTGTCTAAAGACCAAGTCCCCGATTTCAAGACCCAACTGGATCAGTGGCTAACAGCCGAGACGGCCGCGATGGAGAAACTCACCGAAGAAGAGCGCATTAACCGTCAAGAGCGCACGACATTTGTCATATCGTTCGGAATCTGGGATCTCTGGAGTCTACGTGAAACCGATTACAACACGGCAATTGCATCCGTGGATCGACGGATCAAGAAATTGACCGAGCAATTGAATCGACTAGACGAGTCATTCAAGAGCTGGGGTGCCACGGAGTTGCAAATTATCATGACCCAGACAATGGACGTGACTTTCCTGCCAGCATTTACGAGTGCGGGCGGCGACGAGTTTAAGGATGCGGTGCGTGTTCTGACGGAGTGGAATTCTAAGCTCAAGTCTGCTGCTACGGAGTGGAAGGATGGTAAGGCGCAGTGGTTGTATATGTTTGATACGAATGCCTTTGTCTTGGATCGTATTCGCGATTGGCAGCTTTATGCCTCTGGTATTGAGGAGGAGAATGGGATGGGGAAGAATATTGAGCCTGGGTGGGAGAATGTCAGTGCTCCCTGTGTGGTTGTTCAGAGTGGGTTCCGGGTCATGATGTCAAGGTCGGAGGAGAAGACACGGTGCCAACGCCCGGAGAAATATCTGTTCTGGTGAGTGGATTCCTTTTTCTTTGCACTTTTTGAGTTGCGGTTGCGCGTGCGCGCCTTTCCTGTTCCTTATTCCCTGTTCTTTCCCAACATTCAACATTTCTGAACCCGTGGTTCATAGCCTGGCCATGACCATGTCCTTGACCCTTGTGTCCATGACACGATTGATCGACATTGTGAGTTTCATTCTTTGCTGACCGGGTTTCTGTTTCTGTTTCTAGGGATGAAATGCATCTGGGACCATCTGCCCACAAGCTCATGGGGAGTGCTGTCTACAAGGAGACGAAAGGAGCTACTCAACGCCGCCCCCAGTAAGTCTGAGTCGGCGGCTAGCCGACGGGGTGCTGCAGTTTAGCTTAGACATTGTCATGAATCAATTTCAGCATGTATATTTTTCTGTATACTTTTCTTATTGAATATATTTTCCCCCTTATTCATAGGGTTCATTTCAGATTTCAGCTCTGTTCTGCTCTGCTCAGCTCTTCCTGTGTGTCTCCGAGACAAACGAAATAAAACGAGCTGTGGATGTACTGCTACTGCTAGGATGTACAAATGCGGCCTGGCGGGCTGAGGTGGTACTTTTGCGGCAGTTGTTGGGTAGCACTGATCGGGCCCACTTAGATCGAGTTACTGTGCCTGTATCTGTACTGGCGGAGTAAGGCGATGTCTTGAGGTCATAACGTGACAGGTGTCAGAGAATAAGAAAAAGAAAAAAAAAGCAAAAGCAAAAGCAAAAGGAAAGAACAGACAAGAAAATTCCCCCAAAGGGCCCTCACCGCGTGGTTACTTTACGGTCTGGCCCTTCCGGGTAGACTCAAATTAGGGTTAGGGTTTGCTAGGAGAGCCTCGCGAGTCAGGGAAACTGGGGCGAGTCTACTAGTATTACTAGTAGTTTAGTTTGACATGGATTGATTGTTCTCATTCTTGTTATTTTGGCCCTAGATCACTCGGCCGGACTTGCCCAAAATTAATCAACAGGGCTTTGTGATGGGGTGAACCCAGGGCGGGTTCTACATGCCCAGGTACCGGAGTACCTAGTATCATTTTATTTACTTATTGTTCCACGATTCTATCATTTACTTGCCTTACAAATTACTACCACTGAACTCCGTTTATTCCCGGAATCTCCGATCGCAGCTACTTGATCGCGGTGATATTGTTCGAGTTACAGTGGAGAGCGATCGGCATGAGATCATTGACAGGTACAGAACCATACAGAGAGGAGGACACAGTGGAACAAGGGATTTTCCGTGTCAAGTCAATGGAAGGGGAAAAGGGCGATTGCCAATCGGATCAGGGTACCTCTGGTTGGTCTTTTCCACGAAAGACTTGAATTAGCCCGATCACTAGTTTCTGCGTGTTTGCGAGATTTTTCTTTGTTCCGGGGAACCAACGTCAATGCAGCCGCTGGGTGACAACCAATCACACTTCGCCCCGAGGAATGGGAGCATGCGCGTCGCCGCATTCGTCTCAAAGAAACAATGATCTCGTTTGCTTCGTTGGGTTTTTATCGTTCCAGGGTTTGGTCCCTGTCAGCTACGATATGGGTTTGTTCTGGTTTTGGGTTGGTTCTCGGGTAGGGTTCCTGACGACGATGGAGACGTGGTAGTCGTTATAGTCGTAGTAATATAGTCACAGTCGTATAGATTAGAGTAGACTCACTAGACTTATACTGGCATAGTTACGCCCATGCTGCTCTCGTACACTTCCATCGAATCAATTACCACATAGGCTAAGCTAACTACTAACCCTAGTCAGCCTGACACTCTATTCCTTGGTTCACGGAAGATCATACATTGTCAAAGCCTGCCTCCGACAGGGATTCCTGCATCCAAGACAAAGAATCACTAATTTGCGCCTATCCTTTGTCTCGCCTGGCGGGATTGAACGAGCCCTAGACGCTGTCCCAAACTGTCCAAAGGTGTCACCCTGTCCCGTCCTATCCTATCCTATCCGATCTGCCGATGCTCATCTGCTTTTTTTTCTTGCCCTCCAATCCGCCGACTCTCCAAACGCAAGCCTGATATAGATCCATTCTCTCTTTGTCTCGCCTTCAAACAGCTTCCCCTCCACCTCTCGCCTCCATCTCACTTATTTTTATTTCTTCCCCTTTCATCCCTCTCCGGATTCATCTATACTTTCCCTTTCTTCTCTCTACCCACTCGTCCATCCCCTCCCCCAAGTTCCCCTTCCCTTGTGTCATTTCAAGCCATCACGCATCTTGAACAAAGAACACACGCCGGATTCGCCGTCAATCCGCTTCTTTCGCGAATCTCTTTTTTCTTCTTGCTTTTGCTTCGCCACCTCTTCTTTTTTTTCTTGTTTTTCTTTTGTTGTCATCTATAGATAAATGTCTTACGATCGAGTGCTCCCAGCCCCAGTTGCTGTACGCCATGAGTCTTCCGGCTCGAATTTTCTCCACAGCAATCCCTTCGAGCACAAGATCATGAATGATCTCCCAATGTCCCATGGAGCCCTGCCACATCGGCCAGAACCTCTAGCCGCAACATGCAGGTATCCTGAATATCGCCCGAACGCGGTCCAGCAGATGGCCATGTATCACGGCAAGGGTGAACCCTATACCCCACCGATCGACAAGCACCCCATCGTGGACGCTTACCCGCGACAGCACTCCATCTCAACGGCTTCGCTTCCTTTAAGAGAGCATTCCCCCCCCTTCTTCGGGTAGCTCTAGTCCGATCAAATCGGGCAAAGAAGAGTACGCCAGTCAGTGGTGTCTCTGTAAGCCGGATCCGAAAATTCCCCGGCCTCGTAATGGTGAGTCGATGATGTCCGCGCCGATGTTGAATGAGCATGGCAAGTCCCTTTTTCTTTCATTTTGTAATCTAGTCGGGATTGGCCCGGGATTTGGAATGTTTTCGTTCATTGGATTCATGCTGACTAGATGCTTCTTTGTCCCTTTTACAGCTTTTATTTTATACCGTCAGCATCACCAGGCGGCTGTCGTTTCACACAATCCTGGCTTGGCCAATCCGGAAATCTCGAAAATTATCGGCATGCAATGGAGAGCGTTGACAGAGGGGGAGAAGAACAAGTGGAGAGCTTTGGCAGAGGTATGTAGAAATAACTACTTCATTCCGATGACTCGCTATTCCAGGAAGCCATTACTTACTATTCATTAGGAAGAAAAAGCCCGCCATGCTCAGCAATATCCAACTTACCGATATCAGCCAAAACGAGCGGGCCGTGATGGAAACAATCGCCATTCAGGCTCTGGCATCAGCCATAATCCATCTGGAGCCTCCACATGCAACTCCTGCGGCGGTAGAATCATGAATGCACCCACTTCTCCAATGACTCCATTCACCCCAACAGGCCGATCAGCAAGTATATCCGGCCCCGTACCAGGGCGAGCAACGACAACAATCATGTCAGCAAGAAGCTCACACGGCGGCGAGAAAGAGCTCAAGCCGATCAAAATCGACCAAATCGACCACCGTGTACGACCCCGGAGATTCGACGACGCCGGCGAACAATCCCCAGATCTCAAGCGCCGCCGTGTCTCTCACGCATCAATAAAGTCCGACTTACCGGTCCACCGAAACCGAAGTCCAGACTCTATATCCCCCTATCCAATGTCCCCGTACCAATACAACGCTACCATCCAACAACAACAACAGCAACAGCAACATCAACAAAGACACCCACTTCCATCAATCAGCCGACCCTTCAACAACGGCCCCCCAGTCCCGGCCAACCAGCCGGATCGGAATCAAGTCTCAAACTCGCACCTCTCAAAACATCAACGCCGATAATGGCCCCACTCACCCCATTCTCGCAAGATGGATCCAACGCCTCCGTCGAGGCGACAGTCATGACAATCCCATATCTGAACAAGATCAAAGTCCTGGCTAAAATTTCTCCACCCTTGCAACCGACTTTCCGCCAGACGCCCGTCATGCGCGGACCCGTCATTGCCATCGACGGCCAAGACCCAGCACTCGTTCAATCAGCCGTGAACTACCTAGAACGTATGTTCAAAAAGGAAGCAAAGCACCACGTCCGCATCTTCCAGGGTCCAACAATCAAAGACCCCACAACTGAATCTTCCTCCGATCCAACAGTCGAATACCTCGATACAATTTCCTCCTGGCACCGGGTCTCAGACGAAGTAAAAGACTTCGTCCGGACTTTGAACGGAAGTGCGGAATTTAACAACGTCAACGACAACGCCAGCGCCAGCGCCAACACTTCTGAGACCCAAACCAGCAGAGAAGACGGCTCAACAAGTCCAAAAACCCTCATTCCCAAAACAACCGCCATGCACATAAACTCCCCCCAATCCAGCGAATCCGGCTCCGACCACTCCGCCAGCACAAATACATCGCTCACAGCACTACCACTAGCCCTAGTCCCCCGATACCAATTGACGACGGCGGATGCATTCGCGTGCTCGATTCCGATTCGAGACTCGTATACTTCTCTCGATCATTGGCAGTGGATGGCGAGTCTTTGGCGGACGTGTGTCGGTCCCGATATCACTGTTTATATTCGTGAGTGTAGTCGGGAGGAAATTGAGAGGTTTGGGGGGAATGCGGTTGAGATGAGGTTGCAGGATGCTAGGACTATTGTTATTCGGAGGGTAGTTGGGTCACCCGGGGTTTTGGAGGAGAAGGCTTTGAAGAGGGTTGGGTTTGAGATTGAGGATTTTTTGACGCAGTGAGGTGGTGGAAGTGAGGTGGTGGTACTGTACTGTGCTTGCTTGCTTGATTTGCTTTTGCTGGGGATGGATGGATGGGTGGGTGGAGGTATAGCAAATGGATTGATGAGGAGGGAGGGTCTTTTCTTTTTCTCCCGTTTTTTCTTTTTTTCTCTCTTCATTTTCATATTTCGATATTTCATATTCCATTTTGTCGATCTTTATTTGGGTCGTGGTGTTGGTGTTTGATTTGATTTGAGCGGTTGGATAGCGCTGGATTATTTTCTTGACTTTAAGCTGAGTCTTTTATAAATTGTAATTATTGAATCGATGGCACTGCATGAGAATATTCTTCTGTAAAGCACTTCAAATCCATCTTATCATAGTCCTAGTATACTATAGGAGAGGTTCCAGTGGTATACTAGTAATAGCAATGATAACCGGAAGCGGGAGGCGGTGAGTAATTCTGCCACATCACTGCCTATCTCCGAGTCTCCGGCCTTTTGCCTCATAATGTGATACATCTCATCGGCATGCATTCAGGTTTGCCCTTACACACTTCGGATTGTGCTACGTGGCCTCTAGCGACATCTTCTGACACCAATCAACGCGGAGCGCAGCTTGCAGGCTCTACGAGTACTTCCCTAGCCTGCTCCTCCTCGGATTATGGGGCTTTAGCGGGTCGCACGGAAAATGGATCTACAGCTCCACCATTTCAGACTACAGATGTGAAACTGTCCCCTGACGGTTCCTCACATCACGATGAGACAAATATTGGGCTGAAAATGCCCGCAATCAACCAATCTCATCAAAACAATGCCACCGCCGTTCCCGTCCAACCCGTCCATGCCAATGCGAATGAGCACCCTTGCACTTGCAATACATCAATAGAAACCAAGGCAATGCAAGAAAAGGGACAAGAACCTCCCAATTATCCAATCTTGTCGAAATTGGGACAAAGTGACGACTCTCACCGTGTACCCGCCGAGTCCCAGGGTGGAAATCTTGATGCACAGCCGCATTCGGTGGTATCTAAACCCGATGAAGGAAGTGAAGATCTCAGTGCCTTTCTTCCCTTGGGAGTACTTGACTCGAAAACAGGTACGGAGAAATATGCCGCCGAAATATCAATCTTGGAAGGGAGTTCTTGGATTCGAGCACGGGTGAAGAATGACAACACCCGAATTTATGTCGATCCAAAACTCACCCGCCGCAATAATGTCCAAAAGTCTATCAAGAAGCTGCGGGCAGCTTTCAAAATATTGATGTCGAATATTGATGCCTCGGAGGAATCTTGGGAAGGTCGGCGCAAAGCAATAACCAAGGACTCTGACGACGACTCTGACAAAGATGAATCCTTGTGGTACATTTTCAATACGCTACAGGACCCAGACCCGCGTCCAGATTTGATCAAGGACAAATGGTCGCAGCAGGCCGCGTTGGATCTACTGTCAGGCGATGACTTCTCGGAATTTGGTCTCAAGACTCCACTTCATCCGTATCAGCGTCGTTCTGCGGCTGCCATTGTGCAGCGGGAGGTCCAGCCTGCACAAGTTCTGGATCCTCGTCTACAAGCCTACCGCACTCCGACTGGGAAGGAATACTACTACGATAGAGAAGATGCCTGCATATTTCTAGAAAAGGCATTGTATTCAGAAGCGTGTGGAGGTGTGTTATCTTCGAACTGCTAAGTGTTAGTGGAAATATAACTAACCATGCCTAGGTATCCTTGCCGAGACGATGGGTTGTGGCAAAACATTCATCTCCCTTGCCGTCATCTGGGGGACCAGAGGCCATGTGCCAAAAATACCGATCAGGTATCTCTTAACAGAAGAAAACGACCAAACGCCAGTTCGAGAAAAGACGGGATCTCTGATGGAAATGGCGGCGGCTGCCGCGGGCCGGCATTCCGCTCCATGGAAAATGTTCTTCGAACAGAAGAAGCTTCAAGGCACGTACTATGAACGATGTATGAAGGCATGCAAGCGCAACTGTGGATATTACGAGATCCCTCCGCATCAAACTAGGTATCAGGGGCGACGCAGCATGTCGTACCCGCGGCCACCGTCCAAGCGCATTCGCCTTTGCACAGCAACGCTGATTATCGTCCCGAATAACCTGGTGGATCACTGGAAACATGAGATTCGCCAACATACAACAGATCTAAATGTTTTGACCCTACAACAGGGACCGGAGAAGGATAAGACGCCATGTGCGGACGACCTGCTTAACTACGATATCGTACTTTTTTCCAAAACACGGTTCGAGAAAGAAGCCGGCGAGCCAGTCAATAACCGGCGTGAAAGATTCGTGCAGATGGACTCACCACTTACAGAACTTCACTGGTTGCGTGTCATTGTTGACGAAGGGCATAATGTGGCGGGACACGGTTCAAAAACCAACATGATCCATTTACTTGGGCAAATGCACATTGAGCGCCGGTGGGTCATATCAGGAACTCCATCGACCGGACTCTACGGAGTTGAAATCAGTCTTGCTACGCAGGAAGCCGCGACTAGTGATACGGACTCTCCTGGAGATGTAACGGCCGTTGCTCTGCAAGGCCGAAAGAAAACCGGAAACGCAGTAGATAGTGAGCTGAAAGACCTCGATCGGCTAAGACGCATGGTGACCGGATTTTTCGAGTTACAGCCATGGTCGAACTCGAAGGATAATGATCCGGCAGACTGGACGAAATACATGAAACCGATCGGCCTGGATGGCAAGCGTCGCAAGTCCCCAGCCATTCGGGCTACGTTACAAGGCCTCGTGGTACGACATCAACTTGAAACTCTGAACAAAGAGATTTCTCTTCCGGATCTATACAACCGAGTTGTCTACCTGGAACCCACATTTCATGACCGACTTTCTATAAACCTGTTTCTTTTTGGCCTCGCGGTCAACGCCATTACCTCTGAACGACAAGGCCCGGACTACATGTTCGACTCCAAGAATCGGAAACATCTGAACCAAATCATAAATAATTTGCGACAAGCTGGATTTTGGTGGGCAGGGTCCGAGATGAACCCCCAAGACTCTATTGACCATGCGATCAAATACATGGATAAGAATCGGGAGAAGATGACACCAGATGATATCAACCAGTTGACCAACGGGATGAACATTGCTCGAATGGCAATGGAGTCTGGAAGCTGGCGCGAATTTAAGCAGCTTCACGAACTGGGCGTCTTTCTGCAGGATTTTCCCGAAGAAAACCGTGCACACTGGGCACTAGACTCGAATTCGGAGGAAGAGCCGCTTTTAATCGGAATCACCCAGGCTCGACGGGCACAACAGTTTGTCACCCAGAACCTGCGATCGCAAGATCCTACTCAGGGACTGTCAGGCGCCGGGATCAAAGTTCGCGGTGAACTTGAAAGAAGAGATCAGCGTGCCCCGGCGAAGGGCGCCCCCGAGTCCGCCAACACACCGACATCCACATCCTCCACGCCGGGCCACCTTAATCACAGCACAAAGCCTCAGAGTCATAAATCGCCCAAGAAGACCTTCAAGCAAAACCTTTTCCGCACCTTACCTTCCTCATCCCCGCTCATGAAAACGAAATTCGTGGCCACATCATCGGCAAAACTCACCTATCTCTTGGACCAAGTACTCCGCTGGCACAAAGAAGAGAAGATAATCATCTTCTACGACAACAGCAACTCAGCCTTCTGGATCGCCGAAGGCCTAGAACTTCTAGGAATCGAGTTTCGCATTTACGCTAGTACACTGAAACCCGAGCTCCGAACACAATACCTCGAACTCTTCCGCGAATCGAGCGACATCCGCGTACTACTGATGGATTTACGACAGGCCTCGCACGGATTGCACATCGCCCATGCCTCGCGCGTATACATAATCAATCCAATTTGGCAACCCACGGTAGAAAGCCAGGCCATAAAACGTGCACACCGAATCGGTCAGACCAGGCCTGTTCACGTCGAGACGTTAGTTTTGCGGGATACATTAGAAGACCGCATGCTCCGGCGAAGGAAGGAGATGTCGGATATGGAAATGCAGCACGCAGAGCGGAGTTTACTGGACGATACGGCTATGAATGATATCATTCAAAGAGAGCCCTTTTTGCCAATGACAGATGAAAACGGCAAACGTATTGCTGAGGCAATGTATCTGCAACAACCGACCACATTCTTCGATCGACACCCATTGCCGATCCCGGATGAGGTGAGAAAGGAAGAGGTTGGAGTGCGCAATGCTTCTAAGCGGACTCGACTCGCTGAGTCGGATGCCGATGATACTGATCTGCCAGAGTCGAGAATGAGCCCAACGCCAAAAAGGCCGCGGATCGGGTTTGCTGCTAGTGTGCAGATTATTGAGCCGGAGACTGAAGTGGAGTCGGATTCTGTGCTGGCTCCGACTCCGAGTCCTCGGCTGGATTCTATGGCACAGCTTTCATCATTCAATGATCGGGGTGGTGATTCTCCTGTACCAAGGCGAAAGTCGCTGTTTGGCCCGTAAGAAATATTTTCCTATATATATCCTTTTATCTGGTGAAGCTGGTCGATCTTCATAGACTGATACTATTACAATCATTGGGTCATTCGTGCTCCGACTTTTCTATTTCCTCTGGACTTAAAACTGTATGTACTAGGGCACGGCAGATACTGAAGAGAGGAACCTTGATTGAATGTTATAGATTACTAGTAGCTGGTAGCTTCTGGTAGAACTGGCCGCGTAATAGAAGCAGAAAGTCACGATGTCTAGTAGATATACTATTTCTTTCCTGTTTTCAAGGTTTGCAAGAATTGCCCACGGACTCTGTGATTTCCGGGGCTGATAATAGTAATCAAGATAGTACCTCGGCCCGATGATATCGATCGTTCGCCGGACTGATTGACTCCGACTTAAACAAATCACATTCCAACCACGCTCTTTGGCCATTTCAAGTTTACCGGAGAAGTTTAGTGTTTAAAGGGCGATCTCAGCAAACAAATCAAATCATCTCCGGTTATTATCTTTCAAGTTCTACCCTGCAAGATATGATCCGAATACTCCGGCTAAATCATTCTGGAACATCTGATTGGCATGTTTCACTGATTTGATCAGTCGTGTCATCCGTCACGCAAGGACGAACACACAACATTCAGCCCGAATGGCGTGCCGGGGGGAAACCCCAGCTGATTTCCAAGCAACGTTTATCATCAAGACCATTTAAAAATGGCCAATTCTTGACTGGTCAACATTCCTTCCAGTCTGAGGAAACTTACTCAAAATTTAAACCACTCTCCCAGGACCTATACCGACCCCGAGCTTCCACTAGTTAGAGTACTAGCTAACTCAACCACGCATGATGACCACGGGGGAGACGCGACCGTTGCTAGAAACAAACGATGGACAAACTGATAGCCAGCTCGCCGCTTCCACAGATATAACCGATGGATTCCCAGATAGCCTTCCGGGCGCAAATCACGGGAAAAACCTCAGCTGGTCCAGCGCATACATCCTAGTCGTATCCCGCGTCATTGGAAGCGGCATCTTCGCAACTCCAGGATCCATCGTTAAGTCGACAGGAAGTGTCGGCCTCACTCTTCTGGTATGGATTGCCGGAACAATTTTAGCAGCATGTGGGCTCTCCATCTCGATGGAATTTGGATGCATGCTTCCTCGCTCGGGAGGAGATAAGGTAGATCAATCTCTGACCATCTTTTCACGCCGAGAGATTCACATAGGCTAAAATGGCTCGGCTTCCAATTGGCAGGTGTACCTGGAGTATACCTATCCCCGACCGAAATTTCTCGCTTCAACTTTAATTGCCGTGCAAGCCGTTGTGCTAGGATTCACAGCGAGTAACTGCATTATCTTCGCAAAGTATACACTCTTCGCTTTGAAAGTCGAGCCGACTGATCTTCAGCATAAAGCACTTGCTGTCGGCCTACTAACTATTATCACTATCATTCATGGATGCTTTCTGCGTACGGGCATCGCGATTCAAAATGCGCTTGGCTGGGTCAAGATCTTTTTAATAGGGGCCATGTCACTGACTGGAGTGTGGGTTCTTCTGCTGCAATTCTTCGGAAACTCTCATCAGGTTACGCCAGGGTACATGCATAACGATCTTGCCTCTTGGGATTCAATATGGGAGGGCTCTAATTGGAGTTGGAGTCTTCTTTCGACGGCTCTGTTCAAAGTCTTCTATTCTTATGCAGGACTGAGCAACATCAACAATGTTCTTGGAGAGGTACATAACCCTATCCATACGATCAAAACTGTATGCCCATCTGCCCTCCTCACAGCCGGTGGTCTCTACCTCCTAGCCAACGCGTCCTACCTCCTGGTCATACCATTTGAGGAAATCAAAAGCAGCGGCGAACTGGTCGGCGCACTCCTCTTTGAGCGATTATTCGGCGATAGTGTCGGAAGGGTCCTGTTCCCTCTTGCAATTGCAATATCCGCAGCCGGTAATGTTATGGTGGTGACTTTTGCATTGGTGAGTTCAAGTTGGTCTGGTCTAGTCTCTTAACACGACTGCCCACTCAACTACAATACAATTCTAACTGCAATCTACCTGACCTTAGGCTCGCGTCAATCAAGAAATAGCCCGCCAAGGATTTCTACCATGGCAGAAGGTTATTTCATCTTCACGGCCTTTCAATACGCCTCTCGGAGGTCTGATTGTTCACTACGTCCCGTCGCTGTTGGTCATTGCCCTTCCGCCACAGCAAGATGTCTACAATTTCATCCTAGATGTGGAAGGATATCCCGGCCAACTCTTCGCGCTAGCGATAACAGTTGGCCTCTTGATTTTGCGATACAGAGAACCTAACCGACCTCGGCCTTTTAAAGCATGGCTTCCCGCTGTTTGGTTGCGGGTGATTGTTTGTTTGGTGCTTTTGGCTGCGCCTTTTGTGCCACCTCCGAATTGGCAGGGTGATGTTGATTTCTTTTATGCGACGTATGCCATTGTTGGTATTGGCGTGTAAGTCCAGTCCACCCCTGGACAGATATGAAATATAAATTCCTAGTAACCTGAACTAATGGGATTGAGCAGGATTCTTTTTGCGGTGGTTTATTGGTATGTGTGGACTGTGCTTTTGCCTCGGTGGGGAGGATATAAGTTGGAAGAGTCGGTGGAGGTTTTGGATGATGGGACTAGTATCACCAAACTGGAGAGAGATTATTATGCTTCTGGATAAGTTTTGCCGGAATGCAATTTCCAAGGTTCTTGATAACAACTGTGATGTTCCATAGAGGATGAACTATACAGCGCTGCTTGGCAGGTGCATACTACCACCACCTTCTACTAAAGTTATATAGAACTTCACTTGGAAGGAGAGACACCGGAGTAAACAAGTAAAAAAAAACATCATCCATCGCCGCGTCCTTTTTTTCTCTTCTCGAAATTATTCTCTCCTCTTGAGAGGAGTTTGCGAGGTCGCACGAGAAGATCCAACTATACAACCATGGATATTTCCGTACTCTCTATGGACTCACCCCAGACTCGGACAAAGCCATCAAATCTTGGAATCAGGTATTCTCCACAACTTACCTTGATGCTCTTTCTATCGCTAATATGCGCTAGAGCATAGCAACTACCCTAAATGGAATGAATCTCCGCAGGCGTTGAATCGAGCAGCATTTATCCTGATCAATATCGACAAGCCCGACGATGCAATCTTCCCAACCGACCTCGGCCCTGAACTTGTTGCCTTCGATGTTCAATGGTAACTATTTCGGCAACGCCAAGTAAGCCGCCTCTTACTACATCACACGCCTCGGATGTATTCAGCGAGTAGCAAAAGTCTGCGATTCGAGAAATTCGTTAAAGCTGCACAGGCAGGCTCCAAGGCTCACCGTCTACACTAGTCGGCGCTCCAGAATCCTGATCCAGACGTACGGTATGGCTTCCGGTTCCTTTCTATTTCCGTTTTATAATCTTAATTGAGGCATCTCTATTATTAAGTTGAGGATGGCATATTTTCCACAGAGAGCCGTTTGAGCACGAATGCAGGCTAATTCAGGGGTTTGACCGGTACATCTAATATCATGACTGCGAACAGAAACACTCAAGTGGCACTTCTTGGCCCAGGAAAGCCTCATACGTGGGTTAGCGAGATCGATGACCCAAGACCTATGATGGCTTTTGAGGTTAACTTAAAGTGGACAATCGGTTATATTTGTCATAAAAAGAACTGGAGCGTTGACGCTGAAAACATGATACTCACTGATGCTGTACCTTTTTTCGTGATATCAATTGTGCCTGTGGGCGAAGCTGCCCGCGAATTTCCATTCAACCTGGAAACTCACGGTCTTCCGCCAGGCTCGATTCCAAAATCATGAGAACAATTTTGACTTTGTCTGGAGGCTAATTTATCGACCGGATGGACCTAACTCGACTAAGGGAGAAATACGCAACCATCGCTCTCCGCTGGGGCCATGCGTGGTCATTGAGCGTGAAGGTCGGCATTACTTTCCCAGATGGATGGGGTATCTCCTATACGGAAGATGGATTGAGGCTTGTAGATGGACTCTGGAGAAGAATGCACGTACGAAAGGAGAGTTCATAATCGGCGAAGTGAAAACCCCTCTTGAAGCGGTAAATGAAGTACGTCGGATGAGTCTGCTTTTCAACGTGCAAGGGAGCAGCACATCAGCGGATATGACCCTGCCCTCTGCGAATAAAGCTTCGAAGAAGCCAGCTTCGTTGATCGGCGATACTGGTCAGACCTGTATATTCTAAGGTTGTCGTTTGCGAGACTTGGCTTCCTCTCCAATTGGCTTATTATCCAGTTCATCGGCAACTTCTTGATCCGTGGTATAAAAGCAGTGCTTAGCAGTGGCAAAATATTCTGTCCCTGATACCGTATCCATGTGATGGAATTAGTTCATGGACTCCTTTCCTTCGTTATCTTTCTGAGAAGTTCATATAATGTGGGAGTTCGCGGTACATATTTTAAATCAATGTGCTCCTGTTAATACAAATTCACCGAATCCACCCATATAAGTAGTCTCTGTTAGATTCAGGGAGTGAATTGATATCGCCGTAACCCCGCATCAAGCTGCGCCACGCGGGGTGGTCTGGGCTCGTTTAATTATAAATTTCAAGGGGAATTTACTTTAGAATGAGGATCCAGTAACTACCTGGCAGTAACATATCAGACAGTAAAATGTAAAAGTGTGGCTCCCCGCCAAAAGCCTCGGGCAAATGTGGGGTGCGAATTGGTCATCAAGGAACCATTCCGACGCCCACTTGTGATGATTATCATCGGAAAATCTAACGCGGCATTCGTATTCAACCTTATCGACTTGTCTTCTCCCCGGTGATCTCTCTGGCTCTATATTAGCACCTTCTTTTCTTCACCACGAACGATATAAACAACCACCGGCGGGGTACTCCTAGGGTTCCCATTCCGCACCATGACTCAACTGCCGAAATATACCGACAAGCAGCTTGAGACATACCTCAGCCGGATTTCATACCCTAGCAGCGAGGTCGGTGCATCGTTGGTTCAAAGTGTTCGTCAAAATGTTACAAAGAATGCACTTGGCACATTATTCGAGCTACAGAGGAGACATCTTGCTTCGATCCCATGGGGAAATTCGGGCCTCCACTACTCGCAGCACCACACCATATCCCTAAATCCAGCCACTTTGTTCGAAAAGATGGTTGAGCGACGCTTGGATGGATATTGCATGGAGAACACAGGGTTATTTCACATTATACTGCGATCCCTGGGGTACGTTGTATATGCCATTGGTGCCAGAATTGGCCAGGCTGTGGGTACCGGGGTAGAAAATGGATTGTTTTCACAATTGTATGAACCCGATTTGTTTGCGTGAGGATTCATTGGCTAAATTGCTGCCGCAGGAGCCATATGGCTTTGATTGTTGTCATTGATGAGGTCAAATATATGGTTAGTAGTTTGTTTCTCATTCTCCCTCCGTTTGTCCCCCCACTAATAAGTTGCAGGTTGATGTTGGATTCGGCGCCTACAACGCTACTACGCCTTTGCTTCTAAAGGAGGGTGCCATTACTACACGTATGGCACCCTCGGAAATGCGTTTAATCAAGGACAGTCTCGTTGAAGCTACAGACAAGAGTCAGAAGTTCTGGATCTACCAAACTAGACACAACCCCGAAAGCACTTGGCTGTCCATGATATGCTTTGCGGACACGGAGCTCCTGCCGCAAGACTTCGAATTGATGAATTTTGGCGTCAGTCAGAGGCGGGCTAGCTGGTTTACTCAAAGATTTGTCTGCACACGGATGATCCTTGATTTGACCGGACAAGAGATCATCGGGCAGTGCAGTCTGGCCGGGAAGGAGGTCAAGAGAAGGATACATGGGCAGACAGAGGTTCTGCAGACTATTGAAAGCGAGGATGACCGGGTCAAGGCCTTGGCGCAGTATTTCGACATGCACCTTCGTGACAGTGAAATTCAAGGGATTCGGGGATTGGCTTCGCAGGTCCAATAGTCTTGGGTTTACCAGGCACTGCATAGACTACCATCGAATGTGGACAAGGGAACGATTGAAATGGTATGATACAGCGATGTTTCTAGAAATTGCGTAGGAAGGTATGTAGAGTGATCGCGAAACAGGGAAAACGCAGATATAGAAGGATAAACGTTGCAATTTTTGAATTTAGAACATCCGTCGCTCGATCTGTAGGAGTCGGGGAATTAGTAACCTGTCAGGTATCGGGGTGCATCTGCTGTTTCTGTTTGTTCCATACCTTCCATTGGTTGCTCAACTCGAAGCCCGGAGGCGCCTGGTGGTTACTGGACTGTCCTCTCCACGTTCCGGTAAGGCGGAGGTCACGCTCCATCACTGATTGATTCAATTGTTAGTCCCAGTTCGGTTAAACCAACCCGGTGAAGGGGATTCGAATAGATCGCAGGAAGGTTCGCTGTCGCAATTGAAATTGCAATCAAGGTCGATCGCATTGGTATCACATCACTTACTTTGCTGCACGAGTGTTAGCTGACATTCAGAGTGAATTGGGTTCCCGACCGCAGCCGATGGAGGTGGAGTTGAGAAACGACTTACTCTATCCCACAGATCCCTGTTCCAGCGGGTCTTCTTGCCCTCGTTTCCAAGGTGCTTGGTGTAGTAGAGACCAACACCAGTCACGCCAAACATCTGTGAATGGTGGTGAGTAATAGCTCGGTAGGGACTGGTCGAGAGGAGTTGTCGAGACATACGGTGGCAATGATGCCCCAGGGCAGGAGGGCCTCAAAGGGTACGGGCATGGTGAAGGTTTGCGAGGATCAAGCGAGTAACAACGACCAAGAAACACCTGAACAGCAGGCCTATGTGGGAGATCGCAAGGAGGGGAGTCGTTAGAGGGCGGAGAGCAGCGGGCGGCGGTTTGCGAGGTCTGCGAGACCCAAAGGAGATTAGCGCATTCTGAGTCAGCCACTGCAACGACACTCCCCCAGGCCAAGGGGGAAAGCGCATCGCATTCGTGAAGATTGTCAAAGGACTTACGGCCTCGTTTACTTTTCGGCGCGTCTTGTGCATATCTACTCCTCGTGCTCGACCGTTTGGGCTTTCGATCAGGTCTCTAGTCCCCCCCTGCGACACGTGTTTGTGACCTCGAAACCATCCTCCCAACCCCAACTGACATCCTCTGCTGCTCTCTAGCTACATTGCGCTCGACCTACCTGACTTGCGATCGAAGCACAATTTCAAAGCTTGACACGTATCGACCGTCTGTGCCAATCTTTGCCGCTCCAACCTGGGCTCCCGATGCACCCCCGGTCAACACCGATGTGAGCGGGGTGGCTCTGTAGCTTATCTCGGTTGGCCCTTGAACAAAGACCAAACAACATCCCCCAACGCATTTGCGCGTCGCCCGAGACGAGTTCTTTCGTTCGATCTGGCGGCTGCGGTGGCACTGAGAATGGCGGCGACAGAGCCGCCAGTGAATGAGGATCCGGGAATGCTCGATCCGCCTGTGGACCAGGTTGACAGTGACCTGGACGCGGAGGGAGAGGAGGAAACCGACCTGTACCATATGGACCAACAGCTTCAAGACGCAGTGCACCGAGCGTACACCGGAGAAGTAGCCGAAGAAGATGGCAACGATGAGGCACACTCGGGCAAGAAGGGCTTGCAGGAAGGTGGCGACGACGATGACGACGAGACCGAACCAGTCGGAGCTGTGAAGGGTTTAGATAATGATGGGTCCTCGGAAGCAGAATCTGGAATTGCTGACGTGGAAGGAGAAGCAGACTCTGCTTTTGAAGATGACAATGACCGAGATGCTTCCGAGTCTGATTCGGCACCAGAAGAGGAAGAGGAGGAGGAGGGCTGGGAGGCAGAGAGTAACGGACGCGAAGATGAAGATGAAGATACCGATAATCGCAGCCGTGTGATATGCATGTAAGTGCAAAGCAAACCAACGGGAGAGATGTGAAAGTTTGGCCTGGCTTTGAGACTAACAAGCCCCGCAGGTTTTGCAGTCAAGATGAAGAACACGATCCAGGTGAGGATTTCGAGGAATGGCTCACTTGCACTGGTTGTGGCGATCACTGTAAGTAATCTATGCGGGGGCCGGAGCTAAAAGCTTAAGCCGCCCTCAGCCCTAGCCCGTTTTTCACTGGTTGCTGACTCGGCATCCCGACAGCTCATCGGCAATGCGCTCGCGATCAAGAAGCATTTGGTGATTCAGAAGGTGAGTGGAACTTTACAACGCCCGTTTGGCGCCCCCGGATCCTTGCCGATGGGGCCCACTCGCTAACGTGGAAACACGTAGATCCTTGGAAATGTCTTCCTTGTCGTGACAATCGACCGGCCTCTAACGATGCCGAGACTCGGACTCCAAACGCTAGGGGCGGAGCCCCCCTATCTTAAAAGGGAGCTCATGCCGGCCCATTCAGGAAAGGAGGGCTCCGATTTTCATTCCATCTTCGACACCAACATTAGCGACGAGTTATTGAATAGCTCGCGATCATTACGCAAGAGGAAAGCTTCATCTGCTGATGCCGACGAACATGTCCCGGTGCTTAGAAAGCGACGGCGACAAACTGATCACCCAGATGAAAACGAAGTACCTCTTCAGAATGGCGGTGATGTAGCCACTGAAGAATCCCGCTCGGTGCGCCCGAGACGAACCCGCGGAGTCGAGCGAGAACATTGCCGGATAGTGTCCAAGCATTTTCACAAACTCGTCGTGGGATTCCGGTTAGACGAAAACAAAGTCACTCGGATTCTCAGTACACAAAGCCGACCGAAGCGCAGTCACAAAAAGAAAGTCCCGAAGCCCGCGCCCGCAACCCAAGAACTCCAAGCTCATTTCGCCCCGATCCCTCCCGCTCCCCACAACTACTTTGCTCCTTTCAATGACCGAGACAGTGATGAGACTAAGAAACCATACGGCGGCATCTTGTCCGAAGTCGAAGCAGATACAACAAAGACTCTGCCCTTACAGGGTGACCGGGAAAAATTTGAGTCGGCCCGTCAAAAGGCTGAAGAAGAATGGCAGCGCCGAGTGCGAGAAGCAGAGCTGAATGGCGAAGCGGCGCCGACTGCATCAGCCAAGGTGTCTGGTCCACCTTCCAAGATCAAGCACATCAACTTTGGTGGCTACGAGATCGAGACCTGGTACGCTGCACCCTACCCGGAAGAGTACAGCCGCAATCGGGTACTTTATATCTGTGAATTCTGCCTCAAATACATGAACTCGGATTATGTCGCCTGGCGGCACAAGCTCAAGTGCCCTGCCAAACATCCACCCGGCGACGAGATTTATCGCGACGGCTCAATCTCGATATTCGAGGTTGACGGAAGAAAAAACCCCGTCTACTGTCAAAATCTGTGTCTTCTTGCCAAATTATTCCTCGGCTCCAAGACCCTCTACTACGACGTTGAACCATTCTTGTTCTATGTTATGAGCGAGTACGACGATCTTGGGTGTCACTTTGTTGGCTACTTCAGCAAAGAAAAGCGCCCAAGCTCGGCGAACAATGTCTCGTGTATTCTTACCCTCCCCATCCACCAACGAAAAGGCTACGGTAACCTCCTCATCGACTTCTCATATCTTCTCACCCGCATCGAAGGCAAGAGCGGATCACCTGAGAAGCCCCTCTCTGATATGGGTCTTGTCTCCTATCGCAACTACTGGCGTCTAATCCTATCCTACCAACTCCGAGACCTCAAAACACCCATCAGTATTGCAGACCTCTCCGACCGCACAGGCATGACCGCCGATGATCTTGTGTCTGCACTCGAGGGACTCCGTGCTCTTGTGCGGGATCCTGTCACGAAAACGTATGCATTCCGTCTGGATACCAAGTACTTCGAGGAGGTCATCCAAAACTGGGAGGTTAAAGGTTACGTCACACTAAACCCGGACGCATTGCTCTGGACGCCTTACATCATGGGCCGGAACAATCAGACTCATTTCGACCGCGCTCCTCTTCACGCTGTTGCACCCCGAGAAGATATCGAAGAGGAGGAAGAGGAAGAGGAAGGGTCCGAAACAAAAGCGAACGGGACCAGTGACGAAGAGCCAGCTATCAACGGGGTTAATGCGGACAGCTTCGGAGATTCTGCCGGTCCTCCCTCTACGGCACTCATGCAAACAAATGGCATACATGAGCATGAGCACACTGATACTCCGATCCTGAACCCTGCCGCCGGGATCCCAGCATCACGGTTCGAACTTTGGCCCCCCCGTGCATGTTCCTCCGGCGTCTAAGCGCAAGCCCGGTCGTCCACATGGCGCTAAAATATCCTCTCGGCCTTCAATGACCCCGACAGCTACTCGAACTAGTGGTCGTAATACTCCTCGACGACCGTCAGGGCTGCCAATTTTCACTCCTACGGGTAACACCCCGATGCGCCGCGGTCGCAGCGCGAAGATGCCAGATGCAGAGGCAACTCCTATTCAAACCAACGGCGTCGACCTTGACGAGGACGAAGTCATGGATGAGGAGGCCGTGCTAGACCCAAGCCCCGAAGATCTTGGTCTTGTATTGGGGAACGCAGCCGAGCAGGTCAATGGGGTAGCTGACGAGGATGAGGATGCCGACGCAGACGCCGAAGGGGAGTTTGAGGAAGCGATCGAAACAAATGGGGTTGAACACGACGAACCCGCAATCGAGCAACCACCGAAAACCCCCAAGAAGTCCAAATCAAAATCAAAATCCCAGTCCCCTGGCACAGCAGTTTCACAGCGTTCCCGGGGAAAGCACTCCGGCGATCATTCCAAAACTTCGCAATCAGTTAGTCGAAAGGCACTTGTCGAGAAGGTCCAAGTAGTCATACCTGTGGAACCTGGGTCGGCCGACAGGAAAGGGGCCAAGGGTTCGGCCAATACCAACGCCAACACCAACGGCATTGATCCAGACATAGATGCCGAAGGTGAAGACGACCCAGACGCTGATGGCGAATACGAAGTAGACGGCGACGTGGTGATGGGGACATGAGAAACATCTCCGTGCAGCATCTGGACAGGGCGTTTTTTGTTTTTGGACTCTGCTGTTTCCATTTATTTCTCCAAATTTTCTTCTTCTTCTCTTGCTACTTCTGTTTTCTATTCTGGTTTCTTACATGGACATTTTCTTGTATCCCAGCTTCATTCTTCTACCCCGTTTTCTTTTGGGTCATGGCTACGAATATGGTGGGTGACTGGACTGTCGACCTAGCCGAGGAAGACCTGCGTGTTGCAGGCATTGTTGCTCGGTGCTTTTTGGGGATTTCTAGTTGTTCAGCCAGGGAGCGTCGGTGGCGCTCGGCGTTTGTGTTTTTTTGTTGGGTATTCTTTTTAATTCATCACCTTGTATTCACATCACCTTGTGAGGAGAGTTCGAGTTTGTCTTTGTTCGGGTTCTGGACCTTAGGTAGTAGGTTCCAACTTGAATCGATGATGTATGTGTACTAGTTGAACTCTGTAGTTCTTTGTTCCTCGCCTCGTCGGTGCGTACCTATCTACTGCTCGTACCAATGATATACTCGAAACGAGATCAGACTGATTAGCGCGAAGTTAGTTCTTGTCCACAATGAAGTGCCCAGCAAGGTCCAAAGATACTAGTAAACTCGAACATTAGTACGAAGGCAAATGTCAGCAGTCACGTTGTATATGCCTAATAGTTATTACTCTAGGTATACAGTATCCCCAGGACCGAGCGCCCGCACGGCCTCGCGACAAAACTCAATTACCAACCTGCGAACGCGGGGCACTGCAACGCCCTAAATGTAGGAATGCGCTCGGTCCATGCTGAAAGTTAAAGGGATTTGAGTAGCTTTCCACGTAGATCAGATCGAGGTCGCTGCAGCCTAAGGTAGTACCCAGCGTGAACTAAGATCTGACCTGTGCTATCAAGGGGGGGTTATCCAGGCAGTAGGGTACTGTAGGAGCCCAAAGGGGGAGGAGAGTACTGTCATGACCGGGCCGGATTGGATCCACTCAGACCGGAGAATTTCGACCAGTCAAGCACATGGGCCACCGAGAGTACAGTCCGAGTATACTGATATAGTTTGAAGTGGAAATCAATAGATGCAATGCTGTAGTTTCTATACAGGACCTATACGTAAGCCAATCTATGTAGTCTGCATACGAGTAACGCATTTGGACCTAGTCGGTGTGTGATCGGCGGGAAAACCACGGAACACCGCGATTTAAGCATAACCGCGTAGCGTTTCAGGGTGCCGTGGTTCGCCTGGACGGGCATGCCGCTGTCATTGTTAGTGTACCACACATGCTTGGTTAACTATTCTAGTTCGAGTTATTTATGTACGGAGTACTACTGCACTACTAGTTAGTCGTTATTATGCTAGTACTTACTAGTAGATACGATAGCTATGCACCCGCGCTTCCAAGGTGACAACGTCTTTGTCGACAATGCCCTGGCCATGTACTGTTCTGCCCGTGTGTACAGCACACAACAGCGCTTCGCTGTACGACAGCCACAAAGAGTGCCCACTAATTAAATTTCCCGGGCCACTTCATCATCCCCACGCCCTGGCCTAGTTTTTTACCCCCGTTTAAGGACGAGGAGGTCAGAGATTTCCAGTGTTCTGCCTGCTTCCTGCTTTCTGTTCTTTTTTGATTTTGATTTTCCTTTTCAGTTTTCACGTCGCTCGAACTTCTCTTTTCTCTTTCCTCCCCTTCCCCCCGGGCGCCTTTTTGACTTTACTTTCTTTTTCTCCTGGATATCCATCCGGGCCTATGAGATCTTCGCTCTCGGACGCTCCCGAGTCGGAGCTCAGATCTGGCACTGGCGGATAAAACTGGACACGTCTAATCCAAGTCAAGCCAAGCCAAGCAAAGCCAGACCATGTCATGTCAGTTTTGGCTCTGTCCATGCTACATACAATCCTCAGGCCTACCCGCATGATGATTAGGCGATGGCACCGCCTCTGCATACAGGCTTAGGTGGCCACGACGGTTACCGGCAGCATGCATCGTGGAGTGGAGGAGCACGGCGCAATGCATGAGATTTAGCTTGTTTGGCAGTGGTTTCCTTCCCGCAAGAGGAGGAGAAAATACATGAGTACTGTATGTCTTATTTCCCCTATGATCTGCGTCAGCATATATACAGTCAGTACATACAGTACGAGATGTGCCTGGACTGGACTCGAGATCATTGCGACGGGAAAATACTTGCAGGATTTGCTCATTCCATTCTACGAGTCATCGTATCCGTACGAGACACCCAGTGGACCGGGACGGAGTTCGAAATTCCCAGACCAAAGCCAAAGCGGGTCCCCTTCCCTTCCCTTGTCCACCGCAATGAATCTGTCGGGTCGGGTCGGTGAGGTTTGGTTTGATTTGGCTTGGTTAGGTGAGGTGAGTATTTACCATTGGCTAAATGCCCTTTGCTTTATAACGAGGAAAGCCCAAAAAAAGCATTGTACGGGACAAGACACTGGCAGTACTCTGTCCCGTACCCAAAAGTCTCACCCTTGCATGATCGCCCGCGCTATCGGCCCCGGTGCGGAGAGCCATGCAGCTTTGCCTCCAAGTGGTCCGTTTGGCATATCCAGCTGCGGTGCGGTGCTGGCTGCATCTGCCAGTTGCGCATTTGCATTTGCATTTGCATTTGCGTTTGTGTTTGCCCGCTCCCCTCCTCCCCAACTGCCCACCCCCACGAAGCGCCTCGAGCCGAGGGTTTGGTTTGGTCTGATCTGGTCTGGTCTGGACAGATCTGATTTGATCTTGATCACAATCCCGCAACGGTTGAGTCGGATTCCGAGACCAGGTGAAAGTTGGTACAGTACGGCACGGTATTGTTTCCGTTTCCATGTCCATTTCCAATCTGCCGTCTGGTGGAAGAGTGAGGTGGCTTAAAAAAAACAAAAGTACCCTCAGCCCAACTCTCAAGCGCAAACCAAGGAAGAAGGCAAGAAAAGAAGCAACGGGCAAGCAGCGCAGCGCATCATATCACATCGCATCACATCGCTTCGCTTCGCATCCCTATGGGGCTGGGCTGGGCTGAGATGAATGCCACTGACACAATATGTGTGGCGCAGCGATGTACTGAATGTATGTATGTACATCCATACGTACTATAGTCCATTCAGACGATTCAGCAAAAAAGGACGAGCGGCCTTGGTCAGAAACGAGGCAGAACATGACAGGACAGGACAAGGCAAGACAACTTGAACTGATCTGCAAACACCGGCGCCCCCGACCCAGCCAGCCCCGCACGCACTCCCCTATCACCCATCACCCGGCCCTATGGCAGGGCTTGATGGGCGAGAATTCGTGATGACGATGCACGATGCCCGATCGCGCAGGTGTGCTCGGCCATTTCTCATCTCCCGGACCGGAGGGGCGTAGGTTTAGCTGATTTTTGCAGATCTAGCTAGGTAAGGCTCCCAAACAAACTATAGTCATAGCCATACCACGCTGTGACGTGACAGGTGTGGTGTGGTGTGGTGGATCTCCAGTACATACATAGCAGAGCAGTGTATGTATGTACTAGACCAAACTGGACTGGACTGGACTGGACCGAACTGAACTGAACTGATTTGAACCGAACTGCAGGATCTCAGCCTGCATATCCATATCCATATTCATATTCTCTCAGACGCAATGCAATGTGACGCATCGAGTTCGAATCCTGTCTCCGTCTCCATACTGTATGCAGGAGGGTTCGTGCTCTGTCTGCCCTGCTTCTTGCTGCTGCTGCGGCCGCCTTGTTTCTCTCTTTCTTATTTGGCTCTATAATATCCTTGTCCCTTTTGGATTTTGGATTTTGTTTTCTCTCCTTTGGCTTTTGTGTTTTTCGTCGCGCGCGCGCAGATTGATTCGATTCGATCGCAACTCGACTCAACTTGACTATTCGCATTGCTTCACATCGCTTCACTTCACAGTATGGTCTCGGGATGCCTCGTTTGACCTCTGAGTTTCCCGTTCCTTATCGGTCTCACGTACTCCCTGTCCCCGTCGGTCAGGGTACACTCATTCGTCTTTGTTCGGAGCGCGCTGCGATCGCGTGGGACTGCACTTTGGTTATTCGATTCTGTCGCTCATTATTGCTATCGCTGTCACTGTCGCTGTCGCTGTCGCGCTGGGCTTGGGTTGGGGGTCGAGGTATACAACAGACCCTAGGCGCATTCGATCGCATCGCATCGCATCGCATCGCATCGAAATTATCGCAAATATCGAATATCGCAGATATTGAGTCGCTTTATTGAGTTTAGTCCACTGAGCGCTTGACTCTGGGGTTCCTGTTGAAAACGGCGCATCGCTGGCCGAAGACAAGAGAAGACGCGCCTCACATCGCATCACATCGCCTCAGACCACGTCAAGCCAACACCCGCACTCATTCAAAGAGAGAAAAAGTGAGAAAGCGCATCTCATCCTCATCAGTTTATGAGGAAGGAGAGTTAAGTTGAGTTTGAGAGGGAGTCAAAGAGCAGCCCCTTTCTCCGCAGGGCTACCCTAGGAGACCCTACTCGGAGCATCGATATCACATCGGATGACATAAGTCAGGCCAACCAACTCAAACCAGACAAGGCGAAAGCCTTTACGGAGTAAGTTTACGAGTAAGGTGCTGGAGTAAGCTACTGATTACGATTACGATCGGACCCTTGACCCTTGTGCTTATGGCAGTGGCTTGAAATCGGAAGTGATAAAGCTAAAGAAGGACCAGGCTAACCCGACCTTAGCAGGGCAGGCGATCGAAGCGGGGGATCCAAGGGGGGGGTTGTGGTGCACACGCCTCCTTTCTCCGCCATCAGCGATTGCTAGACTAGTGACTAGTCACTAGTGGGTCATCTGCCGAGCAGTTGAGCGGGCAGGGCAGGGATTGTATTGCGAGGTGCGAGGCGAGAGTTGCGAGTTGCCACAGCTGAGGACCGAGTTGCCGGCAGCATACGAGTATTGTGTCAGTTCTGGCAGTGCATACAGACACAGACAGAGTCATATCTTCCGCTGTATAGCGTGCTCTGCTGCGCTGTGCGTCTGCCCTCCACTGTGTCCACCCGGACTGGAATGCTAGGCGCCGGACCAGGGGCCGAGTCCACTTTGCGCATCACCTGCATAGCCGCGAATCCAGGAACTCGAACTACTCAACGGTGCGAGTGAGCTGCTAGTGAGCTGCAGCTGAGCAGACCAAGCAAACCTTGTCCTTGTTCTTGGGGGAGACTAGCACTGCCGGACTACCGCAGTATCGCAGTACCGCAGTACCGCTACCGCTAAGGTTCGGCCGAGCGAATGTGCGCATCATTCCGGATCGACGTGCGCAGCCAATTCGCCCCCCCCCCAAAATCAAAATCCCAAATCAAAACCAGAAAAAGCCAACAGTGGGCCCCCTTTCAGCGTGGACCGTGGTCGACACCAGCTGAGTCCTGACTCTGGTCCCTCTGGTCCGTCTGGTCCCCTTGTCCATCCACTCTTTTCCCCCCCCTCCACCTAACGGTCGAGTCTTGAGTGTGTCTCCACCTTCAGCTGCTTAGGGAAAATTTTCTTTGAGGATCTGAAAAGGGAAAGGGAATCTGGAGATTGTCATTGGAGGAAGGGCCAGACACTAGAGAAGAGAGAAGAGAGAAGAGAGAAGCCGGGCCGATTTGAGGCCTTAGGCGTGCCTCAGGCGCTGAAAGTGAAGTGATTAGTGATTTTTGATTTTATCTGCAGGTACGAGAGGGCAGCAGGCAGGAGCTACCGGTATACACTGCATACACTCAGTGCAGCAGTACAACTACAGTGCAGTACAGCAGTGACTACCAGTGACTACCACCACTGCTATACTACACTGCTACTACTCTACACTTCTGCTACTTCCGCTTGCGTTGACGACACCACTCTACCTTCTACCACTACTTCTCTACCACTTCCACCTCACTTCTCTACTCTACCACTCTCTTCCTCCACCACCGTTTCCGTCAACTCATCCATGGTAGTCCGCGCATCCCGCACCTTTCATCTCCCCACCACAGCTCTTCTTCTTTTTCACTCTACCACTACCACTACCACTACCATTACCACTACCACTACCAACTGATCTGACTTGCACTCTACCATACTCTACTCTACCTGACCCATCGCCCGCCGTGGTTCACTGACTGTCATCGGATTTGGGTTCCACCTCGCCGTCGTCTTGATGAGTGCATCGACGTACGACGCCTCTCTCTCGCGCGAAGCACAGAGGTTTGTAACTACTCTCTTCTCTTCGCTTCTCTTTGTTGCCCTTGCCTTTGCCGTTGCGCTTGCGCCCGCTGCACTCACATCTTCGCCTCTTTTTGACCATTCTCCCTCTCTCTTCCACACTCACTCACTCCCCCACCATCTCGCTTGACGGCATCGCAACTCTTACTCCGTGGTCCAGGCCTCCCAACTGACCATGTTGTCCAACGACAGTGACTTTGACCTGACCATTCGCCAGCAGCCCGACCGGGCGCGCGTGGCTGGGGGCAAGGAGAAAGGTACGCTGTCCCTCTCATCCATTTCTCTCGTCTCTGATCTGCCCGCGGCCGGCGAGCACGTTCCAGTTCCTCCCCTCATCCCATCGCAAAGTGGGGTGGGTTGGGTTGGGTTGGGCTAGGCTCACCCGAGATCTGAATCTGAACTTGGATCGGATCGGATTCTCATTCTCCTCATCCTGATCGTGGACTTCGAGCCAGAGCTCGTGGGCAGACGACTCGAGATTCTTCGTCAAGCTCACTTCTAACCGGCGTGTCTACAGAGCGCAAACCCATCGATCCTCCGCCGATCGTCCAGCTTCGGGTACGACCAGAGGACTCCTACCTAGCACAGTAAGTCGTTTCCATTGCAATCAATGCCTTTCTGATCCCTCCGGCTCTCCCGTCGTGCGCCGACTTGGTGCGTGGGAGCTGTGATTGTGTGCGATTGTGCGTGTGTGGACATTGGTGGCTGATCTCCCCGCGCTCCGCGCTCCAGACACTACCTCCAAAGTCCTTATTATTTTATGACCTGCAGTCTGTACGATGCCTCAGATGATCGTCCAGTGCCCGTCGCTCCATCGACTGCCTTGGCAGGAACGCTGGTCTCGTCCCTTCACCGTCTAAAAGACGTGGACAACAGTGGTAAGTCGTCGCTTCGTTCTCTGCAGTTAGACCAGCGAGCTAATCGTTGCTAGATGGTGGATTCTTCGTCTTCGGAGATCTGTCGGTGAAGATCGAGGGCGACTTTCGTCTCAAGTTTACCCTGTACGAAATGCGCAAGTAAGTAAAGTGATCACGCGAGCGGTCGGGTCGAGTTGAGTCGAGAGTGACAAGACGAGACGAGACTTCAGTGCAGCGCAGAGAATTGAAACTAACCAGACTTCACAGACAAAATGTCGTGACCCTGAAGACCATCATCTCAGACCGATTTAAAGGTAAGAAGAACTCCAGCCGCGAAGATGCTCTACGGTGCTGACGTACCCCCAGTGTCGCCTCCCAAGAACTTCCCAGGGATGATGGAATCGACTTTTCTTTCGCGCTCGTTTGCAGACCAAGGTGTGAAGCTGCGCATTCGCAAAGAGCCGCGTACCATGATGTAAGTCTCACCCATTCCCAAAGCGACCAGAACAGTGGCTCATCATGACCAGGAAACGTTCTGCGCCTCGACCGGACGAGTTCCCACAGGCCCTTCCTCCGCGGTCGCCAGAACGTCAGTCCGTCCAGGGAATCCCCCCAGCGACAAGTTTCAGTGGCTATCCAACGGCGGCGAGATCAGATTATGGCTATTACCAACAACCTCCCGTCAAACGTCACCGCACCTCCATCGACTACGGTCGACAAAGCATCTATGATGACAATCGCATGGCTCGCCAGATGGACGCGTACGGTCAACCTGCACCGATCTACCCCAGCCAACCAGGATCCTACCAAACGCCAACGATGGGGGGCTACTCAGGGAGCCAAGTGATGCCAGATTACGGAATGGTGCGTTTGTTTGCGGCATGCATCTACAACAGCATGAGGCCCCATCTTGCGGAGAGATTTAGCTAACCCACTCCCTAGGTCTCATGGGATGCCGCCATCAGCTCCACTGTCCCAGATGGCCGATCCCTCCGGGCAAGCTCGCACCAGCCAGCAGAACGCAGCCGTGGGACAGTTGATGGCGATGAACCAGCCTGGCACACCTGTACGGCACCCCTCTTCAAATCAGTGAGTTGTAGGGAACAACCCTGGCTAAATTTCTTTTCTTTTGGGTGCGCAAAGTCCCCGGATTCGACAGGAGCGATGATGGCTCAAGCTCAGGGATACCCCCGGTCCGCCTACGCCACGAGTACGAGCTCGACTACCCTCCCCCGCTCCAACGGAATCTCAATCGCAGTTATCCGAGTCTTAACGGGAGTCCGAGGGAATATTACGATCCGGGTACGGCTGGCTCGCCCTCGGGCACTCCGATCCTCCCTTCTCAGATGGGGCCCGAAGGCACCGCGGCCGGCTCTGCGGCCTTCAAATTTGACCATCCGGATTCGGCGAATGGGACACCTCGATGATTCTTGCTGAAGTGGGATTATCTTTGGCTCTGGTGGCTCTGGTGGCCCTGGCCCTGGCTTCCCACTTGCGCTCTCTTTTTATTTCCTCTCTTTGCCTAGATTGACCTCGATGGTCTGGTCCTCTTGACTTTGGCTTTGGCTTTTGCACTGCGGTATGGTATGGATGGGATGGGATCATCCGGTCTGGTTTGGTTTGGTCTGGTACACTATGTTCATTTTTCCTGTCTGTCTGGATAGACCGGGGTGTTAGATATCACGGTTGTTTTTCTGGCTTCTGGTGGGTGGGTGGTCTTCTGTTTTCTGCTATTGTTTACTGGACACTTTTTTCCCTGGCGCTGGTAGAGGGAGGACGGATGGTATTATTCTTTTAAAAGTGCTCTGTTCTTCCTGTGTGTATATACTCTTTTTTCTTCTTCTTCTTCTTCTTCTTCTTCTTCTTCTTCTTCTCTTCTTCCCATTTTAATCAGATGGTTCGCTCCTTCCTTACTTTTCCACCCTCCTCATTAGGCACCTTCCGTGGGTACTCCCACCACCACCACCACCACACTTGAATGTTGACAGTGCATATTGACACTTACTTCTCTTCTGCCTTCTCCCCTCCCTTCTCCCCTCCCTTCCTCCCCATCACCTCCCATCTCCAACATGGATCCTTCATCGCCATACTACATCCCCTTCACCAATCTCGACATCTGGTGTACCTGGAAAGGCACCAACCAAGCAGACGTGGAAGTCCTCATCTCCGTCGATGTAAGTCGAAGTCGAAGTCGAACTCAAGTTGGAGCCAGGCTGGCTGGGCTATCTGCCTATCTGATCTGATCTGACCTGATATCAACCGATTGAATGAACATTGCCGATACTAACCATACCGAACACGCAGGTCTATTGCACGCCCAACACCGAGTTCCTCGTGCTAGATACGCGCACACCCTCGACTTCTTTCGTGAAGGATTTCTCTCTTTCGAAGAAGGGGGATGATAATGAGAATGAAACTGCGCCTGGACCTGAGGTGGTGCTTCGAGATGTGAACGATGTTGAACTTGGTGCTGGGCTGGATGACGTCCCCGCTGTGCATGTTTCTTCTCTCGATGTGAGGCCCGTCACGCCGAACCCAGAATCCATCACCGAGTCTGAGCAAGACTTGCCAGATCTGGCTCCTCTGGGCACACTACTCCTCGATCCACGTACCGGCTCACCACCCTCACCCTCATCCTCACTCCCCGACGCGGAGAGTCCCTCTGCCGTCTCGAATTCGGAGAGTATTATCGTGCAGAATGAGTTGCATCGGGACGGGTTTTTGGGCGATGATATACTTCCTGATCCGTTTCTGGAGGAATTGGAGCTGGATAGTTCGCCTTTTCAGGATAAGATTCAGGACCGCGAGCAGGATCTGGATCTGAATGCGCAGGATTCGGATCAGCTTAGTTCTACTCTCGGGAGCCCGGATCGAAAGACCGGCGGATCACCTCGAGTTCTCGGAACATTTCTTCCACGCAAAAGATCTGCGAAGGCTGCTTCATTGCCTGATTCAGTAACAGACTCGGAGAGAGGGTACAATAGGGGAAAAAAGGTCGTCGCAGCGCCTAGCCTTCCATCGACACCTTCCCCGATCAAGCACTCTCACTCTACCGGTTCCAACTCGAATTCGAACTCAGATCCCCACCCGCGCAGCTTGATTCCTCGTCCTCGTTCCCGTCTCAGTCGTGGCCAGTCTCGTTCTGAGTCGAGCAAGGGCTCGCTGCACTTCTCGCTGCCCTTCTCGCAACCCCTCTCACCATCCCCTCGTTATCGAGAGGGAAGTCTGCGCCTATTCTCGAGGCCGACTTCCGCCGATTCGAGAATGATATCTCGCCGCTGTTCAAAGAGAGCAAAACCAACACAAAGGGAAAGGAAAAGGACGTGGGTCTGGATCGTCGGGTATTGAAGCATAACGATGGAAGTTCCATTATACGCTTGTCCACGCGATTCCCTGTCACACCTTCCAAATCCAGTCATCAGGCTCTCGACGAAGTTTCTCGGACCCAGTCTGATCTGGAGAAGCTTTCCACCGTTGCAACTATTGGGAGTCCGTGTGACTTCACCGGTCTGCCGGGAGATTCGGACGATACAGACAATGCGGACAATGCTTCTTTCAGTGTTAGCCCTGGCCAGTCCGGTGCTGCTGTTCTCGTGCAACCATTGCCCATTTGGATCACGGATAACAATTCCGCGGATGAGGGCGAAAAGGAACCAGAACCACGCCTTACATTCACGGCGGGGAGGTTTCACATAGTCACACCTTCTGGTATGGAACCCGCGGTGTATCAAGTCAAAATCACCCTTTCGGTGCCGCTACAGGACGGTCGACCTGGTTGGCGCGAACTCGTTGTTCCTGGCTTGCCGCGATTGCCGACGGACGAACATGGCTACGTGTACTTTGTCATTCCGCAGAATACCGGCTTGGAATTCCGCACAAGTCATTTGAAACGATACAAGATCGTTGAAGGTTGTCTTATGGGCCAGATGCTCATATCATCTCGGCTAATCCTACCCCTCCGACCCTGCCATTCGAATTTCTTCGGTTATATCAAGGATTTCAACGTCGGTCAAGAAATAGACGAGGATATTTTGTCAGACAACGAATCATTTCGTCTCGTCAGATATCACGCCACCTGTTCGATCAATCTCATCCAAACCGATTTCTGGGCCGAAAGATGTGGCCTCTGGCTATATATCTATGGTGGCCCTCAGGGGGAGTTTTGCTGCTCCCTGCAGAAACCCGGCTATCAAGATATTCATCTCCAGCACCCGGGAAATGGCAATGCAATCGGTGTTTCTCGGGTGGAGATTTTGGCTAGTCGATCGAATCTCGACAAGTTTGCCATCACGTGGGAAGTGAAAATCGCCAAAGGATCGCGAATCAGAATGCCTCGTATCAGATCGAACAAGTATAACGAAGCTGGCATTGAGGAGGAACTCCGTGAGGACGTTATTCAGATACAAGATCTCGAATCCATCAAAGTCGAAGCAATGTACAAGGGCTCCGGAGTTGAATTTCTCCTCACTGGCCCAAAGGAAGAAGTAGAAGTCCTTTCTATCCCTTCTACCACTCTGCAGAGTATCAAATCACGAATCCGCTGGTCAAAGTGGTTGAGTTATATCAATTACGCCTTTGACCCATTCCGCATCTGGTATTCCATAATGATTTTCCGCGAATACTGGACGCGCTATCAAATGGGGGTTCCATATCCCTTTTTCAGAAGACAGTTCCCTGAGGTTTGGTGTGCGGGTGGAGATCCGGATCGTCATTGGCACCTTTTTACTCCCGTTCATCCTGAGGTTAAACGCATTGCTGAGGCTGTGGCTAGAGCAGGTGTTAAGGATGATGAGTATCAAATCTCCTGTGCGCTGGATGGAGATCCGCCTGTTCTGCATGATTGTTCTATTGTTATTTTACCTGGTGTTGATGATCAACCAGAGGGGGTGGGTCACATCTTGGTTGACGTGGAGGAGTCTGTTTCTGAGACGGTGAATGAGAATGAGAATGTCTCGGATATCGAGCCTGTGCCTGAGCCTGTGCCTGAGCCTGTGCCTATGCGTCTCCGGGATAGAATTGATTACTTCCTAGGATGGAAGGGACCGGTCGTGCGCGGGGTCTTTAGTTGCTTGTGATGGTGTGACTGGTAGTTCGAGCTCTTTTCGAACTCTTTGTTTACCTTTAATACAGGAGATACGCCGTATGAATGGGTTGGATCATGGGATTACTTTAACCAATCGAGGGAATAGTTGTTTCTTACATTATTATGGGAATTAAAAGCTTTTATTTTAAGGGTGCTGCTAGTAGCTAAATAACTACTTTATGCTATGTGAGATAATTCCTGCCAGCCATAAGATGAGATGACCTGCTCGATAGAGAATATCAGGTTTCCTTCTTGCACCTGGTTGAACTGGAGATTGCTTAGGTAGACCCTAAACTCATGAACATTCATGTTGATAGCTCTATCGACATGAGACAAGGCTGACCAGGGGATAATTAGTCAAGATGGGAAGAATGAGAGATAAGCTGGCTGGCTGGCTAGTCTCTTTTCATGACTTTGACTTTGACTTTATATCCGTTGGTCCTTTTAGAGAGATTGCAAAAAGGACTCAGACTCAGACTCGACTGAAAGCTGAAACTGGGGTCAGACGATTCATGCTCACGCCTATAACTATCGCGTTTTCTTCAAGTTCTGAGTTCTTTAAATTTGACATTTCCACACTCCGAGTCCTCTTTTAGCCCGAACATGTACCGACCAATGACAAAGTTGCTAGAACAATCTAGCGGTCAGTTGAGTCGATGCGAGGCATCTAATTACAGAGTACGTTCATGCTGGAATCACCTGCATATAGATACATACACCCTCCGGCCAATATATTGGAGTGTATGCATAATTGTGGGCCGTATTTCAGATAGTACTCAGCCGGGATTTCTCCTCACTATAACCCCAGTTATAGTTAGTTATGAGCATTTACTTGTAGTAGCTGCTTGGATACTGTAAAATTGCAACAGCTGCGCTAATACACACTTAAAGGACTCCGAATCCAATCCACTGAACAGACAAGTGTACATATCCTGACCGCTTTTTTGTATCTCTGTGATTAGGTATGTACAGGATGACAGCTGGTTCGCATACTAGACAGCCCTTCTGAGTCTTGCGTCACCCTTTGCTTCGAACTTAGAAAATTCCGGCAGAAGGGTACGAATAAAATCCTCTTTCCTGCTTCGGCTGCTGGCAGCAAAGCATGCACAAAGCGGAAAAATCCCTAAATTTAAAGGAGCGGAGCCAGCGATAAAAAAATACGATCGTCTTTCGAAATGATCGGTGGGTGGGAAAGCTACCTATTCTTTTGGGGTACCTTAAAAAAAGGGCTACAAGTCCCAGTGCGAAGGTACCTCATTATTCCATAACTTATCAATTTTGATCACCTCGCATAAACTTGAAGTTATGCAAAATGACTATCGTTGAGAACAAGACCTCAAATTATACCAATTACGTTCCAATAGCTCTACCAATTCTATATCTTGGTATTGCGAGTCCGAAGCGTTTGAGGGAGGTGTACAAAGCCGCCATGACTCTTGGGTTAATTTTCCAAGCCAGAGACGATTTTCTCGATGTTTATGGTGACCCTCGAATCACGGGGAAGATTGGGACGGATATTCAGGAAAATAAATGCAGCTGGCTCCCTGTAACTCCGCTGGAGTATTCCAATGATGAACAAAAGAAATTACTGGAAACTTGCTATGGGACGGAGAAGAATTCTGATATTGTGAAGGTGAAGGTGAAGGCTTTATTCGATCATTTGGATTTGGCTGAGAAATCTCGTCGTTGGGATGAGAGGGTGATGGGCGAGGCTCGTGCTTTGTTTCAGGGTTCGTCTGATGCGGGCTTGAAGGAGGTTTTCACTTTGTTTCTATCGAAGTACCTCCAAGACCCACGAAGAGGTGTTCCTCGCCCTGCTAAGTTATAGTGTTTTTTGATGTTCAATTCACAGAGATGCTTCGGGGGTTTCATTATTACAAATTCCATTATCGTTCGTTACGCAGTTACCTAGAAGCCTCATTTCTTCTGGCACAAAGGGTTCCATTTAATTCGGAGATAATTGGCATTATGTAGAAGCTCAGTACTATATGCTACACCACAAGGTAACTACGGGGTGGGTATACTTTACAAGCAATCATAATTGATCTATAAAAGCCACTAACTACTAGTACTGTTATGTCCCCCGAGGCTTAGCGGGGTACCCAGGATCATATTTCTTCAACATCGCCGCCAAAACCTCCTCAACAGCCCACCTAAGCACAACATCCATCCTAACAGCCCCCTCCCCAGGCGCAACCCGAACACCAACATCAGTATGACACTTCTCGCCCTCTCCAAAAGCCTGAACCCAATCCCCCTTGGCAGCCGCACGCTCATCAACAGGGATAAGCAACCATTCATGATACTTCAGATACCGCGGCCAAACGATATCATCCACATATCCCGGCGGATCGACCCAGAAATTCTGCGGCGCATCCGTCATCGCGGTGTCGAGATCGATTTCTGGTTTCGAACTGGGAGTCGGTGTCGAGCCCGAGCCCAATCCCGCTGAAGAAATACTCGAAGAAACCACATTCCCGGTCCGGGCGGTGGTTGATCCCCACCAATAGTAACATATCCATCCCGTCCTTCCCTTCTAGCTTTAACATTCGTATAAGACGCCGGCAAGAAAAGCGATAAATTAATACTCTCATGAATAGATTGAGAAGGGTGCTCCTCGCCCCAAATACTAGGTCGATCCTTTGGCGGTGCAAAAAGGAGAAAACCCTCGAGAAACGCAATGGATTGTCTCATTTTGTAAGAAGCCGGGACGGAAGATAATCGTTTCTCGACGTGTTGGCGAAGTTCCGCGATCAGGGTTTCTGGGACTCCGGTGGGCCCGGACGCGTTTTGGTCTTCTTTGCTGGCGATGCTGTTGGGGAGTCGGCCGTTCATGCGTGCGTAGGAGAGGGCCATTGAGAGCCAATCTGTGTCTATTGCGGTGGGGGTGTCCCAGTCTTGGATTTTGGTTCCGGATGGGAGGGTTACGTAGGGGATTCTGGGGTTGTTAGAGGGGTATTTGTAAGGGATCAGGAATACGCACTTATTATCCGGTTTGTAGAAGTCATCTTCGTGGATCATAAAGGTGTGTAGTTGGTCATACTGGGGCGCGCCTTCAATGTGAACTTTGGCACCGCTGAAGATTCGGTGGAGGAGGCGGGCTAGGGTTGTTTTGCCGCTGGAGGAGGGGCCGGATATACCGACCATGTAGGCTATGGGGTCGGGTAAGTCGTAGGCCATGATTGGATATGCCGTTGGGTAGTAGGAATTGCAGGGGAGTTGAGGGGAAGCTGAAGATTTTGGCCGATCTCACCTTGAGGTATGCGGGGCAGGGGCTTATCGCTTATCTTTGACCCTGCGACCCCCGCAGTCCCATAGTTAGTTAGTTTATAAGGTATCTTACAAGGTAAACTAATGCCCTATAAGGCATAATTGGAGATAGGTTCATTTAGGACATATTCAATTTAATCACCTTCTATTTCTATCCGAGTTTATTCTTGTTCCGTGTCCATTTCACTTTCAATCCGACGAATGACTCGTGCTGGGTTCCCCGCAACAAAATGGAACGGAGGTACGTCCTGAGGGTTATATGAACCATCGGTCAGCTTCAGTTCGATTCCATTAATAAGAGAGATGACAATTCCACTTACCTTAGTAACCACAGATCCCGCTCCAACAGTACTTCCCCTCCCAATACGAACACCAGCCAAGATAAGAGCACTCCCACCAATCCAAACATCATCCTCGATATGAACTTCTTTACCCCCCTCAGGCCCTTTCAGTCCTCGTCGTACAGCAGGATCCATCGGGTGAGTTGCGCCATAGATACAAACATTCGGTCCGAAGAGCACATTCTCTCCAATGCTGATCAGGCATGTATCAAGCACGAGAAGATTGAAGTTAAGAAATGTACCCTTGCCGACCTTGAAATTTAATCCGTGGTCCACGGAGATCGGTCCGTCCACGAATGGATCTGTTTCTTCAAATAGAGCCTCGTCTTCCTTGGGGTCGGGGTGGACTGGAGGCATGGGTCGAGTATCCATGAGAATGCTGAACGGGGAAAAAGAACAGGGTAAATATTAGCCAAGCTGTGACTCCATCGCACATAACGTCAAACTTACTTCCGCCATAATTCTACTTTGCGTCGCCGAGAAACAGCCCCAGCGGCATTGAACTCATCACAAGCTTTCTTGCATCGAGTGCGATTTGCTTGTAGATCTTCGTCCCAGGCCCAGTAGAGCTCACCGCGGACCATTTTTTGCCACTCTTTGGATTGCGCCATGCTGTCTTGTCTATTTTATGCGGAGTGGGAGAGAAAAGGACGTCGGTGCTGAAGTGAAAAATTAAATTGAGCTAGGATTCACAGGGAGAGCAGCGAATCTATCCTCTTTATATCCTCGTGGTCCCCCCACGCGATGAGGAGCCGTTCCTTGTGGCAATGGCGACCCGATATTCACCTGCGCTGCCAACTACCTAATCGGGCAAGTCGGCCAGCAGCTTCCCAAGATTGTGCAGGATATATTAAATGGCATCGCTGATTGGCTGGTATTGGTTTTCCCAGTATCCATGTTTTGAAACACCGCTATGGAAATTTGTAGCTGGGTATACATTTTTGGGGAAATGGTCCATGGTGGGGGAGTATGCACTTAGGCAGGGCCCGATCTTGATCAAAGCCAGTGCATTTAATTTCCACGCTTGTTCAATTTGACAAAGTTTCAAAGTTTGAGGTTCGTAATATGTAAGGAGTTAAAGCTTGATTAGAGCTAATTCTCAATCTACTTCGGATTGAATCAAAGATAGGGCCCAAGCCTTTGCTTGGGGCTCAATAGATATATTCATAATTCTGATTTTGGTTCGTTATCATTAGGAAACCCGCGCACCATTTGTGAAATGGAACACTTTTAGAAGGGTTTGCCTGCTTCTCCACAGCAGAGGGAGATCAGTCGCGATGTCCTGGCAGCGTTATTTAACCGACTCGGCGATTCTGACCAGCCCATCCTCTCCCCTCATATCACTTTGCAAAACATGGCTCGCTGCATTAGACTTTCCGCCCGCTCCTCGGAGTTCCTCTTGCGACGCCTCATCTATCTTCTGAGAAAAAAGGTCGACTGAGGTGATCGCGAACTTCCGGGCGCCCACTTTCCGTTCAAACAAGATGTCCAGCTCAGCATACGTTCTATACCTTGTTTCAGGCAGTCGGAAGAATGCCCAGACGAAGGAAAGTAGGCAAAGACCGCCCCAGAAAAAGCCTGCTTTCGCTTGCCAGTTCCATGCCGTCGGGTTAATCATGTAGGGTGTTAGAACGCCGTTGATGATTTTGAAAATATTATAGACATTCCAGGCTAAGCTGGTTGTCTTAGCGCGGAGTCGGACAGATGACATCTCGGAAATGATCGAGTAGCAAAGAGGCCCGACGCTCGACTGGTAGACGAGCGAAAAGGCGATAAGAAGGGCTCCCGTCGCCCAGGACATATTTTTATTCCCACGATCGACAACGCCAGTTATACCGATGCCGATCAGGAAAATGAATTGCAGAAAGAGTCCCGAGAGGTATTGTTGTCTGCGGCCAAAACGTGCCATGATTAACCAGGCGAAGACGATTCCGACGATTCCGACCGCGTATTGGGCCATGGTGAGATCAAATGCGTTTGATGGGTCCATGCCGGCCTGCTCAAAGAAGTATGTTGAGTTTCCCATCAGCGTTGTCCCGGATATTATCGAGGTAATTGAAGTGAAGCAGCAGATCTCTGTTCGGCGAAGATTATGGCCTTTGAAACAGTCGATATAGCTTGCACCTTTGACCACTTTTTGCTCGAGTTGATTGGTGTAGACCATGACTTCAACGGCAGCGTCTAGATCGACAGCATCATCTGTCTTCCGGGCTGTGAGTGATCGAAGAGCAGACTTGGCCCCTTTCTTATCGCCGCGTCGAATATACCACCACGGGGATTCGGGCGCAAATGCGATTGCCACGATCAGCGGAACTGGCCACATCCACTGTAGAGCGTAAGGGATACGATAAGACCACTGATCAGTCCGGTGAAGCAGTGATCGTAGAACACCGGAGGAAATAAGCTGACCGATGACCCAGCAAAGATTAATGTAAGCTGTAAGATGGCCTCGAAGAGCCACGGGACAAACTTCAGACGCATACGAGACCGGAAGAATCTGGAAAATACCCCAGGAATGCCCATCAAAATCAACCCAACTTGGAGCACCTCGATATTTGGCGCGAAAAATGGGATGAAAATGAAGAGGATTGTCAGGAATAGGGCGCCGATCATGGTTTTTCGGTATCCGAATCTTTCCGCCACGAATCCGTTCAATAGCAGGCCGATTATTTCGCCGACGGATGCTCCGTTGTTAAGGCCGGATTGCCAGGCTGCGGATAATGCGTAAGTTCCATCAGGCTGCAATTTGCCGTATTTCTTCGTCCAGGGCTCGAATGCGAAGAATGAGAATATTAGGAGAAGGTCATATCCTTCCATGATCACCGCTGTTGAGAGAACAATAGACCATGAGACTGCTTTTGAATAAAGTCGGAATGCAGTGGAAATGGACATGTCGTGCTCGCGCTGCGTAGCCTCCCTGATTTGTGCCTGTGAATAGGCAACGGTCGGCTGATCACCGGAATTGTTTTGGGCCGAGGGCTCAATTGGAGCCAAGATTGGAGACACATTTGGACTCACGTCGCCCATTATGGCGACACGGTATATTACTGGTGGTGCAGAGGGTTGAAGGGTAGAAAGGGAAGAGAAGAGGAGAGAGAGGCGGAAGGTAGGTATATTAAATGCCGAGGTATTTGTACCACCTCAACTTGAAATGCACCGCAAGTGTCCCATGTGGGGATTCGGAAAAGTGCAAAAGGCGCGAAAAGTACAGAAGGGAGATGAATAAAGCCTAGAATTACATTCTTGCAACCCCTCAAGCTGGAAGAATGTTCGAGATAAGAACTGAGTCATTCACTAGTCAGCTAGTTTGTTTGCTAGCGGGAGTTTGTCACGGAAATGCCCCTAGGATCACGTGCCTATTCCAATAGTCTATATATAATAATTATTATTTAAGACTTTCATTAAAAAAACAGTTATTTTTTAATAACAGTTATATATCTATTATCTAATAGTAACCCCCCCCACATTGGGAAGGAAAGGCCAATACCACAGGAGCGCCTGACCTGTGCTTTAAGATCCTCTGATGCAGATATAAGCATCTTATCAAAAAACCCATCAAACTCAGCTCGGATCCCGGCTTGCTTGAACATCTTCATGGCACTATCCTTCAGTTCCTTACTACTACCTGGTATCTCGACCAATAGATTGATGAGCTTCATGGTCCAGATAAGATATTCCTGGGACTCTTCTCTCGTGTTCCGCGGAGTAATCTTTCCTTCCGTAGGTAGAAAGCTCAGACCAAATAAGACGTTTGAGATCCAAAGGTTGCATCGACGAGTTTTCGAACTGGGCTCGATCTGCAGCATGGCTTTTAGGAGAACTACATGTGCCTTTTCTTCTGAGTTATTCTCGTAAGTTCCGGGATGCAATATACTGATAAGTGCTTGGGTTGCGTATTGGCGAGCGGAAATATCGTAGGCGATGAGACCATTGATAAGTGTGAATATCATAGGGTGATCCGGAGCTTTTAGCGCTTCATTGACGCCTTCTGGATGCTGTACGAGAGTCCATAGGCAACGGGCAACTTCGCTTTCATGTTGCATGTCTTCAGGACTCAAGATGACAGTTGTGATACATGTGGATGGACTCGACCATGTATTGATACGATTTATCTTGTCGAATGCATTGGCTAGCGCAATATGGCCTTGTAATTCGATGAATCTTTTCGCCGACCTAGTCGAAAATTTAGTACATCTTGGTTCAGTATGTCAGTTGTTTGTTCAGTTGTTCTTACTCGCTAATACTCAAAGGAGACCGTAGGTCTCTCAATTGATTTGTAGTAATGGAATCGTTCTTCAGATCATTGACGTATGAGTCTAAACCACCCTTGAAAGTCTGGCTGAGAGGGGCATTTTCAAGGCTCTTTGTTGAATCGATTAGCAAGCCTGCTTCTTGCTGCCATGTGTTATCCTTCTTCCTCGATTGGAAATCCGAAACAGGCTCAGCCCCTCCAAAACACTCAGAGATCTCGATTGGGTGATTCAACTCCATGTTGCTTCTGGGCTGTGAGTGCGACAGCCAGCCTTCCACCGAGGCAGTAAGTGGAGGTTGGGACGGATGCGGCTGGCTTGAGGCCTGTTGGGCAGTGGTATCTGCATTTGATCCCCTTGAGTTATTACCTTTTTCATCCTCAACCCTGTGTTTCACATAGGGGGCCCATGTCTTGGTAGTGCCTTCGTCAGGTTCTCCTTCGGCTTGGTTCCGCTTTGGAGGTATATCCAGGCTATCTGATTTACCGCGGAATGCGGAGGAAATGGTCAAAGCATCCAAAGCGAAGGTATTGGGGTCGGAGTTGGAAAAGTCATCATTCAACCAGCCATGTCCAATTGCTTCTATTGCCGATGGTCTCGCTAAAGCAGCTGGGGCCATGGTACCCCCCAGGAACTCATAGCAGAGCTTGCTGACTTCAGGCGTAGATGGAAAGTTGAGCTTTGCTCCTCTATCAACATATTTTACAAGGTCGGAGACCTTAGAAATGGATATGTGTGAAAAAGGAGATAGAATCCTGTGGCTCCGACAGACCATAGGTCGACTTTTTCAGTGTAGTTGTATCTAGAATCTTCCCTCGTTCCAGGAGGATAGATATCTTGGATCTCTGGTGCACAGAAAAAACGAGTTCCAACGGTAGTACGCAGGCTGCTGTCCATTTTCACCCGCTTGGTGATTCCAAAATCTCCAATCTTGACTTCCCAGTTTGGCCCGGGGCTGGCTATGAAGATATTCTGCCCAGTCAGTTGTGTGTGCGTTGGGAGCTGTCTACACACTTACCGCAGGTTTGATGTCTCTGTGAACAAATTTGGTCTGGTGAAGTAGCTCGATTCCTTGCGTAATCTGGGAAATAATAATTTTCACTTCGGATTCTGGAAGTGGCCGACCGAGTTGCTCTGTGTATGTGTCGAGATCGCCATTCTCGAGGTACTCCATCACAATGAACACACAATCATAATTGGCATACCACCCATGGCATTTGACGAAAAACTCTTCGTACTGTCAAATGTTAATACGGTCATGAATCCTCTCAGACCATGCAACTTGACTCCACATACCTTTCCCAGAGAGAACTTGAGAATAGCATCCAGCTCTTTTCTAAAGTCTACACCGCCAGTCAACCGAGAGTCCTTCATAATTCTCTTCACAGCCTGCACTTTAGCTTGACCGTTCCGCTTTTGGTGCGTAAAAAGTGAGACTAAGCCATAACTTCCCTTCCCAATGATCTTCCCCTCTGTCCAGACCTCCCTTCCCCGCCTGACGATGGATCTTTTGTGGGTTCCCGATTCATCAGTGAAGGTTTCAACCTGAATGTCAACTTTGATCTGACTATCATTGATCAGCTCCGACAGCCTCGTCTGAGTCGTCTCCATGTTGAACTTGGTTCACAGACCAAGACTGTCACGACGAAACAGAGAAGGTTGTTGGGATTGATGCGAAGTGGCCCCCTTGGCACTAGCCCCGCCACCAGCTGAGCCTCGTCTCATGCCTGCCAATCAGATTCAATCTGCACGCGCTCTCACATATCAATGTGTTTGGAGAATGTAAGGCGTCAAACATTTAGCATTTGAAGGGGGTACGACTTGAAATCTAGAAGACTGGGGGTGCACACGGGTCTGTATACGAGCTCTTGCTCTAGTCCTTTTGCAACTACGGAAGCTGTTTCCAGCGCTGACGCGCTGACGCGCCACCGACCCCAGTCGGATTAGTCAGTTGAAGGCTGCGCCGATGAGAAAATAAGAGGTCGAGATCAAGCCATCAAAAATGTACAGAGTGGATGAAAAGTGGAGTTGATTGGAAATAGACTGTTGACAATCAAAATGGGGAGATCAGAGTGTTAAATTCTATTGATGTTGGATCAAGGGATGTGGATCCAATCAAGATCAAACTCCCCACTTGGATGCTGTACGATGGTTTCGCTTGATCCGCACACAAAACCTGCGTGTGTCTCGAAAATATGTGTGTTTTCGAATACTCTCCTCCATACAGTTTGTCCCCGACTGGTGCGACCACCTGCACCCTTTGATTAATTCTCTAGCCACAACGCCAAGACACACTACTAGTAACTAGTAGTCTGTATTGGGGGGTTTCTCGTGGACCCCTGTCGGTTTGGATGTATATTGCTTCTTCCTGTAGATTACATTTTCGTACTTTCAAGTATTTAGCCACTTGTGAACTCAATACCTCCAACACCTCCATGTCCCACTCTCGAAAACAACCTTTTCGGAGGGGTAGCTTACCATCAATCACGAGTGGTTGAACCAAGAAAGCCCCAAACCTAACCTCTTCAAAGCATGAACTTATCTATAACACGATCCACCGTGGAGTACTATCTATATCGGAGATGGCACAGGCTGCTGGCTACAACAGGAGAACAATCCTGAGAATCTCTTCCAATATACGGATGTTTGGCACCGTCAAAGCACCGATTAATAGTGGCGGGCGACCCCGTAGCATCCCCCCGGAGATGCTCACGGCTTTATGCGATATCCTGCTCAAAAACCCCACCTTTTTCCTCGACGAGATGGCAATTCTTCTGTGGGATATAGGATTTTCTCGACTATGAAGACGTTTACCGATAACTTTTATCGGAACAAGGATATAGACTAGTATGCATTCATGATAAATGAGGTCAACGGTGACCAATTCAGGATGAAAGATTGATTGATTGGAGATAAATATGGAATTACTCGGTGTTTACAGCACCGGAATTGCAAATCTGACCAATTCATCACATAAAACACAAAGAAATGCGGTCTCTTGTGTGACCAATCAGTTGCTAGCGGTAAGTTACCGCTCCATGCTTTGACAAATCATCTGGGTGGAAGGGATGTTGATGAACCTTGGAAGGTGCGGTTGAGTCACACGAATTACGCGGGATATAAAGGTTCTCTCTCGACCATCTCGATTGGATGGTAGGGATTTGGAGGGGAGAAGATGAGCTGTAATTTTCGTTGCACCCGTCGCCACATATTGGATGAGGGCATTCCTGGTCTCCAGAGTCTCTTAGCATGTCCGATCAACTCACCAATAGCTCCCATTATAGTGCCCGCGATACCCAAGTGTAGGTTACCCGTGTCCGTCCCCAGCTGTATCAGTAGCCTGCGCGTAGTCTGGAGACTTTTCTGAGCGACCTCTGATAAATTCTCCATTGCCTCTGCGTCCTTCTGTACTTGAGACTTGAGGTTCCTGAACTCTTCTCGAACGACCGGATCCTGACTCAAAAGCAAATCGTCGTGTTGCCTCATGATTCGATCAAGATCTTGCAGGTGTACCTTCAAGGTCTTTTGCAAGTCCTTCAGATCCTGCAACTCCTTTCGCGCGTCCTCCATATCATCGGGGTGTATATTCTGCATCTTGCGAAGCTTCGCTACCATAAGCTCTTCTAGTAATGCATGCCGCTCCATCAAGCTGTCACGGTTGTGCCTCAACCTCTCTACCTCGCTGCCAGAAAACGCATTTGGGTTGCTGACCGCACCTAATATATAGCGATCTAAAGTATCCCCAGCGATGGTCATGGGGAATTGAGCAATAATCTGTGGCGAAACAGACAAAAGTAACTCCCTGGCACAAACTGCCGCTGCCAGAGCGGCATATGGATGCCAGTCGTCATTCTTATGCCCATCCGCGTAATCTGAAATCCCTCGGATGGGAAGACAGGGAGTTATATCCATTACTCCTGTGGCTTCCATCTCAAAACAGAGGATTTTGTTTTTTGTGGCGATATAATCACGGTGTAGAGCATTTTTCATGACATGGTTGTCGGACCCAATGGTACCTCGGTGAACTTGAACCGGATGTACTTCGCGGTCTTTCCGTGGATATAGGTTGACCCTCTGCTGCGATTCAGGCTGTAGGCAATCGCATACTTGTCCTTGATGGATATAGCTAGCTTTATAAAATCGATCCCTCGTAGGACGGAGGAATGCAGTTTGCCCTCTATCGGTTTTTTCACGAATCTGCTCAATAGATTCTGACAGACTAACTTTCTGCCACCAAATCCGCTCATCCATGAATGTGATAAGCTCTAAGAGCTCCCTCGGGGTAGTCTTTGTTATGCCAGTCTGTTCAAAGCCATGGTCGGTTTTTTTGCCATGAGAATAGGGAAAGACCTTGGTTCCGAGTACCACATCGCCGAGGCGGATGTCATGCTTATCGGAAGGTGCTGCGCCTGCGATTCCAACAAGAAGCACACATCGTATTCTTGGAAAAGTGCTTCTCATGTTGATGGAGATTGTTTGTGCATGGCCCGTTCCATACGTATCAGCTGGCGGGAGATTTATCATCAAGTTGTGCATCCCAACCCGCCCGAGAACATAGTGATTTCTATCTCCTTGGGCGCGAACCAGGCCGGCGGTATCGTATTTTTCGTCCAGAATGCTCACGGCCGCGCGGAACTCATCTTTGAGAACACATATCCAGCCGATCGTAAATTCCGTGTGCGGAGGAGGGACTCTGAGCGCGGGCGATGGTGTGGTGTCATTAGAAATGTCTGGGAGAGAGGCCATAAGGAAGAGATAGATGTTTGATTGAGGAATAAGCCCCTTTACAGTGACTAGGTTTAGTTGACAAGCACGACTGTCGCGAAGTTGCAAATTTCCTCCTCTGTTCAGGGTAGAGTAGTTGAGGACAGGAAATGCTTTTGACAGATGAATAACTTGACTCGCGTTCTTTATACTCCTCCAAATTGCCGTACAAACTGGGGGCTAGGAGACACTGGTGCCTGACAGTCCTGTGGGATTGCCCGGCATTCTTCCCCCCGGACGCAAGGTTTTATGTTGGTATGGATTCTAATTGGCCTGTAGGCAGTACGTACAGCAAGTGAGGGTGAGACTAAAGTTTCCCATCGAGCTGCGACGACCCAGGGGTATAGTTGCCCCGTTGAAATGGGCCCTGCGGAATGTTTGACGCTTCCCGCTGCATATATTGGCACATCATTACCACTTAAAGACTGAAAGAGGGACTGTATGGACGGACTACTCGTACTCCGTAGGGACTGGGCGAACCTAATCAGCCCGAGCTCCTGCACGAACAAGGGATACACGCGGCTGAGCAGGACCCCAACAGGGGGGCAAAACGGAGAACAATGCAAACCCAGGTGGCCAGACCCGGGCCACATGGTAGAGAGATCGACACCAGAAATGAGACTAATCGTTTGATCTACATATTGCCATAAATAACTGGGGTCGGACACGCCCCCGTATGGCAATCGCTACGTCCGCTTCCAGTGGTCAGCATACACCCATGACGTGTTAGATACACGAGCCTGTCCCCGGGACCCCTTCCTGATGAGCTGCAATCCTGGTAGCTGACGACGGTTGCCCTCCTTGCAGTCCTCTTTGGTCACTGAGCCAACGGCCCGAAATCAAGCCACATTCCCCCGGAGGAAGTGATTCTAAATCATGGAAGAAGTTCTTCGGGCTTTGACAACAGGAAAAATGCACGAGTTGCTAGTACTTTTTGGGATTGGTGAATGCAGTGATGAACCTAACAAGCACCATATCCTTGCTTCTAACCTTTTTAAGCACCTAATCGCTGCTTGGGAGGCATTATCTGCTTTACAAGGCTCCAGGTGGAAATAAATGCACCGCCACTTCTCACACCGAGAAGCAGTCTGATTCCCGAGACCATTGCGAACAAACTCCGTGGATTCTACCGGTCACTGCCGACTCCTGAGAAACGAAGCAGAGTGGGCTAAATGAACACGGGGCTGAATGGGTCATCTACTGTAAAAGGACGACAAAGAAAACCAAGGACAGCGCGAAGAAGAGCTATACCACTAACAAACCTTCCAAAAAGACAACAAAATAGTGACAACCCAAGAAATTGACACATTAGTCTCATGCCTATTGACAAATAAATAGAACAGGCGGCAGTCGGCCAGCTCATGGTTGCAAAAGGACCACTGTATATCGAATTCTGATATACGGAGTTTAGGGCTGGCTGGCTGGGAGATGCTGGCCTATATGTTGCTAAAATAAAAGGCTTCAGGATGATAGCGAGTTCATTGAAGATTCATGCGGCGAGCTCGATACTCTCCAGTGCTCTCCGAATGGGACAACAAAGAACTGGGGAAAAGAGGACAGAGACTGTACTGATCGTCCCAGTCGGTACTATGCGATATATCCCGGTGAGCATAATCAAGAAGGCATTGATGAAGACTCGGATGAGTCCGAGCTCGATAACTAAACTCAATATGAAATTGAAGTCTAGACTCTGTGGCTATTAAACCCCTATTCGGATCGTTGTAAGTACCATATTATCTTAGACGTTTCCGCCGTTTCCTCGTGCTGTTAATGCGGGTTAGTGGATAGATAATTGGTGTTTTGCTGGATGTCGCAACACCAGGGGTCTACTGGTGGCAACAGACAGTCTGTCAAAGGCTCTTCATGTCTCTGTCTACATATAGAAGTTGTCCCATTCAACATACTGCTTACGGATGCCTGAAGTGAATTACTACTACATAGTATATTGTATATGAGAGCAAAGCAGGACAGAAACTATGGTGCAATTGACAGAATTCATACCATTCCATCATCAATTTCATTCGTTATGTACATTCCTAGTAAATCTCATAGTAATCCTTAATCCAACAGAGCAACGCTTAAAACCAAAGAAAAATCCCATAAGCCCTTGAGTATCGAAGCGGTATATCCAGTACATCAAATCATTGTCCCCGCAGAGATAAGAAAGAAAGCAAAGCGCAATATGAACACCGTTGCATCCCACGTTTAATCGCTGTCGCTCAGACTGTCACGTCGACGGCGGTGGCTTCGCTCCTCGCGACCATCACGGCGATAGCCCTTGGTCAGTCCAGGGATCGGGTGGTGATAGCTCTTAGTACCGGCAGAGTCCTCAGTATCGACATTCGAGTACTGGTACTCCGAGCGGGAACCAGCAGATGAGAAATCCAGCGGCTCAGTAAAGTGACCGGGCATAGAGCGACGGTCCTTTTTGCGGGGGCTGCTGGTGCGAGAAGAAGGCGCAGGAGGGGGAGCAGCACTGCGCTCACGTTCACGATCACGTCGGCGATTCTGGCGGCGCTGAGACGGATCACGGAGTTGGGATTCTTCAGTGGTCTGGCTGAGGACCTCTTCGCTGCCGGCAGTGAAGGAGAAGTCTCGGGGGGCACGGCGAGAGCCGCGGTGAGGGCGACGGGGCTGTTCGTATGCGTAGTCTCGTACCTCACTCATCTCGCTCTGTTGGTAGTTGGTCGGAACGGCAGAGGAGTCGTAGTCGCTGCCATTGTAGGTGCCTTCGGCTTGTCGGTTCATGCCGCCAATACGAGCGGGCTTTTCTTCACGGTATGCGCGAACATCGTCGTCGCCTTCGCCTTCGTATTGCTCATCTTTTTGGCGGCGTCTGAATTTGTCTCGGAAGTTGCGTCTCTTCTTCTTTGGCTTGTCTTCGGTCATTACTGTCGCTGTCTCCGGGTTTGTTGCGGTTTCCGCGTAGGTATCGTAGTCGGCGTAGGAGTATCCATCATCGCTGTAGCCCTTGCCAACGACACTGCCTCCGCCTAGCTTTGTACTCTTTGTGGCGTTACTGAGGGTTTTGCCGTCGGGTCCCTTTCGACGCAATACGGTCGATTTGTAGTCATCCCAGTCTCCTTTGCGCCAAACGAAGCCGCCGTTCTTGGCCCAGAAAAAGAACCAGATGCCGGCGATGACGAAAGCTGCACCGATGATGGCAAACAGGGCCATCAGGCCCTGCATTTTGATACTGCTAGGACTGACTGTGCCTGCCCCGCGGACAGGTGCATCGCCGGCTGTTGTTGTTGTAGATTTGGCGCGTGCGACGAGAGTATTGTAGTTGAGGGAGGGCGTGGGATCGAGAAGAAGGTCTGATGGAGCATCGCGAGTCTCCACCGACATCACTGGAATGTCGGGGATATCCCCGATCGGCAAAACGGGAGCCATGATGAAGGATACGAGCGGTCAAGAGCGCAGGGCTCAAGACGAGACTCTGTGGAATGTTAGATCTGTGACACATTCTTGGAACATGAAAGAGGGCTCACCTTTAACGAATGATCAACACCAAATCAAGATGGAACGAGGGATTCGTTCTGCGGAATGGAAAGATGTGGGAATGCTGGATGTAGGAAGGAAACGGTCTACCTGGGTGGTGGTTAGTAGACGCGAGAAGTTGACGAAGTGGGAAAATACAAAGCCAGAAATCCACCGGCGACAGTCTTTTGGGGATCTAGAAATGGGGAGGTTGGATGGGGCGATCGGGGAGGCTGGGGATTGTTGACATCCACCCGTCGGCCCGACAACGGGGGGGTATATAGTCACGTGATATCCTCGGGCAGTAATACTATTTACAGTACTTTCTTGTTGCTGCCAATAAATCAAATAGAATAACTTGTGAGAAAAGATAATACATGGGTGGGAAGTGGGCAATTAACAACATTCCTAGGAGTCTAAATTGTGGTGGGGTTCACTTAGATAAGGATTTGCCAGCCATCGAATCTTGGAACTATTTCATGATACCCATGTATATCGGAGACTTCCGAGGTCCACTTCTCTACAATTTGCTAAGTTGAACGTAGCACCTCCATAGAAATTAGGTCTATCGAAGCTCCGCCTCACAACTGGAATTCCTACCTTGGCGGTCTGGCGTATCTGGAACAAGCAATCCCCTCTTATCATTTCCGTTTCTCATACGAGGAATGATAAAGCCTGTGGCAAGGAAAAGGCCCACAACGCAGTATTCCATGACGAGACCCATAAAGAGGAACGGCACGATTCGACCGGTCAGATTGGCCCACCGTGGATCCAATGGATAGAAAACAGAGAGGAAGAGGTAACAGATACGGACAGTTATGAAAGGGGTCGCGAGGGTGGAGGTCTTGAGGATCTGAAAGAAAAAAAAACAGGTTTGGTCAGCTTGTCCGCAATTTGATATCGATCGGGAAGAGTATAACTTACTGTTTGACTTGGGTTGGAAAGCCACGAATAGCGAGTCCACAACGAGACTTCGATGGCCAATAGACAAGCCACGAAAAGTACAACAAGGCTGTAGCCAGCCTTGACAAGTTTGACTCCAATCTCCACATCACTCAGAGTGTCGCTTCCTTCTAGGACCCCGCCGGCAATTGTGAGACCGAGAGCAATGAAGAAGAGCATCCGAGATAGGACTAAATGGCGATTGATTCGTGAATTCATATCCTCACGGGCCATACTCCAGGATGTTAGAACAAAGAAGGTGGTAATAAAATTGAGAATGAAAGGATTTGCGACTTACATGAGTCGGATGAGACCAAGAGTTGCTGCAATCAAAGGAAACACGCCAGTATTGAGAAAGATGCTGGCGGCGACCATTAGTCCGGTCTTCGGGATTTGACCCCAAAGAATGACCAGAATGCCACCGGTAATTCGAACTAAAGATAGATTAGACTTGGATTCATTATGGGTAGTTTCACTACTGAAGAATAGATCACGCACTAATAGAGAAAAATATCAAGATGAGCCATGCTATGCGTGGTCGGTTGTGTCGATAAAACGCGAGATAAATGGCCAGGATGGTAACCGGTATGTAGAAAATAACTTGGGCAATGCCCAATTTAGAATGAGCGTCGAACATGAGTGCAGAATGTAGAGGTTCGATACTGTGGATGAAGGTTGTTCTTATTAGCAGTTGTAGAGCTCTTGGTATATGATATGAAGGGCGTAATAGGCGGTAGTCAAGTGCGGATTGACCTGGGGAAAATTGTAATCAATTAAAAAAAAAGTAGAGGCTTTCAAAAAGACTCCTTGGCCTTTTATAAGGCTGATTGTCAACAGAATAAGAACTAAAAAGTAGAAAATAAGAAAAAGTGGAGTGGTTTGGCGGAGTTCGCAAGATCACCACCCTTTTTGGGTTTAGCGCAAGATCTCGCCTCAGCCTCAATCCACTTCATCTTTCCACGCCGAGGACGATGACCATGCAACTCGACAACAAATCCCAATTTTGCTTGGGAGTAGCGCATTTCGGAGGGACTCCCGACCTAAATTACGACCAGAGGTGGGGTTTGGGGATGCATTGCCACAAAAGGCAGGGTTCAAATAGCACCGCAATCTGCAACGATTGACCAAGACCACTATGGTGGGGGTAGCTGGCAAGTCTAGAGGCTGCAATACGTGTCGAAAAAGAAAGATAGCCGTCTGTGAACCCGCAATATTAGATTTGAATACTATTTTCTGACCCAGCCGCTCAGTGTGACCAGCAAAAGCCCGTTTGCACACAATGCACGCGCTCAAAGCGGGTATGTGCCGGCTACGAAAGAGACAGAGTCTTCGTCTTAGTCGCGCCAGCTAGTGAAAAGACCCACACTTTTATTCGACCAGAGTCATCGCCTTCTAGTTTAGTGTCACCGGAGGATGGTTTTCAAAGCCACGATATGACGGTCCTTTCTCGCGCTTCGCCGTCTTCTTCATCCCCATCGGTAATGCTTGACGTCCAGGAGCCGACTGGTCCACTACCCGAGACAAGCGCTGCATTTGCTATGATACAGGGCCACGCAAATCATCATAATCTGATCCAGGCGTTTCTTTCCAAATGTTTCCCCAGTGGATGGGCATCTCGGGTAAACTGCTCATGGCTACCGCTGCTTAGTGAGCTACCAACTACGATGAAGTCTGACCCACTAGAGCTATCAAGTATCGCACTTGCGGCTTCGGTTATAGGACGCGAGCATCAGGATTTCTCTCTGATAAGTTTGGGCCTAAAGTGTTACACCCAAGGACTCAGTCAGATGCGCAAGGCTTTGCGTCACCCTATTCTCATGAAAGAAGATTCAACTCTGGCTGCTTGCATGGCACTTAATCTCTACGAGACTCTTGAATGTCCCAGTAAAGGATCCGGCGGATACTTCAGCCACTGTCATGGTCTTTTAGCATTGATTCAAGCTCGTGGCGTTGAGCAACATTCGTCGGGCGCGGGACACCGTTTATTTTTGGGTATCAGAGTGCCAGGGGTGAGTGAAAGATATTAAGAGACTGCCCCTCTTGAATGGAGAATGCTGATGCCTATCACAGATTCTGTATGTTTTAAGCCAAAGCGCGTCTACCATCCTATTAGACCCGTTATGGATGGAGGGACCTTGGAAAGAATTACCAAAGACCCATCTCGATCGAGTTACGGACTGTCTTGTTGCAGCTCCCGGAATCTTAGAACGCGTGCCATTATTGAGATACCTGAACCCGCATCAACAAGCCGAATTGATCCTCGAACTTGTAGACGAATGTTGGCAGGTTGATAAGAAACTGGATAAATTTGACATCGAAATACGAATTGCCAATTTATCCCCGCTTTATACAACGGTGTCATCTCGGATCAATCCATTGGCTGATCAAGATGGCTGTATAAGCATGTTCCCGCTTGCCTTTTGCTTTTCGGAGCCTGTAATTGCCTCGGCACTTACGCTGCTATGGGCAACACGTTCGATGCTTTGGTCAGGGCTTGGCAGCCTCTACAAGCACTATGAACTGCTCAAGGGGTATTATTCTTTGAACCCCGAACTATTAGCCGAACATACGTCTATTTGCGAGCATCCCGGATCAATGATATGCCTTCCAGTGTTGGAACACCGGGAGGACTATGTTTCCATGGCACACAATGTTTGCCAATCCATCGAATATTTCCTGCAAGACGAAATGGGAATGATCGGGGCATTATCGGTTACTCCAGCAATTGGCCTTGTGATCGATGCCCTCAAGAATTGGCCAAATCATTCAGAAGAAATCCAATGGCTACATGCATCCCTGGGCTTGATTGGAAGCAAAGGTGCTCGCGTGCTTGACTATTACAAACCGCAAAACAGCGCACCGAATATATGAGAACACAATATCAAATGGAACGAAGCAATAGAGAAAAACATCCCAATCATGCTCAAAAAAAGCAGAAAACATTTGGCATCCAACCTTCAAAACAACCTTATCTATCCGAAACCGCCACATCTCAAAAACAAAAAAAAAAAAAAAAACAAATCAATACCTCGCAAGCAAAAGAAGCCTCCTCTCCCGATCCCCAATCCTCCTCAAAAACCCGGCCTCCCCCCCTCTTAACAGCCAAATAAGAAGAAACCATCCCCTGCCCAAGAAGATACTGGATCCGTCCATCCTCCTCAAGCGCATCAAGACTAGCATCAAGATGATCCGGCAACGCATCCTTCAACCCAATCATACACCGCTCATCAGCCGATAACTGAGCCGCAGCCCTCACACAAGGTCCACCCGTCAATGCCAACCCTGCGCGTAAACCGATGATGCCCGCGCTCAGCAGCGCGCAGAGAACGAGGTAGGGGTTTGCGAATCCGTCTACGAGTTTAATTTCGAATCGATTGTTTTCTATCCGTCGGAGGGCGACTTCTTTATTCTCCCATCCCCATGCGGCGTACTCGCCTCCGCTCCATGTTCCCGATGCAATGCGTGAATAGCTCATGTCGTTGGGTAGAGCGAATGCTAGAATTGCGGGGAAGTGGTGTAATATGCCCGCGAAGAAGGACTCTGCTTTTTGGGTCTGGGTCTGGGTCTGGGTCTGGGAGGAGTCGTGGTTTTGGTTTTGGTTTTGGTGTCGGTTTGCGTTGACGTTGGCGTTTGCGTTTGTTGTCGCCTCGTTCATCGCGTTGAGAGACATGTGGATGTGGGCTCCGTTTGCGGGTTGTTGGGGGAATGGTTGAGTTGCGACTGTGGCGCGGTATCCGAATGACTGCGCGACTAACGTGATTGTTTCGCGGGCACGAAGGAGAATTTCAATTGATGTTACCGGTTCGAAAGGTGGGAGGACGAATTCCCACTGTCCTGGCCCGGCTTCAGCGTGAAACTGTTCCAGTTCGATATCAACTGATTTCAAGGCTCGAGCAACGGCCTCAATTAACTCTATATGGGGTCTGTCTTCGGGGGCCATTCCCGTGAACGAATGTTGGAAGGGTGTGTTGAGCGGTTCGTAGTCCGCGATTTGATTTCCTTCGTACTTTGGCTTTAGGAATGTGACTTCTACCTCGAAGCCGATGAGGATACTGCAGTCATTCTCGTATTGGAGAGTTTGGTGCAGTTCTTGGAGTCTTGATCGTGCGCATTCGGGTAGTGGTTCGCCCTTGGAGTCCACGCTGTATACGTTTACTACGGCGCGGGTGCCGCTTGAGCCGTATTGACAGTATGCTGTGCTGAAGTCTGGGCGGAGGTGGAATTTACCGCTTGGACTTGCGCCTTCGGCTAGACGGTCACCTGGGAGGAGATGTAAGACTGCTCTGGTCAGGGCGAGCCATTGGTCTTCTTGGAGCATTTTCTTGAATTTGGCGATGGGGACGATTCGCACGAGTGTGTTTGACGTGTATGACATGAATTGTAGCCAGATAAACTCGACATTGGGATGGTTGTATAGAAATGATTGGAATGAAATCCTTGGATCTGGCATGAGAGGGTACATCTTTGCTGTCTTGAATCGATGAATATTGATAAGAACAAGTTGAAGGTGGGGGAGAAGATGAAGAATGGCGTGGAGGGGCAAGGCCGAGGTTTTTTTCTGTCAGGGGCGGGCCGAAGTTTCTAACAGGGCTGCATGCACGAAGAGTTGATAGCTGAGAATTCTCTGACTGTGGTAAAGATTTGTTAGATCAGTCGGAATTGTAAAGCAAAGTTGCTGGCCGAGTGGATGAAGTGCCACGTTTCAACTAAATACTAGTCATCTTTAGCTTCCTGCAACTCCGCCCCATTCCCCCTCTTACCATCTCAAACCGAGAGGGAAACTCAGTGATGCGACCCTGTAGAGTTTGGATGCTTGTTTCTGATCATAGATTAAACGACATAGCCTCATCAACTTACGTAGGTCCTGGTAACAGAGCGGGGGTGGATCCAATACCAATGACCCGCCCGTATGAACGAACGCTTTGCCTTTATCCAATCGGCTTCGGTAGATCTGACTCGGGCGGCGCCAGATCTTACACTTGAGTGTCGATCAAGCAGAAATTTGAGATGCTGATCACCTTCGTCGCAAATGTCGAGATGTTGGGGATGTCAATTCACACATCTAGGACTCTGGACCTCATGGTCCATTTGACTGTAGCTGCGAGTTCGACGCCATTCGTCACGGTCCGAACATCTCGATTACTATATTAGGAATGGCGCAGACGAGGAAATCCCGCAATCATTACAACCTTGACAAGTTTGGATACGCGGAAAAAAGACCTTCAAGCTGAAGTGGTGAGATAGCTTGATTGGAGAGCCAAAACAAAATTGTCCGCCTCTGCGAGGGCTCAGATAGGAATTGGAGTTCACAAGTCAGGTTTGCTGACCTTCTATAAGTGGACTGGCTACATTCATACCGACTAAACTTGAGAGATAGATGGTCGAAAAATTGAATACGTTGTCATACAAATTAACCCTACGAAGCACAAGCACAAGCACACTCATACAAAATCGATACGGCCGGAAGCCCGTAGAGAAAAAAAGGAAGAAGAAGAGGATAACCTGGTGTTGAGACATGACAAGTAAAAGGCGTAGACATAAGACATGGGTATATTCTCTCCCCTCCAACACGGACGCAGACCAGTAACGTAACGGAACCACGAAAAAAAGAAGGGCTCAGACCCAATCCCAAAGTGATGAAAGGGTGCAAAAGAGCCCGACACAGCAGCTCCATAACAAAACATGGGGAGGTATAGGCGGGAAAGAAAAGGGAGATGAGACATGAGATCAGCATAAACATGGACATGAAACGGAATGAAGCATGAAACATGAAACATAGATGAAGCGAGCTATACACGCTAGTAGATGATTGCAGACATGAGGATATGAAAAAAAAAGCCAAAACAAATAGGCAAATGTAGAAAAGAAGAAAAAGAAAACAGGCAAAGCATCATCGAACTTGTCATCGCAGGTCATCAAAATCGTACAATCATATCACCGTGTCAGGAGTTCATCAGGCGTCGCAAATCATGAAAGTTTCCGAGCACCGCTGTAGAAGCATGCAAGGTGTCAGTCATTAAAAAAGCATGGCCCAACATCGCCCAAACGCAAGATAGAAATTGCAAAAAAGAACAGAAAAACCAGGGAGTCCTCCCAGTCCGACGCGGGACAGGCTATAGTGTGTCCTCCGTCTCTCCTCCCTTCCAAGGATACTACCAAAGTACCTATTAGGTACCATCCAAGGTAGGTAACCAGTCACCCTCCATCTCCCCATTCGAGGTAGGTAACATGGGAAGGGCCAGGAGGAGGAGACAGGGGACACCAGAAGAAAGAAACCCGCCCTTGAAAGCTTTGCTCAAAAACACCCGTTTTTGTTTTTGGTGCCAAATCCCACACAAATCCGCCCTGAGAAAAAGTAACGCTTGGCAAACAGAGAAAAAAAAGTTTTTTTTTTCCAACTTTTGAAGCCGCTGATAAGCGAGCACCATGACCATAACATAAAGAGAACATGAGATCATCCGACATATAGACATAAAGGGAAACATAATGTAAACCAACATAGAGAAAGAGAAAGATGAGAGTCGACCCGGCGTTCATCTGACATTAGTAACGACGGCCGTAGGTGGACTGCGAAGACCTCCTACTACCTCGTTCCACGCGTCGATCATCGCGCGTTCGTCGCACATCTTCCACCAGCTCCCGTCGGCTTGCAGTACCCGTCTTATCAGAGTAGGACGATCCAGCAGGCAAGTAAGCTTTCGGCTTGCGGTTTGCGTTTCCTCCAAGACTGAGGTGGAAACCGCCCGCGTCATCGCTTCGAATGTTGATCATCTTGCCGTGGACCGCCTCTTCTTTGAATCCGAGTTGAATCCCGTCCATCATGAGACTGATGTCCTTTCCTCCTGCTTTGGAACCGGTCCCGCTTTCCCGGCTGCTGTTTGATCCGCTCTTCCGGCTGCCGCTGTCGCTGCCAGCGCCGTTCACCATCTTTGGGATGAGTGATTCGGTGGACGCAGGTAGCGCAGCAGTGGCAGAGCGGCCTGCCTTGGCGTTTTGATATTGCTCGACGTTTGAAACTTGATCCTCCAATTCATCTCCCCGGCTGTCATTATCATCGTAGTAGTACTGCTCGGCACGCTCTGGACGGCGTCTGCGAGAGTTCTCAACCGCGATTCGAGCACCCCGACCAGTGTCGTGGTAAGAGTTTGACCGCCTGCTCTCGCGCATACTCTGGCTCCGTTCTGGGGCCATTCCTGCTTCTCGAGATAAGCGGCGATGGGCGGGGTCGGGAAGGGCATTACGCATATCCGACATGTCCATAAACTCTGCAGCATGGTCGGCAGCAGCTCGAGACATCCGGCGCGAAGGAGCCGAGGGAACGGCCTGCACAGTTTGAGCCTTCCGGGGACCTTCGGGCCGTTTGTTCTGGATAATCTTTGGAGCAGCTCGAGATTTCGGCAGAGGCGGAGGTGGCATCCGACTCACGTCGCGATAATAATCCTCATCGCGGGGTTGAGTAGGCTTGGAGCTGTGGCGCCCACGTGGTTCACGAGATGAGTAACGTTCAAGTGGTTCATATTCCTCAAACTCTTGAGCAAAGACATCATCCGACTCCATCATGCGAGGATCGTAGATAGAATTCCGACGCCGGGATGGCTCGCGAGTCCGGGATGGGGATCTCTCAGGTCCGTATTCCAATGAAGCGGGGAACTCCGACCCAGCATAGCCTGTGAAAGATCCTCCCCCGTAAGGAGAGGAAGCATAATAAGCCGAGTGGGAAGGTGGAGGTCCACCGGGTCCGTATGGATCATATGGCACCTGTGGATGGTACAGTCCGGGCGGGCCCATTGATGTCTCGTGGAAGCTCATACTCATGGGTCTGCTGTCCTGGTGGTAGCCACCCGATTGCCGGTACGAATGAGACCGGTGCGACCGATTTGTTGGACGGTGATACTCCTCATAGCCATAGGCTTGACGCGGGGCATAGGTACGTGGTGAGGAAGGAACCATGTCTGGCATGGGTGGACGACCGTACATGGCGGGTGGGTACTCCATGTTTGGAGGATAGCGGTCGATCGGGGTCGGTGGTTGTTGTTGATGGTAGACGGGACCACCTTCATAGTAGTGGGCAGGGTCCTGGTAGTGACGGGCAGAAGAGTCTCGTCTGCTGCGTGACTTGGACGGCGACCGGGGCACGTGAGAATGATATTGGGCGGGGCCCGGATAGGCACCAACCCGCATACTCTCTTCGTGGCCTGGCCGGGGGCGGTCCTGTCTTTCTTTTCGTTCTCTGGGTTCTCTGCGGGTGGATGATTTTCTATCGAGGTCGGCTCGCTGCTTGGGCATGTGCAGTTTATGAGGGACCGGTGGACTCTTCCCGCCCGACGGACCAGATTGGGTGCTGTTGGCGGTGGCGGCGGTGCGACTAGAATAACCTGAGTCACTGGCGCCGTCGATCAGCGGCTCCGCTGGGAATCTATGATCAGACCTGGTGACTACTTTGGCCGCGGTATTGGCTACCTGCCGGCTTTCGGGTACGATGTCATCGAATTCCTCGTCATAATCCTCCACCATAGCTGGGCGAGGTGGTTTCTTGCCCGCCATGGCCTGCAGGAGGTTCGGAAAGGCTGGGAACTAGGCAGGACGCTTTAGTCAGGGCGTCCAGATTTAGACCCGTATTGGAGAGGGGGTGATGTGGATTGTGTGAGGTGAGGAAGTGGAATTTGCTTACCCACTACGCCAGCAGGGAAAGATCTGCTTGGCTGGACTGGCTGCAAGCCACCAACTCTTGCCCGATGGCAAGAGAGTAGGAAAGAGCTGCAGGAGAGGAGTGGTAAGGAGAAAAAAAAAAATTCCAAAAAGGAAGTAGGATGAGTCAGTGCAGCCTCTGTTTGTGTGCGTCGTTGTGCGGGAGATATTTTTGATGATGCTTGGTCCCCTCCACGCGGTATCCCTCGCTGAAGGTCACTTGTTCGCGCTCAGTCTTGTGTCTTCCTATGCAACGTCTCTCGCCCAACCGGGCGACTGGACTTTTGACGACGAACCTGCCGATCGCCAGGGGAGGCTTGCGAAGGGCAGATGGTCGGGCTCTGTCAACGTGCGGAGAGTGTGAAGTGGTGGTGTCTTCCAGATCGCAACGTCTCCATCGAAATTGGTGGGAAAATTAGGCGGGCAGAAACGAGAATGGTCGGGCGGCGCAGAGAGCGTCGTTGGGTGTTCGTGGGTCGCCACGAAGTCCGCCGAGTGGTTGAGAATGGACTGCAGCTGCAGCTTGTGGCCTTTGGGTTGGGTTTGATTTGGGATATTCTGCCTGACTGGTACCCAGTGGGGGTGGTGGAGTAGGGCAGCGATAAACGATAAGGGGGTAGTGGGTGATAACTACCCTAAGGATGGAGAAGAGGGGGAGAAGGAGAGGGAAGAAAGAGAAGGAGTAGAAGAAGAACGACAGAGGGAGGAGGAGAACGACAGAGGAGAAGGAAGAACAACAGAGGAGGAGGAGGAGGCAGCTGACTGAAGTTTCACGAAGAGGCTCGGGTGCCCGAAAGGAAAGAAGGAAAAAAGCGGAAGTGGGGAGGGGCCGTCATCATAAGGAAGGAGCGACTAACAATTTGTGTGACCAGTTAAGCTCGGGACCCGCTCGGTTCCCTGGTTCACTCAAGTATACAGGCATAGCATAAGTATAGTTCTATGAGTAAACAGAGTACCTAGACAGGGAGTATCTAATATACTATCGATACTATCGATACTTGGTATCCTATCAACTATACCGATCTAAGATGCATTTGCATTTCATTCATTTCAGACACATACACTCACTACATTCATTCATCTCTGCCACTGACACAATACTGCACCACTCCAATACATCGCCCAATTGCGGCCCAACTAAGCCTCCGCCACTCTCCTTACAATCGGACATCAACAGCTTGAACTGTCTCATTCTACCCCTATTGTCTTGCTCAATCGTTAAAGAACAATTGAACCATGACTCTGTCACCAGAGAGACCCAACCCAATCCTTTGTCAATGTCACTGTACTTCCGAAAAGTCGGTGGGGATGCCGCCGCTGCATGTCAACCATCCACAACACTAGTATCCTAACTTACCAGCACACTAACCCCCGAGAACTCACTAATGCCCGTCCAGGTGTCGCCACTTCCATCGGTGGATCCCGTCGAACCACGCTAGAACAGCAGCCTCTCCGACCTGCCCGGCCCATGTGGCGGGGTCTAATGGGCCTGGTATGTTCTCCGGTGACTCTGACTCATAGAGGGGTATAGGAAGGAAAGGGAAGGGAAGGGAAGTGCCAGTGGGATCAATGTACAGGTACGAGTACTCAACACTAGTAAGTGACAATGACAACAATAGACATATAGACTAGTGGCTCCGTGGTACACACTGTACTGCAGTTAGCGTGGTGTAGAGTAGTGTATGCAAATTCCGTGCCGAATATCCATCCATCCCTCCCCTTCACCACGAATGACGTGCAGCACGGACGCGACCATCCCTTCCCTTCTCACCCCATCCCTCACCTCCTTACGTCCTCGCCTCCATCTCTCCCCTTCCATCACCCATTCCCACCATTCCAAGGCCCGCACGAGCGTGAGTCTCGCACGTGTGATCGTGGCCGATAAGTCTGCATTGCAAGTCGTGCGCGCGGGAGATGAGCATTGACCTGCTCCGGGCCTTGCTCAGCCAACAATGTCTTTCCGCACTCCTTGTACCTGTACCTGTACCTGTACCTATACCCGTCCCTCAAAGAGGAAGGGAGGGGGAGTAAATACATACATACAGAAGTGTGTGTGTCGCAAAAGAGGGGAAATCAACTCACCCCAGAGAAAGACTAGACCTGGATCATCCATGCGGCTCTACTAGCTAGGGTAGGCCTCCACTCCACTCCAGCTAGTCTGTCAGCCAGCCAGAAAGAGGAGCCTAGTCTAGTCTATCTCAGATGGGAGCACGACAGAGAGCATACAGTACAATGATCAGATCAGAGTAGAGCAGAGCGAGATCCGTCCCGATCGCGATCTTAGATCGGCCCATCTACTTTGCTTATTTATTTTATTCCAAGGTTGTATCCTACACTCGTAGTGCTCTATGCCATTATATTCCTTGTCTAAATCAGCTTCAATTAGCAATACCCTACCCTACTCTATCCCAGTCCTACCCGCATACTTCAATAAACTTCAACTTTCCACGCATGTCATCTCGTGCTATACTTTGACTTTCGGGAGGCACTTACATGTATTTGACTTTGACTTTGACTTCACCTGGCTTGGCCCCAGCTTGATTCCAACCTTGGAAGATCCATCCGTCCCTTTCAAGTTCCTGGCATACATGTATATTGATACTTACTTATCAGTATACCACGACATAGTACAATATGTATGCACACATGTACTAATACTGCCAGTGTACTGTACAAGGAAATCCCCGCTTCCTCATATTCAACCCCCTTGCGTCCTGCTCTGCACGGTGCCATCAGCTCCGAGGGTCACACTCTCACCGCTCTTTTGGAATCGAGATGCCAGGCGTCCGAACCTCTTCTCTCCTCGCCTCTTTCGTGGGTGTATTCTTAGATTTGGATTTGGATTCGGAAATTTTATCTTTTTGTCATAACTTGAAGCTCTTGTCTTGGTGGATTTGATTTGATTTGATTTGTTATCGTGTCTTCCGCGGGAAGTTTTCCCCCATCCCATATCTCCGGTAGAGTTTGGATTTGGATTCCAATCCCATGGTTTCTAAGGTTCAAGACACGAACGTGCGTGATAATTTGTACGCCATTACACCCGATTCCCCCGTGATCTATTCTTTGCTTTGCCCCCCAATTCCTTGTGGCAAACTTGAACATTCACTGTATCGACTCGGAATCGTTATCAACGGAAATAAAAATGGAATGGACGTAGCCCTGGAGGTAATTCATTCCAAGCTAGACAGAAACAAATATGTACAAGTCCAATTACAAGTCCAAGTACATCTCCCACTCATGCTCTCCCCAACCAGCTGACTCAATCGCCCTCTCAGGGCTGAAGTCGTACGAGCGTGATAGTGATAGTCGTGGCATCCCACGGGAGCCCGTGTTTGAACCAGCGGGGCGCGGCCATGTCATTTGTGGCGGTGGAATTACGGCATGGTATGCCATGGCTTCAAATTGTTCTGCTCGGTTCAGTTCGGTTCAGGTGTGGTTCGGGCGATATCCGATATCATGAGAGGTGAGAATGTACTTTATACCCTAGCGCGCAAGGTTCAAGTTCGTGACAGAATGGGAATGGAAATACGTGGACATGGGGGGTTGGCACTACCCTAGCCTACCCTACCCTACCCTACCCTACGATAGTGTTGCAACTACAACTAGCAGATACTAGTAGATAGTCATGCGTAAAAAAACAAGATTCGAGTTGATTTAAAAATGAGAAATTATGTTGGATCTTCCCGGTAAATCAGAAAACAAACGCCCCGGCCTACCATCTCAGGTAAAGTAAAGTAAATGTACCCTTCCAAGCGAGCTAGATAGCCGAATATGGGATAGAGTATGGGAAAGAACAGATGTCAATGTACAAGTACAAGCCATGCCACGGGCACAAAGGCAAAGACAAAGGAAATGCGAATGCGGGGGTACAAGTAAAAAGCAAGAAGCGAAGCGAAGCAACACAACACAACACAAAGCGCAACGCAACGCAACGCATTACCGCCTCAGAGGCAAACACTGCAATGAAACGCGTCTCGATCTCACCCTCACTCACACATCTTGCCTTGGCTTGTCTCAGCTTAGCTTAGCTTAGGTCTTGCGCAGTGACAGCGCAATCCATCCAAGGAGTCGATACACCGCAATGATACCGACGAGAATCCCCACCCATTTCCCCGTCCTACCGGTTGCATATCCATATGTTTCCAGGACGCCGGTTCCACGGATCTGACACTGATCGGCGAGGTCGGTGTTGTACATGCAATGGCAGCCTGTGCCGCAGGTGTAAATGCGGTCCGAGAATTCGTTTACCATCATGCCTTGGAAAACGTAGGCCTGGAAAAAGGGGAAGGGAAAGGAATTAGACTCGATTCGATTTGATCTTCGGGGACTGTGCTGGGTTTGGGGGTGACTTACCTGGTAATCAATGTAGTGAAAGACGTATTTCCAGAACGGATTCAGAATTGTTGGCGTCACGAGGAATCCACCCACGCTCATCCAGAGCCCATTGGCAAAGGCGACCAGTGCGAGGGCGATGACAAAGTTCGGAAATATGGCCGTGATGAAGACGACCAGTGATTCGGCGGCGACTAGGTCAAGGAAGAGCCACATCACCCAGGTCATGAATGCTTGGCCGGTGGGCTGGAAATTGGAAAGCCAGTAGGAGATTACGGAGAAGAGCAAAGCGATAAGGACTGGGGATGTTAGTTTTCAGCCCTGGTAGCTCTGGCAAGGGTGGAATGGTTGAGGAACGAGTTTTCAGATGAGATACTCACACAGAAATGGCAGACCGATGAGAAAATTCGAGATGATGAATGGAGTTGCCCCATACAAGCCATTTGCTCGCTCTTTGGCAAAATTCGCTCTATCTTCCAAGAATGCTGGGACGTATGCTACAGCCATGAATGACATGAATGCGGAACCGAAGAACTTTTTAAATCGTTAGTTTGATGAATCCTCTCTCATACAATGGGTAGGGAAACATACAATGGCATTGACGAATGGTTGGATAGACTCCTGTGTCGGCTGTAGACGCAGCCAAACTGTACCCATCATGATGGCGAGACCTGGAACAAGTTAGTATTTCCACTTCCATCAAGATACTGGACTGAAGTATAGACACTTACCAAGATACATCACTATGCGAATCCCGTACGCCACCACATCGCGGTAACTCTTGATGAACGATCGATGAAGCAAAGCACCGGTGATCCTGATCGATCCCGGCCTCACAATATCCTCCACGTCCACTCTACTCTCATCCTTCTCCGCTACGCTGAATCGATCAAAAATCTGCCGTGAGATAGCATCGGCTTCCATAGACTGGGCCCACGAATGCTGGATAAGCTGCACCCGCTCTTGTGCAACTTCCTTCGCGTTGCCGAAGTCGGAGCTAACAATATCAAGCAAAAACTCCGCCGGGTTGGTACTACCGGGAATCGGGTGCCCAATCTCGCGGAAGTACCCATCGATGCCAGCCAGGGGGCCGAAATAGCATGTGCGGCCGGCAGATAGCAGCAACAGCTTGTCGAAGAGCTGGAAGGTTGTTGTGGACGGTTGGTGAATACTTGCGATGATAATGATCTAAAATGAACCCATGCCATTTACCACGATGTTAGCCCAACCCAACTGATCTCTTTGATCTTGATCTGCAGTCTTATTTGCAATGGGTCTGAAACTCACGTTGTTGGCTCTTGCTAGCTCCTTCGCATACGACATGACCTCGAAACTGGCCGTCGAGTCTAGACCACTGGTCGGCTCGTCTAGAAATAGAATCTTCGGGCAAGTGATGAGCTGGCTCGCCACGCTGGCACGTCGCTTTTGACCGCCGCTGATGCCCTTCCGGATCGGGGTGCCGACTAGGGTGTTGGCCTGGTTCTGGATTCCGAAGGCCTCGAGAAGTGTATCGATACGCTTGATGCGCTGGCTCTTTGTCACGGAGCTGGATTGATTCAACCGGGATATATCAGTAAGATGGTCGCCAGATTTTCCCTACTTCCACCAAGTGGTTGTTTGTTGACATACCTGGGCAGTGAGAGGTCTGCTGCAAACTTGAGTGTCTCGCGCACTGTGAGTGATCCGATGAGAGTGTCTTCTTGCTCCACGTATGAAGTCATGCGACCGAATGCGCTACTGTCGACCTTGGTCCCGTTGACATAGCTATCGCCGAGGACTTTAGCGCCCGATGCTGCTGGGCGGCGCGCCAGTACGTTGAGCAGGGTTGTCTTTCCGCAGCCCGATGGGCCCATCAAGGCAACCAGTTCACCTGGGATCATGGGGGTTAGTAGTGGTCTCAGTTTCTATACCAGCGTAGATTCGCTAACCTTGCTGCACATCACCCGAGATATCCTTGATTAGCTCTCGAGCATCCTTCGTTTGGCGATCCTTGACGGTGACGGTCAATCCTTTCCACGAGAAGTTTCGAACACTGCGATTCATGAGGAACTGATGGTCCTCGTTGCGTTCGAGATCCGGGTCTGGGGCTTTGGGCCTGGCCCTGGTCTCATCGACCAGGGTTGGCTGGTTGTGTTCATTCCGTGGGAGCATGCTAGCTGGGGAGAGAATTTTAGGTTTCTTGGAGTTGGATGACAGGTTGAACAACTAGGTTGAGATCAAGATCGAATTCAAGTTCAGTTCTCTCCCTTTGCATGGGTGGGTGATTGGAGTGAATGGGGTGAATGTGGTGCTTGGTCGGGGTAGAGAGAGGGAGAGGGTCGCACGATCTACTCTGGATCTGATCTGTGACCCGCTGGGTGCCTGCTTCCTCTTTCTTCTTTCTACTTTCCACTTTCTACATTCTACATTCTACTTATATCATTTCAATCTGATCGGGGAAGGTGCCTGGCCCAGCCCAAGCTGAACTGAGAACGGAGTCTAAGAGTCCACATGGCTGGTCCCCGGGATCCTTAAACTCTGCAGAAGTGTTTGGGTAGGCTTAGTGTACACTGTCTGTTTTGAGGCTGATGGGCTGTTTTGGGTCTTAGTCAGATTGTAGATGGTCCCCAGTCCTGGTCCCCATAGTTAATAGTTAATAGTTAGTAGTTAGCTTAGTAAACTTATATTCCCGGCACCGGGCACCGGGCATTGGGGATCCCGAGACCATAGTACCATAGTCATAGTTAACCCCGGCTTAAGGTAAAGGGGCCTTTAATCATCGGGCTCTGTCTTGCTCGGTCTGGACCAATATCTTTATAAATCCCCAATGTCTCCGAAAGGAATGCTTGAATGTCCCCGAATCTATGACTTCTTTCCCATCTTGAATTTCAGTTTTTCACAGTGGATCGCCCCCATCGTCCCCGTCCCGCTGCCACCCGTTCACCTGCTAATGCGCCAAGCCTCCCACTATCGATCAATGCCCTCGCCCATGCCAATCATTGCCTCGCTTATTCTGCACTCTGCAAGATCATGCCTCAATCCCATTGTTAGCGGAGGACACGGACTACGGCTACTGCGACTCTTGCTTGTAAAGTCACATCGGTTCTACTAGTACGGAGTAGTGGTTTATTATTATTGCATTACTAGTTAGTAGCCCTAATAAATAGTTACTTCATAGTAGTAATAGTACTTCAAGTTACGAGATATGCCGAGGGAAATACTGGAAACTTGAACTTGAACCGAGCTAAATAGCTATATTTGATGGACCTAGCTTTTGAGCGCCGAATGCATCTAGAAATAATCGTGGAATCGGGGGATCTTCAGAACATGAAAGAAAAAGGTGGTGGTGATAGAGGGAGGAGGAGAGTAGGTGCGGGTGTAGGTGTAGGTGAGTGTGAGTGTTGCAGTTCTTTAGGAAACTATTCTTCCCCACTGCACATTTACATACGCTGCACCGGGTTCAATCCCCAGAATGCGCATACCGTTGTTCAGCACCTGGCGCGCAGCAGCGTACAGAGCCATACGGGCCTTCTTCGTCTCCGGCTCGCTGCCAATCACCTTCAGCACGTCGTAGCTGGAGCTCAACATGTGCGTCATGCGGAACAGGTAGCTGAGGACAGTGACGGGTTCCTGGGTCTTGGCAGTGTTCAGAAGAACGTCGGGCCACTGGGCGAGCAGACGGCACAGATCGGTCGCGTGCTGCTCGGTCAGGAGGTCGAAGTTGGCGCTTGGGAGCTCGTCCACGTTCAACTCGGACTTGCGGGTCATGGAGCAGAGACGAGCGTGGGCGTATTGCAGGTATGGGCCGGTGTCACCCTCGAAAGAGGTCATGGCCTCCAGGTTGAAGGTGTAGCCGTTGATACTAGAAAATGAGAAAGTTAGCATTTGGGAAGGATCCAATTTCCAAAGGGGTATCGTCACTACTTACCGCTTGCCGGTCATATCCTGGACCATGACGGCGGTGATACCGAGAGTATCGGCCGTCTGCACGGGGTTCTCGACCTGTGCGTACTTGGCATCGTTCTTCTTCATCACCTCGTGCATCTTGTCGCCGACATCGTGCAGGATGTCGTCAAGGAACTTCACTGTACCCTTGCGGGTGGACATACCGTGGACCATACCGAAGTTGATGTGCTGGCAACGGCTGGCCAGGTCCTTGTGGCCGGACAGCTCGGTGATCTTGAAGAGCTGAGCCAGATGCAGATCCTGCTGGGAAGCAACAACGTAGATCATCTTGTCAAAGTGGTAGGTATCATCACGCTCGGTGATGGCACCAATATCACGGGTCAGGTAGAGAGGAGTGCCGTCCTTGCGGATAATGATGGCCTTGCCAAGCTTCTTAGCGCCGTGCTTGGTGAAATCGGCAATGACGGCGCCCTCGGAGTCCTCGGCAACACCGGCCTCCTTCATAGACTTGTAAGCGTTGGTCATGCTCTCGGCCTTGACTTGCGACTCTCCAGAGTAGACATCGAAGTCAATGTTCAGACGGGCATAGGTCTGCTTGTACTTGGCGATACTGAGATCACGGAAGCGGCGCCACAGAGCGAGAGCAGAGGGGTCTTGATCCTCCATGCTCTTGAAGTAACGACGCGCCTTCTCGTCCTCGCTGACATCCACAAGCTTGGCGAGCTCGGCCTCCAGGGCGGAAACATCCTCGCTCTTCTCCTTCTTCTCCTTGATCTGCTTCTTCAGCTCATTGATGGGCTCCTCCTGGTCCTTGACGATCTTATTGACCTTGACGTAGACATCAAAAAGGTGGTTGATGGGGTCCTTTTGGAGAGCCTCCTCGTTACCGAAGTACTCGAACCCGTTGGCCAGCAGACCGTACTGCTTACCCCAGTCACCGAGGTAGTTCATCTTGATCACATCCCATCCCATGACAGTGTAAAGGTTCGCGAGGAAACCACCAATGATGGTACTGCGCAGGTGACCGGCGTGGAAGGGCTTGGCAATGTTGGGTGAAGAGAACTCAATGATAATCTTCTTCTTGCCCTTGGAGGGGTCGGAGGGGTCCTTCAGACCTTGGTTGCCGTTGGTACCGTAGGCGGCCTTCTCGGCCAGAACACGGCTGAGGACAGTCTGGATAAGGGGCTTGCCCTTGAAGAAGAACTGCAATTGAGGGCCGCTAGCGGTGGGCTTGTGGACGAGGTCGGAGTCGGGGAACTTGTCGGCCAATTCCTTGCATAATTCCATAGGGTTCTTCTTCTTAATCTGGAGAGAGGGAACCTAGACAGAGAGAGTCATAAGTTAGCATTTCTGGTATGTAGAGGGAGAAATATATGCCAATCCACATAGATCCATGTAAGTGTAGGGTCATATCACATACTGCCAGCGTCAGATCGCCCTTGTCCAGAGTGTTGGTCCATTGCAGACGAGTGTAGATAATGGCCGGGTCAACATCGGCGACCTTGCCCAATTCCTCCGAGATATGCTCGCGGTAGATATCGACCGGGTTCAAGGTGGGAAAGCAGCCGGGGAACTTCGAGGTCGAAGCAGTTGACTGCAAAGTAAGAGCCTCAACGGAGGTGGGGAGGCTTTCGGCGGACGCCATGGTGGTGTAGAGACGTAGTCGCGCAGGGGAACGAAGAGCGCGAATCGAGAGGGGGGGTTTGCAGGCGAGGAGTTGAAAGGAAGCGGGGTGAAGTTGGAGAGGCACAAGGATACAATGACCGAGAAAAAAAGACGTCTAATCGCCGGGCCCCGCTTAGAAAACTGCGACCCATAAGGAGGGGAGGGGGAAATCCAATTTGGCGGCCGATTTGGGGGGGGTCTTTTTTTCTGCGGTGACTTAGGAATGCCCAACGTGGTGGGCGGTGAGATGGACTCCGTGCGTCATGTGATGGTGGGGTACCCTGTATACAGTCGAAGTATGGGAAGTTCTTTGTTCAAGGACAAAGAAAGGCAGAAAATGGCTTGTCAAGATCGGTTGGATGAATAGTTTTCTGTTAACTCTTAGTATAGAGGAAAGATGCCATTTCGAGTCTGCGGTCACGCCAATACCCCTAGTAGTAGAGGAATTTAGCACTATATATATCTTGGCCGGGCATCATTCCAAGGTTGTATGGTAGTTATATCGCGATGATGATCACGGGTTGAACTTGAATTTGAAGGTTTGGAGGTTGAATACTGCCAATCTTGAAAGGAAGCTTGATTGAAGTGCATTCTTCCGACCCAGTGGCCATTGTTGTGTCAATTTCTAGGAAATATTTACTAGTAGTTTCAGTTCCCAGCACTTTTCGCCAATCTCAAGTTGAAATTGCTATGGATTAGGACTGGTAGCACGCGATAAGGATTTATCGAGGACCCACTCGCAAGATCCAAAATCTATTCCATGGCACCATGGAAAGTATTAGGCTTTACTAGTCATGCAAAGAGGCGGACATTTGGAAACCATAATTTCCCCTGACTCACGATTGAATTAGATCTAGCTCGGTGAAAATGGTTTTCGGATCGACCGGGCGTGGATCACCCCAATTCACCACGAGCTGTCTCATACTCGTGGTTATTTTATCCTCGCTATCTTCTTCCCGATGTGGATTAGTCCACGGCGATGTCCGCTAAGCATCCACCATCTACGAGATGTAAGTGTCTTAGCATTTGGAATACATACGATAAAAACACTGTTTGCGTGAACCCTCTAAGAAATATTTTGAGTATTTTGTTCAGTGATAACAAGAAATTATTATAATTCACTGCATACTGGACAACTGAGAAGAAGTCTTGGACGTTCTTTAGAAATGGTTGAATTCGGCATCTCAGCCCGTCGGCAAAGATGACTACTGTAGATTCTTTGGTGGATAAGAGGGCAAGCCACACTTAGTTTAATCAGGTTTGTGAGACGGTTCCTGGATCGATCTATTGAGTAGGGATCTGGTCCTGGCCTGTCAGTGCTTTTAATAAGAACTCGAATGCCCCCATACTCTCGATAATTCACCCATTAATTCATTCATTAATTTCTGTTCTTTCCAGGACGTCCATTCTTTTGAACTTGATATTTTTCGGTCTTTTCAGCGTATCCCATAATGGGTCAATTCCGGGCATGGACCTCGCCATTGGTCCTCTTGGCGCTCCTAGTACAAGGAGGATTTGCCGTCACACTCACAGCTATAGCACCAGCTGCTACCTCGCTCACTACTTTTACATCAACCTTCTCTGAGACAGTGACCAATACTATCACGAGTATTGTTCCAATTACCACTAGCCAGACCACATGTACCCCTGGAACTACGAGCCCTCTCAATGTTGAGTGCACAAATGGCGCGTGGTCTAGCAATGGGGCTTACTGGCAAGAGTGGTGTACGACGGCTTCTTTGCAAGGAACTCCATGGATTATAGTGAATTTAGTCCCCTATCTTTCTCCGTGCCGTAGTCTCTGCAGTTTCTACAGTGCGTCCTGCACGGCTGCCAACTTCAATTCGCTCAATCACCAGTGTACTTTGTTGAGGGACGTCACGGCAACAGCTGCAGTTAACAACGGCGCATATGCAGCGCTGGAGAAATTCGCCACCAACCCGTGTGTTGTTACTTCGACCGGCTCCTCGACCCAACTCTCAATCGAAACGGCGGTGGTGGAACAGACGATAACTATCACGTCGACAATCACTCTTTCCACGAGCACCTCATCTCCATCTCCCACTATCGCTGCTACTAGTAGTGCCGTCTCATCTGCCGTTGCAACGACCCCCACTGCTTCAGTTTGCACTGTTTCCACTTTACCGACACTTCCCACCAGCACCCAATGTGTTGATGGATACTATCAATACGATAGAGATTATTATCAAGTCCTATGTGATTATAATGTCGAGAGCTATGCGGGCTTCGATATCACAAATTCGCGCCAGGATGACATATGGGGTTGCATCGAAGTCTGCTCACAGCACTCAAACTGCGTTGGGACCTTTTGGTTCCAGGGGATATGCTACTCTCCAAGTTCGTCGCTTGTCTACCGTTATTTACCTTACGACTGTGAAGACCCGGATAACAATGTCATCGAATATATTGCTATGCGATTGGATGGTAACCCTTGCCCGGCAGCTACCAGTAGCGTGGCCTTGATTCATTCATCAGCTGTCTCCTCTTCCTCCCCTTCTGCTGTTGTGTCATCTTCTGCACACACATTCGCCATCATTGCTTCTTCTTCTTCTTTTTCTTCTTCTTCTGCTATCGTGGCACCAAGCTCGGTTCAAGTCGGCGTGTCTTCGTCGACCCCATTATCCCGAAGTTCATCTACTCCGCTCATTAGAAGCACTGTGACGATTTCGCCTCATTCTACTCCCCCGTCTTCTGCTCGAGCCTCATCATCACCCGTTACCCCGGCGCATAGCAATTCCGTGGCCGTGTCTCCCCCAGCTCCGTTCTCCACGCCTGCATCTTCAGTGCCGATGTACTCTGTCTCCATGCCATCCGAGAGAGCGTCCTCTGTCTCAAAGCCGGCGTCTTCCGTTTCTGTGCATACATCTGCATCTTTTGCCTCCACATCCGCGATATCCTTGACTTCCACAGGCACATCTTCTGCAGCGGTGCCGTCAGGAAGCAAGCCTTCAGGAAGTCACCCTTCGGGAACTGGACCGTCGGGAAGTGAGCCCTCGGGAAATCAGCCTTTTGGACATGAGTCTTCCGGAGCAGTACCTCCCACACTGGCCTCATCTGAACACGGAAACCAACCAACCGGCTCCCCGGGCAACTCGGCTATCTCAGGATCGACTTCAGGCACTTCTGTATTCGGAACTGCTACTCAATCAACCGGACAAATCACCACCACTGCTCCGCCCCAGTTCACCACTTCAACCGTCTTCACTACTGAAGTGCATACTCTTACCGCCTGCCCATCATCAGTTCTAGACTGTCCCGCGCGAGAAAAAAACCACATATATCACCACAGAAACCATCGCCGCCTATATGACCATTTGTCCCATCACCGCCGAGGAGACCGCAGATGGCGCAAGTCCGACGGGAGTAGTTGGATCTAATGGACAACATGAAAGCTTGACTACATCTACAGTCTTCACTACCCAAGTTCATCCTACGGTAGTGTGCCCATCGCACATCAAGAGCTGTGCCAGTTCCCAGAAAACTACCTCGCTCGTCACAGAGACTGTGATCGCCTACGTGACAGTCTGCCCTGTTGCCGAAGCAGAGGCTACTTCTACAGCTTTTCTTCAGGCACCTTCTCGTGACCAAAATGCTGCCACTACTCTCACGACTGTAAGCTACGTCACGGAGACCGCAACTTTGGCCACAACCTATACGACGGTCAATTCTGGATCTACTACCGAGAATAAAGCAAGCTATATCAGCACTACGGTTATCCCAGTGACCGAAACTGTCGTTGTCATTGGTACTCAAACAGTCAATGTTTCCCCGACCAACGTTCCCAACAGTCAAGCCAATGGATACAGTGCGCAATCTACTACTGAATCTCATGGAGGAGGTACAGAGAATGGAAATGGTGTGAGTGGTTATGATAACGACAATGCGGCAGTCAATCACGCTTCACTGAACATTTCTCAATCCACCATTCCTTTATCTTCGGCATTTATTTCTTCGACTACCCAATCGACTCATAGCGGCTCATCAACGATTACTGGCTACTTGAATGGCGTCTCCGCTACTACTTCTCCTGCCTATAATGGCGTTGCTTCCAAGACAGCTTCTTGGTACTTGTCCTCTTTTTTTGCTCTGGCTGTTGTGGGTTACCTTTCCTGGTAACACTTTGTACATTCAGAGATGAATATGATTTTCATAATGTTTGGAGATCAGTCCTAATCCTTGTTATATTAATACATAATACCAATAAAAAAAATTCCATTTCTATGGATTTATCATGTTCCAGGACGATTCTAAGATTCGCTGGCGCCGCTCCATAAAGAACTCATTTCTGTTTCTCACCCAAAGTAGTATCGTGGATGGCAACTAACATAAATAACAAACACTAAAAATATTTCTTAAATGCCAATAAAAGGAAATATGAATGATGTCCTCCCTTAATTCAACTGATGTTTTCAAGATTAACTAGTGCAGATCATCACCCGATCGGGCATTGCCTGGCCTGACGTCACCACACTGCAAAGTGACCAACCACTGCAAAAGCAGGTCCAGTGCAACACAACGTGTTTTTCTCGCGTTCTCCTGAAACCGAACCCCTTCATATATAACCCCTTTCATCACATAATGGGAACAAAACGGCGGGAAAAGGCCCTGGCCAAGTCCATTCAAGCCGGGCTACTCCGTGATCCAGATCGATTCAAGAAATCAGCATGGGGCTCATTTCTAGCCTTCTTCACGTTTCAACGGATCAAACTTATCCGACACGAACAACACCTCTTTGAAAAACTTCGTAGAGAGGTGTGGGGCTTTGACGAAAGCGAATACCAGGCGAGCTTTCGGACAACGAGTGGCCAGCCTCCACTTAAGATGATGGGTGACCTTGGCTATTCTGGTTCGGTAGGTTTCTTTCATCTGGCTCGACGATGAGGAGATATAATAAGTACTGGTTAGTATTGATAACTAACGATGTGTGCAGACATTCATTTCAACACTCGATGGCCACCATGTGATTAAAAGTCTCCCCCGCCATTTCGAATACACATTCTTCGAATCGGACCTTTTAGAGCCATACTTTGACTTTATGAGAGATAATCCTGATTCCGTCCTCGTCTGGATAACAGACTATATTCTTTCTCCGTACACCACGCTCGGCACACTATGCGGCTGCACCCCAGCCCACCACATAATAATGGAGAACGCACTCTGCGGCAAAGCCGACGACCCCAACGGCGATAAATGGGAAACATACGACCTAAAGCCAATAAACTACTTCTACCCGGAGCGCGACCTGATGCCCGAATCGCTCGTCAGCGAAGAAACCCTGAACAAATTGGCACATACATTCAATGACAAGCTTCATCTGCAACTTTCGGATTCAGAGAAGCTCTTGAAAGCCGTTGAGACTGATACGCAGTTCTTGCAGGATGCGAATGCGGTCGATTATTCTTTTTTTTATGGTGCGAATTCCCGCATCCTCGAATCCGGAACAACCTTCGGGGAGAAAAAGTCCTTGGCGGGAGGGGATCAGTTCTGCGGATGGTAGGTGGAAGTATCGTATGACTATACTTGATTTCTTTTGGGCGAAGCATAAGTTGCATGCGCAGGCTTTGTCCGGGGTTGTGCAGACTTTTAATGTTGTTGGGCAGAAGGGGCCTATGTCTATTACTACTACGGCGGATGAGTATCGGAGGAACTTTTTGAAGATGATTCGGGAGATGATTCAGGTTCATTCTTAGATTTTATCGTTGGTTGGCGTTAGGTTTCCTATGGGGTCAATATAGCAGCATAGTTTTATTAACCAAATTTTGCGTTTTATCTTTTTACGGGCAAGTAGCACGCGAGAATCTTGAGGTTTTCGGATGACTGCAGAAGGCAGAAGGGGTGATAGTATAATTTGTTCGATAGATGGATATTTTTCCTGTTTACAAGTACCCAAGGAGACATACTCGTATGCTCCCACAGAAGCTAGCCCAAATGTTGCAAGCTTGGCGCCTAAGTGATGGCCTAATCCCCACTATCCTTACGATAATCTAGTTCCGTGCGCATGTTCGAGGTGTTGGATGTTCTAGAAGATCCGCTAGCACTAATACGAGTCACTACTTTTGTAGGTCCCTATCTACGTGATGAGACCGATAGCTCAAAGAATTTACTAGTATGTTCAATGGAAATGTTGGATTTCCATTAGATTATCCACTATCTGCACTAACCCCGCAACCATGTATCCCCAGACGCCAACTACCTATTAACAGCCTTTCGAAAAAGGAAACTCCCATCCAGGTACCCATTCCCCCTCACAGCCTCTTGAGGATCTTTCGGCTCCCGGCGGCCATGGCCTTCTCCTCCTCGCGCTCATGCAGGCGAATTACCTGGTACTGCTCCATGAGGGTGTCCGCATAATCGTGCAGGTACCTCCCGGAGTACATCTCTCTCCGGGTATTGGTCGAGCACAGCGAGGCACATCCTCGGACGCAGAGCCGAAACATGATGACGGGGCGGAAGGTTGGCATTTCGTCGTAGGCCCATCGCACCCAAGGGTCTTCCATGTCGAACTCGAATTCGTCGAAGCGCGGCGGGGTCGCGGCATAGCACTCGACGAAACGAGCCCGAGTCATGGGCTCCGCACTGGACTCACTGCCAGGCGGATTGACGAAGCACTCGGCTTTCCGGGGTGGAATGCCGTGCTCTTCGTCATAGACCCTATGGTCGTAGGAATGCGAGGCCCCGTACCTCTGGCACATCCAACTCATCTTCACATCCTCCTGCCATTTTGCGACCTCCCGGCGAAGCTTCTCCGTGTTGCGGAGGAGCCCGAAGACGGTCAAGATGTCTTGCTCTTGCGAGTAGACATTCTTGCCTTCTTGCCAGATCTTTTCGATCTGCACCGCGTCGAAGATGTCGACGACTTGGACGAGGCTGTCGCCTGTCCGGCCAGAGAGGGTCGAAGCCAAGAACTGCTCCGGGGGCATATGGACCTCGATGGCCCTGAGGCAAACCATGAAGCTTTTGAGCTTACTTAGCTGGTCTGCTACCACCCGGGAAATTCTTGGCTTCAGCCCCCCCCAGCTCCATGGGAAGTCGCAAGTAGCGAAGAGGATAGATGAGTCGGGCCGGGATGACGATGTCCTGGACCTGCTTCGCAAACTCCATGTAGTACGAGTCTGGACCGTAGATCGCGCCTTCGTCCGGGTAAAAACATCCCGGCGAGCTGAAGGAGATGATATCCTTCGCTGGGTTGAACCACGGGTTGCGAGTGGGGATGGGGATGTAGTCCACGAAGAGGTGGCTGACATCTCTCTCATCCAGGGCCCAGGCACACTGGCTCAGGGCAGCTTCGCGGGACTCCTTGCATACTCTGGTCAGGACGGGCGGTCTTGTGTTCTGGTGGGCTGTCCAGGAGAGGCAGTTCTCCGAGTGCGCGGACAGGAACATCACGGGTGGGACTTCGAGCTCAACCACCCTGCCCTCGAGGCATTCGAGCCAGATCATTCGGCGAAGCTCCCACGGGAGAAACGGGAAAAGGAGAAATTCGGTGGCCATCTCGTTGGATTCGAGTGCTCACCACGGAATGAAGTCGTTGATCGGATGCGATAAAAGGTCCGTGGATATCGGACGGATCCTTTGACGATCGAACGAAAGGGGGGTGTCGATGAGAATATGAGTCTTCCTCAAGGATCACCCAAGGTTTAAGTCGGATGAGATGTTGGAGAAAGGATGAGAGGTCGAGGAGATGTGACGTGAGACCGGTGGAAATGAGACAGATTCCTCGACGGTCGAACGTGGGGAGTGTCGACCAGAAAACGCGTGTGCCTTAACGACCATACAAGCTTTAGGTTGGATGAAACGTTGGAAAGGGCACGGAGGATTGAAGAGGTGATGTCAGGTCGAAGAAGCGAGAAGGTGATGTCAAGTCGAAGAAGTGAGAGAAGGTGGTGTCTGATGGAAGTTGGACACAGAGAAGGAAGACTGCAGGTTGATATCTCCTTCAAAGGCAAAGAAATTCCAGACAAACGAGTGAATGTAGCAGCATGCGAAGGAGCGGTGGAAGTGTTTGCTACGAAATAAGTCGAATTCTGAGAATTTTCTTTTTTGAAAATCACTGCGTTCGGCGTTGGTATGCCTCGCATGAAGTTCGGAACCCTAATTGGAAACTCTTGAAGTCCAAGAGCATTCTCCCTCAGTCATTCAGAAGGCTGCCGTGTCTTGATTAATAACTCATTCAACCTAGATGTACAGAAAGAGAGTGAAATTGAGCTATCCCTGGACATTGTAGATATCAACTCTGGGACTTCGTACGTCACCACAGCTCACCATTGGCCCCGCAGAATCCAACAAGCGCCGAGTCAAGCGGGAAGAATAGGAGAGTTAGTCTGGTGCTCGGCATTTTCGAGGAGGAAGAAACTTGAATAAATTTTGTCTTGAATTGGATGGTTTGATCTAGTTGGAAGTTCAACCCTGAAGTTGTTTACGGTTCGAAGCCAGGGAAGCAATTAGGCATATACACACCTACACCCAATAACTTTGGTGATACACATAGGGAATTTGAAATCAGAATTACCAATAAAAATCGTCAATTCTGCCATTAAATCGTATCCATTATATGCTTTCGGAATTGTGGTATCACAAGCTGAGTTTGTGCCTTCAACCTCCCGCACCCCCATACCCAATATCTCCGAACAAGTCTATGCCAAGGTGTCAATGGAAAAATGTCGTAGCCGATGAAGCATAACAGGCAGAAAAGTGAGTAGAGCAGTCTTCCATAAAATGCATTGGACGGGAAAACCCCTTGTACTCGCTGGGAGCCCCGAATTCCCATGCGAAACTCGGAATCCCCTTTTGCCGCCCCACTAAACCCACTGATAACTCAAGACCGGGACTTCAAACACCGGTGCCGTGCAAGTGGCATTGAAGTACGAATCATGCTCGCAGGTCAAAGGGAAATCGACACTCCCGGAGTAAGTGATAGAACTTCCATTCTCACACTTGAGAGAATGTCCACTGCCGAGGGTATAATCCATATGACCGACAGAGCTAGCCTCATTGGAAGAACCGTAGAACGCAACAATGCGCCCAGCACCACGATCCGCATAGCCACAATTGCTCTCGCCATGAGCGATATCGTGGATGCGGTATCCGATGTACTCGTCGTGGCAGGTCAGACCATCCTCGAAGCCAATGTCGAGCGTTTGTTTGGGACCATAACCCCAAGGCTCATAATTGGGCATGCCGGTCCAGCAGACGTTCACCATTGAGCCGTTGCAGGTCGCGGGGTCCGGATCGCACCAGCCCTGGCCACAGAGACACCCCTTAGTGTTCTTGTCCACATCGCTGTGAATGCAGTCCAGGCTGTGGGAGCCATTGAACCATTTGAAGTTGGAGACAGTCCAGTTGGGAATGGGACATCCGTCTGGCGGTGTGATGGAGGAGCGTGGGTGGAGTGCGTATGCGGCGGTGAACGCGGTGCTGGATAAGGCCAGGAGACCAGTCAGAAGAGACCGGAGAGACATTTTGTTTGGGGCTGAGGATTTGGAATCGGATGATTGATCGGGAATCTGATCGTCAGAAGGAATGATCTTGGTGGGTCTTTATATAGATTTCATATTTCGGTCTCCTGTCTGTTGCATGGGCAATGGATGGGGGGAATTGAGAAGGATTCCTCTCTCCCCTCTGCGCCTTCGTTGCTGGGCATTCTGCGCGGCGACAGGTCCGATTCGCGGTGATCGTGAAGCTGGTGCAGTAAGTCGCCCTAAAATATTAGCAGCGGCCGAGCCCGCGAGACAAAGCCAATTGTGATCTCACGAGGCGAGAAGGGTCTGAGACACGCAGAGGCCATTTGTTGAGGGAGATTGTCGATTGGATTGCAGATGCTGCAGGGTCTCCACGTTCCTGACAGACTAATGTACCTCGAATAGGTGAGACGGCAGGAGATAGCCGAAGATCGAGTGATCTCGAGAATCTGGAGCGACGCAGTTCGCCCCACTCTCACTCTCGGTCGCAGGCTTCTAGACCCCGGGAAATTGGCAGTTCTGTGCAGATGAGAGAAAAAGCAAAAGTTGGCAAAAGAAGCAAAGGCCTAAAGGGGGAGAGTGTTGAGGAAGGAGAAAAAGCAAAAGCAACTTGAAATTGGGGGGAAACCTTGGGAAGTCGAGGGTGACTGACTCGACTTCAGGTGTGCCTCAGGTGAACCTCAGGTGACTTGCTGACTCGCCCAAGTCCACCACCACCACCGACAACACGCAAAGCGAAAAGTATACTAAATGCTAGACATTATGCAGGTCAGATATTACTGTAACTCGGAAGCTATAGTAGTACTGGCATGGTTGTATTCTGCCATTGACTCGAAAGAACTTTTCCTACTACGTAGTGCCGGTAGTTATGCTGTTTACTAACCGGGTATACAACTTAGTACCTAGCCTTTTGCCGGTCGCACTTGGGATAAACTCAAATAGACAGACTATTTTGCTCCAATTTTATGGAAGAGTTACTTCCAACTTATACTGGAAGGTTTCGATCATTAACAGACTACCGATCTAAGAATGGGGCCCCATCTTCAGTGCAACTTGAACTGTATTGCCCCTCCCGGTGGCACGGATGGTGGCGTCTGATGTGAGTTTGGAGTGGAGATGTGGCGGGAGGAACTAACTGGGGCATCGATATTAATAGCCTCGATTTGAATCATTTATCTGTGACGGGGTATGTCCAGTAAGGTTCCATATGATCACAATTGTGATTGCAATTGAGTTTGTACGGACCTTAACAGTCACGACGAACTAGTATACTGTACGGAGTACTACCTACCATGGTAGAAGAGCGGAATAGTTAGTCTATAGTTTGGTCTATACTTACTAGTTAGCAGTTGACTAGAAGCTTATAGACGGATGTAACCACGGTTCTTTGCACGCGAAAAAACAAATACATCTGGGGCATATAGGGCATCCGAGAAAAAAAAGAAAAGAAAGAAAAGACAATTTGCTTTTCGTAACCTTTCTCTCAAGGTTTCTGCAATGAAGACTAGTACCACACATTTACTTTCCGCAGATCCGAGCCACCATTTGACCCCGGGATCTCTGTGAAACTCGGCATTATCTTTGGAACCGGCCGCCAGGATAGGGAGCTACAGAGACTATCAAACCCTGTCGAAGGTTCCCGAATGGTTTCAACGTCGATCACTCGGTCACTGCCGGCACTCCGCTGCTCGCGATGTCCGTAGGAAGGTGACCCCTTGTTGGGATTTTGTACGGAGTAGTCTCTGTACCTACACACTCTAGCTCGTCATCGAGGATACCTAGCAGGTGGAGCCAACAGCGTGAGACAATTCAACTGGCTCGGTATACTTAACGGGGAAGATCGACGTCGATGAGGGCACATGGCCTTGCCACGCATTGAATTGAGTTTGAGTATCGGCTGCAAAGTCCGGAGTCTGGAGTACTCCTACCTTGCTCTCCGTAGAAAGTCAAAATAGAGTATGATTTGCCCGCAGAGCGATGATCTTGCTTTTGTAAGGGATGATTGTAAGATTATCAATTCACCCCCGGGTTTCAACTGTATGATATGGATGAGCTCTGGCGATACGCAATACGACAGCTTAGTTCAATGTATTTCACGGTCGCGATTGGTCGACATCGGTGAGCGGCGTGCCCTGGTGGTGCTGTTAATGGACTTCCTTAACAACCCAAATTTTGAAAAGTTTTCTCCAAAGACGACTGATCACATATTATTGCCTCATGTCGAAACTGTCGTTATCAGATGGCAGATGGGTTATACAAGACATTCAAACCCCACGGCTAGCCCGTCTAGTGGAGAGATGCCGGATGATGAACTGGAAGCGATGCTTGCACCGACAAGCGGGCTCCACAAGTAGGGAGAGGTGGAAAAGGCAACGCCTTGGCAGTCGAGCTTGTTGATGTGATCGCAGCCTCGTGAGTCGGGGATTCTCTTTTAAGAAGGAGCATTGTAACGGGTGCAGATCAAATGTCGATCAACGGTGGATTGTACCAGACGGCGTCTAGTTGGAGTTGGGAGGTGGAAAGTAAAGATGGAAGACTTCAACCAAAATACTTTGATACGGCAGTTGTCCCGAACCCTTATCACCCGGCCGCGATGCGGAGCTCGACTGAACTTGTGTGTTCGTAGGTCCGGAGTACAGGGCGATTATGGATGCATTAAGGCGATCATTGCTTCTTCGTGGCGGCACAATGCGTTAGACGCGGCTCATTGTGGCATCAACCTTGAAAAATAGAGGAGATGGCTATGGAGTCCGGCGAAGTGCCCCGCACACTATCGCCCAAGTTAGACAAGGTACTCCGTACTCCGTAAAAGACTCAGAGACAATTCAATAGCGGCCTTTGCTAGGGTGAAAGTTTCCTGACTCCGTACTGGATTTAAGATGAAGTGGGCGGCCTGACAAGACAGTGAAATTATCAACCCCAGCCCAATCGGACAATTCGGTTCTCCACATTCCACGCGGGAGGGAAAACACCGCACACACACAGACACGGCTAGGATCACCCTAGGTTCGCATGGTAAATGAGGCAATGATTGACATGGTCAGGTCAGTCTCGTCCCGGAATGCACGTTTCAGGGGCATTTTTCTTTTGGTTTGCATGCGCTTTGCCGATGCATGGACCCCACCAGAACCGTGGGACGAGGTTGGCGGTCGAAGTCGCCCTTGCAATACGAGGCACATCCCTGCAAGGTCCTATTTCATTCCGAGTGGGGGGGGGGTGATCGCATGTTCATGCTCGTGGGTTAGCCTTTACGAACAGTCGCGTGCTGTGGAACTAGATGGAGGCAGAGCTACACATCAGTGCCGAGGCAGGGGATCGTGACCACTTGAAGCAGACAGCCTTGGCTGGAAGTGGGAAACTTCTGACATCTGTCTATGGGAATTGTCAATAGGACCAAGGGAATTCGGGTTAATTCTACTCATCCATCCAATAAACTGCGGATGTCGGACCCTCCGCATCCACCGAACAATTCAATAGTTCCACCAGATCGACCGCGGTCTTTCCAAGCAAGCCTTTTTGTTCCTTCTGCACGTCCCCCGGCTCCACTGGGGTTGGCTTGACAATTTGCAATTGGATCGTGCAACTAGGACGGTCACCTCCGCTTTTCAGCCTCGATTCAGATTGATGCTTTTCTTATAAGGGCTCGTGGGTTTCCGCGCGTCGCTCGCTGAATTGAGGAGTGGTTCTGCTGCTGATACGCACCCTAACCCACTTTACTTCACCACTTTACAATGGGAACGGTTGTCTACCAGTCTCCCCAGTCACTCATTTTCGCATAATGTCGCTTCACGATCAATATCCGGCCTATGGTGGTCGTGGACCAACGGACCTGCGTCTGGGTATTTCCCTCGCGGTCATTGCCACCATCTTCATGGTTATGCGGGTGTATGTCCGCCTGCGGGTTAACAAATTCGGTACAACCGCATTGATATTATCTCTCGTTGCTTGGGTGAGATACTCCGGATAATACTATAGTCACCTGCCATTGAGGCAGTTCTCAAAGTGGTGTATGTACTAACGCAGAACAGCTTTTCACGGCCATTACTCAAGTCTTTGGTATCCTTTCAGTCCTTCACGGTCTAGGAAACCATATCACAGTCATTATGGAAGTCGGCGAACTTCACAACTTTCTTCTCTTCACATGGATCACGGTATTCTTCTTTAACCTGGCCATCCCAACCGGCAAGGTGGCGGTGGCTGCATTCCTTATTGAAGTCAACGGACAGGGCAGTAAGTGGTCCCTTTCATAGTTCTTGTCAGGGATCGACACTCACACATCATCTTTTCACAGATCCCAAGATTCGCAAAAGTCTCATCGCCGTGGCCGTTCTCAACATTGTTCTCAACATCCCCCAAGTTCTCATGGTCTGGTTCCAGTGCACCCCAGTCAATGCCCTTTGGGACCCTCTTCGCCAGGACCAATGCAACCACACCAAGAGTGTTTATTATACCTATTTCGTGGGTGCGATCGCCGCACTATCCGACTTCTACCTCGCCATCATCCCAATCCAAATGCTGGTCCCATTGAAAATCGACCGCAAGTTAAAGTGGGGTCTGAGTTTCCTCATGGGTTGTGGTATTTTCGCGGGAGTCGCTGCAATTGTTCGCACCTGGGCGGCTAAATTCATTCTCGACGTCGATTCATCCTGTAAGTCAGCCTTGGCTTTTCGCCTCCCCCTGCCCCGGCGCCACTCCATATCTTGAAACATGTGACTAACCCAAAACCTAAATCTAGATGGCGTCGGCACCCTGTTCCTCTGGGGCGAGGTTGAAGAATGGATCGTCCTTATCACAATGTCCATTCCACCCGTCTGGCCGCTATTCCGCCCCTTCACCACCCGCTTCATTAAATCCAATCTATCCCGTACGCCTGGCCCCAGCTACAATTACAATTACCAGTACAAGAATGCCGGCTACAGTACGACTGCTATCGCTTCGCCCATGTCACCCAATTTCCCCCCGCCAATGGTCACGACTACGATCTCTATTTCTTCAGCGAAGGATGGAGCAACGACGATCGTACCCTCGGAAACCGGGTCGAGAATCTCGGATGAGCGAACTCCGCATAATATTCTGGATAAGAATGATGCTCAGGGTGCTTGGGTTGAGTTGGGGGAGATTCCGGATAAATATAGGAGGAATCGATCGCCTGCGCCTTGATTTGTTGGGTTAGGGTGAAAGTTTTCTTGGTTGACTTTTTGTCTAATTACGCTCTCTATTAATTTCATGACTGATGCCCCTTCACAAATTCTGGCTACTTGAGCTTTTATTGCTCTCCTCCCGTTTTAACTCCCTTTTTCCTTACCACTCACATTGTCTATAGAAAAAGGCTTTGCTATCAAGCACCAATGTGCTGAATTAGGGACCAAGTTCGTCATAACCTCATCAAGTATGAGGCTGTGAGGATGACGCCAAAATTAACTCCCCAGTCGGCGTCCCAAAGGGGCATCCGGGGTGGCGGACGAATAGTTTTCTTGGCGTGTTTGTCTGCTGGGACTATTTCCGGCCTGATGGACAAAGTCAGACTTTGCCAACGCATTGGCGAGTATAGGAAACGTTGTTGGGAGGTTTTACTCATTATGAGTCACTTAAATTCAAGTTCTTCACATATTAGTTGGTTGGGGTCTATCATGAGTAGTAATAATTGCGGGCCTGAGACCCCTACTACTATAAGTATAAAGATACCGTATACCGAAATGCAACCACACTCTAATTACCAGCACGATTTGTCCTTCTTTTGTCTTTCTCCGACGATCAAGTTGTGTTTTGCAATCTAATTCCAAAAAATGACCGCATCAACGCCGCCGGTCGGAGTCGCCGTTACTGCGACCCATGTGGTTACAGTGAACACCCGACCCTTCTACAAGATCCATTCATTCTGAGTCCATTCGACCAGCTCGTTCACTTCGTCACGCCTATCAATGCCGTCTGGATCTACGAACCCTTGTCCTCGAGCGATACGGTTCCACTCGAAAGACTGCGCAACGCTATCAGTCGGCTCCTAGACTATTATCCCCACTTGACAGGCCGAATGCATATCGACCCTAATACTGGAGTTCGTACCATGACCAGAATTGGCAGTGGTATTCATTTACTCGAAGCCAAATGCGACGCATCGTTACAATCCTTCGCGAGGGGGTCTTCTAAATGTGATAAGCAATTCAGCGTTTTTGATCTTCCCAATGCAGGAAATGCACTGCTGGCGCCATGGGATTTGTCTCTTGGTGGGAGACAGCAGGATCCTGTTTTTACTATTCAGCGTACCGAGTTTACGTGTTCGTCTGTGGCTATCGGCATCGGGCTATCGCTTGTTGTCGTTGGGGCTGGCGGTTTCCTGGGCTTGTATCAGGACTTGACGGCAATTTATCGAGCGATGACTATTGACCCAGCGATTGAAGAGCTAGTAGAGTTGGCATAACCGCCATGCCTAACGCCGTTTATGGTTACTTCAATGCAGCGCATGGGTGTTGAAGAACCACGAAAGACGCTTACTGAGTTACTGCCGGGATACTCTTTGCAGCATGACCTGGATCATGATAATGGTACACGAGCTGAAACACATGCCAAAAATGAAGCCCGGTATATGAACACTTTAAAAACAGATCTAATCGTGGGCCGGATCCTGCGGTTCTCACCTGAAGCACTAGCCACCCTGGAAAGTCGGGCGGTTGATCTAAATGAAGGCAGCGATGCTTGAGTCTCCGCTTTGACCGCGTTATCAGCACACCTCTGGCAACGAATACATCTTGCTCGCCTGACACGAGCTACTTCAGATGACGAGAGGGATTCGGTATTCTCACGCTCTGCGTTTCTTACTTGCGTGAACTTTGCACCTCGCCTCGGTCTGTCTGAGCGTATGTTTGGTAATACTGTGCTGACGCCATCCGTGGATTTGGACTCTACAAAGCTGGTTCAAGCTCCCCTTTGGGAAATTTCGAAGACCATTAATAGTCACATTCGAAATGTCTCTGTTGATGAGGTACATAAACTTGGGAGTTGGATTGCAGCTCAGTCCAAAATGTCAGATTTCAACTCGACTTGCCAGTTACGCCGTCCTCGTTCATCGCGACTGGATGGCATCGCTTTCCTTTGTACCATGGCGCCGAACTTGATGTGGCACCCACATTTGCGAGCCCTATTTTCATGGATGCTTTGTTTGATGGTATGATTTGTTTCGTGGAGGCTAAGGCTAGGGATGGTGGTGTTGAAGCTGTGGGTTCTCTGAGATCCTCAACTTGGGAACATCTTGATCAAGATATGGGTTGTATCATTTCGTGGGAATGAGTAGCTGACCAGGTTATGTTTGATTATGAGAATAACTGAATTTGAGGAAGGAATGGAGGCAATTATCTTAGAGTTCAGTTCAGCTGACTTCTTCGGGCGAGAGCCTTTACTGCAACCACATAGTTTGCTCATAAGCGGTCGTACTACTAGGAACTTCCTCCATCCTAGTAGGCCCCTGGCCCAGAGAAGTCCCCATAATAGCCCTGGAGGCAACTAGGAAAATCTTTACCCCAGATTCGAATGGCTGGGATTCCCAAATCCGGGGTTGGGCCGTGTTTCCGACCAGCCGAGATTTAGCCGGCGGGGTCAACACCAGTCCGGGTGGCACCTGTCCGGCATGACGGTTATGATGGCTGTAGTTGCCAGAGTTTATGTGAATCCATTCGAGTCAGATTGGACAATTCGATCTCTTTTTGCTATCGTCACTTCGTGTTGCTGAAATTAGCCCCTAGCGAAGCTTAATGCATAGACTTCAACCTTGGAAGTTGAGCGATATATTTCCTGCGGTTCATACTTGGATGGGTCACTACTAATTGCATAGATACACATTACTGCCCGGGTAGCAGCTTGCATCATAAACAGCCCTTAGGACCAACTCATCACAAATCCTGTGACTTAAAACAACCATTTTATTGTCCCAGTAGAATGTCAACCCCGACATGCCGGCCAACCAACGGGGCTATGCTTCGCGCGCGTTTCAGGCTAGCTCGGCTCTTGAAAGTGCATGCCGCATCCCGGGTGGCAGCGAAAGCAGTAATCCGACGCGTCAGGGTGAGGAATAAGGTAATTAGAAGCAGTGGCTGGCGGTTAAAAAGGCAGTATTTGTGGAGAAGATTAAGTTGGACCAGGTTCTCCGCAGTCTCCCCACATTGGATCTCCCCACGGGGGTTGACCAGTGGAGGAAGAAAGGTTAAAAGGAGCGGTTATCCACGAGGGAATATGGAATCCAGCGTGAGATAAGATCGAGATCAACATGGACGAAAAGATTCCTGCCAGTGAGCATGTGCAGCAGCAGCGAGTAACGGGGAGGGCAAACGAGGGAATCAGCTGGGCGGAAGCCTGGAAAAGCAGGCGCGTTTTGCTTTGGTGTGAGTTCTTCTTTCAGCTCCACCTCCACCTCCTCCACCTCAACTAATGCCTCTCTCTTCTTCCCCCCAGGCCTTTTCATCTTCCTTCTCCCAATCAATTTCGGCTATGAAGTCAGTACGGTCGGAAACCTTCTTGCTGTTGACTCCTTTCTCAAGGAATTCGGCGTCGAAGCCAATGGCATCCTCGAGATTCGCGCTACAGATCAACAAATCCTCAATGCAGCCAGTACCATCGGTCTGTTCTGCTCCGCCTTTGCAACAGGCCTCATCTCCGACCTGATGGGTCGAAAGAAGACAATCATCGTCGGCTGCATACTTTGCGTTGGGGGAATCATCTTACAATATTTCAGTCACAGCATTCATGAACTCTTCGGCGGCAAGCTGCTGAGCACCTTTGGCTTTGGCTTGGGTCACTCACTCGGGCCAGTGTTTGTTGCGGAACTGGCACCGCCCAAGGTCCGCGGTATTTGTCTGTCACTGGTGAATACTATGATTGTGCTTGGTCAATGGATCAATTCTGCCGCGGTTCTCGCCTGCTCCAACCGATCCGATGACCTGGCCTGGCGTATTCCAATTATTACCCAGATGATTCCACCTGGTCTTCTCCTCATCGGCCTTCCTTTTCTCGCCGAGTCGCCATCCTGGCTTATCATGAAAGATAGACACGAGGAAGCAGCTCGATCATTCCGACACTTCAATGGACCCGACTTTGATGTTGACGAGGCTATGGCGATCACTACGGCCGCCGTTGCGCAGGAGAAAGAGCTCTCGCGTACTGGGTCGGCGTGGTTGGATTGTTTCAGGGGGCCGGATGGACGTCGCACGCTCATCATCTGCATGGTATATATCGCTCAGCAGTTTATCGGGGTCAATTTCGTGTCTGGATATTTAACGTGAGTCAAAGGAGCTACAATCGCTGGTTCAAGGCTAATAATCATCTTCTCTCTTCTTAGGTACTATTTCAAGCTCGCCGGTGTCAACGATGCCATTGCGCTGGCTCAGGTCGCATTCGCTATCCAACTCTTCGGAAACATCTGCTCGTGGCCTTTGGTCGATCGGCTTGGTCGCCGACCGATGATTGTTGGCGGTATGATGATCATGACGGCGGGTCTGTTGGTCATTGGAGGTATTAGTACGATCGGGTCTAGCTCAGCACTCAAGGCAACTGTCGCATTTATGACATTGTGGGGATTTTTGGTAAGGCTTCCAGCTACTTTTCTCGAATGTATCCAGAGGTCAGGATTAACATCTCGATAGTATCAAGCCACTCTTGGTGCTGTTGCATATGCAGTTGGCGGTGAAACTCCCAGTCCACTTCTACGCCAGAAGACATACTCGATCAATATCATGTCAGCTACGGCCGTTTCATGCGCTGTGCTGCAAATCCTGCCATACCTTCTGAATACGGATGAGGCGAATATCGGTGGCAAGATCTGCTTCATCTTCTTCGGTCTGTCGCTGCCCATGTGCTTCTACCTGTACTTTTGCTTGCCGGAGTTAAAGGGACGCACAGTGGCTGAGATTCAGGAGATGTTCCAGGCTGGCTTGCCTGCTCGAAAGTTCAAGGATTATGTTTGTCAAAATGAGACGGTGGCTGTGGTTGGTAAGGCTAGGATTCAGGCCCATGCTGAAGGAGAGGAGTGATTAGTGTTTATGTTATTGAAATGATTCGTTGCTACTGAGTTCGCATATTAATAAACGAACTGTTGCCATCCAATTATACGAGCGTGTAGGTACTGGTATTAATAACGCGGGAAATTGCATATTGAACCTTTCAACTTTCGAATTTGCTTTCCCCTTAATAAATAGGAGAATGATTTAGTCATTGTTTCTCCTTGATAAAATAAGGAGGCCGGGGAGTGGTGAGTTGTGAGTTGTGGGTTGAGGGCATACTAGTACTAGAGTATCCCCGTTTCTGGCGATGTGCTGCCTACAACTTCCCAACTGCATCCACCTGGACAGCATGCAAGCAACCCCACTGAGGGCCCATTGAGGGCCCACGTCAAATGGATGAAGACCAGTAAGGGTTCAAGTTCATTCACCCTCTCCCAATCCACTCAAACCTGCACCCTCCCTTCACATCGGCACTTCCACTGGTATTTGCTGCATCAAGTTTCACACTACGCGCATCTTTCACTAGCAACTTCATCGCACGCCTCTTTCATAGCCTAGTTATTAGGATTCCCCAATTATTCCATCTCCTGCCTCTCATCCCAACCATCATGGACGACCACTCAACCCCCGGCGACCTCCTCGACAACTACGACCTGATCGTGAAATACACCCATGCAATCCACCTCCTCAAACTCCTCTGCATGAATGCCTACATCGAAGCATTCGACGCAAAGACCGACACCCCTCTCGGCCGACGTGCCCTGTACATGGATCGCCGCATAGGATACAACGACACGTTCTACTTCCTAACCGACTTCATGTCCGGCGTGACCTACCTCAACAAGATCCTACAGAGACTGCAACTTACACCGATACGCATCCAGGAAGGCTACGTTGCCGCGACAGAGCACACCTCTATTCAGGACCAAGTGCAGAAAGTCAATCATCTTCGTCGGGCACTGGGTATGCCGGTCGTTAATCTGCTAGAGGACGCGGCGAAGTTTGGGAATTGGGAGATCGGTCCTGATCAACTTACTCTCAGCGAACTTCTTTTCGAACTGATCTTTCGCTCCATTTACTCGACTGCGATTGCGGAACTTGCGGATCCGGAGGAACCCACGGCGATTGTTTCGGGTGGTGATACGGAGGTGGATCGGATTGCTGAGCGGTTCAGTCTTCTGGGACAAAGTCATGGTCATGAGTTTGTGGCGGGATATGGTGGAAATCAGCCTGGTTCGAGTTATGGATATGGAAATCGTCCGCCACAATATTCGAATATTGGAGATGATGAGATTCTTGAATCGTGGCTGCACCCGCGGCGCTAGGGATGTGGATCGTCGGTGGATATGGGTCTCAGGCTGCCCGAGGACATGTTCGGTAGAGATCATCGGGATGGCGATTGATGAAACGGTGAACCTTGAAATGGGCCACGGATACGCAAGGAAATTTCATGATCTGGTTCTTAAGTGTCAATACATCTGGCAATCAAATGCTTTATTCAACTTTCCCAATTAGGATGGAGTAGACTACTGTTCGATCCTCCCCATCACTTTTAGATCGTGCTGTAACACAGAGATCTAAAAATTTAACTTCGAACGCATTGCAACAAACTATAAAATGAAAAGTCGTCTTGTAGCCAAACCACATGGTACTCTTCCTAGTAATACAATAGCCCCCCCTCCCTTTTGCGAATTCGAACACCGTAATAATGCGGTCTATTTCTGATATTATTGGCCTAGAAAATTGTGAGCAGTTTGTTTTTCAAGTCCAACAGGAACGTTGTTTTGTAAAATTGGCAAAATCAATTTTCGAGTGCTGTGCCTTGTAGTTATCTTAGGCCTTGAACTCCATAACTAACTTGCATAGATCGATCGCTGGCTCGCTCGGTCGAATCACCATGATCGTCATGTTCCGCTTTCTTCTTCCTTCTGCTCGTTTCAAGCGTTTCATTATGACTCTCATTTCGGGAATATTTGATAGCCGAGGCTAAAAACAAGCGGAATCGGATTCCACTACTATAGCGCGAAACCGACACCCCAGCCAAAATTCCCCACGGGGAGCAGATCATCTCGTGTCATCCCCGGCTTTATGCGTGGGGGAACAGCTGAAGCGCCACTCACCCACGTCAGGCCTCTTCTGCCGTGTTACCGACATTGCGCAGCGAATCACATCTGAAAATATCTGGAGCTTTGAATATGGCTGGTCGCAGGACGTGGGGTGTGCAGGTGCATTTCCCCGAAACTATTCTCCGAAGACTCTGTGAGCTTGGTTAGACTGCGGAGACTAGTCCGTTTCCTGTGGTCGTAAATTTTGGCATAGAAGTTATGCTGATCTTTTCCCCGGATTTCCGAACCGAGCAGGGGTCCGCGCCCAGATTTTTCGATATTTAATGATGGGTCTGGGGACATATTCTGTTGATTATCGCCAACAAAGACTTTGTTTTTGATAAACGGACTCATATATCCTTTCCATTGACCTGAGATCTTAGGAAAAACCAGTATTTTCTGGTTGCCACCAACATGCTCGATATCAATATAGACTTTAAACGTCACAAATGGGCGATAATATACTGTTCAATATCCGCCATAGGGGCCTTTGTCTTTGGGTATGATAACACCTATTACAGTGGAATCCTCGGCATGCAGGAGTTCAAGAATGACTACGGTAGTCAATATGAGAATGGTCAAAAGGCACTTGCAACCAGCTTCACTTCCCTTACAACTTCCAGTATTTACATTGGCGACATGGTTGGTGCCTTTCTCGCTGGACCGTTGAACGATCGTTTCGGCCGTAGAATTGTTCTTTGGATCGCTTCGTTTCTCGTTCTAGCAGGTGGTATTACACAAACTGCGGATACTCATATCGAGGGGGTCATTGTGTTGGGTCGAATTCTCATTGGCCTTGGGGTTGGTAACTTCACAGTCACGTCGCTTCTCTAGTGGGTGCCATTTTGATTTGATTTTCGCTTTCCACCTCTGAGAACACCTCTAACAAGCTAGTAGCATGGGAGAGGTGGCGCCTATTGAGATCCGCAGCCCGGCACTCTACATGTACCAGTTCATCCAATCCTGCTCGCAACTAGTCGCTTCCGGCACCACGCAAGGCACGAATGAAATCAAGTCATCTCTTTCATACAAACTACCAATGGGCGGTCTTGTCATTCTACCTCTTGTGGCATTTGCGCTTTTGCCATTTATCCCGGAGAGTCCGACCTGGTATGTGTTCCGGGGAAGACGACACGAGGCCGAAACCGCGCTCCGAAAGATTCACCAAAACAATCCGACATATGACCCATCTGCCGATATCACCCTACTGGAACGGGCAAGAGAATATGACAATGAACAGGCAAAGGCATCATCATGGAAGTCATTGATCTGCGATCCCGTCGAGCGCAAAAAATTGATTTGGGCCGCAGGTGGGATGTATGCGCAGCAAATTTGTGGTATCATCTTTTTTTTACAACTATGGGGTGGTTTTTGCGCAGGAAATTGGTGTCTCCCAGCCATTCACCATCACCCTTATCACGATGATTCTGCAAATATTCGCGGTCGCGGCCTCGGTGCTTACGGCGAACAAGCTCAGACGACGAACAAATCTCCTCATCAGCACCGGGTTGATCTTCATGTCCTTCATCGTGATCGGGGGTATCGGTACGCAAAAGGAGCTTTCGACGGCATCGAAATACGTTATTGTGATTTTCTCCTACGTCGTGATCTGCGCATACAATTTCGGTCAGGGGCCCTTGACATACGCTATTACACGTGAATTATCCGTTGGGGTTAATCAAAATAAGATCATTTCGATCTCGATTGTTGCTCTTTACTTCTTCTTGTGGGTCATTTCTTTCACGGCACCATACCTTTACTATGACGCCGGGCTTGGGCCAATGGTCGGTTTCGTTTACGCTGCGACAACTCTCACTTCGCTTGCTTGGGTTTGGTTTTGTGTTGGAGAGACTCAAGAGAGAACACAGGTGGAGATTGCTACATTCTTTGAGGAGGGTATTCCGGCTCGTCAATGGCAAAATCATGTCTTCGCTGATAATCGGGGGCAGGAGAAAGCTTTGAGAAGCCAGGATGGAAGGAAAATGACCATGTAATATTCAACGAAAGTCAGAAAGTTTGAGAAGAGAGGAACGGAAAAAGACATGCTTCAAGGCTCAGATGGCTATAAGAAGAGATTCGGGCATGGATGTCTGGCTAATGTGATATCAGTCCGTCACCACCTGCGTGCTATCTCGTTCCATATAATTTCTGAGGGTGATGAAGAAAGAATATTCTCAAAGAAAGGTGTCTTGCCTCTAGTTGATTTTCAGTTCCTGGTTGGGTGCTGTAGGCACTCTACCATTCAGGAGTATCTCTGAGAATCTAAGACAGGTTCTGCCTCATGTAGCCACAGTCTGCTCCCCCAAACAACAGCCCTGCCGGGCTAGCTCAATCGGTAGAGCGTGAGACTCTTAATCTCAAGGTTGGGGGTTCGACCCCCCCCCGTTCGGCTATTCCTAAAAAAATCACCTGAGATATTTTTTATTTTTCATTCAAAATGACAGACGCCTGCCTCTACTAGTAACTAATATTTTTTTGTATCTTTGTTTTTCGATTGATAGGCGACATACTGCTAGTACTAACCTAACTTTATAGACGCAGGAGCTTGAGGCCAAAGAGGCGTCCCGTTTCAAGGGCAAGTTATATATAGGGTTAGTTGAATCAGTGGAAGATAAATCCATAATTTACATACAACCTTGGAAGTCTGGTGAAAAGTAACACTTATAATCAGTCATTAAGATCCAACAGGATAACCCGGCTGTACATTAAGGCTGCCTGTTGCTCGTATCTACCATGGGAGATAAGCGTTTGCTTGGCATTTCTTGTTTCCACCTCTCCACCTCTCCCCGCTTTTTGACCCTGAATTGCCCCAAATTTCAGCCTCGATCCAATCATCATTGCTAGGCAACAACTAAATAAGATCCCCTCAGCTGGAACTCCGTCGGCTCTCCAATGTATCCACTACAAAGCTAAGCCAAAAGCTGATCAATGACGCCATGTACTGCCATGTCACCTTCCCAGTTGTTTCCAACGTTACAACGCGCGAGCCTCGGAGGACCCCACTAAACCCCTCAAATAGAAAGGAGTTTGTTGTGAAATTGGAAATCCGATGTATCACGACGGATCGCTCCGCCGCTTGCCCGTTCAATCTGCATGCGGATTGGCGAGGCTTGGTGCTGCATTAATCTCGGGAGAGCCATCGGGGTTCCAACATCGCTCAGGCCATGCGCGCTCCACCTCCGACTTATCCGGAAAGTACTTAAACGAGTTCCCCTGACACTCCGCTGCGGCGAACTTGACTCTCACCAGGAATCGACCGAGCTCTCACCATGCGTGTCCTTGTTCCCTTGACTGCCTTAGTGGCCACGGTCGCGGCTTTGAGCAGCCCCCATCGCAAGGCCACGAAGAAATCCAGTGTCGCCAACCATATTCAGAAGCGAGACACCCACTCCGTGGACCAGGCTGACTATCAGTACCTGAACAAGAAGACTCAGCGTAAGGAGCCGTACTACCTCCCATATGAGCGTCGATGAAACTGATCATTTGCTGTAGAATTTCTTGTCAACGGAAAGCATTTCCCTCAGGTTCCGTTTGACATTGGAGAGAGTTATTCAGGACTGCTATCCAATACACCTCATGGAAATTCCAGTTTGTTCTTCTGGTTCTTCCCATCGACAAACCCTGATGCCAAAAAAGAGGTATCCACCCGACCGTTTTAACGAGAATCTCTCTCGAGAAAAAAAAAGCATCCGCTAATTGTCAATCTAGATTACCATCTGGTTGAATGGCGGTCCCGGTTGCAGTTCCCTCGACGGCCTTCTCCAGGAACATGGCCCTTTCCTGTGGCAGTCCGGCACATACGAGCCTGTTCGCAATCCTTACTCGTGGACGAACTTGACCAACATGGTTTACATCGACCAACCTGCCGGTACGGGTTTCTCCCCCGGCCCGGCTACTGTGCAGGATGAGATCGACGTCTCGAATCAGTTTAACGACTTCTGGAAACGTTTCATCCAAACCTTCAGCATGCAGGGTTACAAGATTTACATCACCGGCGAGAGCTATGCAGGCCAGTACATCCCGTACTTGGCTTCCGGGTTCCTCGACCAGAACGATACCACCCACTTCAACCTGAAGGGCATCCAAATCAATGACCCATCTATCAATGAGGATAGCGTCATGATCTACGGTAAGACGAATTCTACCAGCCAATTTATTCATATAACGCAATTAGCTGACAAAAGCATTAGCTCCCGCCGTGGCTGCACTGAATCACTTTTCTAACGTGTTCACCTTGAACGATACATTCCTTGCCGACATCAACGAGAAGGCCAAAAAGTGTGGCTACAACAAATTCCTGGACACTGCCCTCACCTACCCCCCTCCCAAGGACTTCCCTGTCACCCCAGACCCCAACGAAGACGGCTGCAATGTTTGGGATCAGATTTTGGTGGCCGCAACATACATCAACCCTTGCTTCAACATGTACCATCTGACAGACTTCTGCCCTTTCTTGTGGGATGAAATGGGATTCCCCTCTTTGGCTGGAGGCCCGAACAACTACTTCAACCAGTCCGCTGTTCAAAAGGCCCTTCACGTCCCGCCTACTAACTACGCAGTCTGTGGAGGTGATATCTTCGGCAAGAAGGGCGATCAATCCGTTCCTAGCGCCCTTGGCCCTCTCCCCAGCGTCATTGAACGGACTAACAACGTGCTCATCGGTCACGGATGGTTGGATTATCTCCTCTTCCTGAACGGAACTCTTGTTACTATTCAGAACATGACGTGGAACGGTGCCCAGGGTTTCCAGAAGCCACCAACTGAGCCCCTGTTTGTGCCTTACACAAGTGCGCTGGACACCGTTGCGAACCAACAGGGCTCCATCCCATGGACCAATGACGCGGGTGGTGGCATCCTTGGTACTGCGCACACTGAGCGTGGCTTAACCTTCAGCTCTGTCTATGGATCTGGACATGGTGAGTAATGGAGTGTCTTTCGACGATGGAAGAGTGCTGACTTCTCTACAGAAATTCCGCAGTATGTCCCTGGTGCCGCCTACCGTCAGCTTGAATTCCTGCTCGGTCGCATCAAGAGTCTCCAGGACAAGGGGCCCTACACTACCCAGTAGGCACCTAGATTTTACATGACCATCGTAGACATCAAGCACGAATGACTAGAGCAATGGGTCATTTGCGCTCTGTACATACTACTTGAAGGTTCACTTCACATTACAAAGCAACGTTGCTTAAAATAACTTGAAATTCAAATTCGAATATCCTAGTAGACCGTTTAACCCCTGGCGTAATTCTGAAATCATTTAGGTCGCTCCCCTTTTCCCGAAATAGCGTCTCGAAGAATTCCAAATTCCACGGGCGCCTGTTGCGATCTCGTGTCTTCCATCATAGAGAGGGTAGATAACCACCGCCCCAAATGCTCCAAATTGCCATATAATAGCAACCGTGACCCACCCAGAAAAGAAGGACTTGGTGAAGATGTAGTCACGATAAAGCGGGAGAGGCCAGGCGACAATAGTGACCAAGACAATGACAACAAAAAACACGATGGCAATTTTCAGCCAGCGGTAGAGTTCTTTGATTGTTGCTTCATCGAATGGATGCTGGATGTCGTCTAGACTTTGTTGCTCCACCGCAAGGGACGGTGGTGTCTTCAGCGGAGCCTTTTCATCGATACCGCCAACACGCTCTGGGTCATTGTTGTTGATCGGTTTTTCTGTGGGAGTATTCCCAACAGGCTTGGTGATCTCGTTACCCTTCGATGTTTCGGTATTCTCATCCCCGCTATCGTTGGGCGTCGCAGAGTCGGAATCGGCGTGAAGTTTGGCTTCATCTTGTAGTTCGATGCGGAGGAATACTCGCCAGTCGAAGGTGTAGGGCTTGTACAGCGAGAGAAGAACAGAGTACAAGGCCGGCGAGAAGAAAGAAGCAATCGCCGCATAAAGGGCTGGATATTGATTCGATGTAGCTGCAATGTCCACAGCGCCGTACATTGTCTTCGCGGTTACGAGCCAAACAGTAAGACCCGTGAAGAAACCAAGGATCGGGGAAATAATGGCAGCAAGCCGAGTTTGTCTCGACCAGAATAGTGTAAGAACGACCGGAATTATTCCGGGGCAGGATATCACAGGTCGCAAGTAGCCAATCCAAGTCATATTCGCGCCTCCGTAGTTCAATGCGATTGAAATACCAGTGATGAAGACACCGTGAATCACGACTGTCAGATGACTGACCTTCACGAGTTTTTTATCTGTCACCTGTGGGTTGAGGTATGTTTTGTAAATATCATAAGACAAAATACTGCTGACTGCAATCATGGAAGAGGACACCGTGCTGGTGATTGCCATAAAGAGTAAGATGAAGAATCCTACGATTCCGCCGTCACCAATCAGCGCTTTGATAACATATGGCATCACCATGCCCATGCTGACTTCAGTGTCAGTCAGAGGGTCGGGGTAGGTTGGGAAAATGGGAGTGTTGTGGATTGCCCGAGCTGTCAAGCCTAGCACTGTGCCGATTCCCCAAGGGATGCCGAAAACCGCGAGCGCAGCGATATTATAGCCAGGGACGGTAGCTTTCACTTCGGTTGCAAACGATTTTTGCCAGAATGCAGTATCCTGGTAGAAATGTTAGAGTATTGAAACTCGAGAATATAGTATTCCAAGGTTGTTTGCTTGCTTACCATAACGACAAGAGCCAAATTGCCAAACTTCAGAATTAAACCCCAGATGATTGCACCCTTGGATTTAAAAGTGAGGACAGACCCTTCGTAGTTACCAGATATGTAGTTCTCACTCGCAGTAGCGGCCACTTTCTCATAGAGACCACCTAAACCGCCAATCGCGTCATTCGTCAGAACAGCAAGGGTGAAGTAGATGATCAGGATCAACGCGATTGCGGTATGCAGGAAGTCGGTTAGGAAAGTGGCCTTCAGACCACCTACTGCGGTATATAGAACAACTAAGACGTATTAGCTGCGGCCTATCATGTTTTCAGGGTATCGAGATCACTTACCTCCTAGTGGAATCAGAATAGTCGCTGCCACAAAGTGCATACCCGAGACACCATAGATAAGCTGGGACCCCGTCATGATCATAGAGGCACAGCCGAAGACATTGTTCACTAAATTGAGTACAATAAAAACAAGATGTCCAATCTTGCCATATCTCATTCGCACAATTTCAAGAGAAGTGTGCGCGTAGGGAACTCGAATTTTAGCCATGACGCCAAGTGCTGCCATCAATGCAATTTGGAAACATAGTCCAGATCCCCACCACTATAGGTATGTCAGAGATTTGCCAAGTATGGGAAAAAAAGGAAACACGATTTTCATACCAATGGAACGGCCAAGCCATACCTGTAGCACATTGCAGCTGCCAGCACAGTCTCGTTGATCCACATCCAAGATGAAAACACTGCGGATGCTGTTAAACCCGTTCCAACAGACCGATTGGCGACCATGAACATCTCCGACTTTCCAGAATCCTCCGAAAGATACAGCTTTTGGATTTTAACGGCGATCAAAATGACACCGCAAAAAAGGACTCCAAGTCCAATCAGGAGCCCGTAGGCCGCACCCTGAGAGATCAGGGTCAGCTTGCCCGTGTCTATCGTATTTGACATGGTGGGATGCCGAGGATTGAGGAACGCGAGAAGCAATGGCCTCGGGCCCTTGGAATTCTTATTTATTCATTTCGCGGACCATTCTCTTCTTGGCCTGGAGCTTGGTCTATTTTCATAGCCAATGATTTCAAAGAATCACAGGCGCCCAGAATTTCCATATGGTCGGAGCTTTCTCACGTCGTCCAAATCCGATATTGCGTTATGCAGAGCGACTCCAATATGACGTTCCGGAACGTTTCTTAAAGCATCGCGAAAGGAAGTTAACTTCTTTCAAGACGCTAAAATCCGAACTATCAAACTTGATTGGTCTTAGCGATCGTGTTGGGTGGAATTTAGGGGTTGTGAGTCGCGATGGCGTGCGTCCATGGCGCGATAGCGAGTCGATTCTGCGCTATCTCGCACCAACTAAATCACCTCGTTCTTCTCCACATTACCATCACTCCGTAGGAATATGAAAGGGCCCAGATATTTGTCGGCCGATAGGATCATATTCGACATCAGCTTGAAGAATAGCGAGATAGAATCGATGGCGAACAGAAGAGTGTCAATGTTGGCCATGCTGATACCATCCTAGGATAGCTGCCGATAGACCCGATAGAAGTATTCAAAACGTGAGGACTCCCATTCTCTCGAGACTGACGATTACCAGTTCAATGACCCTTCAATTCTGATACATTGCAACGAACAGAGATAAACATGGCAGACTCGGAGACCAAAGAGCCTCAACTCGGGAAAGTCCGAAGGATAAAAAACAGATTATCCTGAATGCCTTCGTTATGAATGCCCCCGGCCATTTGGCCCCCGGCCTATGGAAGCACCCTCGAAACCAAACAGACCAGTACAAGAAGCTTTCATTTTGGACAAATCTCGCGCAACTGCTGGACAAAGCAAATTTCCATGCCATGTTCATCGCCGACACACTTGGTCCATACGATGTTTACAAAGGTCCGGCCAATGTAGTCCCATCACTCGCCTCGGGCGCACAATTCCCCGTCAATGACCCGCTATATCTGGTACCTGCCCTGGCTGCAGTAACCAAGAATCTAATTTTCGGCGTCACTGCAAGCGTGACTTACGAAAAGCCTTATTCGCTCGCTCGCCGCTTGTCGACAGTTGACCACCTCAGTGATGGGCGCTTGGCGTGGAATATCGTCACGTCGTATTTGGACAGCGCTGCAAGAAATCACGGTTTGACGGAGCAAATTCCGCACGATGAGCGATACGCTATTGCACATGAATACTTAGAGGTTCTGTATAAACTTTGGGAAGGCAGCTTTCGGGACGGTGCTGTTGTCGCTGATCGCGAGGCTGGGACCTATATCGTAAGTAATGGTGTCCGACAAATCAACCACAAGGGCAAATATTTTGATGTTCCGGGACCTCATTTTTGCGAGCCATCTCCCCAGCGGACTCCATTTCTCTTCCAGGCTGGGGTTTCGGAGGCCGGGAATGGGTTTGGGGGTAAGCATGGAGAAGCTATCTTCATCGGGGGCCAGACACCCGAAGGGACGCGCTTGACCGTGGATAACATTCGCAGAATTGCCGAAGAAGAGGGTCGCGATCCAAATCATATCAAAGTTCTTGTTGGCATCAATGTGATTGTCGCGGCGACAGATGAGGAAGCCAAGGCAAAGAGAGAGGATTATCTTCGATATGCAGATGATGAGGGCGCTCTGGCCTTATTTGGCGGATGGACAGGTATTGATTTATCAACCTACTCCGATGACGAAGATTTCCGATTTAGCGACTCTCCACGAGTGCAATCTGTGGTGCGGAGATTTTCTTCCACCGTTCCAGGTACCGAGAATCTCCCATGGACAAAGCGAAGGATCGTTGAGTATATCAGCGTTGGTGGCCTTCAGGCTAAGGTAGTCGGTGGCCCTATCACCGTTGCAGATGAACTGGAGAGGTGGATTAAGATTGCTGGAGTGGATGGATTCAATCTGGCGCATATCACAAACCCGGGATCTTTTGAGGATATTATCGAATTTCTCCTTCCTGAGCTCAGACGCAGAGGAATTTTCCGTGCAGAAGTTGAGAAGGAGGGTGCGACTGCAAGGGATGTCTTCATTGGATCTGACCGATTGCCGGAAGATCACCCGGGAAGCAAGTACAAATGGCGTGCCGGGGAAGAGGTTCCTCAGTATCAACTTTCCAGTAATACTGAAACTTCGCCATGAGAGTGCGATCAAATTTATAACACCTTTATATCTTATTAACAGTAAATTTATAACTAGCAATGGACAATGAAGATGAAATTGAATAATAATAATAATAATAATAATAATAATCCCGACGATCCGAAATATCAATCCAAATATTTTCAGGCCTGCTCCGAAAGATCTGTCTTCGACCACCAAAATTCCGTTTCTTTTCTCGCCCAGTCATCCACAACAATCTTAGCAGGAGGAGCTACTTCCCCACCAATAAGTTCCTGATTATCCTTTCCAAAAAGCATAATTTTCTTTTCTGTTGGTTCAAAGGGCGACCATTCCGGTCTGTGCGGATATCGCCCTCGCACAGTATTCGGATCTCCCGTCGTAATGAAGCTGGTCAGGTATGCATGAAGCGTCCCCAATAATTCATTTTGAGATTCGGAGATTTCTCGGACATCATTGTTATATGTCTCATAATACATATTATCAGCATGACTTGCGCCGAGAATAGTGCGAGGAAGTGCCCAATGGTATAGACATACCAGGCCGCCCTGGGAAGAGGCAAGATGAGCTGTCTGACGGACGGGTGCCACGTAAGCGTAGTGTCCATATGCTGCCTCTATGCGCCGGAATTGAGCTCCGAGGCCTTCACCTGTCTCTTTGTATGGTGATCTGGGATCAATTTTTGGATCTGGATATAGCTGTTCAACCGTGTCTAGTTCGGAGGCTGAAAGGTTGGGAAGAAGATTTTGCCAGAATGTGCAGAATTCCGATGGTTCGGACATCTGCTTGTTGACATAGGCGTTTGCTTCATTTGTGTTGAATCCGGTCATTATAGGTATTCTGTTCCATGATTGAGAATGCCATGCTTCGAGTGGTTTGAGTGCAATGATATCTCCGTCGATGACTGGTTGGAAGGACCATCTTAGTGAGGGATTGTACTTATCGAAGACCGTTGTTTGAGCCTCAATTATGTCTGAGCTCGCGAGGCTGCGCAGATATGAAAATATTTCTGTTTCATCCAGGTCCTCTGGGCATTTAAGCTCTCTAAGAAAGTCTTGAAATTGCTCCTCGTGGATCTTTGCGTCATAAGGGCGGACAGCTCTAGAGGTGGGCGATCCAGATTCCATGATCGCGCGATGGAATAAATGGAGTTTTCTATGGTCGTGATTTAGCATATGATGGCCAATCTATCAGCGATGTCAGAATATATCTAGATCAAAAAGGTTATCGCCTATTTTCTTACCGAGTGCGCCCCCGCAGAGAGTCCCATTAGGGTCACATTTCCTGGATCCCCACCAAATCGACCGATGTTGTCCCGAACCCATTCGAAGAGAAGGACCTGATCCCTTAGACCCAAATTCAAGATGCCCTCATCTTTGCTGACTTTTGAAGGCAAGAAGCCAAGAGCCCCAATGCGGTACCCGGAGCTTACACCGATAAATGGCTTTCCCGACCAGGCTATCATGGAAGCAGTATCGTGCATAGCAGCAGAACCACGATTGAATGCACTGCCGTGCAAGTAAATTGCCACTGGGAGTAAACCATTGAATCGGGTAGGTAGGAAAATATTTGCAGTCAGACAATCTTCGCTTTGCTCGAGGTTTGGGCCTCCGGAAAGCAATGCCTTTCCAGGAGCTGCGTGGCCGTACTTTGAGCCATCGATTATTCCTCTGGACTCTTCTATTTTCTGAGCTGGCTTGAAACAGTTTTCTCCGGTTGCGGGCATAGCGTATGGAATCCCGAGAAATGCGTCGAGGGGATGTGGGAATCCGTCCTCCATCTGGATTCCGAGGAATTCTCCTTGGGGGAGCTTGACAGAGGGTCTTGTATTTGATGCCTTGGCGGTAGAAATTTGAAGCCAATGGAGCCTTTCTTTTCTGGTCTTCATTTGAAATATCGCGTTGTCCTGGCCGTTTCCATCGAAAATGCTCTAATAAAATGCGAATTTATTATCTGATCCGTTATCGATGATTTCATGGATAGATCATCCGAACAATATCTCACAAGCTTGGATAATCTATGATTAGGATCCATTCTTTTGCTTGCGATCATTCAAGTCTACTTATATGTCTTTCTTGTTTCTACAATTCAAAGTAAATTTTCATATTCATCACTACGATATTAGATCCTGTCCAAATGTATGTGTACAAAAGTCTTCCAATATGTTTCTTGTGACTTTTTGCTTCTCAGTGGCGATCGGCAGTGAAATCCGTCCTGAACCAAAACAGCCCACCCCTGATTTCATAATTTTCTCCCATCGGAGTTATAGACAGTGGGAATACTGCCCGAGCAAGATATACTAATAGCAGGTGGAGAAGTTGGGTCACTGGGCTTCCTTCCTCCGGAGCAATATTTCCTCCCAGCATTCATTCAAACTCTTATAATTCCCACCGGATGTGTATACAAACAAAAAATCTCCTCAATGAATGGCGAAGTGAGTCATATGTCGCCGCAGAGCGAATCAAGCGGTGAAAGTACAGCCAAATTTCCCATTTGCCGGTACGAGTTGTCCTTCCAGACCCCAGACGTTATGAGACACCCATCTTATTTTTCTTCAGCAAGCAATCATTCTGGGACCGATTTCGGTTCCATCGTTCAGAGAGACCAGACTATGATGAAGCCGAGATCCATACCTGGAATGGGGATCACGATTCGGAAAACCCGTACGTCAAAATAGCTTGAAGCTGTTGGAAGTATTTCCAATAATTGATCTGACAGAAGAGTTTCGGTATCTAGGTTCAATTGGAGCAAGACCTACAAATGGATTCTCACTCTAACGGGGTGTTTCATGTTAGTCCGATAAATGCTGCTATTCTTCCCTCCTCGATCCTTGGAACACACCGGCAAATCTAACAACCGCTATGAATTGCACAGGACCGTCATCGTATCCCTCCCAACCGGCTCCTACAGCAGCGGCAAAATATACATGGCGAAAGAATTCCACGTCCAAGACAAACCTTTCCCGAATCTGATATGGGCAACATTCTCCTTCCAGCTTGGAGCCGCTTTCTTACCGGCTATTTGCGTCCCACTTTCAGAAACTTGGGGCCGTCAGCCGGGGTATTTTGTCGGATATTCAATCCTGGTCATTTCTCTCTTTCCGTCCGCATTTGCACATAACTTTGCTACCCTGATCGTGACGAGATTCTTCGGTGGAGGTGCCGCTGCTTCGACTATCAATATCGTCGGTGGTAGTATTAGTGATGTCTGGCGTGGGAGTATGGCGCGCAGTCATCCTATGTCCGTCTATATATTTTCTACTACTGTTGGTATTTCATTGGGGCCTTTTATTGGTGGGGGTCTTCAGAGGATTCATATTGGTGAGCCGTGGAGACGGTATGTATGCTATTCCAACTTGAATCGGCCAGTCGATACTAGTACTATGGACTTGTGCCACCGGTCCGAGTCTTTGGTTATCAAGGTTACTAACTGAATGAAATGTGCTTTCTAGGATCTTTTACGTTCAAATAATGTGGGGTGTAGCCTTGATGCCAGTCTTCTATTTCATTCTCTATGAAACCAGAGGAGATGTTATTTTATCCAAACGGGCCAAGAAACTTCGTCTTCAAACAGGCCGACCTATCTACTCTAAATTCGAGCTCGAGATGCCCAGTCTCGCAAGGCGTCTAAAGGTCTCCACGACACGTCCAACTTGGATGCTTCTGACCGAGCCGGTCGTCTTTTTCTTCACGCTTTGGCTCAGCTTTGCTTGGGGAATACTCTTCGTCTACTTCGACAGTGTGTATCTTACTTTCCACCACAACTACAAGTATGATATCTTCACCGTTGGTCTTGTGGAGCTCGCAATCATGGTCGGTACTTTCATCGGTCTCGCTTTTGACCCCATCCAGGCTGCTATATACAGGCGCTCTGCTAAGAAAAATCAAGATGGAGAGAGTTATGGTAAGCCTATGCCAGAGGCTCGCCTGTATACCTCTATTCCCGGCAGTCTCCTCTTCGCAGGTGGTCTGTTCTGGTACGGGTGGAGTAGCGTTGGTGATGGATCTGTACACTGGATTGTGCCGACGCTAGGCATTGGATGTACTGGTGTAGGGATCTATACCATCTTGATAGCGGTTAACAACTTCCTCATCGATGCTTATGAGAAATACGCCGCGTCGGCCTTATCTGCTACCTCGCTGGGCCGAAACATTGTCAGCGCTGCTGTACCGCTGTCTTCCACTGCGCTCTTTACGCATTTGGGGTACGGCTGGGCTGGGTCATTGTTGGGGTTTATCGGGCTCGCTCTCTCGCTTGTTCCGGTGGTGTTAGTCTGGAAGGGGCCTCCGATTCGACGGCGCAGTCCATTTATGAAGGAGTCGACATTTGACTAATGTTGAGATCGAAGGAGAAGCTCGGTACAGCGAATGATAGGTGCTAGCAGGGAGATATTTTGGGGGGATTATGTTAGTAATAAAGTGCTAACGCACCCGGGCACTCAACTAAAGTCACTTAGTCACTTAGCTTATACAACTCTCAATATCTGGAAGTCAGACTGTAGTAGTTGGGATCGCAGTAGGTAGTTTCTGTTTATAGTAGGCATCCGCCCAGTAACGTCTATTCTTGGTCGTATAAATTCCCATTGAAAATATATGATAATATAATTAAGCAGCATTGTTCATAAATCCTTGGACGCCTGCGCTTGGCTAGGGTCTATAGACAAATCTATCCTCGCAATCGCTGTACATTTCGCGGAATTTCTTCATGAAGAGCAGTTGTCCGCTGGTCATAAGCTCACAATCACGAGCTTCTTGATCCAGCGGACATTTTTAGGGGTATTTACCCAGACATGCACACGCTTAGAAGCAGAAGACCTGGTCCTCCAGCTTGCTAACAGGGCGGGCCTTGGTGAAGCCAAGAGACTCGGTGGCCTTCTTCATCGCGCTAACCATGGGAGGAGGGCCACAGAGCAGGATCTTGACGTCGGCGGCGGGGGCAGGCAGGTGTTCCTGTTGGGCAAATGTTAGAACCTATTTCACCTCGGTACATGCCGATCACACGTGTCTGAGCTTGCTTACCTTGATCATGTCGGGGGTGACGAAACCAACGCCACCGATCCAGCCCTCAGGGGGGTTGTTCAAGACGTAGTGGACGTTGAAGTCAGCATCCTCCTTGGTGAGCTTATCCAGCTTCTCCTTGAGCAGGATATCCTCGGTGTTGACGTTGGCGAAGATCAGGTCGACCTTGGTGGTGTCATTTCCGCCGTTGCGGGGACGGTTGCGGATGATAGCCTCGATGACCTGGAGCATGGGAGTGATACCAGTACCGCCGGAGATCATACCGATGTGACGGCACATGTTGGGAGTGTAGACCATGGCACCCTTGGGGCCACGAACCTTCATGGTATCGCCGACCTTCAGTGTAGTGAGATACTTGGAGATGTTACCCTGAGCGTAAGCCTTGACGAGCAGATCGAAGTAACCGGCCTCATTGTCGGAGGAGATGGGGGTGTAGGAGCGCACAACCTCCTTGGGCTGGCCCTCAATAGTGGCGGCGAGAGAGATGTGTTGGCCGATGGGCAGGCCGAGGATATCGGTGGGACGGGGGAGGGCAAAACGGTAGATGGCGACATTGTGGGAGATGTTGTTGATCTCCTTGAGCTCGAAGTTCTGGAACTCGGTGGGGTTCAGGACCTTACGAGGCTCTGCGACGAGGGGGTGGAATGTTAGCGAGATCGGGGGAGTTACACAACGATCCCGGGCCACACCCGATCATGGGAGGTGGGATTGAGGAACACATACTGCTGCTTCCGGTAAAGAAGGCGAGACCAGTCAAGGCGGCAGCGGCAGCGACAGCATACGCGACAAACTCAGGCTTGACGGCATACACACCGGCGACCAGCAAGGCCGAGGGGATGAGGGCGGTGCCAACGTTAAAACTGGACATTGTTAGAGGGGTTTAAGCAAACCAAGGAGGAATTGAATGAATCAGGGCATTAATAGGAGCATACCTCATGGCGGGGGAGGGAATGGATAGAGAGGAGAAGGAGAAGGAGAAGGGGAGGGAAAGTTGAAGTTGAAGTTGAAGTTGGGAAGAAGCGTGACTTCCTCTCGACGGAGTCCGCTCTTCCGCCCAACGGAATTTCACTCCTCTTTGGGATTTGATTCCCCTCACCCTCACTACTTCTGACATATTGACATTGCATTGCATTCATTCATTACATTCATTGTGTTTATCATATTCATTGCGTTTCTTATATTCCTCCTGTTCATTACATTCATCTATTCTATCAATTGCATTGCATAACCTCCCATCATGGCTCCCCCTGCCTTCAATCTCACCGCGCTGGACCACCAACTCCTCGCCATGACCGACGAGGAGTTCGTAGCCCACGACTGGAATGATCTACAAAGCATTATTGGTGAGTGCGCAAATATGGGACTAACCCCCTCCTCTCCTCTCCTCATTTCCCCAAAGTTCCCCCTCACTCACCCGACTAGCCCGGAATGATCTCGCCGCACTCAAGCGGAAACCCTCCGATCTCCGCCGATACCTGGACTGGAGTGCAGCCACCAAGGCGGACTATGGCTCCATCATGAATTTTATCTGTCAGCGCCGCCTAGGTTGGTCGTTTCCGCCAGCCTCAACCGAAACAACCCCCGGCTCCACGCCGTCCCCGTCTTCAGCATCCGCCTCCAGTACACCCGCGGCTATTCAAAGTGGAGTCGCCTTCAGGAACCCGCGCCCATTTGCCGACCCTGAAGACTACAAGATTCTCCGTAATGACTGGCCCTACGGCTTGGATCCCGGCATTTCACACCTCATTGTCTGGCTACGTACCCCGATCCCAGTACAGGGGGAGGAAGGTCATCTCACCGATGAGTCGAGGGCTTTAATTGAGGACTTTGTTCAGCGGACTTTTGTTAGTCGTCTGGCCAGGGATCCGGGACAGCGCTTCCAAGATCCTAAATCACATATCTTGTGGTTTAAGAATTGGGTTGGTTTGCAGAGTGTACGTGCCCTGGAGCACGTTCATATTCTCACTAGAGATGTTCCGGAAGATATTATCTTGGAATGGTCGGGGGGAGACTGGCGTCACGCGGGAGTAAGTACGATCGCATCCCATCGTATCCCATCGCATTACATCGTATGACTATATCATGAATTCATATGCCCTATGTCCATCGCAGTGCGCGCGATTGGGTCAAATATAAGCATCCATGGGTTCCATCTCTTGCGAAGGTGGTTTTGTTCTATATAGGTGTGCCTAAGGCTGCAACATACCTGGTTAGGCCTAGCGCGCGAGCATAGGATGTTTACCTGCTGTAGTCTTCGTGTTGAAGCAAGAACCAACAACCATCATGATATTCGGTCTCAACCCAGATAGCCTTGACTCAATCCCGGTTCTAGTTTCCAGTCACCCTATCTCATGACTACATCTTGATAGACTATAGCACGGGAGGACTGGAGCAACGACATAGAGTGGGAAAACTTGAGGATCTCTCTCTCTCTCTCCTATACACATCTCTTCAACAGTTATTCATCATGTTTAGACCGCCTCACCTCGGCGAAGCGAGCATAAGGCCCATCGACTTTAACCGCACCTCCCGTCGCATGCTCCAGGACATGCGCGAGAAGACCTGGGGCTGGGTTGTCTACCGCACAACCTATCGCTCCGACCCCGCATTCCGCAAAGCAATCGAAATCCTCACTTCCTGGATTGAGCGGGGAGTCTACAAAGATCTCCCCGAGTGCGGCTTGGAAAACCCGGATCCCACGCCCAATGATCAGCCCTGGGCGCGACACCAGCTAACTGTGATCGAGGAGCCAGCTACGCTGGACGGGTGCGGGGTCATTTGAAGGCTGGGTAGAAGCCCGAAATAAACGAGATTCATGGAACAAGTACCGCGCGTGCTTGGTGATGGATGAGGCCGCTGTCCAACGGCTGTGCGAGGCTATGACGCCAGAGGAACACCGAGAGAAGCATAGAGAGCACTGTTATGCAGAGTTACAACAATGGTTTCTTCCAGCTGTGGAGTCATTTCCGGAAATCGAAGAGGGAGAGACGGATTTTGAAGGGTGGATGAATTATTCGATCTTTACTCTAATGCGGCTTTGGGAGTTGTTGGACGATGGAATGTACATGGAAGATGCCTCGCATGAGGCCGAGGACGGGGTGTTTTGATGGCTATCCTATAGGCAGGAAGGCGGTCCCTCATACAACCAAAGAAAAGTAACGGGGACGTATGTTTTCCACTTCCTCCTTTCCAGACAAGGCTGGGACTCGGATCAGTAGCCAGTGTGGTTTCATTGAGTATTGGCCGTTGATGCGTGCCTCGGGTGTCCAGGCGGCGTCTTACCATCTCTTCTAGATAGCTTCGCTCTTTTCTTTCTTCATACTTCACCACTTTTACTCTTTTCGACCAGAAATTGAGCAAGCCCGGTGCAAGAGTTTGCAAGGATTGAATAGTTCCCTCCAAATATCGTCTTTAAACTTCCGGCACTTTGTCCGACTGGTCCGACCACTTCGTCCGGTTCGTCCGAGGATACGTACCACCTTATCTGGCAACATGCCGGCAAGGCTACCATAACCCTATATCTATTATCGACCTTTTCGCCTCTCTAAAGAACATTAAGGCACCTTATTCTCTTACTCAATTTTAGTAGCAGTGGATGCCGGGCCTTTCGAGACGTTATCACTTTCTGTACTACTAGGCGACGGCCCCAAATCTCCCAGATCTTCCCGCTCTCGCGCTCGGAGCTGACGGTCCCTTATAATTTCTACACAACACATCAAAAACGAAGAAAATGGCATCAACAACTCAGATCCCGACCATCCCACCGACCATCCCACCGACCATGCGCGCGTGGGTGCGCTCACAGCGCGGGCCTGCTTCTACCTCGCTGAACCTTGTTTCCGACTATCCCACGCCCGCCATACCCACAGCCTCATCATCCGACGTTCTGATCCGCGTGTCACACGTGTCATTACAGTTCAGTAGTGAGATGATGATGAAAGTACTGCCAAGTTTGCCCTTCACCAGTCCCTGGGTGCCAGAGATTGAGTTATCTGGTGAGGTGGTGGCAGCTGGCGGTAATACACCGGCAGAACTGCGCAATCTGGGCTCACATGTTGTCGCTTTTGAGAAGGTTCCTAGCGCTATATTAATGGGCCGCGGCGTACTGGCAGAATACGTTCGACTGCCCGCCTGTCAGGTCGCACACATCGACGAGGACGTTGATATGGCGTCGGCCTCTGGCATTAGCGGGTCCGGTAGCACCGCGCTCAAGATAATCCGCACAGCGGGTGTGCGTGAGGGTCACTCTGTGCTCGTCAATGGGGCTAGTGGATCGGTCGGGTCGGTTCTTGTGCAGCTTTGCAAGCTACGTGGAGCAAATGTTGTCGGTATAGCCAGCGGGGGTAATGAGTCCATGGTTCGGGATCTGGGCGTAGATGAGGTAGGCAAAAGGCAAAATGTTGTGTGTATTGCGCAAGAACATCGCTAATATATTAATATACGGTAGTTTATTGACTATCGTAAACATGACCAGCTGCCGGCTTACCTAGCACATCATTACAGTGACAGGCCGTTTGACTTTGTGCTCGACTGCGTCGGCACGCAGGCACTTTTTGCCAGCTCACCAGTTTATCTTAAGCCCGGTGGAGCTGTGATCAATATCGGCATGTTTGAGGGTATTTTAGCGTTGGCTCGCAATGTACTGCTTAATAGCTGGCTACCAACATGGCTGGGTGGCGTGCCGCGCCGCTATATCATGTTCAGCACGCCGCCGGCGTGTGATGATGTAATATATCTGGCACGTTTGATTGAGGAGGGGCGAGTGCGTATCCCTGTCGACTCTGTCTTCAATATGCAGGACGCCGTGGGTGCTTACGAGCGCATCGCTACCAAACGTGCGCGTGGCAAGGTTGTGGTGAAAGTACACGACAGCTAGAGCGCGGGCATTCATTCAATGAGAATGCAGGGGTTAGTCCAACCAAGGATACAATAAGGGTGAATGCGTGTACGAAATATTGTATCAACGGTATTTGAACGGAATATTTGGGAGCTTAGGCTCGGCTTTGAAAGATCGATAGGGACAAGGAGAAATGCGTTGTTTGTTGTTTGGAGAACGCGCAGGCTATTATAGCCGTTACGCTTCGCGCCCTTGTTTATTTCGCACTTACTCTGCTCACCTACTAGGGTGACTGATGCAGAGATATTATGAGATATCTGTAGGTTGCAAGGCTAGCCTAGGCTCAAAGAGCGAGATATAGCGGTGGACTGACTAATCTACTCCAGGGCTAGTATACCACCTGAGGTTCTGCCCTCGGTACCTATCTCACGTTGTCATAATATACTATCGCCGGTGCTGATGCCAAATCATGAAATTAATAACCACAAACCCAGAGAAAAGAGACCTGAAACTAGCACGAAAAATCTTTTGGTTATGTTCAACATCTTATCTGCCATAGATTCCGTCGATGAAAACTACTCCTTCTCCAACCCTACCATGAACCCGTCGTATCCCCGCGAGTATGAGATTTTGAATTATACTCGACAGTAAAGTTGTCTGTTCGGCGAATGGCGCTCATGGGAAAGTCATTGCTGCTTTCCGGCGCCGGAGTATCCTTGTCATTATCTGCCCGCAGGATACTTTCTTGGCTTTCCACATTGGTAATAGCCAAGTCATCCTTCCTGAGGGATGGATCTTTTGCTTCGCTCGTGAGTGGCGTTCCATTGTGTATTGCTGCCTTTATAACCTCCACTGTTACCGTTGCTATAGGAGCCGAGGGACCGTTTTCCGAGGATGATTTCGAGTAGTGGTTGTAACGTCGGGATGCACGAAGCGATGGCGACCACGTTCGCTTCTATATTGGTCCAAAGAATCAAATCGGCGGTCTGAGATCGCTGTTAGATATTCTTGCTCTCGATTAAGCTGAGTGGGATATGATAGACTACTTACGCCATCTAAAAAGCTGTTAGTAAAAGTGTGGGTGTTATTACACATCCTTGATGACTTACATGTATAGTCAGATTTGTCTGCAAGCCCGTGCAGCTGAGTGCATTTCACAATGGCCATGGCCGCGGCTCTGGTTTGTATTAGAAATTGAGTAACACTGTCAAGGAACAACTTACATGGCACCTAGACCCAGAGCAGCGGACAAGGCAATTCTTTTACGCAGAGACATCTGCAAATTCATGAGGACAAGCATGGGATAAAGGGCAAGATAAAGGTCGACAGTGGCCGAAACAGCTATGAATTCATTAGCAGTCTGGGAATCGAGAGCGGGTAGGGGTGGTAGTTTACCTCCAGTAAAGATTGCGTAGTCAATTAACATCCAGACACTTTTGCAGGTCGCTTGACCTGTTTGCACTAGTTCTGGCGTCCATAGTGCGCGGGGAGGATTGCACTTCGATTCGTTAGCAACGGCTATTGGAAAGGGGGAAGGTTCAATGTCTTTCCATACCATGGTGAAAAGAATGATAATGCAAATACACGAAACCGCCGCGGCCACGGAGACCAAGGTCCACAGAATGATCTTTTGTACCAATCCTGGGTTGAAAATTCTGGTGATCATAGCCGTCACTGCTATTTTCGGAATGGTAAATGAGAGGATACCAAGAAGGAAAGATATGTTGTTCAGAAGCATTGCCATTGACAAGTCGAGGCTAGGATCCTGTAGAACAATAACTTGATGTTGACCGAACCCCGCCACGACTGAAGCCGTCGTGGCACCACAATAGGCTAAGCCAAGAGCCATGGCAATCACAATCAAGTAGTCATCAGCACCAAACATTTTGAGCATCTTCAAGCGAATAAACACTCGGGCAGAGACAATTAGAAAGGTCAATGATGTTAGAGTCCAGAGGACTGCCAAGATCGTAGGACCTTTACTTTCATGTTCATTTTCAGCCGTCACAACCATTGTGACTGCTTTTTCAGACTTTGAACTCGTCGGTCTCGGCAATGCAAAAAGATACTATTCCCGCACAGGTGAACAAGAAAAGTAAGCCACCCGCCCTATATATGAAAAATGCGCGGCTTGCGGAGAAAGAAACGAGCATTTGGGAGAACCTAGGGACCTCCAGGGCCGTCAGATACTGAATTTGATCGGCCACTACGAATACCTTTTTCTATTTCTTTAAGTTTTCGCCCCCGGCCCCTGATACTCGACAATGCCCAATCGAGCGGTCCTTCGAAACCGGCCGTGATTCTCCAAACACGAGAAAAGATGTAAAACAGAAGTGCCCCGACCCACCCTAAAGTGGGGGGGAAAGCACACAGGAGGTAGCAAGGATCACCAGATGTGCTGCCGACAGTGGGAAGTCCTGCCAAGGTTTTTATTTTTATTTTATAACAAGGTGATTGCTGAAATGTCGATCGGCGAACAGGAATTACGCGAACGTTTTTGACTGAATAGGGAAGTATGCCCCAGTGTGGCGTTTTTTGACAGGTCTTCGGCTCCAAATGGATTGACATATCTTTGCCATGACATGGTCACGCCATGTGGGTCTAGTTATGGAACTTGGAACACTAACGACGCTAGACGACGCGAAGGAGCGCTTAACCAGGGTCACCCGCGCTAAGAAAACGAGGCGGGAAGTGTCAGAGCCGTCAGGTAATAACCATATTCTCGGCCCAGGCTGCCATTGCCCTAACAAGCACCCTGCATAAGCTACCCAATGATGAATGGATGCAAAAATACTCCGGACCTTGGCATACATATGCTCAAAAAGACCCCTAGCAAGTCTAGATTCTCAATTCATTACTCTGTCCTGGATTCACTGTCGGTAGTGCATCTTGAAATCTGCCAGGCTTAGTTAGCTGAATGGGGTGAAGAGGCCGTAACGCGTTCGAGTTTGCAACTCAGATCTACCCACATGATTGTATGATAGACGCCCGACATATCCCATGTCGTCGGGAGTGGCGGATACTTCCATTCATTTCCTGAGTCCGTGTTCTAGCCAAGGACTCCACTGGAAACGGTTCCCCACCGTGCTCGTTACCGGTGTCATACACCTGTACAATTGGATTAAAATGCATATATTGAGCCACCGAGTGGATCTGCCAATGGTCCGGCCATCGATACATCACCTATCAAACGAGTTAAACGTGCACATTATCTCACAAACCGGAAGGAAGTGGGAAAGATCTCCGCATACGTTGCCCTGGTCTCCAACCCAACCTCGTTAGCAGGTGCCAGAGATTAAAGGATTGAACAAAAAAACCTAAAGTTATACTACGAGTATGATCTTGTCTCCTGAAATTCCTTTCCCAATTGAGGAGGGTATAGCGAGGGAGGCCTGCATTCGATCCATCAACGGGGTATTCGGCACATAGCTAGCGGCAAAGTACCTGGGCATTAGAATAAAAACCGCCTCTCCCCCTTTTACATGGAGGACTCTATCACATACTTGTTACCCAGGATCTATCAAAATGACTGTCACATACGAGAATGGTACTAATGGCACCAATGGTGCCAAAGGTGCTAATGGTGCAAAGGCTACTCAAGAGGCTTTCGTTGATGTTTCGTCGGTCATTGCAACCTCAACCAACCTTCCAGATCATGTTCCGGCTTTGCTCGAGAAGGTTGCTACATCCGGCAAAGCTTTCATTTCAAATGATTCGAAGGCTCGCACAGATCTCTTAGATGCAGCTCGAGCTCTGGTCTACGCCACAGAGACACCCAGAGAGGCTATGATCCGGATAGCCTGGTCGCAGTCCACTCTGTATGCGTGTATCGAAGCTGGTGTCGACATGGGCTTGTTCACTGCTCTATCTAAGGACGATAAGCCCAAAAAGGCTTCATCGCTAGCTGAGGCTGTTTCTGCCGAGCCCAAAATGCTAGGTATGTTCTTCAAATCTCTTGCCCGCGAACTTAATTGAACTAGAGTATAGCTCGTATCTTGAAGCACTTGTGTGCCATGGGTGTGATTCTTGAGACCGGCCCTGATGAATACCGCCGCACTGGATTCTCCATCTCTCTCATGTCTGAGCGTTTTAGCGACGCCTATCCATGCATGTAGGTTACTGAGAGTTCTCTCCAATCCCTTCAACGCTAATCTCCTGTCCCCTTAGCACGGACTGCATCACGAATGGTGTCATGGCCCTCCCCAAGCATCTCAGAAAGACAAACCTTCGCAACCCTACAGACGGTACCGATTGCGCATTCCAACTTGGCTACGACACCAAAGACCACTTTTTCGAATTCCTCGGCACACATCCGATTGCCGCCAAACAATTCAACAACCATATGTCTGCATACCACCAGGGCCGTCCTAGCTGGATGGATACCGGATTTTACGACGTGCCCGGACTTGCCGAGCGTGCCACAGAGGATAACTGCGTTCTGATTGTTGATATGGGTGGCTCCCTTGGCCACGATCTGAGTGAACTCCGCCGCAAATGGCCACACATTGCTGGCCGTTTTGTTCTTCAGGATCTTCCGGCCGTGATCCAACAAGCACAGACCATGAACCTCCATCGATCTATTGAACCCATGGAGCATGATTTCTTCACCGAGCAACCTATAAAGGGTAAGTTAGAACCACATGATCCCCCGGATAAGACTCAATCTGACAACTCTGTTCGCATAGGGGCCCGTGCGTATTACATGCATTCGGTCCTTCACGACTGGCCCGATGAGAAGTGCATTGAAATTCTCAAGAACATCGTCCCGGCTATGAAGCCTGGATATAGTAAAATCCTGATCAACGAGAACGTCATACCTGAGACAAATGCCTACTGGGAGACAACTTCATTAGATATCATTATGATGAGTGATTTTGCATCAAGTGAAAGAACCGCAGGCAACTGGCATTCCCTGGTGGAAGCCGCTGGCCTCAAGATCAGCAAAATCTGGACCGTTCAACGTGGCGTGGAAAGCCTCATTGAGTGTGAACTTGCCGAGTAATACGAATATCCAGGATAGTCTCCCGAGGTCGCTAGTACACTCAGGTGAACAGGAATCTGCCAGTGGGTGGCGGGCGCGTAGGTATGGATGCAAATGTAGAATAAAGATTCATGACAACATTAAACACTCTTTCCGTCAAGGTCCTCTTATGGAATGTGTCAAACTTAGAAATATTGACTCAAACGAAGTAGTGTTGGCGAAATTCCAGATAGCACTGTGACCTGGGCACTAGAGGAACCTGGACACTAGAGGACATTGGCGTAGATATAAGAAAGATTTCCCTGGGCTAGCTATTATATATCCTATCCTGAGAAGACTCGGACCATCACAATCCATTGGTGGATTATAGCGACGTCGGGATATCCATGGATGGGGCAAAATAAACTAGACGCGGGACGTGCAGGCTCAGGCACAAATATATCAACCAAATGATTCATGCGATCATGGTGATACTCTCGCCAACCTTGGAAGCTCTTGCCTTTTTTCTTATGATTGCATGGCCTAATCTTGACAAAATGTACTATATATTCCTCTTTCCAGTCAATCATAGCACATACGACCATAGGGTGTGGAGAACAGGGCTTCCCGTCCGCTCAGCCGTACTTAAGCCACACGCCGGCAGGTTAGTAGTATGGTGGGTGACCACATGCGAATCCCTGCTGTTGTATGTTTTTTGTTTTTTAGAATTTCTTTTTTCGCTTTCAAGTACGGGAGGGTTTTTCTTCTTTCTTATTGACCTATTATTAGTATTCGTCTGGAGGGCTTCAAGTTCTTCTCTCAACTTTTATTTTACTATACACCGTCTCCAGGGCTGAAATATATAACCGAGCCCCGAAGATTGCAGAAAACAAAAATTCGAATCAGGAAAATAACGCAAAAACATTGATATCAGTCTAGAGAATAAAAAAAAGTACAAAGCAACTTGAACTCCAGCTATGTCTACGCGCTTGGTCTCAAGGACCAATTGCATCCCATATCAAAGACCCGGCCTCGTCGCATCCCTCACTAACAAGAATTTTCACAATCTGACACAGCCTACTCACTAGGCTCCCTGCAAGCTGCGCCGTGAGTAATTCGCTACTTCCCAGAACTCGAATTCTCAAACCCCCCGCAGAAGGATGAGAAACAATTCCCAATGGCAAAGTGGCCAACGCATCTGGATTCTCATACCAGTGGAGTTTGGCACTGTTACCAGCAAAACTGATCTCGGGGTTCTCGTTGATATTTTGATGTTGAACGAAAGACTCCAAAAAGAGGCTGCTGCCGGTAGATTCATCATGCCAGTCCGTGCAAGAGCGAATGATATTTTGCCAGCCCATCATGAAACCCGTTTCCTCCAGAGAAAGCAATTGGTCGTGGATCATTTTTGGAATTTCGCGAATGCTGGAGGCGGTCATTTTGTCTTTTGGTGGAACTTGCACTCTGACAGGGATGATGTTGACACAGGGGCCAATAACATCGTGAGCGGCATGGGGATTTTCACGACCCGCGACGAGGTGACCAAACACGACGTCATTGTGGCCGGTCATACAAGATAGCAAAATCGCCCAAGCAGAACTAATAAGAGCTGAGTGAGGAACATGATCAAAGTTCTGTTTGGGAAGTGTGACATTTTCCTCTGCTTGAATCTTGTGGAAGGTCTGTGACTTTGAAGGGGAACTGGAGGGCTGGTTGTTGGAAAGAGACGAGGAAACCGGGGTGTTGCTTGAACCGGTCATACGGCGAGTCCAATGTAAACGCGACTGGTCGCGCTGGCTAATCAGGTGGGCCAGGTAAGGAGGGAAAGATGAGTTGGGTGATGAAATTCGAGGGTGCTGTACTTTGCCATCGTAAACGTCCGCTAGGGTTTGTAGCATGGATGCCAAAGAAAGACCATCGTACTGCGCATGTGAGAGGCGAACGATAAGCCGCGAGAGTTCGGTCTCCTGGGTGTCAGGATGGCTGCGAACAAGAATGAATTTAGTGTGAAGTTCATTTGGGGAAAGTCCGCGGCGAGAATCCTGTTCACAGATGGCGGTGCAGGCTTTATCCAGAGAACTTTTAGTGTCGACGATGGCAAACGCCGGCGGTCCCTGTTGTCGCACAATTGTGAAATAATTTTTCTCGAAAGACACGAAGGTGCTTCGAAGCAATGGGTAATGTTGAGAAAGCAGCTCACAACTAGTTCGCAATAGCCCTTCATCAACCTTCACAGTACCAATGTCAAGGTAGAAGTAGTTGCATGGCTGCTTGACGCTCTGGACTTGGAAATCAGTCATTGGAAGGATATCCTCGACATTTTCAGGTAGCAATATAGTCGACAAAATTCCCTGCCTATCAGCATCGTCTAGCAGACTGTAGGGCTTGTATATCAAGTCTGCTTCCTCTTCCACATCCGAGACACAATTCACAATGAGCGCTGCGATCGTCCGCTGCTGAAATATATCCGCGACGGAGAATTTGAGTCCTTGTTTGCGAGCTCCACCAACAACTTGCATAGCTGTGATAGAATCCCCACCAAGCGCAATGAAATTATCATCGAGTCCAACGATTTCCTGCGGCATATGCAAGATTCGAGCCCACAGGCTCTGTAGATGATGTTCCAACGGAGTGACCGGCTGGCGGCGGGGCTGCTTAGTTGTAGGTAAGCCTCTCATAAGGTCGAGTTGCTCACGAGAGAGCGAGGATGCAAGTGCGCGAAGTTCTTTTCGGTTTGTTTTGCCGGTCGCAGTCATCGGCATGGCGACGAGGGGCACATAAAGCGAGGGCACCATGTAAGGTGGAAGAGGGTGTGACATCTTTTCTGCCAGGTCACTGGCCATGGCAGCAATTTTGGGCATTTGATTGTCGCTCACCTGAGCATTTGAGCTGGTGGACTGGGAGTCGAGGCAGATAAATGCGATAAGAGTGGCTGAAGGCTCCATCACAACCGCCTCAGCAGTGACTTTGGCATCTTGCGGCAGAAGGAGTCGTAGATGATGTTCCACTTCCTCCAGTTCAACCCGTTGCCCGCGGACCTTTACTTGAGTGTCTTTACGACCAACGATGTGCAGGCTTCCATCTGCACAATACTGGACGAGATCGCCGGTTTTGTACACGCGAGTTGGTGATGAACGGCGGGATGCCAGCCACTGTGGGGGCTCAATGAAAGTTGCTTCGGTCCTGATGGGATCATTCAGATAGCCAGCGCCGAGAAGCGGGCCTTCTAGAACCAACTCACCAACCTGGCCGACTGGAAGTAGTTGATGATGGTTGGTGGGATCCACGATCCAGGTCAGCATGCCCTTACCCAGACCAATACGGCGCAGGGCCGTCGGGCTGCTAGGTTCGGCGTTAATGACACTCATTGGGGTACATTCTGATGGACCACATGAATTAATCAACTCAATATTTCCCCACCACCTCTCGGCATCGTCTTGGCTCACTGGCTCACCTCCAAGTGTCAACGTGCGAAGGCTTGGGACATCCCGCGGGTCAAGAAGGCGCGAGACAGACGCAGTGAGATCAACATAGTTTGTCCGCATCTCCTCCATAGATTCGGGTAACCTGGTCTTGCGGTCCATATCGGATGGCACACAGAGACACCCACCAGCGGAGAGGGTGGCGAGCACATTGTGAATGGCTACATCAAAGCTGTAGGATGCAAAGTCATATAGACGCGTGCCACGGTTGATGTTGAGCGGTCCCAACTGATGATGCAGCGCCGAGGCAAAGCTTCGATGAGGGACTATGGCTCCCTTTGGCTGACCGGTACTTCCACTGGTAAAGTTGAGGTATAGCGGATTGGCTGGGTCCACCCGCGGAAGAGGCGTAGGGACTGCGGTCAGAGATTCAGGGCCCACCACAACAACCGCGGCGCCGAAACTGCGGCTAAGGCTCTGATGGGCAAGAGAAGAACAAATCACGCTTGCGTTTGCTTGATGGGTAATCGCGCGTAGTCGTGCCTCGGGTTGTGTTTCTGCATCCAGGAAGACAAAAGCTGCGCCTGCTTTCAAGACTCCCAAAACACCGACTACTGTCCACTTGGATTTTTCAAAGCACAATGGGACAATTTGCCCTGGTGTAACGCCGACCGCTAGCAGAGTGAATGCCAGTCGCTCGGCGAGATCGTTCAGTTGGTGATAGCTGAAGTCGCCATCCCATGCGCATACAGCTGGTGCGTTTGGCTGCTCGTAGATCTGTCCAGAAGGTGTCAGATTAGTCGGGTAAATTGCAGATTCGAGGTCAGCTTACCCGATCGTGAATGATATCATGGACACAACGGTCGATTTTCTCCGGTACAGACTTATTCCAATTCCAAATCATTTCTTCATCCTCACAGGGCAGTGTCTCAACTTCCGCTAAGGTACTTTCCGGGTCGACCATGTCTAGTTGCTGCACAAGGAATGATAATTGAACCAAAAGTCTCTCCACCAGCCAGGTATCGATCACGCGAGAATCGAAGGTTGCGCGGAAGGTCATTCCTGGCTGGTCTTTCATGGGAAAACACTCAATGGTCAAGGCATAAGTCGTGAAGCCTTGTTGGTTGGCATCGGTGCGCCAAGTACCGTAGTCCTTTTGGGTCTCCCCTTCCACTGATTGATCTGGGGATTGTACAACCAGCAGAGTTTGGAATTCACAAACCCGACGAGCTTGTTCGCTCACCATTGCGATCGCCCGTAGCCCAGTTTGCTCGAAGGGAATCATCTCCGTGGCTTGTTGCTGCACCTGGGCTAGATAGTCACCCACTTTACACATCTCAGGGACGGGAATCTGAAGGGGGACGGTAGCAATGGTTGGGCCCTCAATGTGCTCGATTCCTGGGATGGGAGAATTACGTCCAGAAACAATAGCGCCAAAAATAGCGTCCGTGGCTCCGGTTCGTCGACTGATGAGAAGCGCCAAAGCCGCACGAACGAGAGTTGAGATGGTAATCGATCGTTGAACTGACGAAGCCAACGGACAGGCTTGTTCAAGAGTTTGATCAGTCATGGGCTGGCACACAGAAGCCGGCAGTGGAGGGTAGGCCGTAATATCCTCTCCACATGTGCAGGCAAGTTCCCAGTAGCTCCGTAGATTTACATCCGTCTTCTGACTTTGCACGTATTTAACAAAGGCGCTGAACTTTGCGACGGGAGGCGAATCCTCGAATTGATAAGCGGAACTGATGAGACGACGATAAATTGTGGCGGCCTTTTCAGTAACTATCGGCAGCGACCACCCATCATAAAGTGCATGGTGAACTGTCCAGACAAACCATTTAGGGCCGCGAGTAGCCTCTTGTGATCCAACCAAGGCAAAGCGTGTCAATGGCTGACCAAATCCCATAGAAACCAGCTTGTCTTCGCGGAGGTAGGCTTCCAAATTCTCTGTGCGGGATTCCAACCATTCGATGCCATTGTAAGTGGTGACAATTTGAGCGAGCCCAAGCTGATGGTGCTCAACAATACGTGTTCGGAGGATATCTGTGGCTCTGAAAATTTCATCCCATGCTGATTTGAAAGCCCCCAGCTGGAAATCAGCTGATTGAGGTAGTTCCAGCACGCTTTGCATTACGTAGTTGCCGGCGTTCTTGGATGTCAAGGCGAGCAGACCTTCCTGGAGCGGAGTGCAGGGATATAAATCCTGAACATGATGGGATATACCAAAAGAACTGCTCAGCTCCTTGCAAATTATCTCGGGATCAATAGATCGAGGAAGCAAGGAGAATGGCGTAACTGGTTGATCCTTTTCCAAATCAACACTCTTGACAGGAACGTGCAATCGTGCTAGCTCGCACAGCGAAGGGAGGCGGAAAACCTCTGCCACGGTCAGGCTTGGAATCCCTTCAGTGCGGGCCAGACCGACCAAGCGCATGGCAGAAATTGAGTCTCCTCCCAACTGGAAAAAATTGTCGTCTATTCCAACTCTCTCTTCAGGAAGATTGAGAGTTTGCGCCCAGAGTCGCTGGAGACATAATTCGGCACTAGTGGTGGGTTGTGGTTTTGTCTGTTCAGTTCTAGCATTTAGCTCGGCCAGCTGTTGGATTGAGAACTGCGAGCCCATTTGCCGAAGTAGTTTCCGGTCTGTCTTGCCATTGACAGTTCGTGGAATTGACAAGACGGAGAAGTAGACTCTTGGAACCATGTAGCTAGGCAGTTTGTTGAGCAACTCATTAATGATTTTGGACTCGATGGAGACAAGCTTCATATTGAGTTCATCTCGGCCGTCCATTTCATTTTCAGCATCTTCCGAAGTCTCCCGCTCAACAAAGGCTACCAGCATCGGGCTAGCATCGTTCCTTTCACTCGCCATCGTGATGATCTCAGCGACGACCTGCCGACCCGAGCCTAGCATGACCCGATGAACATGATGTTCAACCTCAGCGAGTTCAACTCGTTGTCCCCGAATCTTGACCTGGGTATCCTTTCGACCCATGAAGAACAGGTGTCCATCAGAGCTATATCGGGCCATGTCACCTGTCCTGTAAAGTCGGCCTCGTCTCCCGGGGATACAGGCTTGCCCCCCTCCTTCAAGCAACCAGTCTGGATCCTCAATAAACGCGGCCGCGGTCTTTTCCTCATCCCCGATATATCCTGCGCCAACAAGAGGACCTTCGAGCCAGATCTCTCCCACGGCACCCAAAGGAACTAATCGGTATGGTTCGATGGGATCTACCAACCAAACATTGTGCCCCATTCCCTCGCTAGGGGGGGAGAGTAAAGTCGCGCGGCTGTAGAATCAACTGGGCGCTTCCTGCTGCGGACACCACTGTACCTTCCGCCGGACCATAAACACTGAGCTTGGTGACACGATCGGGCCAGTGTCGAAAATCATCCCACCTTTGTGGCTCGCCTCCCAATGCAAGAAGACGGAGACTAGGAATTGCACTTGGTCTTAACATACGCGCGACAGATGGAGTCACGAATAGGACAGTAGCGCCGGAACGAGCTATTGTGGCTTCGAGGTCGTCTTTTCGCTCTGTCTCTGATGGTATGCATAGTGTTGAGCCACTAGCAAGGCCATGGAGTATATCGAACCAGCAAATATCGAAACTGTAGGACGCGAAATTAAATACACGGGCTCCAGGGCCGTGGCCAAATGTTTTGGCTTGGTGATGGATGGCCGAAGCAAAGCCGGTATGCGTGAGAGCGGGTCCCTTGGGTACACCCGTGCTGCCGGAGGTAAAGACCACACAAACAGGAGTAGATGGATCAACCAAGGGAAGTTGGCTGGAATGAGAAGAAGCCAGTTTCTTGAGATTTGGCCCAACCAATGTAACCGAGTCCGCAGACAAGAGCTCCGATGCAAGGGCCTCTGCTTGAACAGATGAAAGCATGAAAGGCGGAGAACCGATTTGTTGTACAATAAGTTGTAGTCGCTCTACCGGCTGTGTGATATCCATTGTAACCGCCGTCAGGCCGGATTTCATACACCCAAGCATGGCTACCACAGTCCACATCGACTTTTCAAAGCAGAGAGGGATGATCGCACCGATATGATAGCCATCATGTGCGACCAAGCACGTCGCTAGTCGATCGGAGAGAATATCAAGTTCCTCATATGTCGCTTCTCCATCCCAAGCCGACAGGGCGATTTCATGGGGTTGGATAGCCGTACGTTCTCTGAAGAGGTCATGAACGCATCGATCCACTGACTGGGGAACAAACTGGTTGCTGCTCCATATTTTGGCCTGATCCTTTGCCGTCATTACCGCGATATCCGATACAATCTTCTGCGGGGTAGCATCAACCAGTTGCTGCAGAACTATAAAGAATTGGTCAAGTAATTGACTCGTCTCCCACTCGCCAATAAAGCTCTCATCGAAGCAGGCTCTGATTCGAAGATCGCTCTCGCCTGTGGCAGGTAAGAAGACTTCCAATGTCAGAGCGTAAGTGGTGAAGCCGTTTTGATCAGCATCCGTCAACCAAGTCCCCAAAGCGTCATTCTGGGTGGAATCCTGTCTTTGCTCTGCGGGATGGATTACAAGGAGCGTCTGAAACTCGCATGCACTTGGACTGATTTTGGCAATATCCTGCAAGCCAGTCTGCTCGAATGGAATCATGTCGATTGACTGCTGCTTCAATCCATTCAAATATTCACCGACACACTGATCATTGGGAAACTGCACCCGAATTGGTACAGTTGTGATGGTCGGTCCGATAATAGCTTCAATGCCTGGAACAGACGCGTTGCGTCCAGACAACACCGCGCCGAAGATAATATCGTTCGTCCTGGTTTGGCGATTGATGGTGATTCCTAAAGCGGCACGGATTAACGTGGCCAAAGGTACTTGCGAATCGATTTTCGTTTGCGGCAAGTAAGCAGTCCGTTCTATTGCACAGCTTGCTGTCGGCATCTGAGAAGGGGTTGCTAGCATTGGGAAGGCAACGGACTCGTAGTTCGCAAGGGCCGAGCCCCAATACTGCTGGGCCTCTTCAGACTTGGTCTCTTGTAAGTACTTGACAAACGGTGCCAACTCATTACGTGATGGGGTGGCACGGGATAAGTATGTGTCAGTGATCATATCTATAATCAGAGGCAATGACCAGCCATCGTACAACGCATGGTGCACAGTCCAGACGAACCAACGAATGTCCCCGTTTTGATCTCCTACCAAGGTAAATCGTGACAGAGGAAGTCCAAAGTCCATGGGCTGAATCTTATCCTGGGATAAAAACGAATTCAGGTCTTCGGATGTTCGTCGCCAATCAATCTCCTCATTAATCACCACCTGGACGGGACCAAGGCCATTGTGCTGAAGAATTCGAGTGCGGAGTATAGAGACGGCTGATACGGTCTGCTGCCATGCGGCTCGGAAGTCCTCTAATTTCAATTTATCAGACAGCTCAAGCACATTCTGTAGAACGTAGTCGCCCGGCTGCTTCAGGGTCAGGGAAAGCAGGCCTTCTTGAAGTGGAGTGCATGGATATGCGTCGTCAATTTGAACACTCTTCACACCACAAGATGCAGCTAGCTCACCTCGTAGCTCTGTTGCATCATTGAACTTGCTGTTTTCCAGCAGGGAAAACTTTTCAATGGAAATATTCTTCGCTGAAGGTGCAGTTTCAGCGGTGCTTGCTAGGCTTGCCAGTATTCGCTTGGTAAAAATATCGCTTATTGAAAGAACAAGACCAACCCGGCGGGATTCAGCAACGAGCTTCAAGGCTGAGACGGAATCGCCACCGAGCTGAAAGAAATCATCGTCTGCGCCAATGCGTGTCGGGTCGATTGCTAGCACATGAGACCAGACAGTTTGCATCATTCTCTCTTTACCTGCTGTCGGTGGTCGCTTCGGCTCATCGTCACAGGCACCCAGTGTCAAAAGTTCCTCTCGCTTGTAAGAAGCGGCGAGTTCTCTCAAGGCCCGGCGGTCGGTCTTTCTGGAAATCGTCTTGGGCATTTCTGAAAGCACTAGGAAGGCCGATGGAACCATATACTGCGGAAGGGTGTCCTGCAGCCGCTGCCGCACAATAGTCATAATGGTACGTCCTTCTTTCTCGCTCTCACACTTTGCCTGCAAGACGAAAAATGCAACCAGAATAGGTGTTATTTTGCCATCGCCGCTTTTTGGAATGCCAATCTCAACAGCAACCTCCTTGACCACGTCGGAGGCTAACCGAGCCTGGTGTTCGATCTCGCCGATCTCAATACGCTGGCCTCTGAGTTTTACCTGGGTATCTCTCCTTCCCCAGAGTTTGATTGCCCCGTCTTGGGTGTAAGAGCCCAAATCTCCTGTTTTGTAAAACTTCGAAACGGTCGTTGCACCACCGAAGATATCTGTTCTCCAGCTCGGTACTTGAATGAACGCTGCAGCCGATTTCTCGGGCTCATCCAAATACTCCCGGCCAATAGTGGGTCCCTCAATAAGGACCTCACCCACGGCACCCAGAGGCGCGAGCCTGTCCACGTTCGTTGGATCCACGATCCAATATCTACCAGTTGTCGGTTTGCCAACATCTCCCGTGGCTGCATCTTGGGTCAGACGTGCAGAAGAAACAACGGCGGATGTTTCAGCACTCCCGTATGTTTGTCGAAGATGGACCTTGTTTGACCATTGGGTGATTTGCGCAGCATGAACGGCTTCTCCGCCGACACAGACAGTCTTGAGGCATGATACCATCTCTGGGCGAAGGGAGCTGAGGACAGTGGAGGTAAGGAAAGCCCAATTGGCGTTCAGTCGTTGAATTGCATTTCCTAAAAGACTGGGATTTCTCTCTTCTTCAGTGGGAACGCAGACGCAGCCACCATGGATGAGAGTCATGAGGATCTCCATTATTGCTCCGGCAAAGCTATATGAGCCAAACTGCAATGTGCGAAGCTGGGGCGACATCTGGAGGACGGAGCCGTGGTTAACCGCCGCCGAGCAGTAGGAGCGATGTTCGATTTTACATCCCTTGGGGGCTCCAGTGCTGCCAGATGTAAAGATCACGTAGGCCGTGTTACTGGGAGACACCATTTGCATGCTGAAGGAGGACGATGGGGAAGCTGAATTCGGAGGAGAGATGTTGGGAGATGCAGGAATCATAGTTGGTGCGTTCCAGTGTCGTCTGGTGATCCCTTTATCCACTATGATAACAGTCTCGACGAAAGGCCGGATTCTGTCACTTGTCGAAGAGGAGGAAGCAACCGCCACTGTGGCCCGACTCTTCTCACATAGCATGCATAGCCGTTCTGTCGGATGAGTTGGATCCAGGAGAACAAAAGCACCTCCCGCCTTCAAAACACCCAAGATGGCCACGATGGTCCAGCTAGACTTGGGGAAGCATAGAGGAACAAGTACTTCTGGCCCTACACCAAGATCAATAAGATGCTCAGCGAGACGATCGGCAGAGATATTCAATTCTTGATAGGTGAGCTTTCCATCCCAACCTTCAATTGCGAATTCGGTTGGTCTGGCCTGAGCTTGGTCGGTTATCATTGCATGCACGCACCGTTCAATCACACTTGGGGGTGGTGATGAAATGTTCCATTCACTGAGCACAGCACGGTCTTGGGATGGCAAAAGATCAAGATCCGCAAGTAAAGTACCCATCTCATGGTCCGTGTCCCTGATAGCTGCCGCTGCTAGTTGGTTTGCTGCATATTCCCACTGGGCTAAGAGTTTCTCTACTGCCCAGCAGCTGATAACTCGGGAATCGAATCTTGCCCTGAATCTGCCCATTTCACTTGGTCTCGTTGGTGGCAGGTATTCCAATGTCAGTGCGTATGTGGTAAACCCACTCTGGTCCTCTGCTGTTTGCCATGTTCCAAAAGCGGATTTTTGGGACGAGGCAAGAGTCTGACTATCTGCTTGAATGACTAGTAAGGTCTGGAATTGGCAGGCACTCTGGCAGCTAGGGCTCAACCGAGCGATGTTCTGCAGACCCGTTTGCTCGAAGGGAATCATTCCGTTGGCTTGTTGTTGCACATCACGCAACCACCTGGAGACTGTTGTGGCACTCGAAGAAGAAAGACCTTTCATTCGAATTGGCACGGTCGCAATGGTAGGCCCCGCGATACTAGCAATTCCAGGGATTGGCGCATTACGACCGGACATCGTTGCCCCGAACACAATGTCAGGAGACGAGGTGTGACGACTCATGACCAACGCCAGTGCAGCACGCAGTAGGGCCGAAGTCGAAATATCGGAAGATTTGGTAGCGAGAAGGGAGATATCCTGTTCCCTCATCATGTCTGCGACCGGTTCCCGAACATGGGGTGGCAAAGGGGGGAAGGGACTTCCTTCATGGTTGTCAAGTGTGTGTTGCCAGTAGGCGTTTGTTTCGGCTCCTTTATTCTGCTCAATGTACTTGATGAAATTCTTGAATTGTGCCCTCTGGGGAGTGAACGATTCCCCTGAGTATATGGAGCTAGCCAAATCTGTGATTAACGGCAAGGTCCATCCATCGTACAATGAATGATGCAGAGTCCAGACACAGTACCGCGGCTGACTAGGCGATCCAAGGAGAGCGAAGCGAGATAATTGCTGACCAAGTCCCATTGGGGCAAGCTTACTCTCTTGTAAGTATGCCTCAACATCCTCGTTGTCTCGGTATACCCAATCAATTTTCTCTGGTTGGACAACCTGTAAGAGTCCAAGGCCATGATGGGAGACAATTCTTGTTTGTAGAATTGGTGTCAATCGAAGTGTCTCTTCCCATGCCTTCTTGAAAGAAACAATTTTGACATCAGCAGAAAGCTCAAGAACATTTTGCAAAACGTAGTCTCCAGGATTCTTTGAGGCCAACGCCATGATTCCCTCTTGCAATGGCGAGCAAGGGTACACATCTTGAATGCCCGCGCCGGAGGGCAGGCGGAGTTCTGAAGCAAGTGACTCCATATGCACCTCGGAGGAGATTAGAGAGAATGGTTCAACTTGATAATCGTGTGACGAGTTGCTAGAAAGACTCAGTTGCCCTTGTAATTGAGCCTGGGCGGCGATTGTAGAGCATCTCATGACATCTGCGACAGTCAAGGTCAACATGTCCTTCCTTGATTCAGCCACGAGTTTCATAGCCATGATCGAATCCCCACCCAGTTGGAAGAAGCTATCATCGATGCCAATCTGCTCCTCATTCGGTATGTTCAAGACGCGCATCCAGAGGCGTTGTAATCGATGTTCGTCTTCACTGGAGGGTGCACGCTTCTTGCATTCGGAATCCTCAGTCGTAGCCCTGTGATGCTGAACAAGCGTTGCACCCAGCTGTCGCAGAAGTTTCCGATCGGTTTTCCCAGAAGAAACCATCCGGGGTATCGAGCCCGTCATGGCAAAGTACAACTCCGGGACCATGTACTTGGGAAGTTTTTGGACAATCTGTTGCTCCATGTCAGGAGACGGAGAAAAGATGGTGGCGGAGACATTATCATTGTTCTCCAATACCTCCTCTTGAACACGGTTCGAAATTGAGAGAGCTCGCACTGGCATTTCAATGAATGCGACAAGCAGTTCACTGGACTTCGTGTCACCGGGGTTGACGACTTCGGTGACGACTTGCTTCGCGGCGATGCATTGTTTGACGTGATGTTCAACTTCGGCCAGTTCCAATCTCTGACCTCGAATCTTCACCTGTGTATCTTTACGACCAACATATCTCAGTCGGCTCCCATCCTCGCAAGATCGCGGAGAATATTGGACGAGATCGCCGGTTTTGTAAAGCCTTGCCTGGCGGCCTCTTTCTACCAGCCAAGCGGGATCGGTAACGAACGACTCTTTGGATTTATCGGGGGCGTTGAGATACCCGCGAGACAAAATGGGGCCTTCAATCAGAAGTTCGCCAATAGAACCCAGAGGAGCCAGTTGGTTGTGGTCATTCGGGTCCGCCACCCAGACAACGCATCCGAATGGGACGCCGATGAAGCGAGAATCAACGCCATCCTCAAGATCATGTCCAGAACAATAGACACAGCATTCGGTCGGTCCATACACGAGAATTACCCGACGACCATCGCAAGACCATCTTTCGGCATCCGTTGAAGAGAACTTTTCGCCTCCGATCGTGATTGTTTTGACGCAGGTTACGGCAGTCGGTTCGATTAAGCGAGCCACGGCGGGGGTGAGGAAGACCCAATTGACTCCCAGCGAATTAATAGCTTCAGGTAGTCGTGACAATCGGTCACTATCGGACGGAATACAAATGCACCCTCCAAAAATGAGTGTCGTAAAGATTTCGGCGATGCAAGCATCGAAAGCATAGGAGGAAAATTGCAAAACGCGACTGGTAGGAGAGAAGCCAAGAGCACGACCATGAGCAGTACAGCTAGAGCTGGCAGCTTTATGCTCTACAACAACACCCTTGGGTCTGCCGGTTGTCCCCGAAGTGAAGATCACATATGCGACCGAGCTTGAGGGCGCTGTGTCGTTGGAGTACTGACTTTTGAGACCGTGGCCATGATTTGACATTGACGTTTCCAGGACATCCCAGCTTAATACAAACACATGGCCATCGAAGCTTTCGTGAAAGATATTTGCATGCTGGAGAGATGCAATTACCAGCTGCGCTGAAGTATCCTCCAAAATATTCTGACGTCGACCGGGCGGGAGTGATGGCTCAATGGGAACAAATCCAGCGCCAGCTTTCAGCACGGCCAGCATTGAAATAACTGCGAACAAAGATTTTTCAAAGCATATTGGAACCAATGATCCTTTTTGCACACCTAACGACTGGAGGTGTGCAGCTAAATTCTCTGTATATTCGTGCAACTCTCGGTATGAAAATGTCCCATCCCAAGCAGAGATGGCGGGGCGTTCTGGCTGTTGAGTGACTTGCTCTCGAATAAGCTCATGAATGAATCTGTCAACTCCAGTTGGAACAGTGCCATTCCACTTCGAAATCAAGGATTTTTGGTGTGCAGGAAGTAAGTCAATCTCTTGCAGAGGCCTACTGGCAGAATTGACATCGACAAGCTGTTTGATGGTCCCACTCAACTGCTCCAGGATCATCTTCAAATGCCAGGCATCAAGAGCGGCGGGATTATACCTGGCCCGAACTTGAATACTGCTGTCGAGGCGGATAAAGCACTCGAGCGTGAGTGCGTATGTACTAAGCTGCTCTGTCTCAGTATACCAGGACATTTTGCTCTGTTGCCTATCTTGTCGCTCTTCTGGCTGAATAACGAGCAGCGTCTGGAAATCACAGGCTTGTCTTGCACTCTCGCTCAGCTTAGCAATGTTTTGAAGTCCGATCTGTTCAAAGGGAATCATCTGGGTGGCTTGATTCTGGAGATGTTGCAGTAATTCGAGCACCGTGGTTGTCTCAATATCATCCAGCTGAACTCTTATAGGGATTGTGGCAATTGTTGGCCCGACAATTTCCTCAATACCTGTGACGAGGGCATGTCTGCCTGACACAGTAGCTCCAAAGGTGATATCTGAAGATTGAGTGTGGCGTGAAATAACAATGGCCAATGCTCCCCTGATGATTGTTGAAAGGGTGGCCTGAGAAGATCGGGCACTATCTTGTAGCTGACAATGAAACTCCATGGTTGAGGTCTTTTGTACAGGGCTCTGCTCGTTCTTTCGAAGCGCAGGGAACTGAACAGATTCCGTGTGATCAAGGGTCTTTCGCCAATACTCATTTGCTATCGAGACAGATCTTGGCTCTCCAACATACCTCAGGAAAGAGTTGAATTGCGACTTGGACGGAAGTACTGGGGAGCTATGGCCAAGCTCACGAAGATAAAGGGCCTCGAGTCGTTTCAGCATCAAATCCAGAGACCATGCGTCATAGAGAGCGTGGTGGAGAGTGATCGCAATCCATTTTGATGCACTCGCATCGTCTGCATCTCCGATGAGCGCAAATCGCGTCAATGCTCTTCCAGTTTCCATAGGGTCGGACCTATCCATTTCTAGATATTCTTGCAAATCTGTTCTCCGAGTCCACTGGATACTGTTCTCTTCGTGGTTGATGACAACTTGGGCGAGACCTCCAGGCTTGTTTTGCACAATTCGCGTCCGCAAGATTGGTGTCTCATTGTAAAGTTTTTCCAATGATCTCTGGACAGCTTCCCCCTTCAAACCATCAAGTGAGAGTGTTGTCTGCAAGATATAGTCACCCGGCCTTTGCATCGCCAACGCGAACAGTCCCTCCTGGAGCGGCGTGCATGGATATACATCTTCGATCGATGATGGGTCAATGTCGCAGATACGCGCAATTTCTTGAATATCTTCGAAGTCATGATGCTCAGTCAAGGAAAAGGGAGGAGGAACTGCAGGTGCGTCTTGGTCAGTCACGGGGATGACCAAGCGACCCAACTCACGCAGTGTGATTTTCGGATTCATCACATCCACCACTCGCAACTGAATTCCTTCTTTACGCGCTTCTCCCACCAGTTGGATGGCCATTAGGGAGTCTCCGCCGATCGTTAAGAATGAATGGTCCAACTCAATGCTCTCCGGACCTTTTTGGAGCACAATTCCACACAGGAGCTGCACCGTTTGTTCGGCCTCTGACCGGGGCTCCAATTCTGTGCCGATCGAAGAATGATGAGGCTGGGAGTTGAGCAGTCGAGTGCCAGATTCTCTCAACCCCTTGCGATCGGTTTTTCCCGATGGGGTGCGCGGGATGCTTGGAACCAAGATATAGATCTGGGGAACCATGAAATTGGGCAATCGACACGAAAGTTCGCTTGTCAAAGTTTCGCATGGTCGAGTAATCTTCATCTCAGCAACCTCCTCTTGGCTGCTGGCAACCTGCAAGAAAGCAACCAGAGATTTCCCAGTCGCCGAGGGTACAGAATCGACGACCGTTTGCACCGCGCTAGGAAAACAAGACTGAACATGATACTCAATTTCACCTAACTCAACGCGCTGCCCATGGATTTTCACTTGGGTATCTTTGCGACCCATAAATCGAAGACTGCCATCCTCGTTGTGCTGCACCAAGTCGCCGGTCGCGTAGAGACGGCTAGATGGCCTGTGTTGGCGAAGCCACAAAGGACTTGATATGAAGGCCTTGGCCGTCTTCTCTGGTTCGAATAAGTATCCCTCACTAACCACCGGTCCTTCTAGTAGAAGCTCTCCTACTTTTCCCGGCGAGAGTAAAATGTCGTGGTTTTCTGGTTCGACAACCCAGCATAAGACACCCACGCCAAAACCAATTTCCATGTTCTTTGTGTCATCTCGGAATTCCATACTGAGGTCAATCGTGCTGATTGGCGTACATTCTGCTGGACCATATGTATTTATGATCCGCGGTTTGGTTGACGATGTTTCCCACCGCTTAGCTTCGGCTTGCGTGAGGGTTTCTCCAAGAAAAATGAGGGTTTTCAGACTGGGAACCCGAGCCGGGTCAATCAGACGAGCAACGGATGGGGTCAAATTTGCAAGAGTGACTTCCATGGCAGCTATAGCACCAGCTGGATCTTGAATTCGTTCTTCTTCAGTAGGTATACACAAGCAGCCTCCGCTAACAAGGGTAGCTAACATGTTGTGTACGGCCACATCGAAGCTGTGTGATGCAAAGTCAAACACACGCGAGTTTGATGAGAAACCCAGCTGGTTGAGCTGATAGTGAATAGCAGAACAGATGCTCGAATGGGAAATGACTGCGCCCTTTGGCGTTCCAGTACTCCCGCTGGTGAAAACGACGTAGCAAGTTGATTCGGGTTTTGGTTGGTGAGTTTGCTCCTGGTGGTTACCAGCAGTTGATATCTCAGCTGTTCTGCGTGGTGCAACAATGAGAACATCGATATCAGAATACAGGCGGGTGGCGGCCACATTATCACAATTTCCGTCCTTCAAGTTCATCAAGCTCAATCCAAGATCTTGATGCCCAACGGAGCATAGTACAACTTTCGCCCGAGTCTGCTGCACAATTGATAGCAGTCGAACTTCCGGCTGGGACACATCCAGGAACGTAAAAGCGTTTCCAGATTTCAAAACTGCGAGCATTGCTACCGCTGTCCATATGGACTTCTCGAAGCACAATGGGACAAGTGACCCAGGGCCAATAATCTGACTCAAGCTATGAGCGAAACTATCCGAGAAAGCCTCTAAATCATGATAGGTAAGGGTCTTGCCGTTGGAGGCGTAAAGAGCAGGCGCATTTGGCTCAACAGTTGCGCGCTGTGAAATCAGGTCTTGCACACATTCATGGACAGTCTCTGGGAGGGTGGCGTTAAGAGTCCAAATATCTGTCATCTCAAATTTCATTTTTTCTTCGCTTTCAATGATACTCGTGGTGAGCTTTTTGTTTTCTGTCAGAGAGGATACCAATTCTGCATCTTTGGTAAAATGAGTGTCCTCCATGTTGATAGTACAGGTAGAAAAGTGGTCTTTGGTGGCTTAAGAATATACTTCAACACAAATTAGTACCTTAGAAAAAGAATATACTTCAGGTATTTTGGACAGTAATCGTAATCACCTCTTTTTTCGTGTGTATGTAGTTTAGGTTCCAGTGGAAAGATAAGAATATCTGCTGCGAAATGAGACTCTGGGACTTGTAAATTGTTCGTTGTCCGCTGGGTATTTTTTCAACGGTCTATGAGCATCGCTGTTACTATCGATCAGGAACTTGTCATTCTTCAAAAACACTCCACTAATTCTGGTCTGGACAATGCCGCGGATTCCCCGAGGCCATGAATCAATATCGTAGATCTTTCCTTGGAGTAATACACGTGCAAGCGGGTATTCTTCGTATGGCCCCTTGAACAAGACCCATCGCGTATTCAATGGATTCGGACTTTGCGACCGGAGGTATACAAGCGTCCTCGCGGGCGGATATTCGCCGAATAAATTTCGTCCCAGGATGTTTTACCAAGCCATGTATGTCATTGGGCTATAAAATTCCAAAAAAAGCCACTCTCCGCACTGAACAAACTTTCGATTGCTTACACATTGGTAAGCTTTTGCAAAATCCCGACAGGGTGCCTAGTTTCATCAAATTTTGTCGATCACTGAAACTTTCCCGACAATCATACAAGCCCATCCTTCTCTGAATGAAAGTGGGCTGGGGGAGGAGGCTTATGGGGTGGATCATCCAGTTCGCCAAGCCCTAAGCACCACGTGGTGGGTCCTCAATCTCATCTAAGCTTTGGCGTAAGCGTGCGTAAGATTGGGGCCAAGAGAAGCCACCCGCCACCCGCCACCCGGGCACGCCAGGGATTCTTGTACAACTGTTTCTTGTTTTAATAGGATCCTGACAGCGCAATCCCGTGCGGGGGTGGTAAGCAGCATGAGTAGTGCATCGGCACACCCCGACAATGTGGGCCCTAGCGGATCGCTTCGGTGGATCGTCGAAGCCAATCTGACACTGGCAGCACGGAGACGGATGTTCCTGCGTGGATCTCGAGCGCTTCCCATATTCAACCAGATTGGGAATCTCACTGCGAAGCGTCAACCTTAGAGATGAGCTATATCAGCTTCTCGTTTGAGCACGTGTATTGATCAGCTCCGCAACTGGTCTTCGGCAGGTACTTTGGCTTCTGGAATTGTATTCGGTACAAATTTCCCTACCGGAGACCCTTCCGTTGCTGGAGGGAAATGTTGTCGAAGCGACGAGCCTTACTAGTTAGGAAATGCGTAGTTCAAGGCATCATACGAAATTTTATACACTGCAGACACTGATTCATCGCGTAAAAATGACGCATTAAACTACCAGTCTTCGTTCATGCAAATACTCAAAGTGAGGCATAGCCAGTTGGACCAGCTCCCGAATCTCTCGCGCAGTATCCACACCAAACTCGTCCTCCCATTTTGCCTCTTCAGCACTCAGGTCAACATTCTTGGCTGCTCGACCAGCATTTGCTCCCGTCGAGTCCATTAGCGTCGTCTGGACAGCTGCAAATGGCTTGGCAAGCTTTTCCTGTTCCTCGTTTGAAGCCGTATCCCATGAAAAGATTGCCTGGTCGGGATTCAAACCTGTTCGTCTGCAAATTTCGCGCACGAATTTCTCACTAGTCATGTAGTCGTCTGCATCGATAACAAGGGGCTGTATTCCATTGGCTTCGTAGAAGTCATACAGTAGTCGGGCCCATAAGTGGCAGGTAATGACGAGCATATTCGCTCTTCCACCTCCGTTAATGACAGCCCGCATAGCTTTGTATGCGGATGGCACGACCAGCTGCGGGTTCCTGATAGTAATCACAGGCACTGTTTGAGGATAAAGCAGCAGATTCTCGGGTACCAGTGTGAAGTTGTCTCCGCTGGGAGCTTCGGCTGTTGGCGAAGTGATGTATTCCAACATTCGGTCAGGAGATGCCGGGAAAAAGGAATGGGTATGAACCATCAATATTTTTCCCTTTATCGGTGATCAGTCAGGTGCAGTTGAATATCAATCAAAGAAACGGGAACATACATTATTTTCGGAATTGAGCAGCTCTTCTTTCCATTGTTCACAATCTTGTTGAACCTCTTTCTCAAAGATTGAACGCATGTCCAACGGCATGCCTTCATAATAAGAAGTGAGACGAAGCCATTCCACTTGCTGCTTGTGCCATGCTTCCTCGAATGGCCGGAAAAATGGTGTGGCGTTCTTTTGCCCCTCGAGCATGCGCTCCAGTAGATGGCCTGGAATTTTGTCAATTGAATCGAACAATCTGATCAGGTACGGTATACTCTTACATGCGCTGCGTGGCTGTGAGTATAGAATAACTTGAGAAGTCATCCTTTCAGTTTGAAGTAACAAGTTTGTGACCTTTTCCCAAATTCACACGTGGTTGATTCAATTTTGGTAATATTTTGGCGCATGTGTGTCAGGGCGCTCAGGAATAAATACGGAATGGCCACGGGCATTTAATACTTATTTGCGTACTAGAGACCTTGGAGGGAATTAAAATGACTAATATAGGGGAGGAAAAGCTAAAAATAAGCCAAGCCTCAGACCTAAGTAGCCATAGGTCTAAACCTATCCCAAAATACGGGAAATTGGTTTTCACACTAGCTTCGGGGTACGGCCGGAGCCAGGTCACAGCCAACCCCCACCTATTATAGATTCCCCTGGGAAAGCAGCCATTTCAAGAGTTATAAGATTTCAAAGAAAAGAGCAGTAAGATTACTTTTAAAGTATTCCTAATGACTCGCAAGATTGACTTTGCATGTACTACTTCCTAACCATGTAGACGTGGATAGTAAATACTAGAAAACAGCGGTAGAGTCTCGGGAGAAGAAATCATAGTTTTGCATCATTTCAAGTCCTGAATTCTGTTGCCTCAATTTCATATACTTGATATATACTACCCTATTCACAAGACTGATCCTCCCAAAAGACAAAGCATCTAGTCTCCAGGCTGTTGCGAGGCGGGCCGAAATCACCTTTTGTCGTAAACGCAGTATGAGGTGTGCGCCTAGCCGTGCCGTCCAGCTTTGAATCAAATATTTTCAAGCATAAAGCCTCATCAGGAACCATGTGTGAGGCATAGTACCATCTGTGCTGCTCAGGACACTTGGGCGGAACTACCGACCACATGGAGTTATCCATCCTGTAAACGTCGGCCATTGCAGGAGCATCACACTTCTGAGGTGCCATTTTGAGAGGCCGTTCCCGCAGCTCTTGATCAGACACGGACTGGGCATCGCATACGCATAGTGCCTCGCGATTGATAGTTTGGATCGGGCGCCAGAAGTTGACGATGGCCCTTTAGCAATTATAAGCGTTTTCACTTGAAATATTGTAGTGTGTCGTTCACACATACCAACGAGTTTTGGTGAGTTTCTCCGACTCTTCAGGGAGATACAAGTCGAGCAGTGCGCGAGCTCCAGTATATGATTGATCAACGTGGACAAAACGCGCCGTGCTGGGCTGCTTCACAGGCTCCATATCAGGAAGATGCTTCTCATCTTCGATGGCTTTTTCCCATGACTGTCGTCGAACAATATGGCTCATGATATGAACGCGTGTAGCTCCAGTTCTGACATGAATCTATCATTAGCACAGTCCCCAAAATTAGGGAAATGGGTACTATTATCAAGACGTACATATTCTGCAGAACTTCTGCACACTCGCGGTAGTAGACATCCTTTATCCGAGCTGTGTCATCAAAGTCCTTCTCAATACTTGGATGCATCAACAGTTGAAATCCTTGTCTGTCAAGCGAGAATCTCTGCTCTTGCCTCCGAAGATCCATAACTTGTACTGGAACTTCCGCATACTCTCTGCGCGATTCGATAATTGTGCCATCAAAAAAGGAATGATCTCCATCTTTACCGGGGTCAACATAATAATTGAGAACAGTCGACGCACTATTATTGAGCGACATTATCAAGACTACTTGCGCTGCCAACCTTCCGTTGGGTCGATGAAGACGAGAAGTTCAAATTAGGAAGCAGGCGTGGAAGGAATTCAAGAACGTATCTAATCAACCCTATTTTTTGATAGTAATTGCTAGTGAACCTGGTCAGAACTTTCGGTATGGGGCCATCATCGAACTCCAGAAATGTCCACGTGGTATCGGTCGGCAATAATTTCGGGCATTGTATCCTCATGCCAATAATGACTCGTAAGCAATGAAAGTGCTATGGCATCAAACTGTCAGGATCGTCCGTGCGGAGATACGCCGAAAAGCTTAGGATCCATAGGGGCCAGGATCAAACCCACCGGAGCCAGCCAAACTCCGGCCCTCCCGTGTGGCTGATACCCCAATACATTCGTTTTTTGGTATTGTATTAGACTCGATATTGGATACGGTATTATCATGCAACCACGACAGATGTGTCTGCAAATTGTATTTTATCGGTGATTTAGGGTGCCGCCATATACGTTTGTTCAGGGAGCGAGGAAGTCATTTGAAAGTCCGATCTAACACATTATAACGCAATTCAACAATTTCAACATGGCCGTCCGGAACTCAGAAACTCTTCAGAATGGCAATACCCAAAGCTCTTTTCATCAGCCTTTGCAGTCCTCGGGGGCTTTGGATAAATTTGTCTACGAAGACATTACTCCCGTCATTGGGCGCGAGTTTCCTCATCTGAATGTTGTGGATGACTTGCTCAATTCGCCAAATTCAGAAGCATTGATCCGCGATCTGGCTATTGCAAGTAGGTCAAAAGTACTCTCTGTTAAATAATCGAATTTTCTATCCTAATTTATGTGCCAGTCTCTCAGCGCTGCGTAGTATTCTTCCGCGCACAAGAAAATCTCACTGAAGAGCAACAAAGACAACTTGTTTCTCGACTGGGTGAGATGAGCGGCAAGCCCGCCGACTCAACATTTTTCATCAATCCAATCCAAAGAGAGGCGACTGATGGTACGGCCGTTGCAGACCCTGAGATCACTCGGATCAATTCTCGGGGTCGACCAGACGTAGCTGCAACTCAACCCAATCCTCGTCGGTTTGATGAGGCTTTGTGGCATGCGGATGGGCAGTTTGAAACCTGTCCCCCTTCTTTCACCTCGTTGCGTCTCAGTGAGGTGCCGAGGAATGGTGGTGACACTCTCTGGGCATCCGGCTATGAGCTTTATGATCGTTTTTCTAAGCCTTATCAAAGCTTCTTGGAGGGTTTGACTGCAACTTTCATTGGAGATGGTTACACTTGGTCAGCTGGGCAGAGCGGTGGGAAGATGACCATCAATGAAGGTCCCCGGGGCAGCCCTCTTAACGTTGGCAAGGATTTGAAGGTCGTCCATCCAGTGGTTCGCACTCATCCTGTTTCTGGCTGGAAGTCCATCTTCCCGGTCGGACCTCGGAATCCTTGGGAGTTTGGTTCACCAAAGTACATCAATGAGCTCCATCCGAATGAGTCCGATGAGCTGCTCAATCGGTTCTACGACACTATTCTCCAAAATCATGACTTGACTGTTCGGTTCAAATGGAGAGAAAATGATATGGGTAAGGATAATGGCTCAAGCCTAAAGAAATTTTTGCTGACCCGTCTCAATTTAGCCATTTGGGACAACCGTTGTACCTTCCATAGTGCAACCTTTGACTATGACGGGAATGGGGAGCGCGTAGGGGCTCGTATCGCGGGGGCTGGGGAGGTGCCTTATCTGGATCCAAATAGCAAGTCCCGGACTGAAGCATTGGCTAAGAATGTTTGATTTGATTTGGAAATTTCGCACAAGAGAATGAACTTTTTCTACAAATTTTAATTATGAGTGCCCCTGTATAGGCTTAGGCTTGTAAGCCTCTTCTAGATAGCTCTCCTCTTCTGCCGACAGAACCTTACCCCGCGCAGCTAATGCCTCATCCATGCGGTTTATACTGCTAAACCCGATTATTGGCGCAGTGGCTCTTTCTCTAAGCCACGCCAAACTGACATGGCTCATGGGCCAACCACGACGCTCGGCAATCTCTTGCACACGGGATATGATGATTTTGGTGTCATCACTCTCCCCTTCGTCGTAGATAGTGCCGTTTGCGCTGGTGCGATGACGGATGGATTGCCCTCCATCCTGATTTGGCGGCCGCACAAGTCTGCCAGATGCGAAAGGCGCCCAGGGAATAATTCCTATATTGTGCATCTTGCAATATTGGTTCATCTCTCGTTCTTCCTCCCGGTAGAGAAGATTGTAATGGTTTTGCATAGACACAAATTGGGTCCAGCCATTTCGCTCGGCTGTATGTTGCAAAGTCGCAAATTGATATGTCCACATTGAGCTCGCTCCAATATATCGAACAGACCCAGAGCGCACAAGGTCGTGCAAAGCTTGCATAGTCTCTGCTGGGTCGACTGTCTCATCGTAGCGATGAACTTGTAGCAGGTCAATGTAATTGGTCTGAAGTCTCTCCAATGAAGCTTCAACTGAGTTGAAAAGAGCAGATCGAGATAAACCTGCAAGTAATCAGAATCAAGCTCGTAAATATTGACCAACCCGGTGAGACTTACCCCATTGGTTTACATAATCTTTGCTGTGATCCGCGATGTTATGATGCATCGTGACTCCTGAGCCTGGGTCAAACTCTTCCGAGTCGCAGATCACTCTATAAACCTTTGTCATAATGACCATCTTTCTTCGGGGAATATCATATTCTCGCAGTGCTTTTCCGAAGAGGCGCTCGGACTCGCCGTTAGAGTAAACATTGGCGGTGTCCCACTTTCGATGATCAGTCTTGTTATGGTGTCATATCAATGGGAATTTATGTGCTCACAGTATTGATGCCCCTGTCATATGCAGCTTTCAAAAGCGGTAACGCCTTCGTAATTGTCAACTTCCTCCCCTCCCTGCTTCTCATATTGGTATAAATACCATGATCGATTTGACTTACTTTTTTTTTCGTCCAGAACCCAAGGAAACCACCGTGAATCCCCAATATGCAACCCACCAAGTATTGGGTTTGACACCCTCAGGCCACTCTTACCAAGTCTGCGATACTCGACTTGAGTACGGCTGATCGATTTCTGCAGTGCGTCTGGCACGCTTTTCAATTTCCCTATGGAAACCTTTGTCATGTTGTAGGCAAAAACCTGTGCTGTAAAGGTGGCACCTAACTTCCGTGGCTTTTCCTTCTCTTGTGTTCTACCGTGGATCATTCAATGTTTTCATATTTATCTCAAGGGGCTTGTTTAAGTTGGGGCCGGGAAGCTCGGCGTATTTTTCGAGAGCCCATCACAGCGCCAAGAGTTCAGACGTTATACCCGGGCTCAGCGTAGTTATTCGGCTTGAAGCGCCTTGGGAAGACACTGATACGGTACAGCAGAATGGTACTCAAAATACAATGATTTCCCCCGCAAATGACGATTCAAAGAGAGACCACGTGAAGGCTTGCGTATCCAGTGTCGGGGGACGTGAAGGATGGATTCGGCGAGGACCCGAGGTGAGAGTTGAGGCTGTCGGTGGAACTCAGTTGGACATTAATTTATGTCCGCAATTCAAGCTTTCATGCCAACAACTCCCATATAGTACTGTGGTATTTTAAATACTGTGGCGTTTCCATGCTATCCTGCGAGGGCTTCTGGTGGGTCTGTGGGGAATTCCATTGACCCCAACGTTGTGCGCCCGAAAGCTTCTTCCCGATAGTGAGGACCCACCACGTGGTGCTCAGGGTTCTGTTAATTGAATAGTCTTTGGACCCTATTTTGTCTTCCAAAGCACTATCTTTCCAAAAGGACGGACTTGTAAGATTGCTTGGAGAATTCCAGTAATCGCAAAATGTGAACTTGACCCCAGCCCACGCAATCTTTCCTGACTCCAACTCGTACGGTAACTGTTAATCCATGGGCTCCAACCATTGTACTGTTAGTCACTTTTTGTGTATTTGGGCCTGAAACTGATCGTCGTGTCTTTTGAATGTGCTTCGTAAGTTCGCCTTCGAGACCAAGCAAGTCAATCCTTCCAAATTTTTAGTTTTCTGCAAGTCTGAGGCATACGCGACTCACATTAACAATTGCTTAAATCACCGTTTTATCAATCAAATATCGCAAATCATGGCAAAGGTTCCCGTACACAACGGTAGCCTTGGTGGTGAACAATACGTCTCGGGGTTGGAGGGCCTGCACCAGGCTTTCAGCGTAGCCCTTGGTCAGCCAGTATATGCACCCATCGATGTTTCGAGCAAACAATTGAAAATCTTGGATTCTGGATGCAATACAGGTAAGAGTGCCTTCCATCTATCACTTAGTCAATCCCTTGAAAGAAAATATGAATTTATCTTCCGGGTACAGGAAAATGGCTACTTGACCTGGCGAGCATTTCTGCCCCAGTGAACCACCAATACGTCGGGACAGACGTCTGGACGGAGGTCTTTCCGGGCAGCCTCCCGTCAAATTTCTGTTTCTATGAGCAAGATATAACCAAACTGTGGCCTGAATCATGGAAGGGGTCATTTGACCTTGTTCATCAGCGCACCGTGCTCGTTAACGCTCGGAAGCTACCAATTCGAGATGTCATCATCAGAATGACGGACCTGCTCAGGCCTGGAGGATGGATTCAGTTGATGGAGGGAGACTTTGCACCTGTGCAACAAAATGGCCCTGCTATGCAAGAGTTCCTTGAGTTGGGGAAATGGTTCTTTGATGAGGCAGGGCCGGGTAGCGACATGGGTCCTCGTTTGGCAGGCGAGCTGTCTAGTATTGGCCTTCAAGATGTCCAAGAGACTACAGTACTCGTGTCTGTGGGTACTGGGTTGAAAGAGAAAGGACAATCACCTCAGATAATCGCGGGAAGCATTGAGGGCCTGTGTTCAGCTATCCCAGGCTCACTTATCAACCTGAGAGGCAAGTCAACCTCCACACTCACCTCGATGAAACGGTAAACTAACAACCTTAGAATGGACCAGATATGAGTCACCCATTCTCTATGGACCAACTGAACACCTTAGAGCAGCGCCTCCGCCAGGAGTTGGCGGATATTGGCGGATCTATTCGATATCGCGTGGTATGGGGGAGGAAATAATTGAAATTCTACTTCTCTGAGAAATAATCTAGGAAGCTAGTAGTAAATTTATTACTACTAGTAGCTGGAGTACTAGTAGCGTGGATAGGTTAGATTTGGTTAGAAGTAGATGATATATATATAGACTGTGCGTCCATATCGCCAGCAGGATACTATTATTGAGTAGTACCTACCTAGGTAGGTACTAGTATGCTCGATTCAGCCAATAAGGGACTCAGACTGGGTAATAACTGTGGATACTTGTTGAGCAAATCCCAAGATAAAGCAAAGAGGACCGTCTGGGAGAAGGGTTATAATTGAGGGTGTTTCACAAGCTCTTATCCTTCTGGGTGTGTTGTGTGGATTTTGATGATGTGGCAATATCAATTAGACCGACTATATAGTCCTTTAACTAGTGTTGTCCGGTACATACGACCATAGGGTGTGGAGAACAGGGCTTCCCGTCCGCTCAGCCGTACTTAAGCCACACGCCGGCAGGTTAGTAGTATGGTGGGTGACCACATGCGAATCCCTGCTGTTGTATGTTTTTTTTGTTTTTTTCGATTTTTCTTTCGAAAAAAATTGTTTTGTTTTTGACTTGTTAATATTTTCAATGTGTATGGCTAAAGTCGAATACTTACCAAGTACTGGTACCATCCCTTGCGACCGGGGAAGATTTTTTATTGTTCTCAGGGCCATCAGCCAACGCCGGTTTCTCGGAACCATCCAAATAACCTGAGGTCGATCAGCTTGTGATTTTGTTGGCAATAATCTCAATAATTTTTCCAATCATCACAAACTTCATTGATGGCCGAAATAATCTGGTCTATAACGAAAGGCCTTTTCTCCGCCAAGATCCTGAACGTCTACCTTTTTACGCGTGTCAGCAGATCAAACAGAAGAAAATATGAAATGATTTTTAGTATACATGTGAGGTAGAATGATTGAACGACTGGAAATTGACAATGCTATTAAGACAGCAAAATATTTTTTTCGAGGTATAGGTTCCCCATTAACTCCAAACCATGCCCGCTTGTTTTTCGTTTGACAATTCTCATTTCGGCCCCCCAACAGCCGCCCGGCATCCAGAGACAAAACCGGCTTCACAAAATACAACAAGTCTTTCATAGTCATCGGCTTCAGAGAGAGGGATTTCCGAGGAATGTCCTGCGGAAATCGGTTGCAAATACGGGTGCAGATATCGTGTTTTTGGATAATTCTCGGTAGGTGGAATCCATGTTGAGGCGTGTGGCGACGGCTCAGGGCTCTCTGAGCGGTCGGCATCGTTTTGGGTTGATATGAGGATTGGAATTGCCATAGACATACCGCAGAATAAAGAAAGAAGAATAAATGATCTCATGGCTTGCAATTAATGGCGTGAAAATAGGAAGTTAACGTCGAGGACACTCTTGCTGATGGCCCTGGGGAGGGATATGATAGGCAAGAAAAGCTTGAAATTGTGGAGAATTGGAATTATAGCAGAGTTTTGGCGCAGGGACAATCGTAGGTATAGTAGGTATACTATATACTACTACCAATGTTTTAGTTTTCAACGGCATTTGTCGGACATAAGGGAAGACTAAAGATAACTGAACGAGATGACGAAATGGACCCATGGGTCTAATGTCATCAAGTACTTGGCGATTTCTTGGCTCTTTAGCATCGCCCCAAGAATGATCGAGCAGATAATAGCCTTAGTCTAAAAATGATGAGCACGAAAATACAGATCAATGCGTGTCCTAATTTTGAGCTATACCTTGATAAGGTAAATTTGCCCTCAAAGCCCTTGGTATTGTGATGTAAGTGGGTCCATGCCCCCGACGCTAAAGAAACGAAATTCGATATAATTGACATTGATGAAGAAAGACGCGCTCAAAATGTCATCTTGTATCTTGCTGCTTTCATGAATTTGTCAAAATATCTTTCCAAATGAGGGGTTTCTCCCTCTAGACCTCCTCCAACGATTAGTGGAAATCAGTAACTCCGGCGAATCAAGGAGTAGCCATTTCCATTTCTGCGCGAAGCCTTCTGTAACTTCCCAATTCTTTGCATCCCACGAGTTTCCCCACACTAGCAACGTAGCAGCTGTATTTCTTGTGTCCCAAAACGCCATGAGATCATGACAAAGGTCATCGTCGTCAAAAGAGTCGCCGGCAAGGATCATGCAATCACGCATGCGGGGGAAGGGGAAGAAATCTAACCAAGGATGATGAGGCACATGTAGCTGGATATAACTAGGGCGTAAACAGGCCGGAATCCCCTCTATAGAGAAGCTGGGCTGGGAAAGGTTGAATATTGATATCGAGTCATCGCCTTGCATCCACCTGGGCGTCATGCCAATTGCACATATATTTTCATTGATGGCTTTATGCACGTTCAGCCGGCTAAGACTGATTAGATGATCTCTGTTCGGTGTGCCGTTCATATAGCTTTCGAGAGCCTTTGCCTCAAACCATTTACGGAATTGGCGGGCATTTGGAGCTGCCAGTGCGCATTCCCAAAGCTCATTACTTTCCTCTTGGAACTCAAGTCGGACCATATGCGGATTAGGCAAATTGGACATATCGGGGGAAATGATGGGGCCCTGCGATTTCGCCTCGTCGACTTGCTTTCTCCGCCCTAGCAAGTAGTGAGATACTGGATTTACCACGTTTTCGGATCGAGCGGATACTAGTACGTACGGAAACGTCGCTGATTGAGGCGATTTTGCAATTTCCTTCGTTCCTCCCGATTTATGATGCCAGTCCAATCGTCGCGAGCTTCCCGGACACTAGCCTGCTGTGGCATTCTGCTCAGTGGAATGATCTGCGCTCCGGATGTGGGATCTGCCATGTTGTGGTCGGTGAGATATGCAATATGCTGACAAGCTAAAAAGAGCAAGTAGCCCGTTAATAAAGCCTAGGTGGGGTCGTGGAGTATCTTGCTGACGGCGTCTTCATCAGATTACCAAGCTCGAAAATTCTGTCTGCCTGCTGGATTGCGCTTGCTTTTGAGAAATGCCAAGCGGATCGCCACATTGCCAAGGTCGGACAACAGGAGAACACTTCTGGTTGGCCAGTGGTGAGCTTTAGCTCCTGGACCCATGTAAGCAAATGTCCCCTGTTTGATTGGTTCATTACTTCATCCCTATCTATGGTTCTCACATCGAGCAATATCGAGGCAAGAAATACCACCGTACAGAGGCCAATCTGCGCGTGCCTTTTTGTCTAATGATACATTTTGACCCATTTTTCTGTCGCGACAAGCAAAGCCACGCCGAGAAAGATAATTTAAAAGTTTGACCGAGGAAAACGCCAAGTATTGATGTACGTTTCTCACATCAATTGGTAAAGAGCTGTGTAAAAACAACGAAAACATAGACCAAGGGTTTTATCATTGGAAGCAACCAATTTCATCTTACGGGCATACGCGGAGCTATCCTAACTGCTCCACTCCGCCTCCAACCCTTGGAGCATTCTACCGGAATGACCAACCAGTGGAAGAAATCCGAGAATACCAAATCAAGAACGGGCCCACTTAAGTGAGCTAACGATCTGAATCGTTCACGCAAGATTTGTTTGGAAGAACTCAGTCAGTCGTTGAAACGGGATAAGTTCGGTGCGATCGTATAGATCGACGTGACCGGCACCTGGAACCGAGAGAAACTCCTTCGGCTCAGCAGCACGCGAATAAGCGTCTTGGCTAAAATAACGAGAGTGTGCCTGATCGCCGGCGATAAATAACATCGGGCGGGGCGAGATCGTATCGATGCCACTAAACGGATAGAAATTGACGAACTTGGTGTAGGTCGAGAGCGTGGGGTGAGTGGTAAGCTCTGATGTCGAACCAACAGGCAAAAACTCCCCGCGCTTGGTACGGTAGTACTCGTAAAACTCGCGTTCGACTGGAGTAACATTCACTGTGAGGTGATTCAGGGTACCGCCGGTATACTGCGTTTTGCCGCCGTCGATCTCGGCCCAGCGCTGCTGTGCGGCTTCAGCGATTGTTTCCTTAAGCTGATCGACACTTTGCGAATTTTGGAGCCCCTGGCGGGCGAGGGTTCCCATGTCGTACATGCTCGCTGTGGCTATAGCCTTGAGGCGCGGGTCCAGCTTTGCAGCGCTGATCACGAAGCCACCACTACCACATATACCAAGTCCTCCTATCCGCTCGCGGTCGACGGACGTTATATTCTGGATGCCCAGATAATCAACTGCAGCGCTGAATGCCTCTGCATAGAGATCGGGCAAAACTGCGTTGCGCGGCTCACCCATGCTGGCACCCCAAAAAGGCAGATCGATGGAGACAGTGGTGAATCCCTGCTCAGCCAGTTTTGTCGCGTACAGGTTGGCACTCTGTTCTTTAACCGCCCCCATAGGATGGCCGACGACAACAGCAGGCGCAGTGTTGTTGTTCTGGTCCTTGAGATAGAAGAGATTTCCTGCAACAGTTGTTCTGTACTGGGTTGGGAAAGTGATCGGTTGGACTGTCACGTTATTGCTGCGATAGAAATTTTCGGCTCCGAAAGACATGTTCTGTGCCATGGCCGAAATCCCCGTACTGAACACGAGAATTAACTGATTCATTGGCTTCATGATGGCTATGAAGATTTTTTATTGCGATTGCACAAGAGAGTGCGAGGTTGGTATTGGAAGAAAAACGCTTCTTCTTTCCAAGACAAAGAGTGAGACTTATAACTGACCAGGTGGGTAATGAGACCACGTAATACTGTCATCCTACCAAGATTTCAAGTTGGCTCCTACATCATGGGTGAACCAATCTCATCCGGGGCTAAAGCCAGGTAGAAACATAAGTTTTCAGCTAAGAGATTTGAATGACCCTCAAAGAAGAGTATTTTCGTGGGCCCGTCATCAAAGTGTCTCTATACCTAGGGATATGAAGATTCTCTACACTGCTAATGCAACTTGCTTATTCTCGCAAGGTTGGAAACCAATCAATCGTTGCTTCCATGGCGATCATTTCTTGGCTCGAGAGACCAGTTTCTCCGCCTTTGCATACTGTCCCAGGGCTCGGTGAAGACATTGTAGTGCATATACCAATAGATTGATCTTTCCAATTCAAGGGAATGGGCATATAACTGGGTATGATACTGGGTAGGTTGCTTGTATACTAGTAACTTTATATGATCTCTAATATTGGCTATCTGCACTAATGGCAGCATCAAATAAATACCAGTACTATTCCCTAAGCCTACCTATATGCTATTTACACAACACAAACTATGAGAGTATTTATCCGAATTCAAGAGGAAAAACTAGCAATTTTGAGACGCTGCTGGCCTGGCAGGATTACAATTGAGCCGGTTGCCGCTACTAAGGGCGTAGGGTGGCCTGAACTAAGTCCTCACATGGATTACTGCAAGTCCTTTCTGTATTATCGGAGTTGCAATCTAAAGAAACACCATTCAATTTAAAGGGAACTTATTTTGCATTTCAGAGAACCCAGGATGAAAGTTACCACCATAGTAACATGAATACTTACATGTGATGATTTGAGGCGACAAGAAAGGTTTTGAACACACCATATGCAAAATATCCTTCATCATAGCCCACCGTCTGCCTCCATGCTGGATTTGATGAATTAGTGAGCAACACATCAGAATACCATGAGTCGACCACTCCACGAAACGTGACCCCAACGCCCCCTGGATACTTGAATTTGTCAGAGCCTTCCTTATCAGAATCCCAGATAGTACCTGCATTTTTCGCCTCCAGGGTCATGTTGAGTCTCTGTTCATCGAACTCAAACTCAAGGTTCGGGTTGGAATAGTCGACGGCCCAAGCACTAGGAATATTATCACCAAACCCCACATCAACAAAGTCGTTCCACTCTGTGCGATTGCATGCAGGCATCTCAAATGACTTGATACTTCCCAGAGAGATACCTGAGACACGACTCAAATTACCTTTTGCCTCATAGGTCTTACGAGAGTGCGCGATACAGGGATAGGGAATACTTGGTCCGCAAAATCGGGCCTAGGAAAACGGATATCATCTATTCTTAACAAGTACAAGGGCATCAGTATAGTTGCGACTCACTTGACTCCTTTGGACAACTTACTCGAAGGACGCGAGTGTCTCTCTAGGATTCCGCGATTTAAATCCACGGAGAAAATCGAATTCTGGAGACCAGAAGCCCGTTATCATGTTGATAGAACTTGCATTGCTCTCGTTGTTGCTAGGCGGTGTTACAGCGAAGATACCGCTCAGTTCAATGAATTGTTTGCTAATAGCATTGCTACAGTTCTTATAAGACTCCGCAGCACGCGTGATGTTGACCTCAATTTGAGCTCTTCCATTATAGTATCTAGTTGCCTGTGTGTACTTGCGAGAGTCGATTCTGGCCATACCTCAGGCAGGTTAGATGACAAGGCACTCACGATCCACTGAGCCCGTAAAGTTGGTTCAAACCTTTGTTTTGGTCGTAAACGTCGCCATGGTTAAATAAAGACCGCCAAAATGGAGTGTCGGCCCGAGTTGAAACGGTCAATTCAAATAGTATCAGTACCGAGGCAAGTAAATGTTGACGCATGGTCATTGTGAAATTGCTAATTGCTGTCTCAGAAGGGATTATAAGAAGCAGGAATACAAGAAGGAGGAGGAGGAGGGAGGAGGAGGAGGAGGACAGACTTCTCAATTCTCATTTACACCAGTTTTTAGCGAACAACGTCAAGATCTTAATGTCTTGGACGTCCTAAAGAGGCCCGGGCTGCCTTGACGATGCCCGTTGGATGTAACTACTCGTATAAGCCACCAATAGGTGGTGAAGATGATGCGTACTAGAAACCAGGATGTATCAGCTGATTCAAGAGGCCGGTAGGGCTGTGGTATTACTCCATGCGGGGACCCGAGCCCAGAGGAGCAAGAATGTGCTGGTCATCAAGGACACGATGATCTCGCGACCGTGGAGAGGAGTTGAAACCGGAGGTGGGATTTGGCCACAGAGCGAGCAGTGCGTTGTTATTAGCGATTTTCGGCTTTGTTGAGGGATTGTTGCTGTTTCGTGGCGGCGTTTCTACCCGATCGCTACGTGTTTTCGCGTCTCATTTGGCACTACATATATAGTATTAGTAACACTACGCTGTTTTCCGAGTCCTTTGACATTTTATATTTACTGGGTGTGGCGATTGGCGAGTTTTTTGTTTCCAATGGAGGGAACGCCTACATAAATAACCATTTTCTAAGTTAGGTTGCATCAGGCGAATAATATATTGAATGGGATTGTAGACCTTTCAAGTTTGGACTGTCGTGGTTTAATATTCATGTCTCAATTTATACGCAAAGACTGTTCCCCGCTCGCTTTCGAGAAACTGCAGAGACACGTCCGTAGCCTTAAGGCACCAAGCCTTATGGCCGGCGATCTGGGGGTCCACAGCCCTGGAGCGTGAGGTCCAGCTAGGCTTTAATTTTTCCAACTAGTAGGGTGCGATCGGAAGTTATTGGTGGCGGAGTTGATTTCCATCGATATTGATTAGTAGTTTCTCATGGTCTGGATTCTATGTAGAATACATGTGAGCGATCGTGTGGTATTACAAGAAAGAGTAGTCATTATTCAACTTTATGCACCTGGGCATTTGATTGCCAGTAGCCACATCATGATGAATTTTCCGTGAAGACTCTATATATATGCTTAGGTATTCCAAGGTTTACTATAACATTTTTCACTATCGCCCGGGCGGAACCTTGGAAGTACGTGTCCGCTTAAAGTATGAGCCGCCCAGGCTCGGAGATCGGGAAAATCGGCCGAGGCTTCCCAAAATATTAGAATCCCGAGCCGCATCATGATTGGAATTATTACCAAGAACTTCAAGTTCTCGAACTGAAGCTTTGTTCGGCAATTTTGTGACTGAAGCGGAGGAATACTACATACTCATATGTAATCACTATTGTATTCACATGGTTACACTAAACCCGATCTCCCGTTTCCAAGGTCGCGTGATTATGTTTCGGAGATACAAACATTCAACATATCATCTTCTCAGGTCTGCCGTGGCCGAAATGCTATGCACTTTTAGCTTAGCTTTTTTATATTGTGGGCCTGATAGCCAGGTCTTCTTTTGAAACGGTCATACGTCGTCGGATGCCTGAAGAAAGGATCTTTATCGATCTGAAACTACGCACTAAGTTCATGATCGACATCTAGGACTTCCGCTTTAGGACAACCGACCCGAGTCGACCCCCTACTAAAGACAACCTTGGAAGACGTCTGAAGATTTGCATACAGAAGTAGAGGCGAGGTGTTATTGAGCTGACGCGTTAAATTGGTGTACCTTTTTATTACTTAACGATGAGGATTTGGCACTTTCCATTGAGCCAGCCAAGCTCAACCCAAAGCGATCATTCCATTCGCAAGTCACTATGATCGGCATTCTTGCCCCCCTTCTCATAGGGGCTGCTTCTGCAACCTCCTTGAGCAAGACTTGCACAAAGGACTTTATCAAGTCCAACCTGCCAACATCTGACGACAAAATCCCCCTCGGAATCACTATCGACGATAGTTCCATCACCGCCAATACGTACCGCAACTACTCAGTCACGGATGCGACCTTCTGGGAGAATGTGAACATCGACTTCTGTGAAGTTTCTTTTGCATACTCCCACGATAATCAGGATGATCGAATCGTCGTGGAGTATTGGATGCCCCTTGCTGAAAATTTCCAAAATCGATTCCTCGCCACCGGAGGTGCTGCATACCAGATCAGCAATGGATCTGGTGGTGCCGACATGTCAGGCGGTGTTGCCTACGGAGCTGTCACGGGTTTGACTGACGGTGGTCTTCCTTATTGGGGAAGTACTGACTTTGACGATGTTGTCCTGCTTGGCAATGGAACTGCCAATTGGCCAGCAATTACAACTTCGCGTACCAGGCTATCGGCGAGATGACCGCAATTGGAAAGGTTTTCACCAAAAATTATTTCGGGCTCAGCAGCAGCGCAAGTAAGAGAAGCAGTGACAAAGTTTACACATACTACATGGGTTGCTCCGAAGGTGGACGCGAAGGTATGAGTCAGGTTCAGAAGTCCCCTGATCTCTACGATGGTATCATTGCGGGTGCCCCTGCCATGCGCTATGGACAGCAACAAGTGAACCACATTGCTCCTCCCATCCAGATCCAAGCCATTGGACACTACCCTCCTTCCTGTGTGTTTGATACCGTTATCAACGCTACCATCAACGCCTGTGACAAGCTTGATGGCAAAGCTGATGGAGTAGTCTCTCGCACTGATCTTTGTTTGCTGAAATTCAATGTATCTTCGATGATCGGCAAGTCGTATAGCTGCGCGGCAAGCTCCGAATCTAGCTTGGGTCTGGGATACGGAAAGCGCAAAAGAGCTGACAGCTCGACTACTCCCGCGCAGAACGGAACCATCTCCGCGAAGGATATTGAGGTCATTCAGGATCTGTTGACCGGTCTGGTGAGTGCTGGCCCCAAGGCTGCTTACTAGAATCAAGGCTAACGATATTACAGAAAGACTCAAATGGCGACAGAGTTTACCTGCCATTCCAGCCAGCTGCTGGCTTTGGTGACACAACCACTTATGACTCGGATACCGATTCGTGGGGCATTGAATCTCCAAACTCGAACGGCGAATGGATCACCAAGTTCTTGCACTGGCAAAATGTCAGCTCGCTTGTCATGACGGATGTCACCAATGACAACCTGAAGGCCTGGATGATTGAAGGCATGAACAAGTACATGGACTCACTCCAGACTACCCTCCCCGATCTGACTCCATTCTTGGATAATGGTGGCAAACTACTTCACTACCATGGTGAAGCCGACACCAGTATCCCCACCACTGGCTCCATTCGCTACCATGAGTCTGTTCGCAAGATCATGTACCCCAATCTGTCGTTTGAGGAAGGAAACAAGAAACTCAATGAGTGGTACCGCCTCTACCTGATTCCAGGGGCGGCTCACTGTGCTATCAACTCCGAGCAGCCCAACGCTGGTTTCCCCCGTGATAACTTCAACCACATGATTAAGTGGGTTGAGGATGATATCACCCCCGTAACTATCAATGCTACAGTGCAATCGGGCTCCAAGGAGGGTGAAGTTCAGGATGTTTGCACCTGGCCGTCGCGTCCTTACTACAAGGACGGCAAGCTGGTCTGCCAGGAGAACGAGTCTTCAGTCAAGGCTATGCTGTGGGAACTCCCTGCCTACAAGATGCCTGTATACTAAGTGTAATTAAACCCAGATTATAGTTTTAAGAAGTGTATAAAAAGTGTATAAAAAGTGTCGACAATACCGGGCAACATGTAATACGCAATATAATGTTTTGAGTAACAAAAGTTGTTCGCGTAGATCATCATCCACCTCGGCTATAGTTTAGTCAAATTCCCAAAGAATAGAAATCATTGCGACGATTTCTTATCACTTCTTATTTAGCCAAATTTGCACAATCACAAGCGTCAATCTGCTAAGAAGTGTCCTTCAATCAATGTCAAGCCCCCCAAAATGCGATTCGATTCAAGGTTCCTACCATGTCCATAAAGTACAGGTCACGTCGCAAAATTGCAGCCCAACGTCAGGATGCCCAAAATCAAAGTTTTATGTATATTAATTTGGTGAATTTTAACTCATACTATCTCTAGAATGTACTAGTACTATCGTAGCCGAGCATCTGAAATAAATCCAACAAAATATGAAAACATTTCCCATTTTAAACGAGAGAAAAACAGGTGTAATTTCTACCTATCACGTAGACCACGGAAGACCTGACCAGGCTCTGATTACCGGGGAAACGAAAGCAGTAACCAATTCGTGCTTATAAAAAAGGGGAATCTGAAAATATCTTTAAGTTATCTTTTGTGATTAACATATCACGAGCAAGTCAGACAGTTTTCCGCGATCGTGCCACTCTTGTTAAGTATATATGGAATAAATCCAATAACTGGCATCAGTGTAAGTTCAATTGGCCGTATTGAACATGTGGCTGAATTGCATACGAGACCTGACGGGAAACCCTGTCTATATGTGCTATCGTCATATTCGCTTATCTGCATGAAAATAGTCGGGTGACAGCCACCACATTTTGACCAGCCTATCATAAGCATTGCTTAATCAATAGATTGATTATTGCTATCTATTTATCTACCTATGGCCGAAGCAGAGCCTCATTACCCCGCCTTCAAACCAACATAAATACCCAGAGAAGAGGCAACCTTGGAATGTGAGAAATAAATTATTCAACCAATTTGTCCTGACTATTCTAAGCCCTATAATTTATTCCTACTATTGCTCTGTTACGATTGTATATCATCTCGCTTAGAGCCAGTCTACTGATTGACCATGAGCACGATCGTTAGTTATCTCTTTTCTCAACAGAATCATTATCTGGAAAGGGAAACCAGGGCTTTTCCATTAACTCGAAGCCCTTTATAGAACCTCCCCAGTGGGTCAGTTGAATGGTATTACTCTATCTACAGCTATGACTCGGACTGTGCGGGATGTTATGGAACCATAAAAGCTGAAGAAACTGCTTGGGACTGGAGTCAAGCTCAAGGTCGACAAATTACCAATGGTCGTGGACCTTATTGCGGGAGCTGTGTGAGTGATATTCCCTGCTTTACTTGAGATCCCGCAGCAAAATTGATTGACTACTACTGACCTTGAATATACGATATAGTATAGTAAGACTAAGAGGGCTAGCGATACGGTTCGGGGCAGTGGAGCCTGATAATACCTAAGAGTACATGTTCTGAATCACGTTTTCTGCTCTACGGTGGACCTTTGATTGACAGCACAGCGAGATAAGACTGCCAGATAGCGCCATAGGCTACTATAATACTTGCTATTGTCCATTTGACTAGGGCCTCGGATGATCTGAGCTGTGGTGTTAGATAGGAAGCAAGCTCGACCGGTAGTCCACCTTGCCCATCTGCGTTCTAGTTACCTGCGAATTTGGATCTTCAACGCTAAAAGCGTACGAAGTCCACCTCCCTCAACGGAAAAAAAAAGTCTGCAGCCTCACTGAAGAAATACCCAATATTATCCACCGATATTGCAACGAGAATTAGAGGAATTGAAATCGCAAATTTAGTTTCAAAAGTCCATTTGGAGAGAAAGGCAAGACTCAAGTCCGAAAATTCCCGCATATTGATCCCAAAAAATGACGTCAAGAATGACAGGGGTAAGAAGACAATTGTGACCATGGTAAAAACCATGAGGATCTTGCCTTGCAGAGCCGTGCTCTCAGCTTGGTCTCGGGCAAATCGTGCTTCGAATGCATTTGCTTGCTTCTGTTTTAAATCTAGCAGGTGTACCATTGAATGATAGACCCTTTCTGCCTGTCGATCCATGCGATTGATATGCTGCAGCCGTAGTTCGATCATAAGCTGAGGATTTTCAAGGAATTTATTGGAGGCGGTGCGCGGTGAACTCTGATTGATTGACTTGACTTTTTGTTGGAACAGGGATACGATCTGGGATTGTTGTTCTAGAAGGTGGCGAATTATATCCAATTCATCACGGATGTCTTTGACTTCCGCGAGCATGTCGGCCTCCTCGCCAATATCGAGTATCCGATCTACAAATTGGGGAGAGTTCTGCGATAATACTGGATTGTTCTCCTCATTAATGTTCAAGTTATCCTTGAAAACATCACGGTCAGAAAGTGACTGAATCCGAGACAACGAACTTGGCTTGTGTTGATTCTTCTTGAGCCAGTTAGAAGCATGCTTGGATGTCTGATAGAAATCGGAAAAGAAAACGACTTCTCACTTTAGCTAGGTTGATAAATGACTTGAACATATCGAAAAACTGATACTCGGTATCTTCAAGTTGCTGGTTATCAAAGACGGTCAAGCATCTCTCGGTGATATTTTCCGCGAAATCATACGCAAAGTCAATTCGCAAGAAATTAACTGATGCCATATGTTATCATGTCTACAAGATTTGAGGGGTCATCCTTTGGTTGATTCCATCGCTGGGGGAAACATGTCACAATGAGACCCCCCCCCCTGGAGAATCCACATCCACAGGCGATCCACCATGATGAGTTTGGGCTCCTTGTCTGGTGATAGTTTCCGGCCAGGGCCCCTCATCTGATACCGATAGACGATTTGGTCCTGGTCACGCCTTTCGGTGTTGGTGTGGGGGTAAAAATATTGATCCAAGGTTTGACGTGGATGCAGCGACGTCGCCGAGGTAGAAAGATAGGCCTCCATGAGTAGCTCATCGCGCGTACAGGTTTTTTTCAAGTCTGGGGATCGTAGCTTAGATGCTTTTGCTTGGCGCATTGTGTTTTGCTTTTGTTGCATTTTGTGTGCAGTCTCAAAATGCAGATAGGGCAAGAATAAACCAACGTGAGAATTTGTGGAATCCTGCATTGCTACCCCATGGGATCCTCGATTAAGAGGCAGCATGAGCTGAGTTTGATCGTGGCGTACAAAGTTCAAGGACTTTATAAGGTTACCAAGTTCCTGGACATCGTTTGCACCCCTTTCGATGAAGACCTTTCTAACCTGAGCCTCAACCCAGTCCATATTATTTGCTGGAAGATGAATCCACTGGTGTCACGCTCATCGACTGGCCGTGAGGAATTTCTGGGTCTTTTCGATACAGAAGGTCAAAGACGGACATTCTGCGTACTCTGTTTGTTTGCCGTCTCGCATTGAAGTCCACCACACGGGCGTTAAATTCCATACAAGCAGCCTATTGGACATCGGAAAGTTTGTTGAAACGGTTGGATGGAGCTAGCAGATGTAAAATACTCTTTCTTGTGAACTTGACCGCACGGGAGAAGGGGGTATCTCCCAAATTATCGCGGAGATTGTACTTCAAGTCCGGTTGTTCTAGAAGGCATACAGCCACCTCAAGATGGCCAAGTCGTGCAGCAAGATGTAAGGGAGTGCCTCCATTTTCGAGTTGACTGTTCACGGAGGCACCATAATGCAGTAGAGTGCGCACGGCGGCCACATTTCCACCATTACAGGCGTTGTGAAGAGGAGTCCAATTACCGTCGCCGACGGCCGTCACAGAAGCACCCTTTGCCAGGAGAAGCTGCACAATACCGACCCAACCTTGGGCTGCGCCTAAATGAAGCGCGGTTTCACCTCGTAACTCCGTAGCATGTATATTGACAAGAGGTCTGCCAGGCCCATTAAGAAGCAGCTCCACCAAGAAATGATGATTGTTTTCGCAAGCCCAGTGCAAAGGGGTTCGACCAAGCTCGTCCTTCCCATCCACATTGCAATTATTCCGCACCAGTAGCCGCAATACATCCTCGCCCTAGTCCCACCGACACTCTCGATCCGCTGCAAGATTATGCAAAACATTTCTTTCCTTGGAATCTGTCGCATTGATATTTGCGCCAGGGCTGATCAGTAACTGTAAGATCTTCGTCTTGTTTTTCCATGCGGCTGTCATAAGTGGCGTACGCTGATGCTCATCCAAGACGTCCGGCGAAGCACCATAGTCTAAAAGAAGACGAACAATCTCCTCGTGTCCTCTATGGATGGCGCAAAATAGTGCCAAAAACCTCTTGTTGGAAGAAGACGCGTTAGGGTCAGCACCGATCTGAAGGAGATATTCCAGGGCTGCGACACAACCGCGCTCAACACTGCGCATCAGCCCGGGATGTATGAATGCATTGCTGAAGTAGCCGCGTTCGCGGACCTGTCTGATGAGCTTACACAGTAGATCGACATCGTCTGTTCCATCCGCCCGAAGGAGAGCGGGATGTCGTCGGCCAGTGTTGATGTAGTTCTCCTATCACTATCGCTTCCCATAATAAACTTTGCAAATCTTATGAAGTTGCCACCGGATCTCCAATGCTCGTGACAAAGGTGCGGTGTGATTTTGAGGCGATTAGTACCCCGCCCCTACTATCACGATCCTTTGACGCGTTAGCCTCGTTTCAGCCGCACTACGCTACTTTGTTTGTGACCTCAGGCTCGAATGCTGAGTCATCTTGTTTTCCACCACTCCACGTCGTGGATAGCTTCATCTCATCTTACCACCATTCGGGCCATCTCTTTCTCCATATTCACTGCTTTTCAGTACTTCTAATATGCGCTAAGTCATCCCAACACTGGATTTTCGACCACTTTCGTGCCATATCTCATCCAATCTCGTTTCTTCCTTCACGGTGGCATTCAGTCCCGAGTACTACTTTATTTACACGTGATGATTACGATTGATAAGTTATTGTGAATGCAGAAAAAATTTGCGACTATCCTCTAGGGGCTCTAATTTAATATTGACGTGCAAAAAAACGGGCAAGAAAACAGATGGTCTCTGTATAGTGGACTGGAGTGTACTATTTTTGAAGCTCCTCGAGCTGCCACTTTAGCGGCTTCTCAGCTGCCCTCACTGGTCCCACGTCACCTCCAGTAGCCCGTCGCTTTTTCCATTCATCGATATCACGCCGATCAACAAAGTTACCGTGCAGGCCGAGTCGTAGCTTGAATGGGAGATGAATCGTTGCAACTGGCCCAGCTGCCACGTTGAGAGCGTCCAAAATGACAATATCATTCCGAAGCTTATCAAGATGGTTGAAAAGAGCAATAATCCAACCTTCTCCCTCTGTGCCTCCCTCCTTTGGGATGAAGGTTGGTTCTTGAAAGGTTGCCCGTGGCCCAGCCCAGTATACGTCTTCTGTTCGATCGTTCCACGTGTAATGACCAATGCAATTGAACAGCCCGCCAGCTGGCGATCCGCAAGCTGCTCCGTCAAATTCCCTAGTAGGATCAATTTTGGCCTGCCAGAAATGGTTGTACTGCTTACAAACATAGCGATCGTCTATCCGGGAAAACTCTCCACTTGTATCCCACTGTACTTCTGGTTGTACTCTTGAGCCCGTAGGCGCCTGCGGGTCAAAGATCCATCGGCATGTCGGGCTCTGGAGTACGTTTCTCTTGGCCAAGTCTGTATGAGGCGCATCCTCCGGAGGGAAGAAGAAGAAGACGTTACCGTCGGCGACAGTCAGGTCAAAGACCACCTTTCCATCTTCATTCTCATAGCAACCTGCGACGTGACCATGAAATGCTGACTACCTGTTAGCGCCAACGTCGTCCTATCGTGAAGAATTTGTAACCTACCATTATTGGATCTCAGCCACACGATGTCTTCCGTCTTTCCTCCTCTCCTTGGTACAATTCCATACCACTGGTCTTCATTTGGGTCCCACGCCCAGTGGTTCCCACCGGCCTCCAGGCGGTCTGTATTGCACTTTAATGGAGTCATCGGCAAAACGACATAGTTCTTGGAAATTCCACAATCGTGTACCATGCCGCAGAAGGGTGCCTTATACCAGGCCTCTTCAGTCTTCTTACCATCCGCGCTGATGGTATAAACGACGATATCGCAAGATCCATCGTTGCCATTACCACCAGCTTCATATCCAAAACAAACCAATTCACCTGTCTCAGGATCGATTTTTGGGTGTGCAGTGAATGTTGGTGATTGAACTTGACCATCAAAATCGTATCGTCCGATTGTTTCCAGGGTCACAGGATCCATGGCATAGGGCGGTCCATCCTCTTTAGTCGCCAACAGCATTCCTCTCCAGAAGATGATGTTTGTATTGGCCGCTGTTCTGATGACTCCCTTCACTGCTTCGTTATCGGTATGGGGATTGCGGTAGCGGCCGAAGAGACTCTTCTTCGCCGCATTTTCGGCAAGATATTTATCTGTCTTTGCATATCGCTGCTTGAAATCAGCGTTACCTCCTTCAATACGAATGGCTGTGATGTTGCCGTCGCCGTTGAAGTGGATGTCGTCTTCGTATTGGGGTGGAAATCTGTGGTCAGGCTGGATGCGGTAGAAAGTTCCGCTGATTTCGGGAGGAATGGCGCCGTCAATCTCGAGCTGGAAGATGTCGCCCTCGAGACGTGAGGGCCCATTCATACCTTGAAACGCACCGGTTTCGGGAAACTTGATCCGATCATCAACCTTCCGCCCTCCGACATAGGCCGGCTTGATCAAAGCAGCTAGATCTTGAATGTGCGCCATGGTGACCGTGTTGTGTAAATCGGTTGACTCAAGACGTTGATTGCCTTTGGCGATGGACGCAAGATGTATTGCCTTGTCGGTAGCATTGAGCCGAAGCACTTCATGCCTGCTACTATATGACAAAAACAGCACATGTCGTCAACCTCCGATGATCGGAATCCAAAAATTGAGGCATTCGTTTAAATATACCCGACCAGAACATGTCAGTGAGAATGGCCAGGTTATCGGGAAATTTGAACCCATCCCCTCGGTCCTCGGAACGATGATGCCGACCACATAAAGTTGGCAAATTCCTCATATATCGCACCAAAGCCGATAGATACTGACGTAGAATTTACGTGCGACATTCAAAATTGGAAGCAGCTAAATCCGCCGAAATGTTTGGAAAGGGAACAATCGCAGTGGAGGAGGCGGTCATCAGTCCCGACTCAGCTTGGCTTCTGAGAGAGGACTTGGCCAAGCTGAGCCCAGGGGATTTTACTGAGAAGTTCTTTGAGGAACATAAAGCGCGCCTTGGGGATATACACGACAAGCGGCTCCAATCAATGGACAATGAGGGTGTCGAGTACATGCTGCTTTCCCTCACGGCGCCGGGCTGCCAAGGTATCCAAGAGAAAGGGCTAGCGGAAGCCACCGCACGAGAAACGAATGACTGGCTGTCAGTAGAGGTTGCCAAGAATCCAGCTCGATTTGGAGGCCTGGCAGCTTTATCCATGCATGATCCGTCCCAAGCAGCTCTCGAACTCGAGCGGGCCGTGAAGGAGTTGGGATTCTTTGGTGGCTTGGTCAATGATTTCCAAAGCACTGGTGACGGGACCGGTAAGGAGTATTTCGATACGAACAAGTATGATCCCTTCTGGAAGAAAGTAGAAGAGCTTGACGTGCCCATCTACTTCCATCCTCGTTATACTATTGGGCCTGAGCTGGAGGATGGAACGAAATATGGAGATCGACCGCATCTGCTGGGTGCCGCAGTGCAATTTCATCTTGACTTATCATTCCACGTCTATGCCATGTGCTCTTCAGGTAACAGCAAACTTAGCCTTCCGCGATATTACCATAGCTAAGCTTCTGACCAGGGATGTTCGACCGGTTCCCGGGTGTCAAGATTGTGGTTGGTCATCTTGGGGAGAAGTAATTTCACGCCCACTTGTCGGTTAAAGCAAGGCTGACATCCTTCAAGCATTCCGTTCAATCTTGTGAGAGCTTGCCACTGGTACAACAAGCCCTCCAAAAAGAAAACGCGCCCGTCGAGGGAAGACTATCGCTACTACTTCCAGCACAATATCTACATAACCACATCTGGAAACTTTAACACCAGGGGGCTCAAGTACTGCCTCGATGAGCTCGGGGTTGACAAGTGCTTGTATTCCATAGGTGAGTTGGCACATATCTATTGTGATAGTCTTCTAAGGCTTTGCAGATACACCTTACGATCAGGTGGAGGTGGGTCAAGCCTGGTGGCGCACAGTGGAGCTGGGCGAGGGCCAAAAGGAACAAGTCGGAAGAACAAATGCTATAAAGCTGTTCAAGCTACCGTTGGAGATCTGAATATATATTTCCAAGGTTTATACCATATAAATATCATGATGTCATCACGCCAACTTTGTAGCCATCAGGCTGGCGAATCTTTAGCACAGAGTTGCAGAGCACAATGCAGCCGCGGAGTAAATCAGGACAATACTCAAAAAATATACGAATTTGAACCAAAAGTAAAACTTGAAGTAGGAGTGCACGTTCGCCACCACGTCCATCGAGCATGTGAGCCATTGATATCTGAATTCTATTGAAATACGTAGCTTAAACTTGGTCACGAACACTAAGGCCCCGCGAAGGAATGAAAGGAACAGATTGTAGTTAACCCTGCACGGCTATTCAATCTACCACAGTGAACATAATGCGTTTTTATAGCACACTTGATCAAACCGTTTGGTTTCTATTATATTTTTGAATGCGACAACGGAAATGTCGCGGCTTCACAAACCAGACATTGTCAAGTTCCCACGACGGCGTTCCATTTTCTGGAACCAGGTCAAAGTTTCGCAGAATCTGTGGGATAGCTTTGGACATCTCCATCAGACTGATGTTCTTACCAATACACATCCGTGAGCCCATTCCGAACTGTGAAGTGCGCATTAGCGACATTCGATCACGTCTTGCGCTTGAAGGGGGTCACTCTAAAACAGCACAGAGCCCTCGCTTTCGCTTACCGTCATAAAATAACTTTCCCGCTTTCTGACAATCTCTGACTCCTCCAGCCAACGTTCTGGTCGGAAGACATCAACATCGGACCCGAAGATGTCCGTGTTGTGGTGTGCCACCCAACTGTTGATTCCTACAATGGTCTATTTATGCGAGCAAGATATTAGCACTCCAGCATGAGAAAGCAGAGAGACAATAACATTTGATACTTACCCCTTCCGGAAAGTACTGTCCTGCTAAATTCTGGCCACCTTTGGGCACCACACGACCAAGTATCAAGCCTGTTGCTGGATGTAGGCGAAGAGCTTCCTTGATGACTGCCTGGAGATATGGCATCCGAGTAGATTCTCCGTATTTGACGGGATCAGATAGCAGACCTTGATCAATTCTTTCGTTTATCTCGTTCCTCAAGCGACCAAGGGTATCTGGATATGTATATAGGAAGAAAAAGACAGCTGACAGAGATATCGAAGTTGTATCAGAGCCTGCGCCGATGTTGGTCGTGCAAGCTGAAGCTATCTCATCTTTGTTAATCTTGCTGGGATCCGCAGCTTGAACACGAATGAGTTTAGTGATGAAGTCGGCAGGCCCTGATTCATCGGCCTTGGGATCGCCCGACAAAAGCTTCGCGTATCGATTTTCCAATTTTGAATGTGCGAACATACGGACGTTGATCAGTCCCGGCAACTTTTTGAATCGCATGTAGAGAGGAAATATTATTTTGTGCCATTGTGCGTATATCCCAACCCGCACTGCATACTTCGTAAATTCATCGATGGAAGCCATGACTGACTGCACGTCTTCGCCTTGTTCCAGAAAGCCGAATCTCTCTCCTACCTATACAAGATATAAGCAAATATAAGCAAATATAGTTCCAATATCAGTACTGTGTAATATGACATACAGTGATATTTCCGATCACGTCGAACGCATAACATTGCATCCAGCGACACAGGTCTATCGTGGTACCCGAGTCCGCGAACTCTGAAAATCTCTGGTGAAGAATGACGGAACAATCGTCAACAAATGTCTCCATTTGCACCAAACTCGTCATGGTATATCCCGACGCAACTTTTCGTCGAATCCCGGCGTGAAGCGTGGGATCTCGCTCGAAGAAGAGACCAGGGACTAGGCTCAGAGGACTACCACTTGCTTCGTACCATGGCGACTAAGCAATGTGTAAGTTCAACGCGGTCCATCGGTTTACTTGGGGGCAGGAGAGTAATCATACCTTTATGAAGCCTTTGCCGCTGCCATATATGATCTTTGCTGATGCGGGGTCATCAATGCTGTATTCGTTAGGAGCTATGCGTACTATAGGGCCTTCCTTGGGGTGTCAGCAGCGTCGGATATCGAGGGCTGAACATTACTTACCGTACTTTTCATGAAGCTTAACATTTGTGAAGGGAAATCGACTGATGAGTGCCTCCCAAAAAAGCCATAGCCTCGTAAACCTAGCTAAAAATGGTCCTGGTATGCAGAACAATGGGTGTGATATTATCTTATACAACGCCACCAAACAGATACCCGTCAGTCCGCAAAGGATAGGCAGTAATGGCATGGAATGAATCTCGATCATTGTAGATTATGAGATACAAAATTAAAAGAGTAATGGTTCAATTAAAGAGTCGCTTGGGTGGGTGAGGTGTGGGTAAATGTGAGGAGGAACAGTCTCTTTAGGGGAGCTGTGGCTATGTCAACTTGGAATCAATTCCACACGCTCAAAAGGCATTGGGGCCTCGAGCGGATCTATCATTCCGAATTCCTCGGGCCTCATTTTGCCCCTAATATTTCGTGTATTGCGGGGAATTGAATTGGCAGTTTCAAATCTGACTCTCGCTAGCCACAAGCGAGGATACCGCATCTTAGATGTGGGGTAAGCGAAGATGCGTTGAGAGCTCGTGATTTGTTCGTCACGATAGACTGACATCATTTTGAAAGCTAATAGCCATAGAGCACCAAGGTGTTTCGGATGAGATCATGGGAAAACGGACATTAAGGCGGACGATAGCGCTCAATGGACCACCTCAAGTATTTGCGTACAAGTCAAACAGTTTCTGTATGCGGCCAAAGGAGCCAGTATACTTTTTCAAGCCCCAGTGATACTTTTGGCAAGGGGAGGGATTGCAATAGCACAAGTGATGAGGTCTGGAGGCCGAAATGGTTTGATGTTTTCAGAGCGCATTCTGAGAAGCGTAGGTTTGGATCGTGAATAGCAGCAAAGCTCAGAGTTCGAGTATCCAGTTGGATATTTGCAACTGGTGACGGGGGTAATGGGAGCTCAGAACCATGAAATGTATGCACGCATGCGAATATCTAGAGAGAGAGGGCGTGCGCGTAGCAATAGCAACAACGGTAGGCGATCTGGAAGCCTGAGGCACCAATGCCTCAATTACTGGCAAATAGGCTGCACAGTCCGTTCCTTAACTGCCGATATGGGTTCTGGTCACATTCACGCCGAGTCAGATCATGGCAAGTGTTCTCTAAGCCCAACTACCGAAATCGGTAACCAAGGTTCGCGAACACGGGTCCGATCGTCTATAGTCCTTGCCATGTATCGGCGCGATGAACCCGAGTGGCAACTTGTCAGTTGCAGACGACGCTTGGCAAAGAACGAACCTTATCACTGCGGTCTTCAACTAGGCTTAGACTATTCGCACGACAACATGGTTACTCTCACAGCACGTTATACCTCTTTTAGAGCTGCCAAGAAAGGGTACATTGCCTGCTGATCCCCATCGCCAGCATAACTTCCCCAAGAACTTCGCCAAAAAGGTTCACTCTATAAAAACGGGTCTAAGATTCAAGGCTTCGGAAGTTCCCATTAATACTTTTACTTACAGCCATGTAAATATCCAAACCAGCTCATTTGAATAGGGTGGTGTAATTAATTGAAATGCTATGATAACATTTTGATTGAGCGCGAGTCGCGCAACTGGGAATTATCTTAGTTCTCGGGAAATTGGAAATGTATCTCCTCCTGGCTTCTACTAAATAGGCATAGCGTTTTTGTTGGAGTAACTACGTTGCCGTGCGTAAAGCCCCAGCTTTTAACTAAAACATGGAGAACCTTTCCCCCACCCCGCAAGTTTGTTCCCTTCCCCATGATACTGATTCTTTTAGTTTGTTCAGTTAAGTTTTCGGAATCGAGGCCTCAACACTGCGGAGAATTTCTCTCTTCCCCGCCATTTAGATTTTTTAGCGTATTATTAGCATAGCTCTGTAATGTGGAAGTACGCAGGCACCTATATAAAACAGGGATCTAATGGCCACGCCAATTAAAACTTTGCCATCTCTCCTTAACTATATTCAACCACCTTTACAATCGCCAAATATGACCGAATTCACATCTTCTTTCAAAAGAATTTTCTGCAATGTCTGGAGAGAGAAGCGAATCTTTGCCATCTCTTTTGGCATAGCCTTCGCGCAGTTCCAGTATGGCTTCGACTCTTCTGCAGTTTCAGGCTTCCAAAGCATGGTTGGATTTCTGAAAATCTTTGGTTATGAGGATGTGAGATGCAGCAACTCGATCGTTGCAAGGTTCAAAAAACGCAGCTAACCTCAGACTTGGTAAAAAGCCAACCGAATTGATTGGATACAACATCCAGACCACTCCGCATACCCTCATCCAGAGCTTGATGCAGGTTGGCGGGTTGCTGACTTCCATCTTCATCTTCACACTGGGCTCGGGCATCAGTCGTCGTCTCGGCCTGTGGATTGCCTCGGCATTTAGCTTGATAGCTGTCTCCGTTCAGATTGGCACCACAAGCTTCACAGGCCTATACATAGGCCGCTTGCTTTTGGGTGTATCCAATGGTTTTTATCTCACTTACTCTGTGACATATATGGGCGAGATAGCTCCAGCATCCATTCGTGGCGCACTCATCGGCCTGGTAACGTTCCAAACGTCTTTCGGTGCCCTCGTGGGTATCCTTGTCGATAACTATACCGAGACCTATTCCAATCGGCTGTCGTATCAAGTACCTTTGGCCGTCATGTACGCTATTCCGGCGATGCTATCGGCTGCCCTGATATTCCTTCGCGACACCCCCAGATACTACATTTCAATCGGCCGTGAAGATCTGGCTTCGGCCTCCATCCGACAAATACGTGGCATTGAGGATGAGATCCCGACTTCGGAATGAAGTTACGGAAATTCATGCTGAATGGACTGCCGAGCGTGAGCTGCACCAGAGCGTACATTTCAGGGACGCCTTCCGGGGCTCCGATCTTCGACGGACGATGATCACAATTGGTACGGCCATCGCACAAACAGCTACGGGGATCATATTCATGTCCAGCTTTTCGGTCTACTTCTTTGTTCAGGCTGATATTGGAGAGCCCTTCAAGTGGGTGATGATCAGCCTTGCTATCGCACTAACTGGCAACCTGGCAGCCTTTCCGGCCATGCGCTGGGTAAACTTTCGTCCCATGTTGACCATTGGCTCATTTGTGAGCGGAGCTTCCATGCTAGCCATGGGAATTGTTTACACCGTGTCGCCCGTTGGTTCTCCCTATGCAGGAAAGGCCCTCGTCGGCCTCAGCATTCTTTTCACTTGGGTCTACGGGTTTGCCCAGGGCCCTGTGCTGTGGGCCATACAAACAGAAATCCCGGCGCAGCGATTGCGCTCGCAGACGGTTGGCTTAGCGCAAGGTTGTAACTTCATTTTCGCATGGCTGTGTACGTACTGTACGCCTTACTTTGTCAATCCGGATTCTCTGGGTTGGGGCCCGAAGTACTGCTACATCTGGGCTGGCAGTAATTTCATGCTTGCCATCTGGGTTTTCCTATTTGTACCCGAGACCCGTGGTAGAAGTATGGGACAGATTGATGAGATTTTTTCAAGCAAGATTTCGGCGTTCAAGAGTTCAAGGCCTATTTCGGCCATTGGCTTTGCCAATAGGGATGAAATGATCGGGGCAGAATTGGGAAAGGAAAGTGATGTTTTTGAACTTGAGCATGCGACCGAAAAATGATTAAAATTACCGGGCAAATGGATCAGATATGTCAGACTTTGCATTACATTTCTCTCACGGTGCTTTATGTTATTGAGAATCTCGCTGCTCTGATGGTCTGCCCGGAAAATTGGATTCTGGAGTAAGGCTGCATATAACGAATAATGATCGGTCAAGCACTCTACATAATTATTTATTCGAGGAATGTCACGCGGAATTCTTAGCTTGTGCATCCTTCAAGATATCTAATTCACAAAATCATGCCTCTTCAAACTTCATCAGAACGCTCTTCGTCTCGAGGTAATTTTCAATACCAATTGTCCAACCTTCACGGCCAATGCCACTAGCCTTGTACCCACCGAATGGCATGTCTCGCGCTCCTGCTGGACTGGTGCAGTTCACTCCCACTGTCCCCGCTTCCAGAGCTTTCGCCATGCGCAAAGCCCGGTCAACGTTCTTAGTGTATACAGAGGCGTAGAGTCCAAAGTCGGTGTTGTTTGCCTTTTTGATAACTTCATCTTCTGTCTTGAAGGTGTTGATATTCACCACTGGACCAAATATCTCCTCCTTCATGATCTTTGCGTCCTCGGGAGTTTCGGTGAATATGGTAGGGTTGACAAAGTATCCCTTCACGGAACTCACCGGGTCAGCGCCGAGAATGAGTGTGCCGGATTCTTTACCGGCTTCGATGTAGGCTTTGACATTGTTATATTGAATCTCGTCTGCTTGAGGACCGTGGTTCGTCTCTTGAACAGTAGGATCTCCTGCCTTCACTCCTTGGAACTTCTTCCTGAAGGTCTCGATAAATTGCGGCGCTATCGATTCCTGGACATATATTCTTGAATTGGCCATACAGACCTGGCCGCTGTTCCATTGGATGCTGTGCTGGGTCTGGGCAGCGGCCTTCTCAATGTCTGCATCCTCGAAAATTACGGCTGGTGTCTTGCCTCCAAGCTCGAGGATGACATTTTTGAGATTAGACTTGGCCGCAGCAATTTGAATTGCCCGCCCAGTCCTTCCGGAGCCGGTAAATGTGAGAAGACGGACATCCATGTGAGAAGAAAGCAAAGCTCCCGAAATCTGCCCATGTCCCGAAATAATATTCACCACGCCAGGAGGGAAGCCGGCCTTTTCGACCAAACTTGCGATCTTGGCTGACTATGGATCATTAGCTGTGGATCACTTTTCCAGACTGAGTAGTCCATCTCAGAAACCGGACCTTACAGTTAATGGAGCCTTTTCGCTGCTTTTGATTACGACAGTATTTCCCGCCATCAAGGCTGGAGCGGATTTGTTGGCGAGAAAAAGGATTGGGACATTCCAAGGAATGATGGCAGCAACCACTCCGTATGGCTGACGTAGTGTCAAGTTGACATGGCCTGGGGTGTTTAGGCTGGAGGTTCCCAGGGCCTGGTATCCAGACTCGGCATAATGGCCAAATGTAGCGGAAGATGCGAAAGCATCAAAGTACCCAGAAACTGGCCTGCCCATCGATATGGCCTCGAGGTAGGCTAGTTCGGAGTGGGCCTCCAGAATCAGGACAGACAGCTTCTTCAGATAGCCGCCACGTGCTTCTGGCGAAAGAGCAGCCCAAGCCGGAAAGGCTGCTTTGGCTGCGGCAACGGCTGCATCCGTGTCCTGCTCGGTAGCCTCATATACTGCAACAGATAGATCAGCTTTTTACGTCGAAGGGTGGGATCTCGAAGCCCATCTGGAGTGAAGGTTCCTATTTGGCTTACCTTCGGCAACTGGCTTGAGCGTAGCTGGAGACTTGAGCGTGAATGTCTGCTTATCTGAAGATTCCCTGAACTGTTCTCAACTTTAGCCATTATTCACAATGTTGTATGGGTAAGACATACTTCTCCATTGATAAAGAGACGGGTCTCAATCGAGGCTGGGGGTTCGAACGACATTTTCATAGGACGTTTGGGCTCGTGTGTTTCTGAAATTTGGTGTAAATGTTCTTCCTCTAAGAGATGTCACTCTTTCCATTCTCATGTCGCGTCCAAAGTTGATTTTGTACTATTGATTATGATGCCTCAGGCATACAGATCGCCTATCCGTTCTTGCCATGCACCCCCCCTCTCTCCTCGTCATACGCCTGCACACACCACATTTCATGGCCTTGAGCTTGCGTCACGCATAAATGTTTCCGTCCTCTCCATACACTTGGATTCCGAGCTTTTCCTGCCGTTGCTCGAAGAGAGGGGCCATTCGGAAGCAACTTAGATTAGCTTGGAGCCACCTCGGGACTATGGCTCCGATGGGGCCGCATTGATCCCCTGAGACTGGATGCGTCACGCTCAAGGATGGAAGAACTAATTTCAATTTAGCTGACTTTGAATAGCTCCGCATTTTCCGACGGCGATGCTAGTTTCAATCATTGGCTTGTGTAGTCGGCTCCTCCGAGTTGGTTGGTGGTATAAAGCGGTTCAAGAAACTCGTCCCGCTAAGCTGAGGAACATTTACAGATCCCGTTGCCAATTTGCAAACCTGTGGATCTCGGTATCAGCAGAATATACCAATCCGAAAGAATGAATGGCCAGGACTCTACCCCGGAAATCGCTCAGCTGCTGCGAACAGTCGAGGACCTTCGATCGAGCGTCGACAAGCTCACGCGTAAGTGCCAAATCCCACACCCTTTGTCCCCCTCCGCCGCGTTCCCGCCATTTCTTTTCTAATTCAAAGACAGATGAATCCGAAATCAAGAAGCTTCATCACAAGTATGGATACTACTTAGACAAATGCTTGTATCAAGAGGTGAGTCGGCACCCTGCTTCTTCATATTCGCTTTGCTAAAGCCATCTCGATTTAGGTCGCCGAATTGTTCTCCAACCACCCTGAAGCCTACGTCCAGTTTCTCAATGGCCGTTTCAATGGCAAGCAATCCATTGAACGGCTTTACGTCGGCCGCTTCGCCAAGCACTTTGTTGCAGGCCGCAATGGCCCGATCGAGGGATGGCTCCTGGATCACCTCATGGCCCAGGATATTGTGGACTTCCAGCCGGGTTCCAATCGAGCCAAAGCCCGCTTTCGCACCCTGATGAGTGCGGGAACTCACGAGTCAATGTCCCAAGACTACCCAGGAGGGCATCGCCAATGGTGGGAGGGCGGTGTTTACGAGAATGAATACATTAGGGAGGATGGCGTGTGGAAAATTTTCCGCCTGAGGTACTGGCCCTTCTGGCACGGCGCATTTTCGAAGGGCTGGCAGCACTGCAACAACTTTGTACCATTGTACAAGGAAACCTACCCAGCACTTGAATGGGGCCCTGATGAGATTTTAGAAGATGAGCGGCTCTGGCCAGACACGAGAGTGGTGCCATTCCACTATGCGCACCCGGTGACGGGTGAGGAGGTCACGGAGTCAAGCCTCAAGGCGCCGAAATGGCGTGGCGACGAGGCGGAGGCATTGCCAGCGAGGAAAATCACGGATTGGGACATGTAGCTAGCAGGCCAGTCTGCCGAAGAGGGTTGCTGGATTTCGAGCTTCGGCCGCTGCGTTGCGATGCCCACGTTGCACATACAAACTTGAACAGGGCTAGAGCCACCATTCAAACTCCTCCTCCCATTCAAGTCTGATTTTTCTTCATGTGCCAAACAGATGGCATCAAGAACGTAGCGATAATTAGGTGTGGAGATGTGGAGCCTGAGGCACCACAAGGCAGTCACATCGCCTTCCTGGCCGCGCTATCTCTTAGCTTCCTACTTATTCCCATGCAAGCACCATACTTCATGGTGCTGATCATCCATCACATCTGTCAATAGGTGAGCTAAGGCGTTTAACATTGATGCTGCAGGCCCCACCATGTCGCCCAGTCAAACAGGGACGGATATGATTTGTTGGGTCTGTCGCCTCCGGGGAACCCCTCAATGTACCATCGCTCGAATGTGGGGAACCCCAGCGTACTAACCCGTAAACTACTAGACCTGTGTCATTCGAGGCGAGCAGCGAAGCCTCCGGGTATAAAGGGCTTGACCCCGGCTTCCTCTCCTTTCTAGGATCTTTTGTCCGTATAACATTGTGTAACCTCGAGATCAACCACTTACCGATATACTTACTAGATACCATGACAGATGCTTCTAGCAAGCCAGTACGCAGGGGGCGTACGGCCATGAGCTGTGATCGATGCAAGAGCAGGAAAACAAAGGTAGCTCGGCCGTGTTATCCCAAGTCCCGTTTTCCTGCTGACAGTCAATGCGTGCATCAGTGCAGAAATCCAGGTATTCTTCTCTCAACGGAAATTCTCTCGCTCTGCTTCCCTCAAATTGACAAGTGTCTTAGTACCCGGACCATGCGAATACTGCAATAATATCGGCGCCATATGCCAGATTAGCACAGAGAGCCGGCGACCAAAACCGTTCTATTTCGTTTCCAACGAGGAGTATCGTCATATGCAGAAGATTCTAAGCTATTATTACCCTGATACCGAACTTGATGTTCCGACGCTGCGGACCATTGCATCAGAGTGCGCCAGCGGCCAGCTCCTCGCCCACCCGAACCCGGTTAAATTTCAAGACACCCATGCCAAGATGGCTCCCGGAACTGTTCATAAAAGCACGCTTATTAGCGAAATGCCTCCTCAAACCGAAGACGATTCCGCGGTGCAAGAAATTGTTCAACTCCACGAAGAGTACGGCTGCATGTTGGCTGACGCACGCGGCGAGTATCGTAAGAGTCTTGGATTGGGAAGCCACGAAGCAAGCACTAATGACCTCCAGGCTACATCGGAGCAGACGCTGGTGTTAGTTTCAACAGTGCAGTCCGAGACATGAAGAGTCCTGATGGACCCATCCGAGGCGGCGAGCGCGTTATCATTTCCCCTTTGCGAAAGGTCACTCTTCCAAAGCCCACGCCTCAAGTTCGTCGCAATAGTGCCTTTGGACAAAATATACAACTTCCACCAAAAATTGTTTGTATGCGATATGTGTCAAGGTACTTTGAAGAATGTCACTGCATATACTGGCTATATTCGTCCGAACAATTCTACACGCGTCTAGAAGCAACATATGCTGACCATGAAACTCCCTGCGCCTTCTCTTGGATGTGTTCATTATATTGTATTTTTGCTATTGGCGAACTGAACGACTCCCCTGATGAACGGGTAGCCGGGGGGGGTCAGCGGAGAAGACTACCTGGACATGGCGAAAGCTTTACTCTCTGACGTATGCGATGAAGCGAGCCTTGACAGTCTAAGGGGATTGATTCTACTTGTAAGTACTTGAAGTCCTCGTTGACGATTTCTGGTACGACGGAGGCCCTGATGACAATTTCAGGCTCTTGCTTCGCAAACTCATGCTTTTTTGAACTCGGCCTACCTCTATGCTGGGATTGCTGTCCGAATAGCATTCTCCCTTGGTCTACATCTCGATAAATATTTCACTCCCAGTCCGGTCGAGAAGCAGCATGCACGTAGGTTATGGTGGTCCTTGGACATATTTGATCAGGACGTTGCACACAGAGTTGGGAAGCCTTCGATGATTGGAAGTCTCGAAAATGTGTCATGCAAACCAGCACTGCCTTTGGAAGAGGTATTTACAGCTATTGACCGTGTCGAAGCGTATCTTAAAGCTAAACTGAACTCAGATACTCAACCCGGGCCCCCAACCCCTGCTGGATACCTTGAGCTCGCTTCATCGCTCACACAACTTACCAAGGCTATGCGTCACAACCTGTACATTGGACCTCTTGAAGGTGGAAAGAGGTTGACTTTATATGCATTCACCACTATGCTAGACTTGCTGCGGGAATGGCATGCTGGTGTCCCGTCGTATCTGCAATACGACGCCCCCGCTCCTCCGTTACATAGGAGACCTCTGTGCTTTCTGCATCTGCGATACTGGAACCTGGTCATACTCTCTAGCCGGCCATTCCTGCTCTGTAGCCTTTTGCGTCGAGAGCAGCTACAACAGAACTCGAACTCCCGATCCTTCGAGGAATTTAGTGACATATGTATTGGCGCTGCCGGACATTCATTGACCATACTGCAGAAGATGATGGATGAGCATACACTCTCCAGCCTATTGATATCCGACTTTTATTTTGTCCTTGATCTCATTCAGATCTTGCTAGTTGCATTCGCACTCCGAGGCTCCCAAAGTTTCCTTCACCAAGCCAGTGAGTGCCTACAGGTGCTCAAGTCTATGAGCTCATCGGGTTACTGCCAGCGAATGTTCCTGAAACATTGAACGAACTCCGGGAATGGGGTGTTCTGAGTGGGCCCTCAGACAGCTCCAGCGCACCGCAGAATCAAGACGTCTCAGGCGTTGAGATGGAGCCAGATAACGGACTTTATGAAGCGTATGTAATCCTCCCTCAAACGATTCTCTCGATGATGCCTTTACTTTTTCAAATATTACGGTGGCTTGTGTCCATCGGCACCTGAGTTGAGAATTCTGAAGTTTCTTTGCTAATTATACCGGTAGAATGTTTAACCTTGGTGACCTTACAGAGGGCGACATTGCCTCTGCTGATTTCGGATATATGGTTGGCGAGAACGACGATTTACTCATGCAGCAGATGCTTGAATTCTGAGTGTTCGACAAGCGGCAGAGAAGTATATTTGAGAAACAGGGGAAATGAAACTTGAACCTGTACCTAGGTAGTATCGCCAGGTTCAGCACTATCTTCGGGGCGATTACCAGCCTTCTCGCTGTGGTTATGGATCAGGCTGGCGTTCGGTCCGTTGCTCAAGGTTATGTGCCGTCTCATCTATACCACCAAACATCCTGCAATTTGAAAAGGATAGTTGACTTCCTGGCGGGTTCTGGGGTAATCCGCCAAAAATATACTAGGCCTCCCCCATGGACACCTTACTCAATGCCCAGGTGTACTCTTAAGCTCTCGAGGGGGAAAAGTGGCTATTGATGAAAGATCTAGAATATTTTGGCCGGGATTGTGGGTCCTTTAAGTACTACATATCATTAAACAAATGAAGTGAAGAGTCCAATGACCATTTAGCTTGTCCCACACCACCACGCCAATAAAAGTATTATATAATCGAGACTGCCACACATAGATGCCAGGGAAGCAACAGAGTTAACCATCGTTCAGGTTCATGGGTAAACTGAACTCATGTACAGAGACGCAGCACACACAATTAATTGACTAGTATATCCAACATCAACGAGAATGCTCCTTTCCTCACGAGCCCTTTTATGACGTATTGATCATAAATATTGATTCAGAACGCCCGGTCTCTTCAAGGTTGGGCCAAACCTAATTCTTGCCGGTACTCGATTCTCTCACGGACCAGATGGAAGAAACCCATCCGACCCGCTGCTACCTTTTGCTCTTTTATGTGAGGGGTATTTCTCCATCATCATCTTGAAGAGGTGCAAATCTTCAACCGCATCAGAGCCGCTGGTTTTGATTGCTTTTCCATTGACAATGCAGTCGTACCATTCTCTCAGCTCAGCCGAATATGCATCTTCGTATGATGTTTGGAGTGATCGGTGACATTTTTCCCCGTGCTCGTTCAACTCATCAATCTCAACAGTGATCCCCAGGCCTTTGATAAAGGGGGTATCGTAATTGATCGAGACGCACTTAGTCTCTCCAAAAATGGCGACCTGGGAATCAAATCTTGGTACAGAGTCGATTCCCGTCTCATAAAGACATGTAAATCTCTCATTATTGGATTTGTTTCGGTATTCGAACATTGTTGTATACCACCGAGCGTTATCCGTCGATGCGAGGACTTCTGCGGGAAGCCCACCCAGTACCTCTCTCATCAGGCTGAGGCCATGGCTTCCGAGATTGGCAAGGAGACAACAATAATCCATCTGTTCTGGGCTAAGCTCTGCGGATGGAACTCCCCAGGCCTGACCTAGCAGCACTTGCAGCCTTTCCTTCCTATCCTCTCCTGCCTCGGCGGGAATATCGTCGAAAAATTTCTGGGGCTCGGCTCCCGACTGCCCAATAAAATAGGCATTTGGGCCGATAATGTCACGCACCCTAGCATACTTGATGCAATCAATGGACGCGACTTCGCGTTTGAAAGCATCCAGACTGGGCGCATAGCGTCGCATGTAGCCAACAAAAACACGGGCACCATTTGGCGCAGAGGACTCCGCATCGATGATATCCTTCGCAGCTTCCAAGCTCAAAGTAATAGGCTTCTCAACAAGTACGTGCTTTCCTGCTTGAAGCGCCGCAATGGCGTAAGGTGCATGGAACTCATCCGAAGTAAGGACCACGACCGCATCGATCTCACCGTCGTTGAATACTTCAGTTGGATCCGTTGTCGGGCGTGGAATACCAAAGCGATTGGCACAATGAGTCGCGGTCTTCAAAGAGATGTCACAGATAATTTTCACTTTAAAGAATTTTGACAGGAATGCAAACGTGGGAAGGTGAACAATTTGGGCCACATCTCCGCCGCCAATAACACCAACTTGAATTATTCGTTGCGACATGGTAAATAGTTCCAGGGTTATCCTTCAGGTTGTCAGAAAAATTGATAAGGATATTTGATATTTTATGTTCGTAATACATAATATACTCGCTAATCCGGGGTTTAAACCGTATCTTAAATTGCCTGAAATTGAATCTCCATGGTTCAGCTTGGTAGTATCCCGATGAGGAATACCCGATGCTCGTGGCTTTTCCATTTGCGGAACTTCCACTCCGCCAAATTGTGGAGACTGCGGGGTGCTGGTGAAGCGGACATTCTGTTTCAGGTTAGGCTTCACTTCTCCGCACCAGGACTGCTAAATACGAGGCCAGAATTCACCCGCAACACCTTTCCCTGAGTGTATCAGACGTGATCAAGTAAACTTGTCATCGCTATGGCCGGATCTGAATCTCCAGTTGGGGTCGCGCTTCTCGGAGGAGGTAATTCTTGACGGTGTTTCGCTTTTTTAGAGACATGCTGACTCACCACAATATAGGAATCTGGGCGAGAGAAGAACACGCCGTGAGTTAGTCTATCTGAGAAGAAAGATCTTATTTACCTAATTCGTGCTAGCCTGCTATTGAAGCTGCTGCAAATTTGCTGTCACTCAAGGCTGTATTCTCGCGTTCGATTGCATCCGCTTCTTCGATTGCCGGGACTCTTTCTTGCCATGTGGATCTTTATTCCGATGACACTGAGAATGGATTTGATGACCTTCTGAAGCGTTCCGACATTCAGGCAGTGGTTATGTCGTGAGTTGAGTCAATGCCTAATCTCTTGGGCTTACTAATTATCCGCAGCTTACCCATTGGACACCAGTCTCGATTCATCAAAGCCGCTCTTTTGGCCGGTAAACATGTTCTTTCCGAGAAGCCAGTTGCTGAAAACCTCGAAGAAGCGAAGAATCTCATCCAATGGTATCGCACTGAGATCAAGGGCCCGACCTGGACTGTTGCAGAGAATTGGCGATTCCTGAAGAGCTATCAATATGCGGCTGGACAGATTAAAAGCCTGGGCAAGATCACTGGGTTCCAAGGTCGTCAGCATGATATTGTTCCAGAAAACTGGAAATTCAATCGTGAGTTGATGGGTAGTAGCTGGAGATGCATTTCTAATAATTTACCTAGTCACTGAATGGCGACGTAAGCCTACGCATCAAGGCGGCTACCTTCTTGATGGTGGTGTGCATTATGTGGCAGGACTCAGATTGCTGTTGGGCGAAGAACCTGATAATCAAGTCGCCTCGATTTCAGCTTTCACAAATCAGATTCAACCTTATCTTCCCCCCGTTGATACGGCTGATGCGATTTTGAAGACTAGATCGGGCACGACCGGTGTCTTCCAGATTTCTCGGGGCACCTCACTGCGGGCAGATGAATGGACCATATCATGTTCTAATGGATGGATTAAAATTGAGAACGAAAAGGTGACGATCTCCCGCAGTGGTCAAACTGAAGTTGTAACCATCTCAAATGAGAGGACAGGGGTGCCACCTGAGATTCGAGCTTGGGGACAGAGTCTCTTGGAGGGAAAAGCACGTTCAGATCAGGAGCCCGAGACGGCTTTGGCTGATCTCGAGCTGGTAAGAAATTATCTATCTAGCCTTCGCAAATTATCAGTACTAATGCCTAGTTATACTTGCAGATTGAGTTGATGCTTAAGAGCGGAAGCCGTGGTGGAATGCCTCTTGTATGCAGCCACCAGGATGTTCCCAAATAGGATGGAAAATCCTATGGGCGCTAGCTTATGACACACCTTTCCTCAATCAATATTCCAATTCCATTTTCGTGACTTGAAGGAAGGCAGAGACGTGCAAAATAGCCTCGTTAGCAAGATTTTTAGTTTCTCCGCGGGCCTCAAAAACATTTGACAGATACCAACGACTTAAATGTGGAGATAGTGCACATTCTAGTAGAAAGAGAGAAAAAGAATAAAAAACCTTACTTTTCCAAGGTTCCCCAAGAGAGCTTCATGCAGAAACTCTGTAAGCAGGAAATATTCTCTCATCTATTATGCGTTTTCTCAATCGATATGTGTAATTTATCACTGGCAAGCAATTGAGTTTCGTTTCCCAATTTTTGCATAGTAAATTGAGTTTATTATCAATTTCAGGGTAAGAACCAGCGAATATCGGCGTTTCTAGGGAATGTATCCCCTATATTGGTTTCACTTGGGTGTCGGAGGCATCCGCGGCCTCAGGCACCACGATCGCCCTCCCGCTGTTTCCACGCCCTCCTAGATATTTGAGTCATTCGCATGCATCCGCCACTTTCATGATTCTGAGCTTCTGTCACCAAACACTTACCAGCCCTCAGATTATAAGGGATTGGAAATACTTTAGATTGTCAGAGTATATCGGACTATTATATTCGTGAATCATTGCGTTCTGTTCGGACTATGGATCACGTGCCAACCCCACAAAATCGCCTTCACTCCGCCCGCTGATGGGGATTTACACCTGAGCGTTGCAACTATGTACAAATTTGTTCCCGACAGTGTTGGTGGCGTTGGATCGAGACGCAAACTTTCTTACAAGACATGCGACTCCTGCAAGAAGCGCCACGTGAGTATAGCTGGTTATACAATATAGCCTCGATCGACTCGCTGACCCTTTTGCCACAGAGACGATGCCTCCATAATCGAGGACACCCCCAGGCTGATAATCAGGGTGACAAACCGCCATCGGTCACTACACCCGACTCTAGGGTGCTCTCTACCCTTGTCGAAGCTGGTGGTGGTAACCAAGTGACAAATACCGGCGACAATTACTCTGTATCCCAAAGAACCCCAATAATTACAGAAACTCGACTTCCTGACTCGTTTCGACTCAATGAGCGACTGTTAGACAGCAGTGCTGCTCGATTCGTTGGCAATCTTAGCCCGGAGGCATCTTTTTTTGCAACTGGAAATCAAATTTCGGAGAACGATGGCCAACGTACCAAAGTTGGCGTGTGGCTTGTTGCTCGCCAATCTGCATCGGAGCAACAGCAGGATGCGATAGCCAATATCGACGAGCAGCACAGTCCTGTCTTTTTTCCATTACCCAATCCCTTCCACATTCAGACAATCTTCCCTCATATTCAAACGGAAGGAATGTCTGTTCTCCCCCTGAACACGAGTTTAACCTCATGTTCAACCTTTATTACTCTAAGTTTGATCCCATATTTCCCATCATCCACGATGAAAACTTTGATGTTCTTGAAGATGTTGAAGCTTCAGCACTCAAGCAATGCATTTGTCTGATAGCATCTCTTGACCCTTCTATGAGCTCCCATCTCAGGCTTGCTCACATCGAAGGGGTCATAAACCAAACGGAGTTTCGCTCTCATATCGCGGGAACCTTGAGGTCGATTTTGCACGCTGGCATTATTCGCGATAAAGTGGTGCTACTCCAGATAACAGCCCTGTTAGCCCTTTTTGTCAGCGGGCCCAGTTTTAGTGAAATCTCTTCTTACTACTGCGCACAGGCTGTGGAGATCGCCCAGACCCTTGGACTCCATGTCTCGTATCCGGACGAGAATGAAAGCCTAGAGAAGTCACATCGTTTGTTCTGGTGTATATGGGCTCTTGACAGGCTTAATGCAGCAACGAACGGTCGTCCGATCCTAATTCATGAGTAAGATATTGGTGAACAACTCCTTCGTTTTGTTCCCGAATACTTTCCGGCTTTCAGGCTCTTTCTTCACATATGCAGGCTCCTAGATGAAGTAATATCACATTACCGGCCCCGACCGAGCCCCAGCATTGATATTCCGAGGCAAACTATACCTGACTTTGAAAGCCTTGTTTGTGAGGCAGCCGCAACTGAACTTGACACTCCGCTGATCGGTATGTCCCTTAGCCTTTCTTTGACTTCCATTATGCATATTTCAACTCCCCCTCGAAGCTTGCACATGCTAACGTGAAGTTCCGATAGCATCATTGGAAATATTTTACCTAGCCATTCGGATTTTGGGGTGTCGGCCTCAAACTGTGGCAGATGGACCCAACCGACTCCCAAGCTCGGATGCTCAGTCATCCGCCGCCGCTAGTATCTTGTTAATTGCTTCAGGTGATCTCAAATTTTCAATCACCTTCTGGGTTGCTTTGCCTTATGCCATTTCACTGGCAACTTCTGTTGAGTATCAGACTCTCAGGAACAGTAAACTCTCACATACGCGAAAGCGGGCGTATCGCCAATTCCAGCAGGGACGGTGTCTTTTGGATGGACTAAGTGATATTTTTGTTTCTGCTCGCATGATGGCCCGACTAGCTCAAAACACCCTCAAAGAAGCTAGCAAATCTAGAGGTCACACCTCAAAGCACCCAGAAGAAAATTCCCAGCCGACTCGGGACACACAATCCAGTCCCTTCGCCCAAACAGTGCCCCATTCTCCAGATTGCCAGTCGAATCCGAATCCTTTTGTCTCTTCGACTATGTCGTCAAATCATCTAGACGACTTACATGGGGCAAATGACGAGGATCTCGGGCTTTTTGACGATTTAACACCCTCGGTTATCAATGAGATTTTCAGCGGGCTGGATGGTAGTATCGACCTCAGCAGGGTTGATACTCTTTTCTCCACCAATCTAAACCCAACTATGCCCCTTATACAGCCAGATTGGATGGATATCTGAGATGCCATACGCAAAAGTCGAATATGAATCAAACCATTCCGGTCGATGACTCTTGATAATTGATTGTTTTGATTTCTAACGGATGTTTTGACTCTATATACTACTCGAAATGAAGAATAGGTAATCTACAGGCATGGATAATTGATTACTCGGCCGTTTGAAAGTGTGGGTGGAAGTGTTCAAATTGGAGAGCAAACAGCTCACGTTCAGCTTTGCTTGCCGCTCAAAAGCTAGCCACTGCTTGAGCATCTATACATCTCTCATCATCTATCAAACTTGATATTCCTTGTGCTCAACATTCCCGTCGCTCTCCGTTTTATCACGTTGGGCCATCTTGAGTTCGTTTACGGAATCTTCGGGAAAGACATGGGTTCGCCATGATCTCACTGGGATCTTTTCCGCAAAGAAAAGAGATATCTCCAAACTAGAACGACCGGCGGTTTCTCCACAGCAAAACCAAGTCCAGAGTAAGGACAGACATGTGGTTCCTGCATAGAAGAATCCAACCATCGGCCCAAGACCAGCATCATAGTACAGATATGGCGCTGTGAATGAGATAACCCATGTGGTGAAATAGAACACAACAATACTTGTCGACATGATCTTGTTCTGGTTGACGCCGACCGCCATCTCTCGCGCAGCCGTATACGCCAATGGACCCAATCCAAAGTTGAAACCAATGACAACAATGAATGAAAACACAACAATGACATATTGTGTCGCAGTTGTCAAAGGTTTCGTTCCAATGCAGCCAATAACAATGAAGGCCACGAGCATCATGCAGTTGGTCACCATAAGGTTGATCCGACGGCGAACCTTATTTGCGGTGATAACTGAAGCGCCAACCGCGATGATCTGAACCACATTTATCACAATCTGCACAATGAAAGGGTCCCCAACACCAATTGCTTGCACGAAAACCACACCATAAACGTAAAAAAACAGAATACCACAGACTTGCTGGCTGAACATCGCGCCTGCCGAGAAAATGACCTTTCTTCTCTCAACCGGGTCTGTAACCAAAGACTTCCACGACGAAAACTCGGCATGCTGCTCTTCAATGCTTTTAGCACTGAGGGCCTGATTTATATCCGTGGCTGGGTCGTAATCAGGTTCTTTGCGGTTGATTTTTCGTAGGCTCTGCTCCGCGTCCGATAGGCGATTCTTGAAAATATACCAGACGGGGCTTTCTGGAATGAACGGCAACAAAGCAAACATGAAGAGAGGTAGAACAACAAGACCACCCATGGGAATTCTGTAGGACAGGGAGTTGTTATGAAGACTTTCGGTGCCCTCGTTGATACATGATGCAATCAACTGAGAGCAAGATTGAAGAAATTGGAAGGACATCAGGGCTGGTCCACGAACACTCGAGGGTGCTACTTCACCAATATACAACAAAGAGGTGACGGTGAATTGACCAACTCCAACCCCAATCAGAATGCGCCCAACTGTGATGATCGCCTCGCTGTGGATTGTATCCGCCACTTGACAGATACCGCCAATCAAGATGCAAAATGAAGCAAACCAAAATGTGGCCTTCCGACCCCAGCGATCATTGATGGGGGCAGCGAGGATTGCACCGACAAGATCTCCAATATAGATTGCCGATGCCGTCACGGCCTGAAAAGAAGAAGGAAGCTCTAGGTTGCCGCTTGCATCACGATGCGTTCCGTAGTCGTCTTTAAATTGCTGCATGGCAAGGACGCCATTGTAGTAGGTATTGTCATAGCCATAGCAAAGAGCGCCGACTGCTGATACGGCACAGTAAAAGATCGCCCAACCGTGGCGGCTCCAATCAAACTTAAAAGATTCAAACATCGATAATGCGATTCAATTGGAATCAAATAAGATGGGGCGGGTGCTAGTGAAAGAGATCATAAATCAGGAAAGGCTGCACTCTTAAAGGCTGCGAGTGGGAGCTGGGGTTTGGAGATTATGGGGTTATATCGGGGAATTGAATCTGGGGGGGAGATCTGGGGAAGATCTGAAAAGGAAAAGCGCGTCATTTGATAACCAGAGGGGGAAATTCCGTCGCACTGCGGCGTCGATGAGAGTCTTGAAAACGGTTAATCCGACAAAGTGTTCTTAAAAGTTGTCGGGTTTTACCTTAAACGGATATTCCCGCTCCTCATTGCCTGTGATCGACAACCCGAGCGGCAAGTCCTGGGGATCATTGGAACGAATCACGGCTTTCTATTGTTCTTGATCTGCTTGGCTGTATGAGAACTTAATTTTAGTGCGCGGCAGACCATATCCTCCCCCTTCAGTCAATTGGACCAAGATAGAAGATGCCGCATCCTCGGCTATTCTCCGCCAATGTGAAGTAAAATGAGCGGTATGCGGAGAAAGAGCCAGTAGAGTTTCACAAGAAACATATCTTCGCCGCTCATAGCCCTGGAGTTAACTAACGCGACGTGTACCGTGCCACTCAAGCTTTGGGCTTGTATTCAGGAGATATGGTGTTACAAGAACAGTATTCAAGTTAAGTAACCATCAAAGCTTTTATTCGTGTATCTATGAGTCTACTAGTACGCTCCTTCACATTTCCCATTAATTTGTTCAGCTAAACTTGGTTGACATTCCAACGGCAACTTGAATAACATTGAACAGCATGTGGAGACCTTTCACATTCTTTCAAACACAACACAACACAAATGGAGCCAACGAATTTCACACAGCTCGTGGTCTCATTTCCATTGGCAAATCCCCAGGGTTTGAGTTAAACCGCTCCTGTGTTTCCAGCTGAAACCCTTCTTCAATATGACCATCGTAAAGCTTCACAATGGTAGCAATAATCACGGCCTGTTCAAAATAGGAGATATTGCGACCGATACAAGCGCGTGGGCCAGTACTGAATGGGATGTGATTATTGAGCATCTTCTTTTTCTCCTCCGAGCTCTCTGTCAGCCAACGGTCTGGATTGTACTCAGTTGCGCTGCTAAATACTGATTCGTCTCGGAGTATCGAGTATGTTGGAACAGATACCGTGACGCCCTCGGGGATGAACTTTTCCGCAATAAATCTGCCTCCTTTTGGAACAATGCGAGGTAGTCCAAACGAGCTGGGCGGTCGTAGGCGCAGAGCTTCCTCGATACAAGCTCGAAGGTACGGCAGCTTAGAGATAACTTCATAAGATGGGATTCCATCACTAGAATCTGCAGCGCTGATCTCATCCCGAAGCTTCTGAAGTACTCGAGGATGTGTGTATAAAAGGAAAAATGGTGCTGGTCATGGCGGCAGTGCTGGTCTCTGTTCCAGCATTCATCATTACTGAGCACTCAGCCATGATCTCTCCAAATGATAAGTTAAGGTTTTCACCTTTACTATCTTGCAGCAGGCATTGGAAAAGGTCGTCTTGAGGGGCTGAATTGGCTAGTCGCTTTTTTGTGTTGTAGTAGATGATATTTTCCCAATCAACACCTGCTTTCTTGTATGGGTGACTTGTCACAAGTGAACGAGTAAATTGAGCGTAGTGTGCAGTAATTGCTAAAAGGTTGTTTATGACGGTGGAGTCGAGTAAAGACTGAATAAAGGGGACCTTGTAGAGTCGGCCATCTTCTTTCGATTCGGCAGTAAGAAGGTCGTCGTTTCGTTCAAGACACCCTAGGTTGTGACCGTAGAGGAGAATCCCAAAGAGATCGATCAAGAAATAATTCAAAACACGTCGCATGTTGGTCTTTGTGCCGGTTTGTCGATCCAGAAGGTCCGTTAACGCCGAAATTCTTTCGCGAAGTTGAGGTTCGAAACCCACGACTGTCTTCGCTGCAAATGTATGGGCAAACATCTTGCGTTTTGCCTGGTGCTCAGCCTTATCTCTCGCATCGGATAGATTTCTGTGAGGCCCTGCACCAGCATCATACCAAATATCCTTTAACATGTTGGCACCATGGCCATAAATTTCTTGAGGTGCCCGAGGGTCCAAAATGGAGATATGGTTTGGGCCGATGCGAACGTGTGCTCCCAATTTTTGATGGGCTTCATGGACTGCAGCGTAATGCTTCCATCTGATGTTGTGGTAGAGACGCCATAGCGAGCTGAAACCTGCAATTGAAGGCGCCGGATACTGTCGAAGACCCTTTCGGTCCAAGAAATGACGCGCCACGCGGAACAAGAACAGGCCTAGCAGCAATGAAGACAGGAGATAAGGTGTAAGGTCGAGAAGCATGTTGATATGGAAATGATGAATCGTAGTATGAATACTTATTTTCAAACAGCCTGGTTCAATTTCTCGAAACTGGTAACTATGGGCTTGTCCTCCATTTATGCCTTGATATTTTCCGCTCAACACTGTCGGGCCTATTCTCTCCCAAAGAACAAACACCGCCATGTCCATCTCATACAAGTAATAGAAAGAACACATAATACCCGCAGATACCGGCGCATCGTTGGTTCGACGAGATCTGGCGGCTGCTGACTTCCCAGACCGGAAATCCCGATCTCTAGTTCGCCGCCGAGGAACTTCCGTATTTGGATTATCCGCCCGCCTACTCCGCAGGTGTACTCATTGAGTCACCTGGATCTGTGAAGCAGTGACTTGGTGGTTGATTTAGCCACTAAAAAAGGCTGCAGATAACTAGGAGTCTCGGTTTTAAGTGTTATCTTGAAGGGAAATACACAATTCTGTTTCACAGGTTTTAAATTTACGGGTTGCGCCAGTCATCTTCTCCTTGGTCTCGATAATTTTCTCCCCTTGCATCGCAAATATCATTCTTGCTAGAAGCCAAATATTATCCATGCCCCCCAAGACCACAGTTATGGGAAACCAAAGTCCGGTTATTAAACCGCGACGCGCAAAGACGCGAAAAGCTTGTGAGAATTGCCGGCACAGAAAGGTTTGCAAGGAATCCAAGCATCAATAAAACGAGAAACTCACCAATTTATCCCCCAGAGACGATGCTTGCACGAATCACAAGTCAATTCCTGGAGCAAAACCCCACCTCCGCATAATATAAAGTGGATAATGGTCAACTCTATATCAGAGCCAAGTCACAACACTACTCGGACTATTGATTCGACGGATCGGGAACATTCACCGGAGCTATCGCACCCGCAAATGGCAGGAGGCGACTATGCAAGGGTTCAAGCTAATTTGGCATCATCCGATGATGAGGAATGGGGGCAGAAAATATCAGAAAGACGCCATGCACATCCACAAATACCCAGAGTAGCTCGCAGTGTCAGTCCACCCACGCCGCGTTTTGTGGGGGATCTCAACCCGGAAGCCCGACTTCTAGAGGAACAAATTTCCCCAGAAGATGTGAAACATACCGACTCCGATAATGTCGGTCTTTGGATTCATCCCGGCTCTTCCAAGACAAGCGAAATTGCCCCTTCCAACCAGAATACCTTTCAGAGGGAGCCAACTTGTTACCGGAGTATGGTGTCTGACATTATTTCTCATAAGACTGTTGAGGCTCTATCAAGAATTTATTTTGCTAATGTGCATCCAATCGTTCCACTTCTCAATGAAGACGAGTACTGGCAGGGTCTCGCTCGTGGTGCCATTGCTACACCCTTGGTGCATGTTGTGTGTTTGATCGCCGCAAAGGACAGCGCGGCTGAGAAGGATTTAAGACTTCTGCATTCGAAAGAGAGTATCATACCTGTGCGCAAGTTTTGCAGTCGGCTATATTCGTCCATCACAAGCTTAATTTCTCACCCTGTCGCAATGAGGAAAATCACTATGATGCGGGTACTCGGTCTGCTATCGCTACACCAGGAAGGTAGTGATGGGGGAGAGCATGCCTCCAGCTACATTTCTCAAGCTATCCATTATGCCCAGTCTTTGGCGCTGCATCTACCACGACCTAATGATACCGAGGGGTGCTTAAAAAGAGCATTTTGGTGTCTCTGGACTCTCGATCGTCTCAACTCCGCGACCAATTCAAGACCATGTTTTATAGCCGATATGGACATTGCAGTTTCCGACCTAGCGCCCGAAGAGTCCGGTTTTGTCGCCTTTAATGTATGGTTTCGAGTTGCTAAAATGCTAAACAAGGTCATTGGGCTCTATCGTCCTCATATTGAAAAGGGCTTATCCGGCTGGGATTCTGGGTTCCCTGGTTTTGAGCAAATTATGGATGAAATGAGCGCATGGGGCCTTCCTGGATCAACGATTGGTTTGTGATCATAAAAATTATCCCTGCTGAGTATGTATACTCGGATATGAAAGATTTCTTGTTCTGACTTGCTCTTGAAGCTACCTTACACCTCTTCTACCTCGCAACCTCAATCCTCGCGCACCGCCTCAGGACGATTAAAATTTTGCCTACGCCTACGCCGTCAAGGTTACGACAACAGCTTGCGGCGACTCAAGTCATTCGTTACTTGGAAGATCCGGCCAGGATGAACACGCTGTGCCCGCTTCCTATCGTCGTATATGCCGCTTCGCTGGCATTATCCGTGTCTTACCAACAATTACGATATAGTCGTCTGTCTAGCGACCAAGAGGATGCTCACAAGGACTTTAATGCCGGGTGCGATATTTTGCAAAAACTGCGCCAAAAATGGCGTTCTGCCGATGCGATGGCCGCCCTGGCAAAGAAAATCTCGGGGGCGCTTGATATGCTGCCACGTCTTGATATTCTCCGATTGAATCGATCCACTCAGGAGGGCGGCAATTACATGGAAAGAAATGTTGCGCTGCCAGATGATCATAGGTCAGGCAATGCGCCCACAATACCTTCTTCTCATCATTTACCGGCTGGGTATTGTTCGGAAACAATGGGTCTATTTGCCGGCATGGACGATGTGTCTTGGATGTACCTGGATGCAGAAAATCCGGTTTCCTTTGATGTTTTCCCCGAGTTTGATGAATTATGCAGCACCTGGTAAGTAGCCTGCGCCATAATTGTCTCTGTGGTTATGCCGTACGCCGGCAGGTGTAGTGTGGTGGGTGACCACATGCGAATCCCTGCTGCTGTATTTTTCTTTCTTTTTGCTGCTTTCTATTTCTGCCCTCTATTATGTGCTTGTTGTCAAGGTGATAATCGCGCTTTGTTTGGTCCCTGACGTGACCCATCCTGCGAACCTTAACCTTCCTAAGGTTAGGAATGAGGCTGGGGGGTTAATCGATAAGGAGCAAAGCCCTAATCGTGAAGCCCTGATTTCCTTTTCTGGTAATTTGACGTATCGCGCCGGACACGTCTGGGAACCTTCTTCGTACCCCGTATCCCCTTTGCCAGTATCTTCTCTGGTTTCTGTGCACGTCTCATCAGGAAAAATGCCTGGCCTGCAGGATCTTCCCGCTGAACTACTCAAACAAACTCTGTTTTACTTCGTCCCGCGTGTGTCACCTCAGTGGGAGATCTGGCATGAATTCCGCACGGGGCAGTTGAAACCGAACCCCAGTGATGAAGATGAAGATGAAGATGAGTATGACGAAGAAAGCCTCGACTCACTATACAATATTTGTCTAGTGTCGAAGAAGTTTCGCGATATTGCCCAACCTCTTCTATTTTCGAACTTCGTCGATGATGGTGCTCTTGGTAACATTTCGGAGACTGTCCGCTTCGCAAACTGCCTCTATCGTTATCCACAGCTCGGTCAATTCGTTCAGGAGATCACTATGGGGAACCCGCTTATATTTGATTCTGAATCAGCCGAAGAAGACGATTTAGAATTATCAGAAGAAGAAATCCAGCTCTACACAGCACCAATCAAAGCTCTTGGTCTTGGCATCGAGGAAGAGAAATGGATTTCTGCTCTTAAAAACCGCGACATCCTTGTTTTCGCCGCTTTGATCGTCAATAAAACTCCCAATGTTCGTCGCCTGGTTCTACCGGGCACCATATCATCCGTGAACCCTTTCCCAGAGCTCTTCCAACAAAACCCTTCATTTCTTCGCAGGCTTGAAAATCTCGGCCTGGCAGGCCTGAAGGAATCTGAAGGCTACGATTACGCATCTTATCACGAGTTTTTCGCCCTGCCTAGCCTGAAAATTGTCATGTTTGACAATGGTGATCTTCAGAAAAGGACATGCCCATCAACATGGGAACCTCGGACATTCAACATAGAGGAACTCCTTTTCCGCGATTCCGTGGTTGATGCTGTGTCCCTCGGTAGGCTCATTGGTGCATGTAAGAACCTAAAGGCGTTCTTGCTCGACAACTTTAAAGCTCACCAAGAATGGGTTGACCATCCAAACGGAGGATCGCTGTTCAACGCTGCGGATGCCCATCAAGCTCTCTTGGCGCATAAAGACACACTTGAGTATATGCGCATAGAATTTCCCCAGAGAGGGGTCATGATCTGCAGGATTGGCAGCGGTTCCTTTCTAGCCGTGCCAAAATGGGATCTCTGCGCGAATTTTCGGTGCTTCGCGACATTCGTCTTCAACAAGCGATAGTCTCAGTCCACCCTCAATTTCCACCGACGCTCAAAAGACTGTTTATTACGGACTGCAACTCTTCTGTCATCAATCTAGTCAAGAATATCGCGAAGGATACCAAGAAGGGTTTGTACCCAGACTTTAACGAGTTCAGGATGCTTGCTGTTGATATCACACAACCCGTCCAGCTACCTGGCCAGAGAATTCCAGAAGGCAAAACGCCAGAGCAAGCTCATCAGGCTCTTGTAGATCTATTCAAAGGCACCAAGGTAGATTTTTTCATTGGGCCCTTCGATATGCCTAGTATGGATGAGCTCATGAATGGCTATGACGAGGATGATGAATTTGATGATGAGATGGCCTATGATTCAGAGGGTTACGAAATTGAAGATCCAATCATGGATGCATTGAGGGGTATGCGTTTGGGCGACGCTGGAGGCGGTGGACGTGGAGGTGGTCCCAACGGCCCGATGCCTCCAGGACTTCTCGAATATTTCATGCAACGCGCTATGCAGGACCCTGACTTCGCACACTTGCATCCACCTTCAAGGAGAAATCGGTGAGCACTGTCGTAAACTTGGAATGAACGGATCAATAGCATCATCTTGTCAAGAACATCCTTGGAATAATTGTAACTTGGGCTCCGATCAAACATCCTCGATTCGTGGCTTACATGTACCTCTTTTCATATAAAAGGTGGTGGTTTGTTGCCAAAACCTGTGATAATTTCTGGGACATTGTCATTTGAACTCTTTGAAAAAGCCTTCACTATAAATCTGGGCGATTCCCAACCGGATTGGTTCTTTTTGAGTCCCCCGAGTTGCTAAGCGGTTCGTGGCTATGGTGGGTGCCAGTCGCTACTATGCTATATCAAGGCTATGGGGGTGAATAGGATTTCAAACGGGTCCAGCCAGGTCAAGTTATTTCAAGTAGCTAACCCAACCTAGATAGTTATAGACATATAGCTAACGACATCATATGTACCCATAAAAAAAGCAAATTGTTCTTTGCTATCAGATCCAGTCGAGAGACTTCCAATAGTCCTGAATGGGCGCCGGGCCAAAATTAATTATGTCCGCAGCGGAAGCAATAACTTCAAGCTTGACATATTTGTCTCCTCTGAAAAAGTAGGTCAAGCCTCTATCATCCTGAGGCACAGGAAGCGTCGCATCGACAGAGTCAAATCCGGCGGCAGTCAAGGCTGGCCACTCGACCGAAATTTTGGCAGGACCATACACGATTTTGTGTGTATTCACGTTTATCTTGACGTAGCTGGTGCCTCGGAAGATGTATGCTTCACCGGGTTTTTTAGGAACGGGCATTGCAGCATCAATTGTGTCGTACCCGGTCGATGCCAAGGCCTTGAATTTCTCGGCAATGAGCCAAGGTCCACCGACCACTGTATCATTATTTGATTCAGGGACAACTTTGATTTGGGCAACTTTGCTGCCGTGGAAAACAAACAGCTCGTCTGGGCTGTTTTCGACGGGCAAGATGGCATCGACTGTGCCAAACCCAATGGAAACAAGAGATGGCCAGCGCTCGGAAATTTTGTCGGGGCCCCAGCTAATCATATCATCATTTGTTGCGGGTGAAAACTTGATACGAGCGTAGCGACGACCTCCAAAGAAGTACGTCTGCTTGAAGGTGGGATGCCAATAAGCTGCGTCGACCATTTTGAAGAGTTGTAAAGAGGCGAATGGTTTGTTTGATATCTCAATTTGAAATATTAATGCGAATAGATCAACAACATGTTGGAAAAGATGGTGCGCTTTATACCTGGTATTGAATGCTACTGGATATATGACCTCATGGCTTGCTTGAGCTTTTGCAGATTGCCAAGATCAATCAGGAATGATTCGTATCTGGCAGTTCTAGTGGTAAATGGAATTTCAGCCATGTTTAACGCCATCGTTGAGCCAAGTGCTTTTTTCTAACAGCTTCCAAGATTCACTACATATGTTGTGTCACTTTGATTCCTACATAGTATATGCCATGTGTAGCTCCATCTCTGACCCAAGTGCTTTGCGTTCAGTGGCAGCTTCCAACATTCACTATGTTGTGTCACTTTGATTCCTGCATATTATATGTCATATATGTACCAGTAATATGCAAAGAAGTGATGTGAGCCACCAACGTTTGAAAGCCCAAGGCCAGCCCCGACTCTTTTCCAAGGTTACGGGCCGGCCCGCCATTATGATTTGGGGATTCAATAGCAATTCCAGCCCAAAAAAATAGGAAACATATAGTACTTGAATGATTAGTCTATGCCAGCTAGGATGAATAAGGGGGAACCGCTGGAGACGGAGTGGGGCGAGGACTGCATTGAATTGCCCCAAGCCATCTGGAATGTCAAGTAATCGTCTTACCCAATTGATGTGAGAAAAAATCACCATTTGGTGCAGGAAGTGGCGACGTGCAGCTCTGCTAAAGTCCACGTAAGACAAACTCACTACCCCGCTAACCCTCCCCGCGTACACGCAATCCAATTTTCGTATATGCGTAGGCTAACCGGCTTTTGCCTTTTAGAACAGCATGAGTCTACCTGCAAGGCGTATGGGGGGGTAGATAACTGTCTATGTATGTATGTACGATTGCTCCCCGACGCAGCTTCCAAGGTTTATGGGTCTTGGTCATAGCTGCCCAGGTGAAGAGCTCGCTAGCAGACGTATTTACAGACTTTCATTTAGCAATTTGAATGTATATATATGCCTACCTAGGTATTCAAGTTAGTATACGCCCCGTTAAGAATTTTCACATACTTCGAGATTGAGCTTTGCTCTGTTTTTAAGGACTAGGAAAGTGTAAACTTGTAGGTCGCAAGCTATGGGGGGCTGCTAGGCAGTGCATTTGTTTTTACAGAAACGGTGTCGATGCTTAGCGCAGGAATCGGGAATGCCGTCCACGCAGCCTTATACGATGGCCACGCCCGAAGTTTTTGACAACATCAAGTTCAGGTAAAAAGTACCTAGGCTATGGAGTAGATCCAGAGCAAAAAATGGTTCCAGAGGGGGTCGAACCCTCGACTTTGGCGTCACAGGAACACTGTATTAGCACCACACTCTAACCAACTGAGTTATGGAACCCGTCTATAATGCACCCAAAATAACCCTGGCACCATCAGCAAAAACAAAAGATATTAATCTAAAACCAAGAATCCTCGACAGTACGATTTTCTCTGTAGTGACGGCGGCAGAGTGGCTTAGTTTATCACGGAGGAGTACTTATAGCCTACCCCTTTTTATTCTGTCTTATCTCATCTTATAATTGACCTCCAGCTCACCCACCCGATCCGAGTCCATCTCAACGCCGATAGGAGTATCGTGTCGAAAGAAGCCCCTTCAAATAGCAGTGGCTCAAGAGTGGAAGCTAGCAGCTGATCGCCACTCTAATTATAATGCGGATCCGACATTGAGTCTATCCAGCTTCAGCCTCGGGGAAAGTTGCAGCGATCTTGAAGGGATCGGACGCAACAGAACCACAATCCGCTCCATTCTCGAAGACCACGTTCGCGCAACAAATATCTAAAATGCCCAACGATGGTGCAGTTTCTGAAAGTAAGAGGAGCCCAGCCCTTGTCCTTCTCTTCCCAGGTGATCTCATCCCACTGGGCGCCCCTTTCCTACATCGTATAACTCCGAACTCCGCAAGATATTCTATTCGGGCATTCAAAATCCAGGATCCGAGATACCATCTGCATACCAGGCATACCAGAGATAAGAATCTCAACGGTTGGGTAATCGAATGTTACGGGATGTTCTGGTATAAGTACAATTTCGTTTACCAAGGGCCACGCTTGATCATGACTAATCCTGGCAAAGCCAATTCCTTTGCTCCTGCAGACTTTCTCCGACCGTATCAGCTGATGTAGACAGAGAAATAAACATAGGAAATGGAAAATTAAACTTCGGTAGTACGCACATGCAAAATCACAGCGCGCTGCAGGTAATTTGAGAACCCCAGCGACTAAACATTGAAGTTTTATGGTATATATTCCAAAAACTGGTTCTGGAGGGGGTCGAACCCTGGACTACATCCAATATCCACTCAGCAAAATCAAATACCCTTCATGAACCAAAGATATAGACTCAAGATGCAAAAAATGGTTCCAGAGGGGGTCGAACCCTCGACTTTGGCGTTATTAGCACCACACTCTAACCAACTGAGTTATGGAACCTGGTGGTTGGAGAAGCCCAAAAATTTGCATCTTTTGAATATTGGGCTAATAGATACCTTGATAAACATAAAAAATAATTTATAATTAATCAAGAAACAGTTCCATGTTAAAACCCTTTAAGCATAGCAGCCTAGCTATATGAATCATGTAGGTCAGCAAATATGGTAGTTGTGAGGATGCTCAGATGCTCACAGATTAACGTACGGCGTAGCATACGAGGCAATGAAACAGTAGCGGTTCGACGAAAGTAATAGCTTGAGGAGAGAAAGAAGGAAGCTAGGATGTAAGGCTAGATACACAGGTGTAGGTGTGGATGCCTAGATGGGTGCCGTAGGCGTGAGGCATCCACGAATGGTAACAACACCAGTTCGTTACGGTAGTCATCCCCCAAGGAGATTCGGTGGCAGAAAGACCACATCCTTTTGATCGAGGAGGCCAGTCGAGAATCGTTACTTGATGACACCATTCACCATATTCAGCAAAAGCCAAAATATGGAATTCTGAGGAATCCAGGGGCAAGATCGTACTTTTCAATTTGGAAAAAGCATTTTTGGGCAAGATTTAACTGTCAGAGGGGTGAGGTCGATATTTATATAGTATTGTCCAGATATAGATGCATCGATCAGAAGACTTGGCGAGGTTCTGTAACGTTTCAGATTTACGATGTTGGGAGCACCGGCTAGTACTTTTGTGAATAAAAGAGTTGTTCCGTTACTATTATACGCTCCGAGGAACCCGCAAACCAGGCATCACTCTACCGAAAAGAAGCATCTTGGGGTCAATTTGTCGAACTATATTGATTAAGTTCCAAGGTTGTTCCTTCACTAGGACCGGCGGGGAAGCGCTCTATGCCCAGGTGAGTTTCAGAGGCAGCTTTGTCCTTGGCCAGTATGCGGTCTCATGTTTGGGCAATTCCGGTCAAGCCTGTATGTAATATTTCATATAGGTGTTACGCACACGCTAACTGGTCACTCGTTTAGTGGTCGACAGTTGGTAACGTACCTTGTTTACGAGTACAATTGTGAATTGCCAGGAGACGGCTGGAATCGGCGTCTCGTGTGCTCCACTAGGTGATCCTCAAGTATCGACTCGCAACCGTACCGTTGCTGTGCTAAGCCTTACACGGGCTCGGGTTCTGTTGAGTAACTTCGAAAGATGTGCCAGATAGGGCGCCAAGTAGGTCAGTCCGGAGAGCTCCCCTACTTTAGTATGTTTGTCACAAGGGTTGAAACTGTATGAAGAATAGTCCGAAAGGTATACTGTAGTAACTTTACCCGTTGGTATACCCCGTGGTCACGTGGTGTTTTACCGGGTACTTGCACTTGCGGCGTAGTGTGGGTGACGGTAGAAAGAACGCCTGTTCTTGCGTCGCGCTAGCCGTTGCGTAGGTTAGTGTAGTATACATAGTTTGAGACGGCGAATCAGAGGCTGATTCCGGCCGTTGGTCACGTGTTCTGATCCTGCGTTCCTTTTCTCAGGAACGGTTGGCTCTTGGTGGCCCATCTGTAGGTTGCGGCCCCTCATGTCGCAGGGTCCGTAACAATAGGTTCTTGTCTACAAGGGAAACTGACAGATAAATCACGATCTAGTCAGCTTATTATAGCCCATATTCAGTGGCCCATTAAATCCAGATGTGGGTAGAGTGTCTGGATGGTCAGGGGTCTTGCCGAAAGATCTCTTTGACCAGTTTCGCCCGCACGGGAGCGACTGTCAAGAAATGTGCGGCGAATCCTTATTTGCTCCTCCTTTGGAAAATGACTGTTTGAGCACAGAACAGCGGCAGAGCAGCAGGTAGCTATTTTATCTCGATAAGAGAACCGTTCAACTTCACCTGAATAAGTAAAATTGTCAGTCTATACATGCCTGCCATATTTCTCAACAGCCTAGTAAGGATGATAAACAATAGTAAAGTGTTATCAATAACAAAAATACTCAATGTAGGGAAGGGTAAGAGAGCGCAGAGATTAAGAGAACTAGTTAGTAGGTGTCCAAGGTGTAACCTTAGGCAATAAGGCACAGATCTGCGATCTATTCTATTTGATCTAAGAATTGTTGTTTTGCTCTATATAGCCTTAAATTAGCGGCCCAACCAATCAGCTGGTTCCATAACTCAGTTGGTTAGAGTGTGGTGCTAATAACGCCAAAGTCGAGGGTTCGACCCCCTCTGGAACCATTTTTTTGCTTGATTTGCCTCTGAAATAGAGAATATTTTTTGCTCTAGGTACCCCCACTAGGCTTTTTCCTTATGTAGTCATAGATTTCATTATACATAAAATCAGCGGTTCCATAACTCAGTTGGTTAGAGTGTGGTGCTAATAACGCCAAAGTCGAGGGTTCGACCCCCTCTGGAACCACTTTTTTTGCCCTTCTGAAGTCTATACATAGAATTTTTGGTCAATTTAGTGTGCTACATGAGTAGTATTTGGATTTATGAGGCCGGCACATACCGTATTCCCTGACTTCTTCCCTTGGTGTATACTGTAGGTATCACATGTTGACCACCCCTTGCGTGAGATACGCTGTTCTAGATTGGCCCGTGCTGCTCTCGCTTATCACTAGCGCCCGCACCCCGTGACTTCCTGGTATAAAGGCCACCTTCGCCGGCCGCACTTCCTCTCCTTTTTCTTTTCTTCTTCATACTTACCTTGTTTGGGTGGCTGCGCTCACGAAGGCGGCCCACCACAGATTGGTCCCTGCATTGCACAGCGCGGCGGAACAGTTTGTTCAACGGCCTTCGGGTCATTGACAGGCGCATTCTTTGGCACTTTCCACTTGTTGGATCCTATTTCTTTTCATCATGCCTTGGGCCAATGGCTCGAGTATGGAGAAGAGAGTCGTAGTTTGTATAGTAGTAGCTCCTCCGTGAGGCTCCTCAATAATCCATGTACACAAACCATCATATAGAAATGATAAGTCCTTACTATGCTGCCGCGGCTCCGCCAATCCCCTCATTTGTCAAGTCTATGCACAGCCCAGTGCGGAAGAAGTTGGCGCGAAGGCCCAGCGTTTAACCTCAGCTGAGAGCGGGGTTCACAATAACACTGCTCCCTTTCGTATCAAGCAGCTTGCCCTTTACTTGCAGAGCACTCTTCTGCCCATTTTCGGTCGGCATGGACTCGACTTTTGGTAGTGCGAACATGGGTTTCCAGCTTGGAAATAATCATGGGACAATCGGCACAATCAACATTACATCCGGTGTCTCACGGGTATGCCAAAGTCTATTTCAAGCCGCGAAAGGTTGATTAACACTTGTTTTCGGCCCAGACCGACCAGACAACCTACAAAACCTAGAGAGGACAGACAATGGTTCGCTGCACTCCACTCCGTTCCCTTCAAGGACGCTCTGCCTAACCACAGACGCAGAGCTGCTCAGGTCATTAGCAACAGACGCAGAGCTGCTCAGGTCATTAGCATTCCCACAGATGCTGGATCGACGCGACAATATTGAGTCTCGTCACATGAATACATGTCAATGGATTTTGGAACTGAAGGAGTATCACTCGTGGAGGAACCAGCGCTGTGGTTTGCTTTGGATTAAAGGCAAGCCAGGCGCGGGCAAATCAATCTTGATGCTTTTCCTACATAAACGACTTAAAGAATCCCAGGATGGCAACCTACAGGACGGTAGCCAGGGCAATATTCGGCTCGACTTCTTCTTTACCGCCCGGGGTGTGGAAATGCAACGAACACCACTAGGCATGTTTAGATCGTTGTTAAACCAGCTCTTCGATCATGACATAACTATACGCCCACAGGTCCGTGAGTTCTATGATCAACGATGTAGGCAGTTTGGTTACGGTGAACGTACATGGGAATGGCCACAGGCGGTGCTGGAAGAGTTACTAGCGAGTGCCATCCTGGCGTCGGCTAGCAAACAACCTGTGACTATTCTTGTGGATGCTCTAGATGAGGCTGGGGCTGAGTCCGCTCAATATCTCGCAGCATATTTCCATCGGCTTATTGATTGTGCAAAAAAGAAGAACTTGAAGCTGGCCCTTCAAGTCTGTATCTCATGCCGACACTATCCTATCGTGGAAAGTACTCAAGCTATAGAGATACATGTCGAAGCCCATAACCAGAACGACATCACCACATACACCAAAGATCTGCTCATTGACACGGATCCCATTATGGAAGACAGTCATGGCCAAGCGATAGGAGAGATGCTGGTAGAGGAACTAACCCAGTATGCCAACGGGGTTTTCCAATGGGTCCGTCTCACAATACCTCTTATCAAACAGAGAGTTCTTGAAGGGGAGTCGATTGACGATATTCGTTCTTGGTTGCGCGAAGTTCCAGCTGGCCTAGAAGATGTCTACGTTTATATCCTGCATAACGTCATCGCAGCTAGGAATCGGGATCAGTCATTGCTGTTCTTTCAATGGGTATGATTTGCTGAGCGACCCCTGACTGTAACAGAAATGCGCTACGCATTGGCGGCTAAGAATGCCCAAATTTCACCTTCTCGGAGATGGGAGGAGATCCACGGCTTTGTCGAAAGCAATGGACGTATGAAACGAATAATCAAGGCTCTTACTGGTGGACTGACTGAAGTAGTTTCAGGTTCGTATGTTGATGATGATGATGATGATAAGGAGGACTTTGAGACTATACAGGTAGTCCACCAGTCGGTCAATGATTTCTTGCGTGCTAAAGGACTGGCCCTTTTATACAGTATCAGCGCAAGCACAGCATCCATTGATAGGGATACCATTCTCTTTCATTGCCAGGCAACTCTTTACCGATCATGTCTACTATATCTTGCCACCATAACAAAGGAGATCAGTGGTCTTCAGGGACCACTGGAAGCTATAAACCTTGTCCAGAATCACCCATTTCTATCCTATACGACTATCAGACTCTTTGTTCATGCGGAGAAGGCTGCTGGCGCTGATTCGCTACAGAATGAAAAAGAAATTCTTGAGCAAATTATCGATGGATGGGTTTCGATCTACCTATGTCTCAATCAGAATAGCACAGCATGTCCACCTAGAGGCACAAATGTTCTACATATGGCTGCGACTGCCAATATGGTTGATGTCATCAAATCTGTGTTATCAGGTGGCGAGAATATCGAGAGGAAGGACGAAATTGGAAATACAGCGTTATATTCCGCAGCAAAAGCGGGACACATCATAGCCGGCAAATTACTACAGGAAAGAGGAGCAAACCTCGAAGCAGAAAATGGCTGTGGGGCAACACCTTTAATGGAGGCGGCCAGATGTGGACGTCTGATGTTTGTGGAATGGATCCTGGACGAGGGTGTCGAGCTTGAGACAAACTTAGGTGGAGGAGTGCTACAAGCAGCTTCACTGACTGGCCATCATGCCATCATGGAAATCTTGCTTGGAGTCGGAGCGGATATCAATGCCAAGGGTGGTAAATATGGCACTGCCCCCGCTGCTGCATCGGATAATGAAACGATTGAGACAGTACTGCTTCTGCTGAACGCCGGGGCCGATGTCAATGCCCAGGGTGGTGAATATGGCAATGCCTTGCAGGCCGCTGTATCCTTGGAAAAAGGGGCTGCAACAGCAAAGCTCCTACTAGATGCTGGGACTGACGTTAACGCGAAGAGTGGTAAATATGGAAATGCCCTACACACCGCTGTTATATCATTTGATGAAAGTTTCGAGATGGTAAAGCTCCTGCTAGACGCTGGGGCCGATGTCAATGCCCATGGTGGTGAATATGGCAATGCCCTACAGGCTGCTATTGCAAACCATGGACATACTGAGATTGCAAAGCTCCTGCTAGATGCTGGGGCCGATGTCAATGCCCAGGGTGGCTACTACGGCAATGCCCTAAAGGCCGCTATTGCAAACGGGCATGGATACGAGCAGTGTTGATACGGTTCAACTTTTTCTTCAAACTGGTGCAAATATTCTGCTTGCAGATGAACTCGACATACCCCTCTTCATATGGCGGCTTCAAAAGGAATGCTCCGTCTTCTCTCTTGGTTTCCGCCATTTTCCTTGGCTATCAATATCAATAACCACAACAAACTCCTTCAAACCCCTCTTCACTTGGCTATTTATCACGGTCACATTGAATTTGCTATCAAGCTTCTCGATCTTGGTGCCGATCCATCTCTACAAGATGGCTATGGCCGACATGCCATAGATTGGGCACTTGGACACGAATCTTTGATCCAAGCGATACATAAGAAATGCCCTGAACTTACTTTGACACCTCACGAGGCTCAAAAATTAAGTGTTCAACGATCACTTCTCTACCTCTCCGATCTCCTTCCTCGGCTCAGGCCGAACGATCCATGGCCTATTTTGCAACATTTAGCTCGGTATTTCTTATTTCTGAATGACTCGAACAACGCGCGCCATTTATTTCAGATTCGCCTTTCCCAAGATATCATTCCGGTCACTGATATTTTCTACGGAGCTATCTGTAGTATATGCGGTAAGCCTATTGCTTCTGTAAGCAGGACGCGTTTTGTGTTCAAAGTCTGCGCTCATATGGATATCTGCCATTCCTGCATCGAGAAGTATCCCTTTCATAGCAGATTGAATCCAAACAAAAAGCATGCAGCCTTTAAAGTTTCCGTCCGATCCGACGACAAGTTCCAACTCACTGGGCGGGTATCACAGCGATTGACCTACTTCTTGAGCAATTTGATCGATGGACCTCTTGAAGAAGTTACCTACCGTTCTGAGACACAGCCATCATCACATGATTCCTTATCTTCCTCAGCACGGAAAAAAAAGGCTTTGATTTCGAATTCTACGATAAGTCTGTTAATTATATTCTCTGCGGTCTTACTAGGGGTACTAGCTACTTTCTTGGAGTTTTGGTATTTTTAAAGCAACTCGAACTTCGTCTACAACTTGAACCTCAATCCGTCTCTTTCTCACCACGCATCTCCTCCAAGAATAATTACATCTATCAAAATGTATCCCGCTCTGAACTATTCTTTTCTGTTCTCAAAGTCGCTAAGAATCCTTTTTGGGTCCTAATATTACAAAGGGAGAATGAAAACTAAATTTGCCCACCCGGCATAAACTTCCGATGACAATTCGCGCTATAATTAAGAGGTGACCGGGAAAATTCGTAGATTGGTGAATCTAACCGAGCGACAAAACATGAAGAGGTTATTTACCAATTCCAGCAGACCAACCGGCGAAGAGGGCTCCGCCTAGGTGTAGTGGGTGTAGGGAGATTCGCCACAGGATCAATACATGTAAAAATCGCTTTATCTAGGTAAATTAATGGGTGTTGGTTGAGATAATTGATTTGAAATACTCTAGATAGTACTGGTTATGTGAAAAAAAATGGCGCACAGCATAGCGAACGACTACGCAATAGCTCGCTGTCAAAGTGACACAAACATGTGGCCATTGTATTATTTTGGAAAACTCGTGGAATGGGTTCTCCTGCAATCCATTTTTGGACCGCCTTGGTTTTGAGTCTATTGGACAGGTTGTATTTACCAGAAAAGCTCGTATGATTTATTTCGACCAACAACCTTTATTTCCCTCATTATCATCAGTTGCATTATCTTGAAGGCGTGAATAATTCCACACGCCAACCCTTAATCCGCCGGATTAATTTTTCCGAAGAGAACCGGCGGTATTCAAGAGATGCAATTGAACTTTGCAGCTACGGGGTATGCCGGGATCCCACTAAATCGTGCACTGAAGCTTTTGCTAGCTCTAAGCGAGAGTATCAGATTAAATTGAGCAGTGGCTCTAAGCCAATGGTCGTCAATTACAAAGTTTGTAAACTGCAGTGTGCGGGGTAAAGAACTCTATATCGGTAAATGGTTTAATCCAATCCCCACGGGGTCTGCTTGATGCTAGAAAAAACTGGGGTAAATGAAAGATTGTCTGCGGGCGAAGGGGTGAACCAATACCCGCTTCGTTTCTGCTTATCTGCTTTTGGTATGGTCTACATAGCTGGTAATCGATTCTGGGTATAAAGCGATCATAACCTATATGGCTATTTGCTCTTCCAGACGCCAGGGGCGGACTATAGGGCCCGAGAGTCATTTCTCCATGTAGGAGACATGCCCAAGGAGCTATCACTCTCATTATCGACCTGTTGGAAGTACGCTCATCCGGAGATTGATCTCGAACGAAAGAAACTAGGCCTCTTCCTGTGCTCGCTTGTCGTATCTCCCACTCACTACTACCTAGGTAGTAACCTTCCACCCCCCCCAGGTCTCTACAAGATTAATTTGGGGATGATGGATATATAAAGCTCAATTGTCTCCTTTTCCATATACCTGCTTTCTATGCTTTCACTTCAGTTTCTATCTTTGAAGACTTCAAGTTCATACCTTTTCAATTCAATCCTATCGCAGAGATGAAGCCAACAATACTTCTTGCAGCGTCTCTTATACCTACAGCTACAGTGGCAATGATGCCCTGCAGCAAAAAGGCGTTTAACAAGATTTTACCGTCAAATTCCACTACTCTTTACGCCGTTGAAGTCCCAGAGGGTGGTACTTTTGAAGTAGCGAGCGACCTCTCCTACCCGACGAACGCGACCAATCTACCTGCCCTCTGTGCTGTTGCGTTCAACGTGACTTCATCTTCATCATCGTCCTTTACGTTTGGCATATTTCTTCCCAAACAATGGAGCAAACGTCTCTTTACAGCCGGTAATGGCGGGTTTGCTGGCGGTATAAACTGGCTATCAATGGCTGAGGGCTTAGAGGAAGGTTTTGCGTGCGTGTCTACTGATACTGGCCACAATGTATCAGACACCAACGACGGAACATGGGCCTATAATGCCCCTGAGAAGATCAAGGATTGGACTGGACGGGCTTTGCATAGCTCTGTGCAGCAGGCTAAAACTATCGTTTCCGCATACTACGGCAGCGACGCGAAGTACTCTTACTACTCCGGCTGTTCGACTGGGGGATATCAGGGCTTGAAAGAGGTGCAAACTTATCCAGAAGACTTTGACGGAGTATTGGTCGGCTCACCAGCGGTATGTACTATTCGGCACCCACTAAACTCAGGTAAAATAACATCTAACCTTGTGATACAGTGGTGGCATTCACACCTTCAGACATGGTCGATCCAAGTTGCGCTCTGGAATCAGCCGTCCGATGCCCCATATCATATTCCAGACTCACTGTTCTCTGTGATTGGTGCTGAGGTCATGAATCAATGTGACGGCGCAGATGGCGTTCTCGATGGCATAATCAGTGCCCCCAAGAGCTGTGACTTTCACCCGGAAGCCCTCCTCTGCACGAGCCCGGCGGCAGATAAATCAGAGTGCTTGACGGCACCACAGGTCGAGCTCTTATACAATTTATACAACAACTGGTACGAAGGGAATAATGAATTTGTTTTCCCACAGTACAGCTATGGGAGCGAGTTCCAGTGGAGCATGCTATCATCTGGTACAGAGGAATCTGGATTCAGCGAGCAGTTCGCCAAGTATATTATGTATCAGAACCCGGAATGGACCGTGGCAAACTTCAGTTACCAGACGGTACTGGATGCAGAGCGCGTCTGTAAGAGCGTGGGCCTCGATGCCGACAACTTCGACCTTACTCCATTCCACCACAAGCAGGGCAAATTGTTGCATTATGTGGGCCTTGCCGACGGTTTGATCCCCCCAGGGAGTTCCGAGTACTACCACAACCACGTTGTACAGACCATGGCACCACAGGGAGTGAATGTGACTGACTTCTACCGACTATTCACTATCCCTGGAATGGGCCATTGCGCTTATACGAGCTCATCTAGCAAGGCTCCTTGGTATATCAATGGTGCTTCCCAGGCCGGTAGTCTCGGCACTGGCGTTCGTGGAGTGCCTGGATACCAGGACGCAGGTCATGACGCCCTCCGCGCTTTGATAAAGTGGGTGGAAGAGGACGTTGGTCCGAACAAAATTGTTGCTACTAAGTACAAGAATGATAACGTGGAGGATGGTGTGTTGCAGCAGCGGCCGCTATGTGTGTATCCTGGTCGAGCAACTTTCCGAGGTGGTGATATGACCAAGCCAGAAAACTGGTACTGTGAGAATTGAAAATTCAATTTTTGAAAGTTCTGATTTCGACAAGGATTGGAAGTGTTCAAGCCCGACAGAAAATGTCAGGAGACTGTGTTTCATCTAGTAGTTCTTGTTGGCTAAACCCGCGTGTTGATAGTGAATCTGGAAATTCATTCTTGCATTAAAAACATCAATTCAATGTTCCAATTATCTTGTCATTTTTTTTATTAGGGTAGGAGAGGCATTTCAGTCATAGGGGAAAGAATTTCGATGGATATATCGGAAAAAAGGCGATAGCGTTCACGGTAATATATGGAAAGCCTGGTTGCGAACAGCTCTGTGCTCCGATGCCAACATAGTCTATGGATCTCAGGTCACTCTCGCCGGGAGCTGGGAAAGGCCGCGGCAAGTGACTCCGCCTCTTGCGGGTTGGTCCATTCTTCTAATAGTTCGTGCGCCATGTCGACAGTCTCATCTTCAATCCCCGCTTCCAAAATTACACCATCACAGAAGGCAAGCCTGGTGAGTACGACGAGATGTTTTTGCTTACTACCAGCCACGCATGAGAGTTTGTCCTGCATATTTATTGACGCGCCATGGCGACGCATGACGCCGAAAATCAGTCGCATTAGCCCGTTGACCAGTGCGGCGCGTAGCTCCTGTTCTGGCGGAGACGAGTAAAGCGCGTCCAGTTCGTCGTGCATTGACCTGAAGAGGCGCGCCAGCGCATTTTGATGGACTGCCAAGATGGCACTGCCGTGGTCTCGCGATGGAGCAGCTGGGTTGAAAGCGAGTGCTTCTAGACAGAGCAGGACCTCTAGTCGCATCGCGCAGATATCATATACAGAATACGACTCGAGGCCTTCGTCTGGCTGGGCCGACTCGTGAAGCATATGAGTGAGTCGGTCGACAATATATCTTTGCACAGCGGCTTGTTCTCCTTCCGAGGGCATGATGGGCCCGAAAGAGTCGGGGCGAATACTCGTGGACAGCAGGTGCATGGTGAGTGATATGTCTTTGAGAGGTTGAGATCCGTGAAGCATGACCAGGATGAAGTCGTGGCGGATATGGCCCCAGAATGTATTCATAGCACGTTTGACATGTAATAGCTCACAAGCAATTTGAAAGAGGAGTCGTAAACACTCGGTCGAATCGACCAACGGCTGTAGATCCGATTGTGGTGTTTGAGGGGACTGGCGAAGAGCACGCGCAGGGGAGAATTCGAATCGCTTGGCGGCGTTGACTTCCACGGAATATTGGAGGACATTGACCAAGGGTGGTATGAGATCTTCGAGTCGGACATCGTCCAATGTCAACACGTATCGGGTAATGGCCATGAATCGAGGAATAGGATCATAGAATTTCTCTTTCATTGCACGTTGCCATACCGGGCCGATCGCATGTATGTAGTCCACAATAAAGCTGCCCGTGTCCAGGTTGGCAAGATCGTCTAGCAGAATCCTGGATATAGGTCCTTTGGGTTCCGATGGGAAATAAAAGTGCGCCATCGCTTCAATATCGGTTCCTTGACTCTCAATCAGGCGGTGATTCAGCAATCTCTTCATATATTTTTGATCGCGGGGATCTCGACGGGAAGACTTTTGCTCGTCTTCGGAATCAGCGCCCGGGATTTCCTCAGACGGAGCATCAACCATCATCATTTCCATAGCTGGACTCAGCTGCAATGGAGCAGGACTATCTTGACTTGCCCGTCGCTTACGTTTCCCGGGATGAGTCGGAGTTCCTCGTTTCGATCGTGCCGCCGATTTGCTAGGAGAGACTACCGCGATCTCATCGTCGTCAAATCCGTCCCGAAAGGGAAGCACTCGGGATTTTCTAGGGGTGACTGGTTGGGCGTTATCGTCAAGCCGTTGCTGCTTGATCTTGAAGTTCCGGAGGTGATGTGTCTCCTCAGCAAGATCATGCTGTAAGAAAGTATTCTCTGTCGCCAGTTTCCTCCCTTCCGAGAGAGCCGCTTCGACCTCAACCTTGTGTTTGGCCACCTCGTCTGCCATGGCTTTCCGTAGAGCTGCCAATTGGCGATCGTAATCCCGGACTATGCTGACCTGTTTTGAGCGAATGATGGCGATCTCCCCAGCTTTTGTCTCAGCAAGCGCCTGAGCTTCGCCTAGTTCGCGTCGGATCAGTTCTTTTTCTTGTTCTAGCTGTAGGCGAAGTTAGCGATCGCAGGTCAAATTCAAGAATCAACGTGTGAGCATTACCTGCTCCAGATATGCATTTGCTGGATACACATTCGTCTGGCCATAGTCATCTAGTTCCATCGCGTCGTCACCCATCGTACCATTGGTAGGCCCGGGCCATTCGTTTTGCGCAACCAAGACATGGGAGTCCTGGTGAAGGGCTGGCTGGTCCTCAAAATCATTATGCACTTCCGCCCCTAGCTCGCCCACTTCTAGTGTATGGTAGTCGTTCGTTAACCCGGTGTGTAGTCGAGGTGGTGGCTTTAAGGTCATCGATTGCCGCGCAGGCGTGACGACCCTAGCGTTGAGATGAGCATGCTCGACTGGCTGAACATGGTGTTGGGTGGCCGGTGCCTGAGTAGCTGGAGCTTGAGTCGCCTGATAGGCATTCTGCTCTAGCTCGTACAGCGTACCCGGCGGTAGGGAATCGAAGTCGTCGGAGAAGTAATCATCATCGTCCATGCCCCCGCCATGAATGAAGGTCGTACTAGGGGAATTGCGGTATTAGAAATGGAAAGATGCGATTGGGAGAGATGGATCAGATCAGGAAGATCATTCTCCCCGGTTGTGTTTGTGCTTTTCTGTTGGACGAAGGAAGGTAGAGGTTGTGTAGATGTTGTGGTGGTGGTGGTTACTCTGATGCTACGCGCAGTTGACCGCTTTCGGGGTTCACATGAGCACTGACACTCTGCCAGTCGTGGAGCTCGCTCTCTCTCTCCCTCTTTCTCAACGACTTCTCACCCGCACCCCCCTTTCCTTTCCCCCTCCTCCTCTTTTTCTCTCCTTTCTCCCCCTGGACTATAAATCATGACCAAGTCCCGCCGCAATGTTCGGTTCCCGCACCGTAACGGCGAGCGCCGCTTGAGCGTGTCCTCCGACGTCAGCGACCCAACCTCGGAGCCCTCGAGTCCCAGCAAAAATGGCGCCGCCTCCAAGCAATCCACGATCCCCGAAGAGGTGAGTTTGTGTATAATTGTGGTTCTGCTTGATAAATATGTCTAACCGCGTTTTTTATGGATTCAATCAGAAACCCGCCCAATCCGAATACGAGAAGAAGAAGCAGACCTTCATTACCCGCACGATATGGACTTTCGTCATGATCGCGGGTTTCTTTATCGCCATGTTCTCCGGTCACATCTATATCATTGGTCTGGTCACTGCCATTCAAATTGTCTCGTTCAAGGAAGTTATTGCCATCGCCAATGTACCCAGCAAGGAGAAGAACCTCCGCTTCACCAAGACCCTGAACTGGTACTTTCTCGCGACGACCATGTATTTCCTTTACGGAGAGAGCGTGATCTACTACTTCAAGCACATACTACTAGTTGACAAGGTGCTGCTTCCTCTGGCCGCTCATCACCGCTTCATTAGCTTTTTCCTCTATGTTATGGGTACGTGGACATCCACCACCCCCTAATTCTATTATTTGTTGGTGTGTGCTAATTTATATAGGCTTTGTGTTCTTCGTTGGATCTCTGCAGAAGCGTCACTACCGATTTCAGTTTACCCAATTCGCCTGGACCCATATGGCACTGTACCTCATTGTTGTGCAGGCCCACTTCGTGATGAACAACATCTTCGAGGGCATGATTTGGTTCTTCCTTCCCGCCTCGCTGGTCATCACCAATGATATCTTCGCTTACGTCTGCGGTATCACCTTCGGACGCACACAGTTGATTCAGCTGTCCCCCAAGAAGACTGTTGAGGGTTTCCTCGGTGCTTGGATTTGCACCATCATCTTCGGCTACTTCATGACCAACATTCTGATGCGCTACAAGTACTTCATCTGCCCTGTCAATGACCTTGGATCGAACGTCTTGACTGGCTTGGAATGCACCTTGAACCCGGCTTTTGTCCCCCAGGCCTTCTCCCTCGAATTGTTCGGCATCGACAAGACTTTCTACGTTGAGCCCATGCAGTTCCACATCCTCGGATTCGCTACTTTTGCCTCTCTCATTGCTCCTTTCGGTGGATTCTTTGCCTCTGGTCTGAAGCGCACCTTCAACATCAAGGACTTTGGCGAGTCGATTCCTGGTCACGGTGGTATCACCGATCGCATGGATTGCCAGTTCATCATGGGTTTCTTTGCCTTCATGTACTACCACAGCTTTATCGCTGTTTATAAGGTTTCCGTTGGTGATATCATCGAGACCGCGATCAACGGCCTGACCGTTGACGAGCAGCTCGAGCTCGTTCGTGGCCTTGGCAAGTACCTTTACAACCAGGGCGCAGTCCCTGAGACGGTATGTTTTAATTGACAGTCTACACATGTTCACATTGCTCATTATATATAGGCCCTCGAGTGCCTCGCCAGTGAGCTCAAGCGCCGATGAGTTCTGACTCGCCCGGTCCCCCCACAAAACAAAAATCACGACTTCTTTCTTTCTCCCTTGTTCGCCGGTTCCGTCGAAAAGACGGTGTTCAACGCGCCTGTCAGTCTCCACAGATAGCGACTGCCGTGTTGATCTCTTCTCTCCTTGCTTCAACTAGCCGTACCTCCTGCGTCTAAAGCCGGCATGACGTGCATGCATCGATCCCGTGCCTGCATGAATATGATATTTACACGTCTACTTCCACCTCTGAACCGGGCCATCCAAGCTTACCACTCGGAGACTCAGGCGACTGGCATCTCCAACTTGAACTGGAAGCTAGCAGGCCTGCTTCACGATCGAGGTCCGGCATGAAATCCTTTCTCATTCATGGCTGTCTTAATTCGCTCTTCCTTTCTTGGCTCAGTATTTTTTCTTCCTTGTTTTTCCACTTTCTGCCCGGGGCTCTGCATAAAGCCCGGGCTTGATGATTATGTTTCGGTTGCTTGGGCTGGGGGTCTCAAGAATGATAAAAAAACGCGGGTATGCTCCGCGGAGAGACACTCTCTTTCATGCATGGTAGCCCGGACAACACTGGCTACCTACACTTGTCTTTTACGGCTCGTCTCGGCAATAATTTCTCTCTTGCCGACAGAGTCTTTTTGAATGGCGGATATGGATTGTAAATTTTGTACATAGGTTTCAATTCAGATTTTGAAGCTGAACTTTAGTATTGTTTATATCGCCTGAAAATAGAATGATGATCTTAATCTGATATTCAAGTCCTCCAGGGCTCTTGCAAAGAATCCAGTAAACCCAATGACCAAAGAAGAACCTTGAAAACTGCTTCCAAGGTTATAACCTCAAGTTTCAGACATGGTCCACGTGCTCCTTGCAATTTTACAACACTCCCCAGGTCGATGGCTTGCGGTTGTTCTTGGCCGCCGATGAATGTGATTGGACGCGTATGACTTTCCCTTTTGAGCGATGTCGCGGCGTATTCGTGTGGAGTTTCCGAGGCTCGAGAGGAGTTGCCACTTCTTACCACCAATCAGGAGAAGATATCACGACCTGCTTGCAAATCTCCGAGTCAACATTCATACTAAGACAAAAGGCCTACTATTTAACTGGAGAAAAGTCGCACGGAAATCGAAAATTTTAACAATTCTGGTTCTAAAAAGAAAGAGAAAAGACGTCACTCCATTGTTATTAAACATGCATTTTCTAGTTTTGGGGGCTACAGGTATGTATACTATAACTACTCTTGATCATATTTACTACAGCAAGCAACTAACCAATTACTTTGGAAAGGCGCGATCGGGGGTATTTTTTGTGACATTTCTCTCGAGGCAGGGCATACTCTCACCCTTTTCGTCCGAAGTCGATCCAAGGTACCAACCAAAGTCGCCGACAACAAAAAGGTAGCAATCATCGAAGGAACACTGGAAGATGAAGATACTCTAGATGAAGTCTCAAGATGCGGGGCTGATACATTCGTATCCTTTGCTGGGCCCCCAGTCGGAAACCAAGGCACGGTACGGAAGCAACCTCCTTTTCAATAGCATTATCGCTTGAAGACACTGACTATTGCTGGATCTCTCAAGGCCCTCACAAATGGTTATAGAGCCCTTATTCCTAAACTCGTCTCTCAAGGCATCAAACGAGTTCTCGTTCTTTGCACGCCTTCCTATAAGGGTACGTCTGATGTTGCGTCATTCAAATGGCGACTTGGAGAGTGGACGATGAAGGCGATCCCTTCTACGCGTGGCCAATACGGGGAAATGATCCATGTTGGGGCATACATAACGACATTGCCGGCTGAGGATGGAATTAAATGGACACTATTTCGAGTCGGAGGGTTGACTAATGGAGAAGATGCGCCCAGTGAACGCAACTTTCTTGGGCAGTGGAAGTGATGGCATGTGGATTAGTCGAGCGAGTGTTGCGGAATGGGTGATGGATGAGGCCATCCAAGAGAAGTGGGTTAGAGAGATGCCCTATATTTGTAATTAAGCGACAGCTCTATAGATATTCATTTACTGGAATTTCAAGTTATTCTGTTTATTTGGCTTCAAGATAGTGTATGCTCACCGCCCAAAACGATTTCTTAAGAAGGTTGCGGCTCGCTCGGTCTCGTGTATTTCTTCAACCCAACATGTTCTACCCCTTGAAAGATGCCACCACGAAGATCTCATACCAAGTCTCGTACGGGCTGTCAGCAATGCAAGTCTCGACGAAAGAAGTGTGATGAGACTGGCCCTCCCTGTACAAACTGCATTTCTCGAAACTTGGATTGCAAATATCAGGATAATGGCTTTCAAAATTCTGATTGGAGCGATCGATCTCGGGAAATTGGACAAACGCAGGACGAAAATCCAACACAATCTGGACGACTACTCGGTCTAAATACCACCAGCCGAATGAAAGAGCTAGGGCTAATGCACCACTGGTGCCTGAAAACATGCCACTGCTTTTCTCCCGAGATGAGCCATATTTTCCAAGACTACGCTGTAAAATTGGGAATGAGTCACGAATTCTTGATAGATTCACTATTTGCATTTACATGCTTGCATATTGCAGCCGAAAGGACCGAATTCGATTCAAATTCTGCGTCGCTTATCGATGATGCGCTCAAATACCAAGAAAAAGCTCTGCCTGCTTTTCGGACAAAGCTGGAGCATATCTCATCCTCAAACTGTGAAGCACTTCTTCTGTGCTCTATGATCATGATGGCTTTTGCAGCTGTGTCTCCATTTTTCGATACTTCCGACGGCGAACCAAACGGAAACCCAGAAACTGATCACACAAGCCTTACTTCAATTTTCTCCTTTGTGAAGGGAATCCACTCTGTGATTGAATGTGCCCAGCCCTGGCTTGATAAAAGTCCCTTAAAGCCCATGATTCAACTTTATCCCAAGGAATACTGGACCACGTCTCCCCCAGTAGGTAGCATTATCCCACCTGAACTGAGAAGATTGTGCGATCATACAAGCTTGCAGTTGCAGGAAACTTATACCAGAGCCATTCTAATGCTGGAAAATTGCTCTGCAAGAGATGGAAAAATGGCTCTTGCTTGGGTTGTTGAGGTCGGTGAAGCGTTTGTTAGCCTAGTACGAGAGAAAGAGCCTGTTGCCTTGTTGATATACATTTGCTGGGGTGCAGTTATTGGCTGCTCGAAGGATTCGTGGTGGGCAAGATTGGCCGGAGAGACGGTTGTAAAAAGGTTAGCTTCTTTGGTCTCTATTGAAAATGAAGAGGCAAGCGTTATTTTGAACTGGGCATATGAGAGGATAGCTTCCGGAAGGTCCTAAATACTGATACTTCAGCTCATTTGAGTAATTCAATATACAATAAGGCATCTACTGCCATGTCTAGCACCTTCCAATGAGTAAAAATTGCCAATGGCCTAGTTAATATTCCAAATGATGATTGTAAATAAAGTAGGTAATCCGGAGAAAATAAACAAAGAGCTTATCTAAAACACCATATACGAAAAAACATGAAGAACCTTGGAAATCCTCCCAATACGTTCTTAAATTAGATTTCTATAGATTCAACAGCTCTCGCACAACTTGAATCCAACTTGCTTCTGAAATAGAACTATATGCACTATATGTACCTAGGTACGTGCATAAATGCGACATATTTTGTGCAGGGCTTATCCACCCCAGCTATTACGTGGTCGTTCAAGTTCGCTTCCCCACACCGAACCTAGAATCTTGAATTAATCACGATACGTCGAAGCACAGATAAATTTATGTTCCCTGTCAGGAAACAACCAAGTAATAGGTGATTTTGCGGGGCTGTGAGCCAAAACGCATATATATAGTATTTATGCTCATAAATGAGAATGACTCAAAAGACCCGTGGCAGTATATCCCCTCTCGCGTTCGGGTACTACTACTACCCACTGGCATATGCAGCGCTGCATTACGGCCGTAGAAGGATTCCACTTCCAAGATTATTACTAACTGCTTTTGCAGCCGGGCTCCGTTGATTTGCTAAAATATTACCCACTATGAGGACGCCGTGGAATCCTTCATTTTTGGATTTCCCCTCACCCCTTCCTTAGCTTCTTCACCCCTTCACCCCAAGTACTCCCGGCGTTCTAACTCTAACCACCTTCAAGTTAATCCTATTGTACGATCCAGCCCACCATGGGGTCTACCTCTAAGTATTCAGTTCCCTCAGAGGCGAGGCGGGTCTTTGAAAATGGCATCCTACGAAACCCTTTGATGGACGCATTGCCCAAGGAATTAGAGTCTCTCAGTAGACATGTGCGGTTTGAGGGCTCATTTCGGCCAATTATTCCGATCAATTGGAGATTCGCGGAGAGCATATCGGCGATCAAGGCCTTTGAGGCCACAATGCTAAATTATCTTCTGGGTCGGAAGTACAAAATCGACCCTGTCGAGATTGTCATAAACACGTGAGTCACTAGTAATACTATGTCTATTGGAGTTGTGCCCACGAATTTGACAGCCTGTGCTAGGAACCATGCGAGTCTTTTTTTCATGTCCCCCTTGATCGCACGCTATGTCAAAGAGGGCACCCCGGTTCCGTTAGATCCATTTTCATCAGAAATGCAAGAACTTTTCCCGAACCAAGACAAGCATCGATCTCACGCAAGTCTCCATCGAAGCTTGGTAACCAATATTTATCAGACAAAGGACGGTCGTTTCTATCATATACATGGCAATATGAATCCCGAACCTGCCCTGGCAGCTTTGGGACTCTCTCTAGAGGGTGAAGAGATTGACACTTATGACTCGGTGGTCGAAAAGATCCAAGATAAGATTCTTGAGTATAATGCAGAGGATCTTGACGAACTCGTCAACGAAAAAGCCCGAACTTCAGGAACCATAGCCTGGTCATCTGATGAGTACTTTGCAAGTGAACATGGCAAAACTTCCGGCAAAGTTGGACTTTACGAGATAATTAAAGACCCAAGCTCGAACCAGCAGGCTTCTTGGTGGCCAGAAAACGCCTCTAATCCTTCTTCACCAAAGCGACCGCTCGCCGGTCTGAAGGTAGTAGATCTCACCCGAGTCATCGCCGGCCCTACCATCACAAGAAGTCTCGCTGAAATGGGCGCAAGTGTCATGCGCGTTGTATCTCCGCATGTGACTGACTTGTCTGCCCTTCACCAAGATTTAAACTGGGGTAAGTGGAATTCGTTCTTGCATCTCAAGGACGAAGCAGACAGAGAAAGGCTACGTAATCTAATTCGCGATGCTGACGTCGTGGTTGATGGTTATCGTCCTGGTGTCATGGAGAGATTGGGCTTCAGCCGTCAAGTTGTCTTTGATTTGGTAAAGGATCGTGCGCGTGGTATATTGCACGTCCGAGAGAACTGCTACGGTTGGTATGGGCCATGGACCCACCGCAGTGGCTGGCAGCAGATCAGTGACGCTGTAAGTATATCCAAGCGACTCCGCTAGACATAATTGAAAATCTGACAACAATAGTGCTGTGGTGTTTCGAGATCTTATTCACAAGCAATGGGCCATGATGAGGCTGTAACTCCTGTTTTCCCAAATTCGGATTATTGGTAGGTCACAAGAGCCAGAATCTAGCCAAGACAGAGCTTACAAGCATTCTTTAGTACCGGTTCCACAGGTTGCACGGCAATTTTGGAGGCCCTTGTACGCCGTGCCGAATATGGAGGCTGCTATGGCATCGACGTGAGAAAATCCTTTCTTTTCTTTTTCTATACCTTCCTCAATTTGAATCGCAAAATCCACGACCCTACTAACAATGTACGTTAAAAAGGTCTCACTCAACTATTATTCCCAATGGCTTGTTCGCTCCTGCGGAGCCTACGACAATGAAACATGGGAAGAATTATGGGCGAGACACGAGAAATTATCCTTCCGCCATTACCATGCAATGCAGTACTCGATTCCTGCCATGATAAAGAGTCTCTATAAGCACGATCAGGAATCGCTTTTCAATCCGGAATTTTTCGAAACAAGAAAGTCGAATGTTCTCAACGCTCAATTCTACCTGGTTAAACCAATTGCCCAATTCCCTGGCAAGGAAGTGGATTTGAGTTATCAGATTGGCACTCGTGGAAATGGCATAGATTATCCTGCGTGGCCAGAGGATCTCACCGTTGAAACTGTCACTGGAACCCTTTGAAAGGAGGAAATTATTGGGGAGTTAGTAGACCCATAGATACTATTAAGAAACCTGGCAGGTGTTTCAGGCGTATCAAGACAGTCCAATACTAACTAACCTGAATACTATATGTATCTTAATCGATCATAACTTGAAGGGATCAATTCAGCGGTCGCAAGACTTAGGTGATGTTTACCTTGGCATCCCCCTTTAATACCGCACCCACCCATCCGAGTCGCTACCTTGTTTAAGTTCGATATCAATGTCACTCAGACTGCCTAGACTTGGCTAAACATAATCTTTGCCGAAACATAGCAAAAACTAGCAAAAAGATGGTTCCAGAGGGGGTCGAACCCTCGACTTTGGCGTTATTAGCACCACACTCTAACCAACTGAGTTATGGAACCAGTTGATTAAGGGTCGCTGAGATTTGAGGCTATATCAGGCAGGTGGAGTACCTAAACGGTAACTAGCAAAAAATGGTTCCAGAGGGGGTCGAACCCTCGACTTTGGCGTTATTAGCACCACACTCTAACCAACTGAGTTATGGAACCAGTTGATTGATGTAGGCTCATATCTATGACTACATGATAGAATGGACGTAGTGGGGTACCTAGAATAAAAAATATTCTCCATTTCGAATAGAGAAATAGGCAAAAAGATGGTTCCAGAGGGTCAAACCCTTGACTATATCCAATATCCGCTCCACAAACTCAAATCCCCACCATTAACCTAATGGTATAGACTCATGAAGCAAAAAAGTGGTTCCAGAGGGGGTCGAACCCTCGACTTTGGCGTTATTAGCACCACACTCTAACCAACTGAGTTATGGAACCTGTTACTTGAGAATATCGAAAAATGTGACATCATCAATGGGAAATCCTGAGAAGCGAACGAAATTCATGCAGACCAATATCAGTCATCCACGTGACCTGCGGAAGTTTTGGAGGAGCGGCCTCAAGACACGGCTAGACTCGACGACTCCAACCGATCTCTCCCCGTCAAGGTCGCGTCCCTCACACTTGCCACAATGAGAAACAGGGCTAGCAACTCCCTATCTAAGGGGGTAAGTTCCAATTGATCACCTTGTGTTCTCTCACATGTCTTGAATGCACTAACACCTGTCCATCCAGAAAATCCGTCAATCATGGAGCAAGTACAACTTGTATAACCTACAACGATTGCGAAGCCCGGCCACCGCAAACCGCACATTCTTCCAGCAAAAATGGTCCGCTAAGGCTCTTGGTCGTGCCTATCACGGTGAACAGGTCCGCGAGGGTCAATGGAAGCGCATGTTCTCCAAGCGCATTCGCAGCGTTATCCCCATGGACACCGCCGATCTGGCCGCCGATGATGGATCCAAGAACTCTGCTGGCCGAGGCTCCGGTCTTCAGACACAGGGCGAAAAGGGCCGTCCCTCTAGAATTATTCCTTTCACCCAGATGGCTTTCGCTCCCCTTGAGCGTCGGTTGGATGTCGCTATCTTCCGATCCCTCTTTGCCAGCAGCACACGTCAAGCGCGCCAATTCGTTATTCACGGAGCTGTTACCGTCAATGGACAGAAGGTATGAAATTATTTAATTATATTGAGTGAATTGCTTGGATACTAACTCCACTCGCCTTCAGATGCGCCACCCCAGCTACCTCCTCAACCCCGGTGACCTCTTCCAAGTCGACCCCGACCGCGTGATGTTTGCCACAGGTGCCCCCAAGACCAAATTCGAGCGACGTGAAACCCGCCAGCTGAAGCAAAAGGATGAAGAGGAAGTCCAGGATGAATCCGAGGCCAAGTCCGAGGAGGCCGCCGAGACGAAGCCAGACACTGAGAAGGAAGATGGCCGGGATACCCTCAAGGCATTGATGGCTCAAGCCAAGAACATCATGTCCACAGACAAGGAAGTCCTGCCAGCCAAGCGCAAGCAGGAACTCCGTGGATTCCAAAAGGCTGTGCGCCGTGTCCTATCGCGCTCCGGAACCAGCACTATCCTCACAGACAACCTGGAAGCTCAATTCTCCGAGCTTACCCTGATGCTGAATGCGAAGCGTGCCGAGAAGAAGCCCGCCAAGCAGACCAAGCAGGCCAAGAATGACTCCGAAGAGTCCGACGCTGCTACTTCCGTCGAGCCCGAGGCCGCCAGCAACAAGCTCTCCGAAGCCTTCCAGGCCGCTGCTGAGGGCGCCGACGTCGACGCATCCGAGCTGACCGATGAGGAATTCGAGGTCCTCAAGCGTGCTCTTACGCAGATGCGCGATAACCCTATCGACCACTCTAAGCCATACGCAACCCCCTGGCGCCCGCGTGACTTCATGTCCGCCTTCGCCTTCATCCCCCGCTACCTCGAAGTCAACCAGAACATCTGCGCCGCTGTGTACCTGCGTCACCCGGTTGCCCGTCCGGGTTCCGCCGAGGTCCCTACTCCATTTGGCGAGAGCATCAGTACCCCGGCTTATGGCTGGTACTTGAAGAGACGGTGGTAAAGAAGATGTGATTAATCTTCATATTTCTTGTCTTCTGCTTTCTCGTCTTGTCTTGTCTCTATTACCCCCACGAGTGTATTACTGCTCTCCTCTATCTGCATACCTGCTCCGGTGCTCATAGATCTATCTCCCCATGGTTTTGATTTTTAGTTGGGAGAGACCCATTCGGGTCCTTTGAGCATGGTGTTGGTGCTTATTGTCCTCTTGTTATTATTGGAGCTTCTGTGCTCTCTCTGTACCACCATAGCCATGATTCGACTGTAAATGGATATAAATTTTCTGTTCACGTTAGATGACTCTCGTAAATTTGTGTAGTACACGCAATTTCAAAAGAGCCACTGAAGTAAGTTAAGGTAATATAGCAGTACCCCCAAGGAGATCGTATAGACAAGGAACTCGAAGCCTGTTGGTTGATTTAGGCCCCGAGGGTGAGATGGTACTAGTACCTCCAGGGCTGCATATATATATATGCCCAGGCGTATACCCTTCAGCTTCAAGCTGATGCCAATCTCTCCATCCCAGATCCAGCTAGCAGAGCACGATCCTATCAATTCATGTCCAGGTGAGCATAATTTCAAATCCAAGCAATAAACTCAACCTACCAAAAGCCAACCCGGCAAAAAGGCCTGCAAAAACCACCCAATTGAAGCCATCTTCCCTCTCCATATTAACCCCGTCGCGCCTCCAAGAATCTCATCCGCAACACGCTTCGCAAACACGGACGCTGGGAGCCCATTCTCAATGATATTTGAACTACCCGTTATCATGGCACTGATCTCTTTGGAGCGGGCTTCCAGTACGAATCCTCGGGGAGTTTGGGGTCTGGATGGTTGGCGAATATGTTCGTTGCGACGACTCCGGTCATGACGGTGGTGACTTTTACGTTTAGAGGTGCCATTTCTAGACGAAGGGATTCGCCGTAGGCTTGGATTGCGGCCTTTGATGCGTTGTAAAAAGCTGATTCATCAAATATCATTATCAAATGTTAGGTCTATGTATATATACATGCCAGAAAATTTTGTGAACTGGAAACTTACATCCCCACGGCACATTCAACACCGAAGCAATAGAACCCACATTTACAATAGTTCCCCGTGAGATAATAACCAACGGCGCAAAAGCATGAATAGTATCAACCGCTCCCCAAAAGTTGACATCGAATAGTTTCTTCGCCTGTTCCAGATCCGTATCAAGAGCCGGCCGAACGCAAGATTGGCCTGAATTGTTGACTAGATAATCGAGCTTTCCTCCGGTAATCGCCGTGACTGTCTCCACAGCAGCATGGATACTAGAGGCGGACGTCACATCTAGCTCTAAGAGGGTGATGTTCGGGCGTTTCTCTAGACGTGTCATCTTCGACAGGGTGCGGGCTGTTGCGAAGACGTGGAGGCCTCGTTCTGTGAAGGTTTCTGCTAAGGCTGATCCGATGCCACCAGAGCTGCAGCCGGTTATTAGGACTGTTTTGGGGTTATTGGTGGACGAGATCATTGTTATGAGTTATAAGTGTTATTGAAATTGAATATATTTATTTTGATCCGGGGATTGAATTACTTTTCAAACGAGACGGAAGTGCCAGTGGGTACATACTCGTAGCTAAGTGGAATTCTACTACGAGTAGTACTAGGAATATCTCCTATCCCCGGTGCTGGCCAAAGTCCTGTCTAGCGCTCTTTAGTAGTTGACTGCGAGTATTTTAGTGCGCATTTTGTTTCCCAAGTTGGTAATTTGGATGCACTAGCGCAATTGTCTCCACAAGGATCCCGAGCACGTCCATGGATTGGGTGGGTCGTGTAGGAATTGACCGGCAATGTGTACTAGTAGTACTCGCTAAATAGCCTTGTCTCCCGTGTTTTGCTTAAGCGAGGCTGAGGTTCTATGCATTTTGCTGAAACATTACCCCGAGAGCATCGATCTGCGCTCTACTCATAAAGCCGGTGATCTGATCGCGATGCTGTTGTCATATTCATTGTGGTACGCTCGAGGTAAATCACAAGTAGCTTCTTATCTTAAATACCGTAGCCAAAATGTGTTCCCCAGCTATTCTTCAAATCTGAATGACAACAAAAATCCTACCTGATACTAGGTATACGTTTTACTTTGGTGAGTGAGACTTTGCTCAGGTGTATGATTCTTTCTTGATTATTACGAATCAAAATCAGTTCAAATGCCTCTAACTCTTGATTCCTTTCTCTCTTCCAGTCGTCTGACTAGTATCAGAAGCGCTGACCCACCATGTCTTTAATAAGACTGGAGCCATATTCCGGTATATGAGCGGGGGCTGATCCAAGACTCATATCTTGAAATGATTTCAAAATTCAATGTTTCAGACAGGTCTACGAATATGAAAGGTTAAATTGGATCATTTTTTTTCTATACGGAGTGAAGAGTAGGGTCAGATGATAAAGTTGTATAGCTGATCATGGAGCAGTGTAACTAGAACAAAGATACCCAAATAGTTCGTCTCAACGTAATTTCGCAATTACTAGAAAAAAAAACAGAAGCTCATAATATTCAAACCAAAATAGTACTGCATCGCATAGACTTATTCTTCCTGCAAATAAATAAAGCAGACCCGTAACAGAAAGTGCAAAACCATCCCCCATGCCCCAAAGTGGAGACAAGCGGGCCAGGCCCAAGTGCAATTCCACGGGTGAAAATTACCGCCCGCTCAAAATTGCAACACGCGCTCTCGGATTTGCACTTCTCCTCTTCCTCCCATTTCCCCGTCTCCGTCCTCCCCGGATCGACAATCACCTTATCAGCCCGCGCGCTTCTCACTTTTGGGCTGTATAGGCTCGTTCCTACCTTCGTTGAGAAATTAATTATCCTACGAATCGGCATACCGTCCTTGATTCATTCCATCAGGCCTTTACATCCGTACGTGGAACCACCCTTCCTTCTCCTAACTCACCACCCTGGCTATCAATCAACCCCATATCAAACAAGATCCACCCCGTTAATGGTCCGCGAATACATACAGGGCCACGATCCGTTCACATTTGAGCTTCATCGCCGTCTCCCGAATCTCTCTGGAACACCAGGGATCTCTCAGGAACGGGGGTACTTTTTATCTTTATTCTTCTACAAGTAACGTCCACGCCGCGGGCGAGCCGGCCTATTTCTGCACCCTCATACAAGACCTCTCCAGCGAACGAAAACCGGACTCTGAACGAGTGGTGGGGAGCCAGTGATCCGGAGTCCAGGACTACACTACGAAGTCGATGACTAGCATTTCCAGAAGCGAGACAGCCGGCGGGCCAGTCGCGAGAAACAATACAGTCCAAGCCCAACCAAGCGCGCGAGGAACCAAACGAGCAGCCGAAATGGAAACCGAAGACGGACCGCGCAAACACGGCAAACGTCTCACGACCAAGGAAGAAGTCTCACTATTCGAGCTGTGTAATCGGCACGCAGGCACGTTCGGTAAACGCAGCGATATATGTAACTGGTGGAAGACGATTGCGGCCGAGTTTACATTTGCGCATGGTCGACCTTATTCGTGGCACTCTGTACGGAGGAAGGTTGAAATTGTCACGAAGCAAAGGATTAAATTCCTTGATGAGCAGCAGCAGAGGCAGCGGGACTTTTCGGGTCCGAATTTGGTGGAGGATTTGATGAATCCGCAATGGTGTGCTGTTCTTGATGCTTGGATTCCGAATTGGCAGCAGTGGGAGGAAGCTGAGGCGAGGCGGATTGCGAAGCGTGATGATATGATTATGCGCAGGAGGTCTTCTAAACCTGGTGATGCACAGTGGAGATCTCCTGATGAGCAGGGTATGCCAGTGGTAGTGGAAAGAGTTGGTGTTCCTTCACCGGCTACTCCTGATGGAATGGATGTGGGTACGGGCCATTCTTTCCATGATAATAGTACTACTACTGCTGCTGCCCATATCCCCGGTGATGCGCTTCAGATCTCAGATTCCACTCCCACGTCTGCTCCTGTCGTTCCAGCGCATACATTCGAGACCCCTTCAGCGCCGCCTACAAATGCTGTCAGGCTACCGCCTGGGTTTGAGAATATGTTCTCAAATCCCATTCCCATAAGCCAAGTCACACCTCCTGTGCCTGTTGCACCTAGCACTACACCGGCAGATCCATCTCCGAACAATCGCATGTTTGGCGCCGTGCTTGAAACACTTGGCAAGCTTAACAAGCACCTCGACGCGGCTTCTGGGAATGGTGGCGCTGACATCCGATCCTCGCCTGTAATATCGGCTCTAGTTCAGGCTGCGTCCGAGTCGAATTCACAGGCCGCTTCTATCCAGGGTTCTGAGAGAGAGATACAGCAGTATCCCGGACTTTATGATATCAATCGGATTAAAGATGAGCTGCGACAGGAGCTTCGAGCTGAACTTCGACATGAGATGAAGCGTGACCGTGCGGCATTGGAAGAAAAACTAGACTCTGTCCAGCGGACGCAGGAGATGATTCTCGAGATGTTGCGGCAGGAACCGGCTTGAGACGATCTGTTTTGTTGGCTACACCATATCTCCTTGCTCCTTTCCTTGATTCAGTACTCGCTGCGTGGAATTTTTGGTGGTGATGATGTTCTTTTTTTTTTTTTTTTTACCTTGCTACGATACCCATAATATGCTCAGCGTCCTTGTTTAGATATAACCAGGTATACCATTCACCGATTGAAAATATTACATTATATCCCATTTTAAATTATGAGGCTAATCATAATCAGCCCTTTGACTCCGAGACTTTCCGAATCTTTCTTCCAAGGTTCTCTTTCTGATAACAGGGTGTAATTCTGCTCATGCTTTCAAAATCTCGCCGGGGCGCACGACTCCGGCTTAGAGAGCGGCACTTCAGCACAAAAAAAAACAACATGCGTGGACTTCTGGATCGGTTTCCGCAAACCAAATACATACACGCAAGTTCCTAGGTAAAGCTACATCGAAGAAGGAAATTTCATGGAACCAATGATGATTTCTACTCTAGAACAAGAAACCAGGACGAACGAAGAAAAAGTAGTCATCGGCTAAATTACAGATAAGGGGTAGATAGAAACAGGGATGCACTGCGGGAATCTTTCCACGGAGAGAAACTCCAGAGCCCCGTGGAGGTTAAAACGACAAGATTTTCAATAGGGACCAGGACCGTCGAATCCGAGACGATCAGGTCCGCACCGTCGGGTTATAATTCCATCTAGTAGTAGAAGGTCTCGTCAACGGTACGGCCACGCATCCACTTGGGCTCAGAGCCGCGGACGTAGATGTCCTCGAACAGGTTGCGGGAGCTGTTCTCGGGGGCAACCATCTGCTCAGCCTCGGAGACCTCGGCGTCGACGTAGGCGCGGGCCTCCTTGTCGATGCCCTTGAGCTCCTCCTCGGAGGTGACGCCCCACTCGAGCATCTTCTGCTTGAGACCGGCGATGGGGTCGTTGGTGCTGCGCATGCGCTGGATCTCCTCACGGCTACGGTAGGTGGTACCGGGGTCGGACATGGAGTGACCACCGTAACGGTAGGTCACGTACTCGAAGACGAGGGGACCGTTGCCGGAGATGGCGTAGTTCTTTCCGTACTGGACGGCGGCCTTGGTGGCCAGGACGTCCATGCCGTTGACCTTGATACCGGGGATGTACTGACCACGCTTGTAGTACTCGGTCAGGGCGGAGGAGCGGGCGGCGGAGGTACCCATACCGTACTTGTTGTCTATAGAACGGGAATATTAGAAATTTGATTCGGGTTGCAAGGGGGAGAGAGCTCAGAATCGAGAATAACAGGGTAAAAGAAAAGAAAAAACTTACTCTCACAGCCGAACAGGGCGGGGAGGTTCCACAGCTTAGCCATGTTGAAAGCCTCGAACACTTGACCCTGGTTGGAGGCACCATCACCGTACAGGATGATGGAGGTGTTGGGCTGCTCGTTGTACTGCTGAGCGAAAGCCAGACCAGCACCGACGGGAACCTGGGCACCGACGATACCGTTACCACCGTAGAAGTTCTCGGCGAACATGTGCATGGAACCACCCTTGCCGTACGCGATACCCTCGCGGCGGCCCAGGAGCTCACCAATGATGGACTTGACGGTACCACCGCGCATCAGGGCGAAACCGTGGCAACGGTAGGCGGTAATGATCTTGTCCATGCGGTTGATAGCGTGCTCGATACCGACGGCGACGGCCTCCTGACCGGTCGACAGATGGCAGAAACCGCGAATCTTCTTCTCCTTGTACAGGCGATCGGCGGCCATCTCCATGCGACTATATCAAAGGGAAAAGAGCAAACAGTTAGAGCGAGCTTCTCGCAAAGAGGCAGTAGGTGAAACTGGGGTAGCGCATACCGGATCGAAACCATGTCGTGGTACATCTGCTTCAGCTCCTTCTTGGTGGTCTCCAGGGTGTATGGGGGCGGGTCGAGCTCGTAGGTCTCGAAGCTCTCGTCGGAGAGGCGGACGGTGAAGGGCTTGTCATCCTCCTGTATAGCGCAATTGCCAGAATCAGCATTGAGTCCTTGAGGCCTCGTATGGCATTTTCCTATTTTCCGGATGAGATCTCAACAAACCTTCGGGATGTTCTCGGCGTGCGCGGAGGCGGCGTCGGTGGTGACAGAGCGACGGGTGATAGGGGCGAAAGCCTGGCGACGCAGAGGCGCGGCCTGACGGGCCACAGTACGGAAGAGCATGGTGAACACTGATTCCCAATTGACGATGGGAGAAGGATGAGGTTGATAGCGACACTTTTCCGTGAGATGTTGGGAACAAACTTTCCCGATTTCCTTACGTAATCTTTCCCATTCGGGGGCCGCCGGTGTGGCTGATGCAAACAGAACAAACCCGGAGCTGGCCTACACTGGACTACACTGGACTGGGGAAAGCTCAATTCAACACCCTGGACCAAGTCTCGTGGAGGTACGGAGTACTGGTGAAGCAATTCTGAGAGGGTCATAATATAGGTCAAAAACATTGATTATGGCACACACTACTCGCAGGACCGTTTGGTGTGGTTGCCCTCATCCCCCCTCTATGATCTCCGTCCTTCTCCGGTCAAACCCTGTTTTTCCCGGCCTGTCCCAACAGGAATGCCAATGCAAAAAGTATGAGTTCCCCAGGGGCGGGAGGAATAATCCGGGCTCCAAGTGAAGGATCAATTCAAAGTGTCTTTGTCCGAAGGTGGTGTAGGATCTAAGCTCCGGTAACTCTCCGATTCCTCCGGAGCAATGCCCGACTTGCCAGTTGACGGCCCCGAGAAACGCTCTCAACAGATATTTCATACCAAGTGATGTGGGAGCGATAAAGTAGAAATACTACTAGGAGCTTGTACTTATGCACTACTATATCTCAGCCACAAGTAGAACCACTCCAGTCGGGTCGCACCCACAGGCCAGCGCCTCATTCATCAACAGCGGGGCTATCACCCCTCTCAACAACCTTGATCACACGCCCACGCCCATGGGGCCATGTCCAAAGTACCCTGTGTCACCATACATATGGTAGTTACGCGACACATCTAGCGTGATAAGCCTAACAGGTCCATTTTTGAGAAAACAACTGATGCATCCTTCCTGCGTGATGGGATGTAAGTTGCGACCTATCTTTCTTGGATTGAATAATGGATATATCGGATTCATGGGTCTGTCCTAAAGTACGGAGAGTTGAATGATGACCTTGGGATGCTCTGAGAACCAACAGAATATACTTCTATCTGCAGGCGACGAGTCATGTGTTTGTTTGCTTCTTCCCGACCCCAACATGACAGTTGACACATCGATTCTTACTACTCCATTCCAACGTCTTCTTGAATCTAGGTCTCATTCCTCAGGATTCACAGGTGAGCGATGGGCGCCAAAAAAAGTGATATGTCGTTAACCATAACCGTGCACCCCTCCATAACGCCCGGTCCATGCGGTTGATCACCACCCGTCGCGAATCAGTAGTTCAACAGTTCAGTCCACCTTTCGGCCGGTGCAAAAATACAAATATACCAATCGTGTAGTAAAAAACCAGAATCGATCTTGTAAGAAAGACCCATATAAAAACCGATAGAAGATAGAAAACGATTTGATCGTATCGAGACCTGAAACTTCTACTAGTAATCCGCAGGATTCAAATATATATATAAAAAAACGGGCCTTGGGGCTATTTTAGAAAAAAGGCTGGCTGAACCTGTGGACTGGGTCTAGACAATGTGACGCTACTCGTACTACGAGATTCAGATTCCGAGTCACTCTTAGCCTGTGATAGAACCAAACAGCTGGAATCGTCTCCCATGGACCAGGATTCACCGATCTTCCAATTTATGAATGGCCATCGGCGCCGTTTTCGCCGAAGACGAGGATGGTTGTTTCAGAGTCCGGGTTAGGGAGTTTCATACGGACCCAGTTTGATCGAATCTGATCTTGATCTTGGCTGGGCTCCAGCGTTTGAAGATAATGATCCCAAAAAAGTTCTTTCTGTCGTCATTGTCGTCATCGAGCGCCGCTTTGATAAAACGTTGGCGCCGGTGCCTACATATGTAGAGAGTGGTGGACAGGGTACATATCTATGAAACGGCCCTGCATAATCACGCAGTGGGGGCGGTCCATATTGAATCACAAACATGTGCCCGATCAGCAACTCCAAGAGAAATCGATTTAGAGTTCGCTTTCGTATGTCTACGAGTATGCAAAAGACAAAAGTGGAAAAAGAATCAAGGAATCATGCTGGAAACCATACTCCGAAGGTACTACTACGTACATACACACGCCATATTCTCGGGTCCGGTCGCGCGTCCACGACCCCGAAAGTAGAACCGACCCCCCTGTTCCTCGCATCGTCACCCTGCAGCACCAAGTCTGCACACTAACTCCTTCAAGTTTCCCTTGAGTCTCAATTCCTCATTGGACGGAGTGAACCCTCCCTGCCCTCCTCGAGGCAAGCAGTACGGGAAATCCGACTCAATTCTGCACCTAACAGAACTGAATTGACTCGCTCGCTAATAAGAGCCCACCAACGGACGACCGTTTCATTCCAGAAACCTTAAATTGCCCTACACTGGCAGTACAATACAGAATTTGAACAGCACTGAGCGTACGGAGTACGGAGTATCCAAATACATAACGGACACACCTTCGTTTCTGCCCCTCCCCCCCCCCCCCCAGTTCAGCGCACACACTACGAACGGAGTAATTAATCGCACCCCCCAATGCCACGGCTATGAAACCGTGCACCTCCTAACCATGAACACGTAAAAGCCGAAAAAAGGGGACCGGGCCCATGGCCGATTTCCCACGCTCTGAAACACCGGTTTCCAGCGATCCTGAGGGCACGGATATCGTCGCGGCCTGGGCTCCGGCTTATGTAGAGTCGCCAGTGGTCCAGTCCGTGGACGATATGGAACTAGAACTAGAATTGGAGCTGGATTTGGAGTACGGAGTGTACGAGTACATCATACTCGTACGGGGTAATGAAGTAGTGGTACGGAGTACAGAGTACGAAAATAACTTGAAGAATACCGATATGTATGTATAGTATACCACAGTACTCCGTACATGAAAAAAAAACACACTTCTTCGATGAAGATCATTCATTTATGAGAGGCATTAAATTTAGCCTTTGCCCGTTCTCGACTTGACTTTCGACCTTGACTCGTACGGGCATGCAGTGTGCAGCGCGGTGCGGTGCGCAGTGTGGTGCAGTGCAGCGCAGCGCCGGTCGCTGCATCATTTGATTGGGCCGGCGGGATTCCGAGCGATGTGCGCATCTTTGCCCTCCCCGCAAGCTTTTGAAGACGTTGATCTTCATGCGGATTACTGGGCGCGCGCAGTAGTGTGCTGCAGGCACGGAGGTTGAGAGCGGATTGCGAGTGTGAGTAGTAGCCAATGTACCTAGGTAGTTAGTAGTGCGAGAGAGCAAGATGGAGGGAAGAGGGGAGGGAGGAGGGGGGGAAGGCAAAGGTTCTGAAATTTGAGCAACATGAGGATCTTCTACTGGTACTACTACGTAGTTTGGTTGCTTTTCCCTGTTTTCTTTTGCTTTCATTTTGCACTGTATTTTTTTTTGGGATATGTCAGCTTTGGTTGTTTTTAATCATGATTACGAGTATACATCATTTTGATGGCGTCAAATTAGTACAGACTAACAAGCTAGGGTGGAGAGAAGGAGAGAGACGGAGGGAGGTACTAGGAAGAAACTTGAAATTACTCGTTGACTGCAGATACACGAGGCAAGGTCGATCATAATAGCCGTCAGCAGCGGATGGGGCGATTAATTTGAGTAGGGCCCGTTGACAGCTTCAGGGGAGGAGGGGAGGGGGAGATTGGGGGGGGGATCAACCTAACCTCTATACTGCTAGTAGTTCACGCAAACTGTGGACAGGAAATCGGAGGAATTACCTCTAGCAGACGTTTACGGAGTCCAGAGCAATCATCATTGGAAAATCCCAGGTTACTCAAATACGAGCAATGGCTCGAAATTGGGCTTGAGCTATCTTCTGTACACGTGCTTACATTAGTTCAAGTTATATTCTCCGATGCGCAGCTGCCAATCACTCCGCCAAGGGGTGATCGTTGACAGGTCAAGTTAACTCGTCTCCATAGTGCATCGCGCCTGTTACGTACGGTACATACCTACACCCGTGACAGTCAGATTACAGACATCTTTTGGATTGGGGATTGAGATGGAGACAGAGATTTGGACCGTATCTCGTACATCGTACTGGATGGAGTAACTATGGAGTACTATTCGAAGAGGGTCAAGGCCTAGGTCTACATCCACACCAAGCTCCATACTCCGTACATACGCAAGCATTTACAAAGCGAGTGGCTGGAATATGACAGGGGGATAGCTGCCGATCCGGCACTGGGACAATTTTGCACAAGACAAGGTGGAGGACCTCGACGCCTCGTTGACTCGACGACCTCTCAAAATGAAGAAAATGGGGCAACTGATCGGCAGTCGCACGCGAAGTTGGCAAATCCACCGTGGCGGCAGCAACGGCGCGCGAGTCGAGGACTATGGAGGAGTACTAGTACCTACTCCGTAGTAGTACTCCATATTCAGGGACGATGGAGTCAGTGATGTGCAAATAATCTCCCTTAGCTTCTTGTGCTCTTGTTTTTCCTTGCACATCGCTGCCACTAGTGGTGGGACGACGGGCGAGTGTGGGGATTGATTAGCGGTCTATAGCGCGGCGAGAGCGCGGCTCGTAAAATCAAAGTGGCGATGAAAAGGGAGGGGGTTCAGGGGAGATGGGATACTCCAAATGGATTTCGTACGAGTACGGGAATAAGAGAGAGAGAGAGAGAGAGATGAGGGGAAATTGGTGGAATGGTCGGGTTTGGATCGTATCCCATTCGATTGGACGGGACGTGCTGGACTCCAGATCCCTGGCATTGGGAAGTAATTCTCCGTTCCAGTGTGACCCTTGGTCGGGTTTTGGTCTTGGTCTTGGTCCCTGCGTGATCAGGGATAGCATTCGCCAGAAAAGGATCACCAGATAGCATTTGCCGAGTTGTTGAAGAGACCTGGGTCAATGACGTCCACTCCGCAAAAATGAGGCGAAAGCTTATTCGAGGCCCTGAAAATTAACCAAGTTTGAAGCGGTTGGCAAGTGACAGAAGCCGTTGGAGTGATCGGCGCTTCCTTCGGCAACGCAGAAGGCCAAAATTGGTGGCCTGAGGCATACTTTATTATGTCAGCCAGTCGATCACGCGGTCCTATCCGGGGATGACCAGGGAATGGTCAATTCTTGTTCATGGACCCATTGGAGGTTAAATAGATCTGATTGGAGATCGGGAGCCTCCGTTGGAGATGAACAGATGAAGAAATCGGTTGACCAGGTTCGTGGGAAACCGACCATGGTCGATAGTAACCATGACGGGGGATCCAAGGGATCGTCGGCAGGGGCAAAATGGGGAAGATCCGAGTCGGATGGGGACAGTTCAAGGCATGCCGAGATAACCTTTTGCGGCCAACGGAGTCCGAAGAGAGATCCGAGAGAAACGGCAGTAGCGAAAAAAGAAAAGAGCAGAAAAAGAAAAAAGAACTGCGCTGCCAAAGACTACGTACTGCAAACTTTAATTGAACTTGTTACATACGAGGCGGGAATCCGGAAAACCCGGTGTCAGGCTGAGCGGGCGGCGAACTCGGGGTACCTCTGTAGTACATACTCGTAGTAAAGGTTGCATCTTGCTCGCTTCAAGTTTTTCTTACAGGTACACCTGGGCACTCGGTACAAGTACCTCAGGGTAGGTACTATAGAATTGCCACGACGACTAGTCGCCCGCCAGGATTCTCAATCCCAATCCTTCCGCCCCGCGAGGTAAGCTGAGCCTTGGCTGGGCGCCAATGGAGGCTCAAACTTGATCCGGAACGCGTCAGGGAGTTGACCTAGTGTAGCGTAGTGGCGCAGACGGAGACGGAGATATAGATGGAGATGGATATGGAGATGCGGATGGGGACATGAACGATGGAGTTGTCTCACCAGGCGAACACCTTCCCATTATAGGGGAAGGTGCGTAAGTGGGACACTGACCAGCCATACAAAGGGAGCGGAAGTTTTTCAAATTGATCTTTTGAAAGTGGTTTGCTGTAGGCTACTGCGTGGCGGAGGGGCCGCGCGAGGTGGTGTATGTACAGTAGAACGGTATCAAGCAAGGGGGAGGGTCTGCGAGAGAGGGGAACCTGCGTGTCATCCACATTCTCATCCACATCCACGTTTTTTGACTTTGGATGGATACTTTGGACCGAATTCTTTGGGTCGATAGAATATTCTGTGATGCTTCGACGGTCCATGGGTGGTTTCAGGGGACTCAATTCTGGGGATCAGTGGGAGGGCACGACTGGTACAACTAGAGAGAACTACTCCTACAAAACTTGGATGACCCACGGACACAACAATAGCACCGGCGGGCGTCCATGGCTCGCTCTGGCTAGCGCAGCAGTTCGGCAGCGACAGTGGAGCCGCGATCGTGCGCTGCTACGATCGTCATGGTTTTTTTTTTCCGAATTATGTTACTTAGTCTCGAGCTAGTGTCTAGTTTCTTTTAGTCTCTTTCCCCTATTGTTCTCCTTTCATCTCCTGTCTCTGACCCTGTACCTGTACACTTGTACACCCGTACCTTGTACCCTGTACCCTGTACGATACAGTACCTGTACACTACTCTGTACTCCGCTCATACGTACAGTGTATACTCAGTACACTTGCACTGCACTGCACTGCTGCACTACATTCTCTTACAACTCTTACACTCATACACTCCCTAACCCACCCAACCACCACTAGTCCACTTCGCGATAGTGCGATCTTTGTCCCTCGGAATTACTCATTTTTTTGTTTGGTATTTTTATTTTTTTTAGACTTTCGGGGCGTCTCTCGACATCTTTTCCTTCCCTTTTTCCTTCCCACCCCACCTCTCCTGGCCCTTTGGGAGAAATCGCCCATGTGGAAACCCAGACTGTCGCCCAGATCGGAGTCCAAGAGGAGCGATTCAAACCACCTTCATCTACCTGAAATCGGTTTTCTGGGGCGATCGAGAAAGAAATCCCTTCAGCCTGGTAAGTTATGCACTTGCGAGACCCATTTCGTTCCTTCTATCCTCTCTCTCTCTCTTCTCCCTCCACCATTCGGCCTCATCGTCAGACCCGCGCAACCTCGGGGCCATCAGCTCTCGTCGTGTCCGGAACCACCGATCTGAGACTGAGACCAATTGCGCCGGTTCGAGATGGGATGTGCCCACCGACCTTAAACCACTTTGCCCCCCGTATCCTCTCTCTCTCTCTCCACTCTCCTTTCTCTTTTCCTTCCTTGCCCTCCCATCCGCTCTCTCTCCCCCCTCCCCTGAGACGTCCGTCTTTCTTTCATATTCGCAGCTGCCCGATTCAATCTACGATCTGCAGTCTGTAACAGACCACGACCTGCATATCTGCGTTGCCATTTCGCCTCCCCGCAGAGCTAACGGGACCCCGGTGACGTACAGAATTTCAATCGCGGCCAGATTCACCCTCTCGCTCGAGCTCCGCGTTCCGCTCCTTTCGTTCATTAACTCGTAGGCCTGACCGGCCCGAGAGCACTCTTTCCAACTACACCACCAACACCGTCACCCAGAACAACAGCTCCAACAACTCCTATAGACCCCGAGCCCCCTCCACCCTCACCGATTCCATTTATTCAACCGACCCGCCGACCTGGCAGCCCCCTTCCCATACCAATCGTTCTAGTGTCTCGTATAATTCGGGATCCGGCAGACAGACTAGCCAGATGGAGGTCGACCGCACTCGCACTCGGCGGGAGAGGACATTCGTTGGTAGTGAATGCGCCGTCTGTGAAGAGCCGTTGGAGCATACTTTGCGCGGAGAGCGTATTCTCCAATTATCATGTAGTCATGTGTCCCACGAAGCATGCTTCTATGAGTATATTCGCGAAATCGACTCGCAATACTGCCCGACCTGCAATGCGCCGCTAGGTTTAGATGCGAGTCGAGGTGGAAATGTTTTAGATGTCGGTATGTGAACAGGAGACCCCCCAATTCTGCCAATCCCCATGTGACGCAATTGCATGACTAACTGGAATGCGACAGAAAAAATATCCAGTATCGTGCGCTCCGTGACGATGAGCGATAGCGCCACAACTCGTAGTGGTCTAACAACTCCCACCCGTGGGATCAACAATCGTCCCGTCGAGCACCCAGTGAGGGTGGTAGCCGGTATAATGGTCCAGCACAATCGACCTTTAGTCGTCAAGATAGCCAGCGAGACAGTCGCGACACTATTGGACAGAGAGAGCGCGTCGAACGGTTAACTGCAGCTTCCCACGCCCACGCCCACCACTCCCACTCCAACTCCAACTCTCATGCTCCTTCCGCCTCCGCCTCCGCTTCCCGACAGCCCCATTCCCGCAATGGTAGTGCCGCGGGCTCGTCAGGCGACTATCACAACGATGGTCAGCATACGAGTAGCGGACGCCGCCATGACTATGATGTGCAAGCGATGGAATCCGACCTTAGCCCCCGTCCCGGAGTTGCGAAGAATCCTATCCCCGCCCCAATTGTGACGGTGCGAAGCGAGTTCCCCACCATGAACCGATCTCGCCAGCAACAATCCCTTACTTGCTTGATCACCGTGGAGGTACCGGAAGGCAACTGGCGCCCTGATGCGGAGGATCTCCGACATACTCCCTCTGGCCAATCGCAGCCCGATGAGCCATTCTCTGCCCGATTTGGAGGCTCACAAGATGCTCGATCTCTGCAATATGAACCCGTTGAGAACATGGATGAGATTGCGGAGGAGCTGAGGAACCGGGTGGATAATTGGCACGGACTCGAGTTTCAACGATTTGGCAAGCTCCGCCTGCACGGACAAATGCGCGTTGGCAAGGATCGGGAGTCATGGCAAGAATTAGAATGCTATCTCTTCGGGGAGATGCTCATTTGCGTCAAGGAGAAGAAGATTGCCGACTCCCGCAACCAATACGAGGAGTCGAAGCCCAGGACTCGGTGCACTCTGAAGGGTTCAATCCTAATCAAGAAGCACTTGAAATCGATCGAATCTGCCTCCGACGAACCCGTTCTGACTCTCAACCTTTCCGTGAGCGAATTGCCTTGCTTCTTCCTACGTTTCCCGAACCGCAACCAGCTTGAGATGTGGCGCCGTTCGCTGATTGACTTGCATCCGGTGGAGAATATCTCTCGCCATAATGACTATGATTTGGATAATTCGGGCGCCGAGGAAGATGACTACCGCACCAGCCGTATTCAGCGACAGGCGTCCATCAACTCTTCATATGGCGCTGGCAAGTCCAACAACACCGCCATCACTGACTACACCAACCCTGACATGGAGAGGCCATCTATCGATTCATTCCATATTCCCCTCGACCTCGTCGTGGTTATCCCTGTGTCCTCGTCTATGCAGGGCCTCAAGATCACTCTTCTCCGCGACGCTCTTAAGTTCCTTGTGCAAAACTTGGGCTCCCGAGACCGTATGGGCTTGGTGACATTTGGCTCGAGCGGCGGCGGTGTTCCTTTGGTGGGCATGACCACCAAGTCTTGGAACGGATGGAACAAGATTCTGGACTCTATTCGGCCCGTGGGCCAGAAGAGTCTCCGTGCTGACGTGGTGGAGGGAGCTAATGTAGCCATGGATCTGCTGATGCAGCGCAAGTTTAATAACCCGGTTTCGACTATCCTGCTCATTAGCGACTCGTCGACCTCTGACGTGGAAAGTGTTGATTTCGTCGTATCTCGGGCTGAAGCTGCCAAGGTCAGCATTCATTCTTTCGGCCTTGGTTTGACCCATAAGCCGGACACGATGATCGAGCTGTCAACTCGTACCAAGGGTTCTTACCTCTACGTGAAGGATTGGATGATGTTGCGGGAGTGTGTTGCTGGATGCCTGGGCGCTCTGCAAACCACTTCACACCAGAATGTCAAGTTGAAGCTGCGCTTGCCGGAAGGCTCGCCGGCCAAATTTGTCAAGATTAGCGGTGCCCTGCATACCACAAAGCGTGCCACTGGCAAGGACGCCGAGGCCGCGTTGGGAGATCTTCGATTCGGTGATAAACGTGATGTCCTGGTGCAACTGGTCATCCAGCCAGACAATGCCACTCAAGACAACATGCCCCAAGATCCTTGGGAGAGTCTAGTTTCGGGTCTGGAGGCCCTCGGTGGGGGTATTGATGGGGATGAGCAACGGGTTCTGAGCGTCGAGGAGGTACCACTGATCCAAGCCGATCTTACCTATGGTGACCTCCTCCGCGACGGCCATCTCACACACTCGCCTCGCCCATCTCTCCTGGCTATAACGATGCTCCCTCCAAACCCTAGAGCCAAAGGCAGTCGCCCGACGACCCCTCCCATCCCACCCCACCCATCGATCGTGCAACGCCGCATGGAGCTCCTCACATCCGACATGTTAACCCGGTCCCTGACTCTCGTTTCCCGCGGCCAGCATGATCGAGGTCAACATCTGCTCAATGAAACAAGGAGTATCCTGAAGGGTCTCGGCAAGGGCGGTCTCCCCCCTCTACCCCCAGGAGCCCCCCGCTCAGGAACCAGCGACTCAGGCAGCCGCACCGACACGCCGAACTCGGCCTCCCCAACACCCTCATCAAGCTTCGCTGAAAGCCATGCCTCCTCAGTCTCGGACGCGAATACCATCACACCGAGCTCCTCTGTCGATGCCCAGACCATGATTGCACTGAACGCGGACCTCGACTCGGCCCTTGAGTGGATTAACCACCCCGCTGTTTTCAGCCGTGATTCTCGAAAGGCCGTGTTACAGAGCATCGGAGTGATCTCTTCTCAGCGCGCTTATACCTACCGCACTCCCTCAGAGGGACACTGGGCTCAGCGCATTTCTGGCGTGCGACGATTGACGGATAAATCTAAGGATTGGCGTGAGATGGGCGATGATGCGTTGACGGAGGAGTGAGATATGCGAGAGAGTGTGTTCTTTCCGTCCTATCCCGTCCCATCTCCTTCCTTCCTTTGCATATTGCATATATACGCCTATCTCGAGATTCGTACGCCATTCTCGTCAAGCCGGTCATGACCCTTTCAAGTTCTTTCTTATACTATACCTCCTCGCTACACCATTACCTCTACTACTTCACTTCACACCACACCCTCCTCCCCCTCACACCCCTCTTTCTTTCTGCATGCTTGTTCTTCTTTTCCTTGCCATGATACCACTTTGTTCCCACCATGACTGCGCGGCATGATTTCAGGGGCTTTTTGTTTTCGACCTGTTTCCGTTATGCTATGGCCTGTGGGTTGATCGTGTTGTGCATTTGCCTCCGATTCTGATTCTGATTCTGATTCCGATCTCTGATTTCATTCTGTTTTGGTTTGGTTTGGTTTGGTCTGGTCTGGTCTGGCCTTGGTGTGGATGAGCTTTTTACTTGCTTTGGCTTTGGGATGTCTACTATGCCCTTATTTCCTTTTTTCCTTACCCTTATTACTCCCCCCACGCCCTTTTTGGTACATTTTGATGAAATCTTTCTCCTTTTCCTTGGAAATTATTGGCGGGATTGATTTGGTTGGCTTTTCGATTGGATGCCTGCATGCGTGTCCCGAAAATATCATGATTATTGGACTCTGGTTTTTGTTTATAGCTACACCCCCTCCTCCTATCTCTTTTTGCATAATTGACTGCCCCCGCTTGTTAATAATGAATGACTGCATGTGTTGATTTAATTGAAGATTTATCTATCTGGTTTCACGATATTTGTAAACTTTTTTGTAAAGATTTCCAAGGTTGGATGCTGGCGTTGAGTAGAATTGGCATTTTGTGGGCTTTCAGTGTCAAGTTGAACACAGGACACAGGACACTGCAGTTCAGTATAGATATTTACAACTAATTATTAAGATTCAATGAAATAAAGGACTATAATGATGAATTCCTGCCATGAAACCCCCAAGTAATCGGGTATTTTTCATAGAAGACCCTGGAAGATCCGAGTGTATCCAAGGACCTACTTGCCTAAACGCCGGAAGTGGCTGCTTATCCCCGACTAGCCGCAAATCATGCGCTTCCACTCCGACTTGACTCACTCCCTCCCTCCCTCAACCTTCACCTTCACCTCTCCTTCCAACACCCCCACAACCACCTATACAAAAATAGAACCGATGTTCACACAATTGACTCTGCGCGCTCTACGCGCCACACGAACGCCCGCATCACAACCCTCGAAATACCTGAACTTCACCTCCAACCTCCACCCGCTCACCCTCTCACGCCTAAGAACACCAGCACCCCAAATAGCATCAAGATGGCTCACACTATCAACCACCCCCAGAACCAGACTCCCATTACATCTCCACTCAAACACAACCCTTCCACAACCAACACAACGCCCATTCACCTCAACGCCAAGGTCTTCATTCCACACCTCCACAAAATCCAACTACCAATACCAACCCCGACCAAACTACAACCGCTTCAACGGCCGCGGCGGGGGTGGCAGCGGTAACTCACAACGAGGCTCAATATTCTACACCCTCCTCGCAAAGTCCAAACCGCAACACTTTGTAATCATCGGAATCGGAATCTCAGGAATCTACCTATACAATACAGACGTGGTAGAAATGACCGGTCGACGACGCTTTAATTGTGTCTCCGCGGAGCGCGAATTGGCCATGGGCGCCGAGAGTTATCGGGAGGTTCTTGCATCGGAGCGTGGGAAGGTTTTACCTGATTATCATCCTTTGACTAAGAGTGTTGATCGCGTTTTGCAGAGGCTTATTCCTATGGCGGATATTGAGGGTGCGGAGTGGAAAGTTCATGTTATTAAGGATGATGGGATGGCTAATGCGTTTGTTTTGCCAGGGTGAGTTATCTTCCCCCCCTCTCTCTTTTTCTTTCAGCGCATGTGCCGAGTCGAAGCGATACTAACATCTAGTTCACAGAGGCAAGGTATTCGTCTACACGGGCATTCTACCAATCTGCCAAGACGAAGACGGTCTCGCCGCCGTCCTAGGCCACGAAATAGCGCACGTCGTAGCGCGCCACCCAGCCGAACGCATGAGTACCAGCGTTCTAACGATGGGAACGATCTTCCTTGTCTCGATGCTATTCGATGTCTCGGGATCATTATCGTCCACGCTGGTTAATTTGATGTGGAGTTTGCCCAATTCGCGCACTCAGGAGGCCGAGGCGGATAATATTGGTTTGATGATGATGTCGAAGGCTTGCTTTAATCCTGAGGCGGCTGTTAAGCTCTGGCATCGTATGCAGCAGCAGGAGAAGGGGGCTCCGCCGCAGTTTATGTCGACTCATCCGTCTAGTTATAATCGGGAAGAGGCGATTCGGGGGTGGTTGGAGAAGGCGGAGATGATTTATCAGGATAATGATTGTGGGTCGATTGGGAAGTTTAGTAAGTTTTTGGTCTCTTGATGCTTGGATTGGTTTGGTGAGGTTGATTAACTGACGAGTAATATAGTGCCTAGCTTTCAGAATGCGATTAGGTCGCATAGTTCGGCAGTGTGGTGAGCTAAGCTTGAGCTTGAGGGTGAGGCTTAAAGCTGACTCAACTGTCGATGTAATATAATCATACATGTACACTATTATAATGGAATACAGGCAATTATCGTATTTCCTAATATATGAAACTAAAATTTGTAGAATAGTACCATAATATCAACATTACCTCCGAACTATACTATTAGGAGGCGTTGTGCAGTCGCGGGGCGGTCAACAGTTCCCCTCCGTGCAAACGCAGCAAACCCACCGTCCACCCAAAAATTCCCCGGGCACCTCTGGACGAAGCTCATCGACTCCCCTTTTGATTTGAACCCCCTCATATTCAGTCAAATCCACATCGGACGCGACCTTCCACAATGTCGCTATCCATCCCTGGGCCCTCTCAGCAGGGCCTCTTCAAGCAGGGGTACCAAACGTAAGAAGATCTCTCCCCCTCCCCCCCAACACATCCAAATCCCACCTCCTTATCCGCTCGGAGGGGAGGCTGCTCCAGAAGCTAGTCCAGCCCAGCTAACCACAATTCCATCGATACAGCCACGACTCTGAGGATGGAGCTGTTATCCGCAACATCGAGGCCTGCCAGGCCATCTCCGGCACCGTTCAGACTTCCCTGGGCCCCTACGGCCGCAACAAGATCGTCATCAACCACCTGCAGAAGATGATTCTGACCTCCGACGCCGCGACCATTCTCCGTGAATTGGATGTTGTGCACCCCGCTGCTAAGCTGCTGGTTATGGCCAGTCAGCAACAGGATGCTGAGATGGGCGATGGCACAAACCTGGTCATCGTTCTGGCTGGAGAGCTGCTGAAGAAGGCGGAGGAGCTTATTCGTTTGGGATTGAAGACCAGTGATATTACCTCAGGCTACGAGAAGGCACAGAACTTCGCTCTGAAGACCCTAGAGGGTATGTTTAACTTCCTTCTTTTATATTCGAGTTTGGTGGGGGTTTCGGGATAGGGGAGGGTCGACTCTCATGCCTGTTGTCACTGGCTTTTTTTTTAAGGTGGATAATTTGCTAACTAGTACCTTCTTGCGATAGAGATCTCGAGGTTGACCGACTCAAGGAGATGCGTTCCACTACCGAGCTCAGCAAGGCCCTTCGGACGGTTATTGCTAGCAAGCAGTCTGGCGTTGAGGATACTTTGGCGGAACTGGTCGCGGAGGCTGTCCTTGCCGTGCTTCCCAAGAACCCCCTCAACTTCAACGTGGACAATGTGCGTGTCGTCAAGATTATGGGTGGTAGCTTGGAGCAATCCAAGGTGGTGAAGGGTATGGTCTTCGGACGTGAGCCGGATGGAATTGTCAAGCAGGCTCGCAAGGCCAAGGTCGGCGTGTTCAGCTGCCCAATTGATATCTCGCAGACCGAGACCAAGGGTACCGTTCTGCTGAAGACCGCCCAGGAGATGGTGGACTTCACCAAGGACGAGGAGTTGCGCCTGGAGGCCGCTATCAAGGAGCTTTATGATTCCGGTCTCCGCGTTCTCGTTGCTGGTTCTACCGTCGGCGACCTGGCCATGCACTACCTCAACCGCTTTAACATCCTGGTTATCAAGATTCTCTCCAAGTTCGAACTCCGCCGTCTGTGCCGCGTTGTCGGCGCTACCCCCCTGGCCCGTCTCGGCGCCCCCATGCCCGATGAGATGGGTACCATTGACGTTGTCGAGACCACCGAGATCGGTGGTGACCGTGTCACCGTTTTCCGTCAAGAAGATGCCAACTCCGCCACCCGCACATCCACAATCGTCCTGCGCGGTGCCACCCAGAACCACCTGGACGATGTCGAGCGTGCCATCGATGACGGCGTGAACGTCGTCAAGGCCATCACCAAGGACCCCCGTCTCGTCCCCGGTGCCGGCGCCACCGAGATCCAGCTCGTCGAGCGAATCTCCGCCTTCGCTGACAAGACCCCCGGTCTGCCCCAGCACGCCATTCGCAAGTTCGCCGAGGCCTTCGAGGTCGTTCCCCGTACCCTCGCCGAGTCCGCCGGTCTCGATGCCACCGAGGTTCTCTCCCGTCTGTACACCGCACACCACCGCACCAACACGGATGCCCAGTCCGGAGGTGAAGAGGAGGGTAGCTCATCCGAGGAGGAGGAGCCCTACTGGACTACCGGTGTGGACCTGGAGGTCGGATCCGGCGGTGATGGTACCCTCGATACTGTTGACGAGGGTATCCTCGACTTGATGGCTTCCAAGAGCTGGGCTATTCGCCTTGCCAGTGAGGCTGCTCGCACTGTTCTCAGCGTCGATCAGATCATCGTTGCTAGACAGGCTGGTGGGCCGAAACCCCCAGGCCCCAACCCTAACTGGGATGAGGATTAAACGTTTGATTATGAGGCTTCGAGACCGCTGGGACGTTGATAGATCTACGTACGATATCACGAAAAAAAGTCGGCTGGTGTGTATAGCAGAGTATGATAATACATCCCTACATTTTGGTCAATCTTCTTTCGAGTTCTTTTGTAGATATACCTAGTAGATTCAGCAGCCAATTGCTGAGGGCTGGCTTCCCTGGCCAATGGAAGGTTCCTATAGTAGCGACGAAGTACAAGGGCGTTGTGCTGCGCTTTCTTCCATTTCTTCCGAAACAAAAATTTATTATTTAAATCGAGTATTCTCATCATTCCAACTACTCACGCTCATTCTTAAGACTACCTTACTAGTATCCTGTTGATGGTACCCCATCTGTTACTGTCGATGGCTTGTATATGATGGATGACTAAGATCACGTGACACCCAGATTTTCCCCGAAACTCTTGCCATTCTTTTCGTCCGCATCGCGGTTAGAGCTGTCCTTCTCCATTTGCCCCCTCCACCGTCAATTGAATTTAAATTTGATTCGGAGTCACCGACCCGTTCACGCCTTCGTCATGTCCTTCCCCATCCAATCCGCAGCTCGCTGCGCCAGACAGCTGTCCGGCTCCGTCCGCCCATCCTCCCTGCGCATCGCGACCTCATACACAGCCCGCACACCCAGCTACCGACGATGGGAATCGACCGAGGCTGCTGCCCCTACCAACCCCAAGATCACACAGATTGTCGACCAGATCAGCACATTGACCCTGCTTGAGACCGCTGACCTTGTGTCTAGCTTGAAGGTTGGTTATGAACCCGTGATGCATTAGATATGGGAGCCGCTGTTTCAATCTTCAATGATTGCTAGAAATATATCGACAATGTAATGTTCTTCAATTGCTAACTTGTCATCTTCAATAGACCCGCCTGAACATCCCTGACCTCCCTGTTGGTGGTTTCGCCATGGCCCCCGGAGCCGGCGCACCTGGCGCCGCCGCCGCCGTCGAGGAAGAGGAGGCCGCTCCCGCAGCTGCCGAGAAGACCCTGTTCAACCTGAAGCTGGAGGGCTTCGAGGCCGGTTCCAAGCCCAAGATCATCAAGGAGATCAAGAACATGCTCGGCCTGTCGCTGGTTGACAGCAAGAAGTTCGTCGAGTCCGCGCCTAAGATCATGAAGGAGTCTGTGCCGAAGGAGGAGGCTGAGAAGATCATCGAGACCCTCAAGGGTCTGGGTGCTAAGGCTGTCATGGAGTAAGTTAGGGAAAAAAGACATACCAGCACTGCTATACTTGGGGACCAAGACGAAGCAGAAAAATCGGACAGCTTTGTCTGTGCAGAGGGGCTTCTTGAGATCTTTAAGAACTCCTCTTTCCTTCCTACCTGTGTTTTTTTTATTACCGAGGACCCCTTTTTTCTCCCTTGTACTTGCACGGCTTGAGCTTTGCGGAGATCTGAGCGTTGTTTGTTGGCCTGGGCGTGTGAGGGCAAATGTACATTATACGCATTTTTGTTAAGGACCCCGTCTGTTAAAGAGGGTTTGTTTGATTAATTTATGCATTGAGCATGTTCAAAGTACTATATTTCTCTATAATACTGCATAGCGTAAGCGTAGCTCGTTTTTAATTATCCTGGGAGTGAATGATGTACCCGTAGACCAAATAAATGGTCTCCATGAAAAGCGGACTCGCCAATTCCGACCTCCGTCCAACCTCCGCAGCAACTCCAATTCCTCCCCAATCTTTGCGCATTACAGTACCCAACAATCCCCCTCGGCCTACGACACTGCGCCCACAATGTCAAGGTCAACGACCTCTCTAAAACAATGGCTGCATCTACGGCAGACATTATCCACGCAAATACCATCAACAATCAGCCCACCTGCGCGCAATCTCGTCCTCTCCGCCGCCAATGCCTCTGCCTCCCATTCAACGACGAGCAGTAGTGACACCGTCACGTCGAAACGCTCCTTTCACAGCACCCGAGATCGACAGGCTGCTGCTCCGAGAGGTCGCAAAGCTCCGGGGACAATGGCCAGACAGAGACAAGCAGAGCGGGAGGGAATAATGGAGCAGAGAATTGGCGTAAATGGACAGCTTTTCCTGAAGTCGAGCGTGCAAAACCGAACGAAGAAGAGTATGGGCGAATGTCTGGAAATACATGAAAAGGTCGCGGGGACGGTCTACGATGCTGCTATCGCGGACGGTCAGCTGCCGCGAGAAATCAGCTTTAAGACATATAACGATATTGGAGTGAAATTGATTACGGCTGCTTTTGAGAATGTTGTCTCTGCGGCTGCTGTGAGGGCTATATCAGTTGGTGCGTTTCATACTGCTTCATGCATTCCGATGTCTTCCAACAACTGATGTGGAAGGGTTGTTTTTGGAAACGTTTCTTATATACATCTAACAAGCTTGCTAATACTGGTGTACAGATGTTGACGCCGTCTTCCGCATTGGCCACCACGTCGCCCTACCACTGGAAGAACCCGGGATCGCAGAATGGATTCTTTCCTCGTGCGCCAGAGCCAAAGCACGCCTCCCACTAGTCATCGTGGTTAACCGAGCCATCTCAGGAGAGAACAACGTTGTACCAGCCCGCACACAGTGGACGGACGATATCGAAGAGCTAGCACGAACCGACTACCCACCTGCAATTCTTCTACACGCACAAATCCAAGGTCGTCGCGGCAAGTACGAATCTGCCTTCGGACAATTCGAGAACAGGATCTTTCCCCGCGTCTCGCCGACACGCAAGCGACCGAACATGTTCTCCAGCATTCAAATAGGAGACAAACTCGACTCGCCTTACCGAACATATGCACTGCTCCGCGCCGCGCATGACCAGCAATTCGGTTCAGCGGAAAGTCGACAGAAAGCAGACGAGGCGATTCGAATTGCGGCCATGGAATTCAATGACCCCGAAGCTTTGACGGAGTATGCGTCCGTTATGATGAATGAGGGTAACTTGGACATGTATGAGGAATGCATGTGCAAAGCCGCAACAGCCGGCCATGGCAAAGCTTCATTCTACCTCGGGAATTTCTATTACTTGACTTTCCTCGGTAAATACAAGACTCGCGGAGAGAGGGAGTCTAATCAGAATAGGTGGCCGCCGGCTTGGATGGCGCGGCTGACGGGCCTGAATGACCCTGCCAGGTCATCTTCGTACGTGAACAAGTCGATGAAATATATTGCCTCGTTTTTGAACCGGTCTATGCCGCAGAAGGCGTATCACCAGCTCGCTTCGGACTGGTATTATGTTGCTTTCGCTCAGGGTCATAAATCTGCTCCTTTTATGGTGGCGCTTCTTAAGCGTGAAGTCGCTGAGTCGGAGGCGGAGTTGGAGGATGCGGGTATGTTCTTTGAATTGGCTAGGATGGCTGAGGATGAGGATTTGAAGAAGCCTTTTGCCGAGTTGGAGAAGAACTGGTTTAATCGGGATTTTGAACCTACTTTGCCGAAGAAGTTTATGGCTGTACGATAGTGTATCGGATCTGTCTACCTATGGTGGGATTCGATAGGTGGAGAGCATTTGGAGAGAGTATACATAGTGTATCATAGTTGCATAGCATTGGTCTCCAAGCTTGATTTGGCACATGGTATTTCCCGTTCATTAATTGTTATAGACTTTAAAATTGGTATGTAGTTAAGGCTGAGAGTTGGGTATGAAAATTATTGGCATTGGCTTTATTAGACAATGCAAGTTCTTGATAGCCGCCGGATTCCCGAGACATGCTCGTTAATCGTTATCGCGAACTTTCAAGCTCCAGGTGACAAGGAACTATGGACTGCAGCTTCTGTGAAACAAAGTCTTTTGGGCCCAGGTATGAGTCTCTCCTACTACCAGTAGGATAGAAGTAGACTGGCGCGGTTGGTCTTATGAACAAGAGTCTGCCATCTGAACGCCGGATTGGGTACAGCTTTGGCGCTCGTAGCCCTATCTAACGTCTGTCGCGGCAATAGCTGTATAGCACTTGCACTGGCTGTTCTGACGGGGGTCGATTTTCACAAGGCGCGAATCGAATCTGGATATCACTGTTCCAATGTGTTGACATCGAGGATAGTCGTGAAGGCGATCATCTCTTCTTCGGAATGGCAGGAACACCCTCACTCTCCCTCAACTCAGCCAACTTCTTCTCCCTCTCGACCAGACGATCTTTCTCCTCCTTAATCATCTGCTCAACGGTCTTTGTCGCCTCAGACATCCTATCAAGCTCCTTATTCTCCGTCGTCTTGCTATAAGGATTCTTCGGCGTATCACCGAGCGGAATATCGGCCGTCCGACCAATCTTCGAATTCTTGCCCTTAGCTCTAGGCACAGAGCCCGCCGGACCACCAGTAAGGATCTCATAGAAAGGTTCAACGGGCTCATTGAAAATGACCTCCTCGTAGTTCTGACTAACAACGACCTCCCGACGCTCCTTCATACCCTCCGCGTCCGGGCCGTAGGGGTGCAATTTCAAACTGTGCCATAGCGTTTGCGGCTTCTCGTTGGATTCCGGGACGAAGTAGAGCTTGATTTGGATTTCGAATTCACCCCAGCCTGTTTCGACGACTTCGAAGGGTGGTTGTTCGATTGTGCGTACGTTCTGCGCGTATGTTTCGTGGAGCTTGAATTGGACTTTCTTTAGCCAGTAGGAGATGTCTTCGTCGTTGACGCCTTTAACGAAGATGCGCCATTGGTGCGTGTGGTCTGTTGGTGCGTTTGCGGGACGCTTCTCTGGGTCGAAAGGTTGGGCTTCCGTGCCGAAGACTGTGTACTTTGTTAATTCTGGGATTTGGATTATATGGTGGGGATTCGCTGTTGTTCGAGACATACTGAATGGTCGGAATGCTGAGACGCCCTATGGAGTGAAGTCGTGAGTTGAAGGGTTCAATAGTGAGAGGGGGACTTATTTGGATTGGATGGACAGGGTATTACTCACTCTGACGCGCTTGTTTCCAGTTGCAGAAGGCATAATGACGAGGTGAATTAAATCAAATCAAATCACGGACTGGGGGGAGTCGTGAATCGCAAGTCTGGAGTGAACTCGAAAGTTGCAAGGGCGGACTGCGCGGCGCGAAGAGGCATTTGCGACAGCACGTGACTCGGTGACGGCATGGAAGCTGCCATAGCTTGAGATGATCTGATCTGCTTCATATTCATATTTCCGGATTGAACATGCTATTTTCCCTTTGCCGACAGACTCGAACTCTATATTGAATTGACTGTCATCGAGAAAGATATCTTCACTTATACAATGGCTGCCAAACGGCTTGTCGTTGCTGGAGGAAGTGGTTTCCTAGGTTCGCACACCTCTTCCACCGGCGCATGGGCCGATGTTCGCCATGCTAACTTGCTGCTTCAGGTTCCAGGATCTGCAAATCTGCAGCTGCACGAGGCTGGTCGGTTGTTTCACTAAGGTATTTTGCTCCTTTATAATCCAAATGATCGTTCATTTCTCCTAATGCCGTCCTTCAGTCGATCCGGAGAACCGCGGTGGGATGCCGTGACAGACTCCTCTGATCGTCCTAGCTGGGCGAGCTCCGTGGAATGGGCCAAGGCCGATCTCCTGAAGCCCGAGAGCTACAAGCCTTTCTTGACCAATGCTTCAGCTGTTGTACACTCAATGGGGATTTTGTTGGAAGCCGACTACAAGGGTGTTGTACAAGGAAGAGAGCCGATTGTCAGTGGGCTCCAGCGCGCATTTAGCTCATCGAAGCTGGGTAGCCAGAACCCTCTCACACGACATGAGGGCGAGTCGCTGGAACCCAAGGAAAAGGATGGCCAGTTAACTTATGAATTAATGAATAGGGATTCCGGTATGTTCCAGTCCAACTGTTGTGATTTATTTCTAGACACTCGAAAGCTGACCCATTTGTTATTGGCGGAATTTAGCCATCGCATTAGCCCAAGAATCCTCGAGCGAACACGTCCCAGCATTTGTATACATCTCCGCCGCGGCGGGTGCACCCGTCCTTCCAGCCAGGTATATCACCACCAAACGAGAGGCCGAGGCCACCATCACCTCCACCCTTCCTGAGTTGCGAAGTATCTTCATGCGCCCAGCGTTTATGTATGACAACAGCCGGAAGTTCACGCTGCCCATTGCGCTGGGTGGATTTGTGGCCTCGGAGTTCAACACTTTGCTAGGAAATAAACTTGGCTTCCTCGGAGCTATGGCCGAAAAACCACTAAAAGTCGATGTGGTGGGCGAGGCGGTGGTCGAGGCCCTGGAGGACGAGTCGACCAGAGGTGCTGTGGGAACAAAGCAGATTGAAGCGCTGGCAACAAAAGCCTGGAGAAAATCAATGCTTTAAAGGCATGGCTTGCTATTCTTGATCCATCTGACACTGTGCATATCAGTCTCTCAATATCGAGAACCGTGCAAATCAGTCAGAACTCTTCGCTGGTAATGAGGGGTGTCTTGCACCAGGCAAAACACAAAATGTCCAGCATGTACATTAGCTTGATTTTGTATTTCATGTAACATTAGATCATGGTGCCTCGCTCGAAACTGTCCCGAATTTCGGTAGTGTACTAGAAAACGACGTTAGTACATTCGCTTCAAATAATTGCGATCAGACATACCTTGTTGTAGAAGCGTGACAACTTTTGGTTGAACTGCTTGTTCTTCTCGTTGATGTATGTGACATCTGCCTCCTCATCGCCACGGCGCTCCTTGCGCTTCTTCAAGCGGACCTCCTCAGCCTTGCGGAGATCTGTTACCAGTCTGTCCACGGCCGCACGGTCCGGCTTGTTGTCGGTAAAGCCCGTGCTGTCTGCGGTGGAGTAGAAACTGCCGTTTTTGTCGACAGCAATCATTTCCCCATCGGCGGTTTCGACAATCTCCAAATCGCCATTGGCAGCTGCTTTCTCGATGGCGGCGATCTTGTCCTGCTCATAGGCCTCCAAGTTGGGCTGAAGCTCCCGCATCTGGCGATCATAGACCTTTCGAGCGTCTTGAGTGTAGTCCTGGAACGCGACATCATCACGGTGACGTTGCTTCTTCTCTAAGCGGCGGTCCCACTTCTCAGATTCATCCACAGTCCAATCCCAGGCTCTCTTGCGTTCGAAATCTTCTCCTGCTGCTTCCGTGTCCGCTTTGAGGAGATTGTGGGAGGCAAACGCGTGTTTGCGGGATAGGTTGTTCAACAGTGACGGGTCTGTTGCAAGTCGCTGTGTCTCTGCTGCGGTCTCTTTCATGTTGCGCTCGGCGCCAGATTTCTACTTTGGGGTCAGTTTTCTCTTCAAGTAGAGCAACGGGTGTTCTTCAACATCGCCCTTGCAGATAAAGTATAAGAATGACTTACCGCTCGCGCCTGAAGAGCTTTGAATCTCTGTAGTCTCTCGCTTGCCGAATTGGCCGCTGCATCTCCATCATCATCCTTCTTTTCTGTCGTCGTCGGCTCTTCTGCGGCTGGTGGGTTTTCGGGAGCAGTCTCAGTCTGCTCAGGATGGTCGGGGGCCGCCTCTTTTTTCAGCGGCCTCTTGTTTTCGTGTTCTAGGCATTATGGCAAGCCCTGGGTCACAACCTTTACCAGCTGGGTATGGAGGTGAGGCGATGAGGAGTGTTTTGATAAGGATCTGGCTGCTGAGGGTCATCGATCGGTCAAGTCGGCCGCATTTTAGACCGCCTTTGACACCGCCTTTACGAACTGCCGCCCCAAGGCATCTCCACTCGTGGGTCGTTCTCCGCATTTCCGTTGTTGTCTTGATCCATTACGAGTACTAGTACTACCACTCACACTCAGTATGGGGAGTCTCCTGCGGTTGCTGCAAAGACCCCGGCGTCAATTAAGTCGGTCACTTTTGCAACCATCGTTGCGTTGTGTATCTCCTCTCAGCGGTGTTGCTGCTCAGTCTTTCGACCCGTCCCCATCAGAGCTTCTACGTGCTACACTCTTGGGGTCGGTCACCTCCAAGATCAACAATGAAACTAATGACGAAAAAAGCCGCCGGACTCTTGAAATGCTTGACTTTCAATGGCAGCACGGTAGTCCTCCTCCGTCTTTATGGTACGCCCTAAAGGGCGTTTCGTCTACCGCCTATACACAGGGCCAGAGCCGGCTTCCCTCAATTGCAACTCTATCTTCCCTTCGAGACGTGACAGAAAGACTCGCCGTGAATGACCAGGGAGCCGAGCTATTACAAGCCAATTTAGAGCAGATTGTTTTGCGCTGCTGTACAAAACATCTGTCTACGGAAGTTCTCTCAACTTTGGGAGATATCGTTGTGAGGCTTCAGCGACTAAAACTCTCGATTGACCCAACGCTCTACGAACTCGGAATGTACATCGCTGCTCAAAATCTTTCGTCTGAAGCATTTTACCGGTTCTTCACAGGTCTCCTCGAGTTGGACCCTGGCCAGTTGCACGTCGAAAATGGCTTTGAGGTTGTTCAAGCTTTATACGAAACTGTTCGCCAGGAACTGTTTGAAAACCCGCAGTACGATACCACACATATTCTTGCTGAGATCACCGGTGAATACGATGCTACCTCAGAGAGTGGCAATGTCAGATTCCATGATATCATCCGCTCACAGCTCAAGGGCGACCAACATTTGACTAGCTGGACCAATTATCTCTGCTTATTATCCAGACTTCAAAGCGGCGAGCCTTTAATCAAATTATGGCACGATTTCCTAGCCACATTTCCGGAAGAAAACCAGGAGACTTTGCACTACTCAATGTACAGCGTGGTTCTAGATTTAGTGCGGGCCAGGCGTTCGGAAACTGCTGCTAAATTCCTTGAAGACATTTCGATCCGCAATGGAGATAACCTGCCACATATTGCAACGTTCCAACATTTACAAGAAATAGTCGACGACTCATTTGTCTGCGAAACCTTGGCAGATATTGCAGGTGATCAATATGATGCACTGCTCGAGGTTGCCTTCAAAAACATGGAACAACGACTAGGAATCCGATGGGAGAAAGCTCAGCAACCGGAAAACGAGGCCCATATCAGCATTACCGCGAAATCACCATGGTCAGTATTCGAGGACCAGCCCCTCCTGACAATCGACGGGGATTGTGCCGGCTATGACGACCCAAGTCGGCTGTATGCCGAGCTTCAAGCCTCGGGCTGTTCTCGTTCACCAAACCAACTGGGCCGAATTGTAGAACTACTTCACGACAATGATGGCATTGGACTCGAAGTAGTTCCAGAGGGCGCTAATGAACTTGATCTTGATCTACCAGAGTTTCGATGGTGTCCTGGACATTCGCCTGTTGAATTCTCGCACGCTGAACTCCCAACCATGTCAGACCGCTCCCGAGAATGGACACCGGCATCACTTGGACTAATATGGGTTCGTCCTCTTATCAATGGCGTGCCTCAGCCAAGAGGAAAGTCTTTTCATCTCATGCAGCTGGGTTCCCTGGATATGCGACGCGGGCCACATGAGGCGTGGCAGCCATCGGGCTACATTGTCGGCTGGGATCGTCAATCTGGGCATATGAGTGCAGTATTTGTTGGGACAGACCGAGAAGTTATTGACCGCGGTCCCATGCCATCAGATGCTCCATTTGGAACTCTGCTACGTATTCGGCCCTCTAATATGCCAGACTCCGGTCCTTGGAGCTCTGTGGATCCTGTCCACTTGGATCTGGACCCAAGCCTAGACCTAGGCTTTCGATAGTTTCTTCCGCCCTAAATGCAACTGCATATAGTTTGTGGGTTCGATGTAAACCTAATGTATCAACATGGAAATGCCGTTGGAGACATCTGAGCATGGACGGACGATCTCACATGTAGGGAAAATAGGTTGAATACCCACATCAATATGAATAGCCTTGTAGATCGGGTTCGTCCAATGTCTACAACCCCGATTTTTTGTCCCTCGCTTCCTTTACTCCCGATTGACAGTACACCACATACACGCCGCACAAGCCCACTGTGGGACATTCTCGCTTCGGAGTCCAACGGGGATAAACCATGATCGTGGATCTCAGTCAGCGATCAGTTGATTGGATCGGCAATTACCATGATCAGCAGCGACAAGTAAAACCCACTAGTATGGTTACTGCATCCTTCCCAGGTCCATCGAGACGCCACAGCGTTTCCTATCACCAAGAATGCGTCTCCGGTACGCACCCCGAGTGCTTCCACCGACCCTAAGACGGGGCTAACAAGGATCGACGGTGGGATGCGCAAGCCACCGGGATTGGACACTCTATTTTCAAGTGTGGTGCATCGATCGCGGCCTGCTTCCACTTTTCTGCGTTTCGTCTTTCCTCTTCAAGTGCATCTCGCTATGAATGGAAGTCTTCAATTCCCTGCCACAATGAATGTCTACGTTCTGGGCATGGATGGTACCGCAGCGACAGCTTGAGCGCTGGGCTTCTCGCGTATGCTATTGCAGTAGCTCTGCAGCAGTGGATGCCTTCGCAAGGCTCACCACCATGAGGCAATCGGTGCCACCTTTTTGATCCTATCATACTTGCGATACTCCGACATGGGTGGGGCGCGCGGTTACCCCTCTGCCTAAACTAGCTTGTTCATGACAGCCCGTCGAGCAATCTCCGCGGGTCTCGCTTGTGCTGGTGGGGACAATTCTTCTTTGACGTGGTCCCACGTCCGATGATTTGCCGATAAACATGTCCCTTAGGTCGAGGGATACAGAATGGACAGGGATATGGACAGGGAACAAGGAATATGCTAAACAGGGGCAGACGCAGTCGACAAGGATTGCTGAAGAGCTGTCATTGACGGACGATACATCCAACCACCTGTTGAAATTTGGAATTCCGCGATCTACAGTTCCGCGATAATATCTGCAGTGCCGTGAACTCAGATTGAATCTCGGATGCGACAAGCGAACGATACGAACTTGGCAACGTTGCCTCGGTGCTTGGACCCTCCGCACTGGCCATTAACGCAGGTGATGAAGGAGAAAGAAGAAAGAATAGAAGGAGAAGTGAGAATAGTCCGCCTTCCTTACCCGGATTCTGGCTGCCTTTGCTGATCTGATCTCAACTGACAGCGTGTGTTGCTTGATCACAAACGTGTAACGTGGAAAGACAGCAAGCTCGGTCTCCTTCCATGCCCATGCCATCATGCCATGCGAGGGATGACTGGCAAGCACTGCCGTGAAACACTGATCTACTTTGATTTCCTGGAAACCGGTGACATTAGTGACTTACCGACTGTTAGTGCCCGCATCTTCCCTTGTGGTTCATCTCTCTCCCCTCCCTCCCGGAAGCTTGCCACCTTCAATGCACGGACGTCGTCAGAGGGGGCCTCGGTGCAAAGCCAACCGTCAACAGGTGCCACTGACGCATTCGCCCAGATCCCTCCACTGTGGGGACTTTTTTTTTGGGAAGATCGTTGTCTGTTTTGATTTATCTCACTTGCCAAGCCCCATGGAGAGCACGCCAATCACTCGGGGCCGGACCTGCAGACCCGTCCGTCCGTGCTATGTATGTACTGGGCGTGATTCCAAAAATGATGCTCGAGAATCAGCTCCAGCCATTCTGAGGGTCGGTCAGCACCCGATCGACGGGTATCCCCGTTCACTTCCCGTGCAGGTGGTGTGTTGTGTCCACTCTATAAAGCGGAGCTCTGAGTTTTTCTGCACTTTTGAGGGGGACCCCGTTCCCACCGTTCCACCGTTCCATGGGACACACGGCCTCTAATTTAGGAACCAATCCGCGATGTATGAAAGACTCTAACAGCAACTAAGGCATCCCCTGCCTAGGGTCCCTCACTAGATCCCTAGCTCCTGGCCACCGTGTGCTGGCCAAATTTTCATCAGTCCCTATCACCATCACAGGGAAAATACAGCCCCTCTAAAAGACGTTTTAAGGAGGGATTTGCTAGGGTTTCTGGCCCCATCACACCCATCACACTCAAACCCCCTACCACCCACCCCAAAACGGGCTGGGGCTCAGGCAACTAGGAGCAAGCCACTTTCACCTCGTTCACAGGCCCCAGCTGTGGGGATTGGTCTCGACTGCAGCCTGGATGGCCGTGTAATCGCGCCGGTTGTTTGTTGACCGTCTTTCACAGCTCTATCCTGAGATTTTTTGTTCCTGACAGCAACTGATGCCCGAGGATCAAATTCGTGAAGCGGCAGCAGCACACACACAGTGGTACACAGGCCCTTACTCCTCTCTCCACCGTGGCTGTGGCGAACAACGATTGCTCGGCCCGTTCCCCCGGTTTTCGTGCTTCTCTACTCCGTAACAGGACCGCCAATCGTATACGTTTGTAGTGATGGGGCTAGTCGAGGCCGACTCCAATAGACAATGACCAATTCGCAATTTCTCTGATATCTGCAAATCACTGGAATTACTCAAAATAAAAAAGAAAATAATAATGACAAAAAAAAGAGGAACGAATCCACACAGCCTCCGCTCCCTGCACGCTTCGCCTCGTTGATTGGGCCGTGCTCGGCGCTGCACCGGCGAGGGGAAAATCCGGTGCGTCCAACATTTTTGATGGACAGCTGAACATCTCCTGATCTTCCAATTCCTTCAGTCGTGGACAGAACTCTCTATTCTTCATGGCGTGCCTTACCTGAAAAAAAGAGCAGAGAAAAAAAGGGAGAGAAAAAAAATAAGAAGAGGGAAAATCTGGATCTGCATCCTGCGGTTTATCAGATGTCTTGACCGTAGGCCGAGCAGATCCAGGATATGCAATCAACCTTTCAGGTTCCTATCTCCACCGTGGCCCCCATTATATCAAGTCAAGATCAAACCGCAAATCTACATTTGAGACATCGACTCCGCTCCGACGCGGCTGTGGCTGGTCTGACCGCTCCCTGTTCAATGCCTCTGGCGCTGAACTCATGAACCCACCGTTCCAATACGGCACGACTTTAAAATCAGCGCAACGGCTCGCATCAACGGCGCCCGTGCGATCCAGGATAGATGTCGAGGACTCCGTCGCAGCAATGCGGGCACCCTCCTCCTGACAACAGGGCCTACGACCCGCGATCCCGACCAAACATGCCCATGGCATATGAACCCTATTCACGCCATGAACCCCGTCACTTTGTCCCGCCAGATGTGGGCTATTATCATCGCCCCATGATGGCAACACCGCCGCCGCCGCGGTTGCCTCCATTAGGAACATTACCCGAGACAAGTACGGACCCGAGATATATGCTCTCATCCGATAATGGCTACCTGGCCCACCATTCTATGCCGCAGACGCTGCCGTTGCGGATGCATCATCAGGGCCCTGCTTTGGAACCACGGGCATATCCTGCGCCGTACGATGAGAGATCAAATTCGATGTTGAACCCTAGTCGTGAGCCTGCTGCTTATCGAATGCGGACCTACGACCAGGAGTCCCAGTAAAGTCCCTCTCTTTTTCTTCTTTTTGTGTCGATCCAACCATTTTACCTGTCAGTCCACCCGTCCTTGTGCGGCGTCCTTGAGGTATCAAACTGGTCCTTTTGAGTTCAGAATGACAGGATATCATGCCTGCTTGGAGAAACACAAATTCAAGACAAGTATACACTAACACTATAAAAATTACTTTAGGCATAGTAATAGTTCCACCAATATGCCGAGCCCCGTATACTCCGAGAAGAGTCCAGCCGCATATCCAACATCAGCGAGTACCTCGCATGAACAAAAACCCACACCCAGAAATCCAGGCTATAGCATGCCCCATGGCTTTGACAAGCTTCTTCACCTCGAGCCCGAATCATCACCTCCTCCACCACCCCGCCGAACATCTACGCAATCTCGCTATCACCTCCATGTTCGCCAGCAGCCCATCGCAGCCCGAGCCTGCGGTGCAGGAGACCGAGACCGTCGCCCTGTAGACCCACCCCCAATAGTCCAAATCCTCCTCACAGATTTCGACCCAGGATCTCAAGATGACCGGGATATCCTGGAAGACCCACGATTTACAGTGGGCTGTCTTCTCTTCCCCGTCTCCGATTCCCCACCCTACCTCCCAAACACAGACGAAGACGAAGCCCCAGAAGGCGGCGGCGGAGACGGCGACGGCGTCGCCCGCGCAGACGATACATTTTCCACCCCACTTCTCTCCGGCAAAGCATTCATGTCCCCCTTCTTCGTAGACGAAGATCCAGATCCAAACTCCGCACCTACACACCCATCATCCGATAACCCGCACCGAGTCCCATCCCCGGACCTCTCACAACCCGAAAACCTCCGTAATGCGTCAAAACTGCACCAGCCAGCGACATTCTTCATATTCGCCGATCTTTCAATCCGCTCGGCGGGGCTTTATCGTTTGCAGTTTCGCCTTATGAATTGGGGTTCTGTTGAGGATACGGGTCAGTCAATGCCTATTCTTGCGGAGGCGTGGTCAGATCCGTTCCGTGTATATCCTGCGAAGGATTTTCCGGGGATGCGGGATTCGTCGATTCTTGCGGAGGGTTTGAAGGAGTTGGGATTTGTGGAGTTGAAGACTAGGGGTAAAGGGAAGGGGAAGGGGGAGGAAGAGGTGGTGATTTGGATTCTACATTTTGGTTCCTTTTCATGTCTGTGATTTTCCTCTTGTTTTTATAACTCCTCTTTTCGGTCATATCGACCCAGCCACCGACAGATTAGTGGGCAGTTCTCACACAACTCGATCTCGATCTCATTTTTTTACTTTGGTTTTTTGAAGGTGTCTTTCGGGGAATTATGGGGGGGCTGGAGCACAAATGGCACGGGATAGCGAGGATGAATAGGCGCGGCGTTGAGTTTACTTTTTTGACCTTTGTTCTTTGCCCATGATCGATTATCTGATTACGGGCCTGGGCCATCATGGTGTTTGTTTCTTTCGATATGAGATATGAATGATGAGGCGAGACATACTTTGATAAGTCACGTTGTGGTGCTTGAAGCACTGGGGAAGTGCTTGATAGATTACGGGATTTGAGCCTTGGGGCGTCTGTGTTGCATTCAATGGGACATCTCTACAGTCTTTCTGCGGTGCAAGGGTGACAAAGATGTAGAATAATTCGAAGTGAAATACCTACTTGGCGCGAACAAAATGCATAAAGTTTTCGTCTGGTTTCGTGGATCCAGGTGTTAAATGTCGATACTGCATGCATTCGTATTGTATATCAAAGCCAGGTCGCTGCAACTAGAGCTGCGCTTGGCCCGATAGCTGAAAATCTTGTTAACAGCTTCTTTGCCTCCTTCAAGGTCGACCAATAATGGGGTATCATGCGGCGTAATTACTATCGAGACCGAAGTACGCCACAATCCAATCATTTACCGCCGAGCAAAATGGCGTCAAGCTAGATTTAGACTAGAGTGGAACAATAAAAGCTATTTAAATTCCGTGCATTCTGGGGAGACTGATCGAGAAACCGAACTTTATCCTCTAGACGACAAACAACTAATAGAAAACGCCTACCCCGCCCAGCATATGCACGGCCATTACACCCCTTTTATTTCAGCACATTGTATCTACTGGATATGAATAGAATTCTATACACTGCGAATATCCACAGGTCCAGGAGTCAAGAAAAGCCGAATCTCTATTCCAAGTCATTAAGTCATCAAACCAAATCTACCCATCTAGGGATCAGGAAGACAGGGGTAAAAACATCAAAGCGCAAAAAGTCCATCGCCATGATTGTAATTAGCAAGTAGCAGCCTTTGTATCATCCCTTGTCTGCTTCAAGAACGGGATCAAACTAGTCCCACCCGTACCATAAAGACCGGTGGCATTTTTATCATCCAACCCTTTCATCTGTGTACTAGCCGTGGCTAGATTCACCTTCTCGTTCTTCAAGGGCACACCACTTCGCGCTGGCTTTATTATATACCGCGAAACGATCTGAATGTGAGTATCCCGGAAGGAACTTAGAGACAGGACCGCAGCATTGTAGGATTCTTTTAGAGCTTGCTCGGTCGGCGAGGAGAGTATGTACTCGCGGATATTTGAGATTGCAGATAGGGTTTTCAGGAAGTTTCTGTGAGGGGCGGGCATGTATTTTCGCATTTCCTGCTCGGTTGTATGTATATTAGCATGGGGGTGAATAGACAGTGGCCCGGGGCCATAGTTGGCTGAGTCCCGACTCGGAAGAAGGCATTGCTTGGGCTTACCTGAATATATCCCGTTCCGGCAGGTTTGATATCCCCTGTGGCGGAGTGATTGACACCGAGGAAGATATCAAATGTTTGAATCAGTGAGCTTTGAGCATTGCTCCCACCACTATACTGGTGCCACTCTCCCTTTCCCTCGCCAACATCGTAATATACGCCGTTGGGAAGACCTGCAGCGCTCATGTTCTTGCTTCCAGCGAGGAAGGGGCGGAGCTGGTGGAAGAAAACATCCGGTTTGTTCTTCTCGTACATTCGGCGAAGAGTCGAGTTGAGATCTTCGAGGATATCAGTGAATCTGTAAAGTAGTGCGGTGAGGCGCGGGACATCGTTGGCGGCGGCTGCGGCGATTGCATCTAGCATCAAAGAGATGATTCTGGCACCCTTTGCCTCTATGGCAACTGATATTACGATAAACCATTCTTCGTCTTTAGTCCCGGTAAAGGACGTCAAGAGAGAGAGGTTGTCAGGTTCTGTGATGTCTGCTTCTGGAACGGTGGTATAGTTCCACAAGGTGAGGGCTGCATATGTTGCACATGGGGGGTAGACCCAGATGAGAGGAGATTTCGAGTAAGGGTTTTGAGATGCAGGGAGGAAGGATCTTTTTGCCGGTTGATGTTAGAAGAAAGTGGGCCTGATTGTTGAACAAGGAGCTTTTGCTTACGTCTTGGGGTTTTTCGCCGCCCCAGATATATGCGTGAGTTAGAAACCCGAGGATGCTATATGCACGGCGCCATTCTGATTCAGATTGCAACCGTGAGGTTGTCAGAACTGGAAGATTATCGACTAATGGCCTGATCTGGCCAGTCTGAATAAGGGTTGGCAGCCGGACAGCGAGATTCTCCCACGGCGCATAGTATGTGGAAGGTAATTTCTGGAGTGGAAGTCCTCCTGGAAGAAAGCCATGATCTGGAGAGATAGCAAAATCTTCCAAGTTAAGTTCTGCTGATTGAATCATGGCGGCCAGTAATTCCAGGGGAATAATAGGGACGTTGTGGAGATGGAGAGTAGAGCCGAGCTGTTGTTCAACGTTTGTTCAACGCCAGAAGTACTTTGGGACAAGCGGTAGTTAAATGAAAGGGGATTCAGATATGGTGCACCTCCAGCTTGAAATAGTCCGACGTAACGGAATTGTAGACTGGACGGCTTGGCCCATGCCGGGTGGCATCGGCTCACAGGGCGTTCCTATCTATGAAACCCGGAATTGAGCCGGATCTCTATCCGACCTCCGGGTTGGTGGATGAGGTCACTCGAAGTGCCATAGCACTGTACTGATGGGACTGATGATACTGATAGCTTAGCCCCGCCATAGATCGGGGAATTATTTCTTGGATTTTGCATTTTTATCGAGTGATCGAGTGCTCAATGCCCATCTGCACGTCTTGCAGCTAGCCTATCTGTGAATGTCCTGTATCTGCATCACACACGTCAACAGGCTGATCGATTTGAATTTTGTAGAGCCAATCCACCGCCAATGAAAAATCACTTCTACTGCAATCAATTATGTAGTAGATCTATCACCATATACTCATACATCTCATACCAAAATCCTTCACCGACTTCCCAACGATGTTATCTTTTTGCGGGGATAAATGTGGGGCCGGATCGTGGAGGCGGAAGCGGATGTACCATCCGGCCTGCGACATTCCCCCGCGACGAAGTGAAAAGAAAAAAAGAAAAAGAACTTAGTCGTATAAAGTGGGAAACTGCCGAGCCCGAGTACACAGATTCTATTGTAAACTACTGCTCCGTGTTCCCCCTTGTGACCCCCCTCCCCTTTGTCATACGAGCTATTCAGCTTCCACCCCTGTCTATTCCGATCTCCAGTCTCAGCCCCAGTCCCAGTATGAACGGCACCAACGGCACCAACGGTACAAATGGTACAAATGGGGTCAAATCGCCCAAGCCCATTTTCCCCGCAGAGGCGATAACCAGGGAATACGCAGTTTCCCTGGATAAGACAGATCCCCTGCGGGCGCTGCGGGACGAATTTATTATTCCCTCCAAGGCCAACCTTGCCAGTAAGGTACTGGCCAAGCCAGGTAAGACAAGACAAGACAACCATTGGGATTTAAACAACTGTCCTTCGTGTCCCATCATCCTCGTACCTCAAGGTTGTTCTGGCGCAGATGTTGATACTGATGCTTCACAGGTCTTTCCAATGAGCCGAGTATTTACTTCTGCGGTAACTCCTTGGGCATTCAGCCCAAGGCAGTCGCGAAGTATATGGAGGCTCAGCTGGATACGTGGGCTGGCATTGGTGTTTGCGGTCACTTTACTGATCTCGAGGGGTCCCCAATGTCACAGTGGCAATTGCTCTCTGAGCAAGCAGCGGCCTCTATGAGCAAGATCGTCGGAGCCAACCCAGACGAAGTCGCCGCTATGGGCACATTGACGATGAACCTGCATCTGTTGCTAGCTTCCTTTTACCAACCAACCGAGACCCGAAGCAAGATCCTTATGGATTGGAAGGCGTTCCCGAGTGATCATGTAAGTTGCATCTTGCATCAATTAGTACCACGCATCTCGTCTCGCCACAGGCAGATCAGATCTCGGGGGATCGAGCACGGGGATCCGAAAAATGCATGGCTGAGAAAGCTGACGAGAGAAATAGTATGCAATCGAGTCGCATATCGCCTGGCACGGCCTCGACTCCAAGGATAAAATGGTTCTCATCGGTCCCGACGAGGACACTTATGAAATTCCCACGGACAAGATCCTCTCGTATATCGATCAGCATGCCCATGATGCCGCCGTGCTACTTTTACCTGGCATTCAGTACTACACCGGTCAGCTGTTCGATATTCCCCGCATCACGAGGTACGCGCAGGAGCGAGGCCTGATCGTGGGCTGGGATCTTGCGCACGCGTACGGAAATGCGGAAATCCAGCTGCATGATTGGAATGTTGACTTTGCAGTATGGTGTACCTACAAGTACGGGAATGCGGGCCCTGGTGCCATGGGTGGTCTATTCGTGAACGAGCGTCATGGAAAAGTCGATTATTCTGATGGGGAGGATTCGCCCAAGTTTCGCCATCGCTTGACCGGATGGTATGGTGGTGATCGATCTGTGCGGTTCAAGATGGATAATAGTGAGTTCTCTACACCCTACCCTACCCCGCCTCATCTCGCCTCGCCTCGTCTCGCAAGAATGGTGAGCAATGACATAGTTCCACATGACACTAATGCATATACTGCAGAATTCAAGCCGATTCCTGGTGCTGGGGGCTGGGTGCTCTCCAACCCCTCCGTAATTGACTTGACCACACTCTGCGCTTCACTTTCCGTCTTTGATAAGACTTCCATGAAGGAGTTGCGCCAAAAGTCCTTCCAATTGACCGCCTACCTGGAGTTCCTGCTCTTAAATGATTCTACCGATGAGGATCGTCAGTTCCAGATCATCACGCCTTCTGATCCCCATGCCCGCGGAGCACAGCTGAGTCTGCTGCTAAAGCCGGGTCTTCTGCACAAGGTAGCCGATCGTTTACAGAATGCAGGTATCATTTGTGATAAGCGTGAGCCGGATGTTGTTCGAGTTGCGCCTGTGCCGTTGTACAACAATTTCTCTGAAGTCTGGCAATTCGTCGAGGTTTTTAAGGGGGGCTCTTTCTTCATGATTTCCATCATACATAGGCTCTAGAAGGAAAATGGGCAGGCCTTTTGTTTTCTTTCTTCCGGGATTAAATTATTCTTATGTATAGCTTTTAGTAAAATACCATCTGCACTAGCCCTTTACTCATATCATATCCTTTCAACTGGAGGTAACCGGTTTTTTGTCATATTACAGCAATCAATCGGACACATCTAGAAAAAGAAAAAAAGAAAAAAACTTCGGAACAACCAATTGCCAATCAACATCGCTCACACAGGGAGAGATGGGCCCATTGGAAAATTTCAGAAGTTTCCAACAGAATCCCAATTTTCTCCACTCCTAAGGAATTCCTGTCCCTGTGAAAAGAAATTCGAGGCCAGAATTGAAAAATCATCATTCGACAGCGTTAGTTGCTGCGGCGAGAGTAGCCCACTCGTTGAATAATCCTGTGCCCCATCAAATGCAGCATCCGTCCCGGCCCGGCCCCCGTCTCCGCTCCGAAGCTCTGATGTTGTACTCCCGACGATGAATGCTCATCCGACGCATTCAATCGGCTCGGGGCGGGTAGGGGCGAGGTTTGCGAGACCTCTGCGGCTACAGGCGGCGGACCTGTACAAAGGGAGTCGCCGAATAAACGACGGGCCGAATCTGTGTCGTTATTGGATGAATATTCTAGGATCTCCCAGAAGCGGGATAGGTCGATGAGAAGGCTTTGGTTCTCTGTGTCTGGGTCTGGTTGGTAAGTGGCTGAGACGGCGTCTTCGAGGTGTTGGAGTCGTCGGGCTAGGCGGGCCATGTGTGGCCATCTTTGTCCGATTCGTTGGACGAATTGCACGCATTGGGTGAATCTTTCGCGCTTTTGTTCTCGGATTGTGGGGTTATCAGTGAAACTCAGCTGGAGCTCGATGGTTGCTACTACTGCGGCGCTGTAGCCTAGTAGCGGGTCTGAGACTAGGAATGACTTTTCTTCGAAGTAGTTGATGAAGTGGATGATCCAGGTTGTGTGCGAGGAGATCAGGTCTGAGGTGTGTTGGAGGAAAATTTCCGGAATTGTGCTTCGGAAAGTGCGTAAGCTCAGAGAGAGTAGGAGTGGGTGATTCAAAAGGCATAGGATGGTGTGATATATGAATTGATTTAGGAACCAGGGCCCCCAGTACTCCCGATGAGCCTGAAGTTCTTCCAACGACCTGTCGCTGAGATTTGCGGGTTTGTACCGATGTGTCAGAGGCATGCGTGTTTCCATTTCCATCTGTATGGCAAGAATTTTTGGAGTACTCGGAATCAGGAGACCACGGCGGGACGTTGCTGGGTCTTCCTCGAAGTTGCACGTATTTCGCAGTTCGGGCAAATGCCTCACTTAGCATTATCACATATGCATTAATTCCCTGGTCCTGGATCGTGCTTCTTCGAGTCCCCGAATTTGACGGCCCTGGGGACATAACTCTTGGGGGCCTGGGTGGACTCTGTGGATATGGTGGACCGCCCACGTCGGGGGTTGAAAATTCCCCGCCATGTAGTCGCTTAAGAAGACATATGCTCCAGAAGCAACGCCGGCGCTCTTCTCGAACTATTGGGTCTGATGGAGGACGAGTCTCCACACCTAGATTAGCGCACTGGGCCAAATTCATGGCGAGGCTGCTGTGAATGCTCGAGCGATGCGTGTTACCATCTATTTAGTTTGTTAACTTGCGTCGAAGTACTCTTGGGTGTATCATACTGGTAAAGTCAACCAGGCTCAACAGGCATAAGCACTGGAGCGTTGATACTTCAACGGGCCCTTCTGAAACTCGTTTCATCACGAGACCGCGTGCAACTTCTGCATAACCATTGACCTGCTCCGCCAGATCCCTGCTATTGTGATATGTATCCGAAAAGCGGAGGCTCAAGGCGAATATAGCGTAGATGATTTCGACATCGCGCGTTGGGAGACTGGCCAAAAAACTGCTTCGATGGAATAGAGGCAGTGGCTGAGAATCGCAGTACAGCAGATACAACTCTGCAATAGGCATTATTTCATCCCAGGGCGGCAACACAGCCGATAAGCTTGTCACGGGGGGGTCCCATAACTGGAATGGGAGAATCAGAAGCGCCATTCCTCGAATTGGAGCTGGTACATGGACCTCTGTTAATAACCATGATGTTCAAACTTGCAGAAAAAGGAGATATACCCAAGATGATCAAGGACAGCTCCAAGTTTGCCTTCTAGGCTTTTCAACCTGTCCTCCTAAGGATATTTTAGACGATTTCCTCCAGGGCTTGGATCCTATATTCCTACCAATGTGTGCGACGCTGGCAGAGCCGCGCTGCTGCTTCTGGAGACTTCCTCCGGAGCTGGTCGACGCCTCTCTTCCGCGTAAACGCATTGCTGCCTGAGTCTCAGCACAGAGCGAGCAAACAGGCTGCTCACCGGGGCATTTTGCTTTCTTGCGCCTGGGCCTTCTGTGAGCGACATTATCTTCAAACAAGGCAAGGTTCGTGTTCTTACCTGCATGGTTCACAGGCCTGCCTCACGCGTTTGGCGGGTCTCTCTGGATAAGCGGGGTCTGTCTGGTCCATTTCACAAGGCTTGGCTGTCAAATTTCATAAAACATAATTCTCGGTCTGCTTTCAGCACTGGATAGAAGTGTCACATTTATCGATATGTTTGCGTGCACGGCCTTTTTTAGCGAATGTGAGGGAGTTGGCGTATTCGAAAATGAAAGCCCTCAACTGTATAGCCGAGAAGGCCCAGAGCACCACCCTGGTTTGTCCGACTGAAACTCGGTCGAAATCGCAATGTTGTCTTGAGAAGTTGAATTGCAGTCGCGGAAACACAGTTATGTGGATGACTAAGCGATTTATATCCGGCAGTGGATGAAGTCAAGACTAAGCCATAGTCGCCTTGTGATGATCAGCTGCTCTCAATACTATAACCTTCTACTACTCTAGGCTATTTTATATGGGATGTCCTGGCCCAAGCCTTTACAAGCTAATGTTGGGTTAGATATGATGAGTTCCTCCTCGGCCCGATTCCCAGCGTTGGCACTGGCAGTAGACTAGCCCCTCCTGGACCAATGACGCGCCATAGAAAGTAAACCGTAAGCCCGAACAGGATCAGATAAGGAAGCCAACAAAAAGAGCTTGAGATAATTACTCTACGTGAATATAAATTCAATGGGAGTGAAAAACTGCATCCGAGGCAACAATTCTGGAATTGGCGCTTGAGTTGGTATATGTACAGCCCCAAATCATCAATGTGCCTGCAAACCCGTCTATTCCATCATCGGAGTAGAAATACACCGCCAGCCAATCAGACAAACAATATCTTCCGCAACCAAGCCAGTTGAAAGAGGTGGCATCATTTATTTCTCGCCGAACCAAGTCTTGTGGCCCTGTAGTTAATAAAGTCAGTATATGTGTTGGAGAAACGTCACCTGGGGAACTTGTAGGGGGCGGCGCTGGTGCTAATTGGCAACGGGGGGTTAACTCACGAAGACCATGCGGCCCATGGCGTAGGTGGTAGCTAAGAAGGGTGTCAGTTAGCTGGCTGTGAACAATTGTAATTCGAGATCGGACCACTCACCAGCACCGAGGCCGTAGACGGAGATGAGGTAGGGGTACATGATGTAACCGCTACGGGAGGTCTGTAAAATGCGAATCGCATGTTAGGTTCTTGATTGCCAATTGCTAAGCTGAGTCGAGGGGCGATTGAGTCGGGGACTGACCTTCCACCACTGACGCTTGCCGTCGTGGTTCTGGAACAGACGCTGGTAGAAGGGGACACGGTTCTCGCGGAACACGAAACTGTAGACAAGCAAGACGAGTTAGCAAGTGTTTATGACGAAAGTGAAAGCAGTTCGAGCTTCATGGCGCGGCCAATTGCAATTGACCAATTGCGGTGTCCCTCGAAGACTGCACGAATTTCGGGGCACCCCCGGACTGGGTACGGCGCGGGTCCGGTGACATTCGGGTTCAAGGGGACATAAATCGAGGGAGACGTACCCGGCCATACGAGGCGCAGTGCGGAACATTTTGGCGGTTGGAGGGGAGGTGAGGGTTTGAGGTGGGAGGAGTGAAGGGCGATGATCGTGCCATCCGTCGTTGTGAGGCCAAGGTCGAGTCACCTGACTTCCCTCTTCTTTCCGGGATGACTAAGAAAGTGCCGAAAAGGGCAACGCGCAAAAGCGTCCAATCATCATCAACTGAATTGATGAACTTGCAATTATTGTTGTTCAGTCCTTTACTACTCTTTTTTCTGTCCTGATTAGTTCCAGCTCCATGCGGTGGTTGACGCCGGTTGCCATCCCTTCCCGTCCAATCCATGCGACCGGCTCTTCTTCGACTGCTGAGGAGGCCCTTCGCCGTCTCAACCCTCGACACCCTCGCCGCGACCTCTATCGGGATCGAGCAATTGGAAATTGATTATACGCGCCTGCGCGGTCAACCACAATGCTTGCGACACTATTCGAGTATCAATGACGCCCGCGCGCCCCCTGCTGAGCGCAAACAGTGGCCACGCCAGCGTACGCCGGACAAGAAGCCGACGGGCAAGAGGCGACCTTTGAGCTTTCCTATCCACGAGATTGAAATACCGACAGACACCGATGCGATAGCACCACCGCCACCACCACCTTCAGATAAACCTTATTCCGAAAACGAAAGAACACTCGACACCCCTGCAAAGGCTTTGCGATTACACCCGGAACGGCTGGAGTTCGAGTCAAATGTTGGACACACCCATGATCTTGGCACGCGGTTAGTGGACCAGCCGGAGCATTCGAGCGATTTTGAGCTTTGGGAAGAGCTCCTCCATCATCGGCAACGGAAATATGGAGATCAAGGCACACAAGAGATTTGGGAGGGAATGACAGTGCGCTTGCAAGGAGTCCAATTACCCGTCACTGGACCCCGGGCCGATTTCTTCTGGAGATGCTTCGTGGGTCTTGGGCTGAGGCGCGAGATATATCTTACGAGCGTGCTCGAACATGCAATTGACATCTACCAGCGTCAAGGCATCAGCTGGCCGCATCTCTATGAAAGTGTGGTAGGTAAACTATTGGATCAAGGCCGAACAAGACAAGCTTCCGCACTACATCGAATGCTGCAACGATCAGGACTGGCTCAACCGAATGATGTCGCAAGGGTGCTTAAGCAAGTCTTCCATCCTGCATGTCTGCCAATATCTGAAGATCCGGCAACCCTCATCATTTCTCAACGGCAGACAATCGCTTTCGGGCAGACTGCCTTGAAAGCTATGTGCCGCTGCGCACCGGGTCATCGTATCTACGGACCGGTAATCTCGCATTTAATGCAGAATGGTTATGGAGAATATGCGCTGAAAATGCATGAATTCCTCGTGAGACACGATGACCATCCGCAAACAGCGGAGGAAATGTTAGACCTTTGGGAATACGTCAAAAAGCATGGCAGTGAACGAGAATTCAATGCCATTCGAGACTATGCTGAAGAAAGAGAATTTGAAAAATTCAACACCGACACTTCCATGACCGATGAGACAGCATCAGCAGGGCACAAAAAAGAGAAAGGAGGCAAGAGATACAACGACGACATCGGTGCGAAATTGATATCTACGCCGCCATTCAACTTGGAATGGGTTATTGGGACTCTCAAAATGCTCGGCGTCTCAGCAATCGGACCCCGTACTATTCGCGAAGTTACCATCAGAGCCAACAGCAGTAAGGAGATCCTTGATAGAATCAATCTGATTCGGGGATCCGGAATCACGATCGAAGACTCCATCTTTCCAAGACTGGTTGAGAAGCTTGCCAAACAGCACCGCAGCATCTTACTTTCCGATTTGCTGCATAGTGATCAACATCCCGATGTCCTGGCAGACGTGAAGATCCAAGAATCGTTCCTGGTGTCGCACTACATGGCCCAGGACTGGCGCCAGTATAACTTGGCGCTGGCAGTGTTGGCAGAGCATTTCCCGAGCTCGTCAGGTCTTTTAGATCTACACTTCCGCAAGCACATTGCAGCTGGGGAATATGATGCAGCTTCCAAGGTGGTGGATGAGGTTGCCATACATGGTCAGAAGTTGAGCGAGGAGAGTGTGGATTTTCTGGCGCAAAAAGTCCTGACATCTCGTCAACAGACCAAAGGCCCATCCCCGGGCAAACCGCTATCAGCTAAAGATGAGGTGATGTTCGTCTTTCGGGTTCTGCAACGCGTGGTGCCAGCCGGGAGCTATGTCAGTGCGCCATTTTGGGTTGAGTTGCTGAAGCGACTCGGCATGGATAAGGATTGGGATGAATTTAGCGAAATGTGCCATTGGTTGGTTCACGAGTACTCATTTATTCCCCACGCGGAGCCCTCGTTGTTCCCTTCCAAATTGCAGCCTACGGGGCGAGACGGCCGAATTCTCAGTCAGATATTTAGCACGAGAATGCAGGTGGCGATTGTCAGCTGGGGATTCCGACCGCGCATCGACGAAAATGTCGTCGGCAACAAAAAGAATTACTACAAAGACCCGACTACCGGCCAAAGGTACATGCTCTTGGTGCGAGGCATAGTTCTTCTTCGAGACTTGCGCAATGCTGGCGTGAAAATCGAAGTAGACTGGGTCCGACGAGCAACTCGTCACCGGTTGGCCACTTTGTTCAGCGAGTATTCACCCTCGGCGAGGCGAGTGAACCGGAGGCTGCGACTAATGTGTCCATTTACTCTGCACGAAGTGGTTGCAGAAGCCAAACGTGCTTGGGGTGATGAATTTTTGTTCCGTGGGCATGAGCGCTCGCGGTCACCTCGGTGGCTGGCAAATCCATATCGTACGAGGAGCAGTCTCCGCCGTTCTTCCAACGTCGTAATTCCGCGACGAGAAATGGGGCAACTACGTGAACGGGCGAGACGAGGCGATAGTCGTGCGTTGCGCCAGATGCGCGAGTGGCAAGATCTACGCGAGCGATTTCCACCGAAACCACGGCGAGGCCCATAGCTGTGTTTCTTGTATATTATTTTGTATTTTATCTTTTGTATTTTGTACATATAGGATGGATGGATGGATGGATGTACCAATAATTGATAACCACTGATACAAGTGAGAATTTGAACCCACCTCGTCCTTCAATATCAACTTGAACCCTCCCAGGGACACGCCTGGGTATCCTTGAAGAAAATCCATGGAACGAATGAAGATGATCGACAGCAGGGTGCATCATTAGGCGCTCTGCTCCTCGCGTCAGACCGGGCTGTGCGACTGACGCGGATGTGTTCCCCTATGATTGAGTGTTGCCTACGGAGTACGAAGTATTACTACACGGTCTCGACTTTCTCTATAAGAGATTTCATAGTCATCGCCTCCGTACAGTAATATATCCAGGCTAGGCCAACGAAAGGCTGCGCCAAGCGTGGCTGGACAGGCGATCCACCCGCCGATCTAAGAATAGTTGAGACGGCAACGCGGCCTGGACCCGCTTAATGGATCATCAACATTCCATCCTTGTCACTTATTGACACCCTTTTTCCCTGTCATTTACATCTTCCTACGAGTACTCCTTCCTCCTCTCCTATCGCATATCGCATACCCTCACCATGCAACTCCTCCCCTTACTGGCGCTGCTCCCCGCAGCCCTCGCCAACCCACTAAATATCCGCGCAACCGCCTGCAACAACTCACCCGATCTCTGCGACAAATCCTACGGCGATATCACACATCTAGGCGCTCACGACAGTCCGTTCGTGACCTCTTCTTCCTCAAGCTTTGCCTTGGCTGCCAACCAGTATGTTTCTGCCAGTGCTATTCCTTCCCTCTTCACCCCGTCCAACCATTCATTCATCTGACAATTCTACCCCAGATATTACGATACCCCGACCCAACTCAGCGCCGGTGTCCGTCTCGTCTCTGCCCAAGTACACAAGAGTGGCTCACAATGGCACCTCTGCCACTCCCAATGCGGTTTGTTGGATGCAGGCCTATTGAGTGACTGGCTCAAAGACATCAAGGGCTGGCTAGACGACAATCCAAACGAAGGTACGCGCGGCCCAGCCCAGCCCAACACACCCTACCAGCAAAGCTAACAGATCTTCTTCTTAAACACAGTCGTAACAATCCTCCTCGTCAACTCCGACTCAGCCACAGCCTCAGACCTAAACACCGAGTTCGAAACAGCAAACATAACCTCCTACGCCTACGAGCCCAAATCCCTAACCTCAGCACCAACCACCTGGCCAACCCTACAAACAATGATCGACTCAGGAAAACGCCTCGTCACATTTGTCCCAAGCTTGACAACAAGTACCTCATACCCCTACCTAATGAACGAATGGGACTTCGTCTGGGAAAATCCATACGACGTCCGCTCCCCATCAAACTTCTCCTGCTCCGCAGATCGACCATCAACAGATACAACCACCCTCCAAGCATCCAGCAAATTACCCCTCATGAACCACTTCCTCTACTCAAACGATCTCTCCGATATAGGCGTCGAGTATCCCAACACCTCTTACGTCGCCACGGTCAATGCTGCGTCCGGCGGAACGGGCAATCTCGGCAGTACGTTGACGAAGTGTAAGAAGACTTGGGATCGAGCTCCGGCATTCGTGTTGGTTGATTTCTTTAATCGCGGACCGGCGATTGATGCGATTGATGATATTAATGGCGTTACTAATGCTGTTGGACGGACTTCGGTTTCGACGGCCGCGGGTTCCTCGAGTGATGGGAGTACGATCAATAATGTCTTTAAGGGGCTTGTTGACTTGGCTAGTTCGGCTAAGTCGGGCGCTACGCCTTCGATGGGGGAGTGGATTTGGGTTGGTGGGGATTGGAGTAAGATTCTTGGTGGTGGGATTGCTTTTAGTTAAGGAAGGCTAAGGCTGTCTCGCTTGCTTTGCTCCCTCCCTCCCCTCCTCCCTCCTTTTCTTTCTCGCACTTTGACTTCGACCTTGTTTATTATCGTGCAGCGTTTTTTGTTCTCGCACATGTTTCGATTCCCTCTTCATACTGGTATATAGAGCATGGGGTATGGGCTTTTTGTTTGGGATTTCTGGGTTGTGTCGGCGTTGCATGATCGCAAAATGACCTGGTGTTTTTTTTTCTCCTCCCCTTGACTGCTTTCAATTGGGGCTGGAATTGGAATTGGAATGGAATGGAATGACGGCATGACCTGCGAAGGGGGCTTTGATCCCTCCATAGTATATAGAATTGAGCAAAAAATTGAATAATTCTCATTGAAACTGATCGGTGCTCGTATCCGCTGGTTCTTACTAGTACATTCAAGTTCCATGTTCAAGTTCAATCAATAATGATACTCTGTCAGTGGTACTCCGTACTAGTAGTAGTACTGGTACTGATATTCCCCGCAAGAGATAGTATAGAGCCTCCTACCCCACCCTCTCTCGATGAACTTCCAACTTAAATTCACTGGTCTTTCCTCAGTAACTGGCGCACCTTATTGACCTTATCCTCAGCAGTCTGCTCTTTATCCGTCCTGTTTCAAGTTATGTGTCAGCCAGCACCTGGGTAAACTATATCACGCGAAGATATACACATATATTCCACGGAAGTATATAGTATAGAGCTTTATCCGATTGGACGGGGATGTTTGAGAGATAAAATCGTCCGATGCAGGGGCCGTAATCAATTAAAACTCAGCTCCAACTGCAGAAGCTTAAAACGCACCTTGATCCGACCCGGATATCCGTCTGGATACGTACTATTCCCTGTTGGTGGAGGAGGGTATGCGCCTGTCCGATGACCTGGTGGACCCGGTCCCAGGAGCCTTCTGTAACACGATACGAGGGCTGATTAGCGATCAGACGACCCTAGCTGAGGATGGTCGTATAACACCCCTTTATATTGAGACTGTAATTGGATCATACTACTACTTACCGAGAGTGGTGCCGGCGGAGTGCAGGGTGTATTTTATGCCCGAGGCTTCGATTAGTCGCTGGACATCGGCGATTTGGGCGGAGACGGAGGGTGAGGAGGTGCCAATCTGGGGGTATGGATCAGGGCCGTGACGGGGGAGAATGGAATTGAGGGCTGGGTGTTTGGCATACTGGAATCAGACAAAAGTCCGCGGTGCACTTGGGAGGGGTAGGTAGTTCCATGATGGCGTAGCGGAGCAGAGAGTAGAGTAGAGTAGAGTAGAGAGTAGAGAGTAGAGAGAGTGTTGTGTAGGGAAGAAGTGGAGGTGGGGCAGGTCGACCTCGAACTCTCGGCAGGCGCTAATGTTAAGCTGCGTCTGCAAGTATTACCTTAAGATAGTCTGTACATTATGGTATACCATGGACCGGTCCATGGTATACCTGGATGTCTATGGCCACGTCAGAATGGGCAGATGTGAAGCTCTTGAGGGATTGCCCAACCCATGAGGTCACCACAAATGAGGGGGCTATTTAGGAAACACACCCCACTACGAGGGGTTGTAAAATATTTAACACTAAAATTAAATTAAAATAAAAACCACCATTTTTCCAACCAAAAAGTGCATGTTAATTTGAATAGGGCTGACTAAGATACGATCCGATCGGCGAGTAGCTTCCCAGGCTTGATCTCGCGTGACCAATCGTCTCTTCCCTCCTCCACTCACCTTATCAGCCCCCCCTGCAACCCCGGACTTCTTGGGAATCGAAATCTAAATCATACAAAGAAAAGAAATTTATTTCTACGAAACTCATCCAACTTCCTCCTTACATCTCCCCAAGTCATGCTCCTGGAGACTTCCTCCTCCCCATTCTCCCTCCCCCCCCGAATGACAAAACCCAGTCTCCTCCAGCTCCCACCGGGAGTTCAACTCGTCTACCTGGCCGAGGGCGGAGCAAATGTGATATACCGCTTTGTCCCATCCACCTCCCATCTAGCGGTCAAGAAAGATGATTCAAAACAACTGCTCTCGTCATCTCACGATGGCGGCGGGGTCACGGTCACTACCCTAACGACTATCCCCCCAATCTTCAGAGGCAAATTACTTCGTCTCCGCAAACAAACCGCATCAAACATCAACTATAAAGAAATCGCAGCAAATTTCAATACCAAAATTCGGCCCCTTTTCCACGCGGACGAATTAGTCGACCAAACACTAATTCGACTCCCGGATGACCTCATCCCCCACTGCAATCAATTACTCCGCGCCGAAGAACGAAACGGAGGGTCCAGACCTGCAAAACGCCATGGCAGCTATCTGGCCTTGAACGAACCATTCGGTCTACTAATTACCGACATGACCGTCTTCAATGATGCCGACCCAGGCGCAAGACTGGCCGAGTTCAAGCCAAAATGGCTACTTCAGTCCCCGTCAGCACCGATCGGTGCGGAACGGTGTCGAACGTGTGCGCTTCGGGAAATGAAGAATCGCGAAGCGAGAGGGTTGGGAGTGAAGGAGTCCCGATCGTTTTGTCCGCTTGATCTTGTTTCTGAGCGCTTTGATGATGTACTGCGTGCTACGGCGTTTGTTAGGGGTTATGATGCTGGTAATGACCGTGACCGTGATCGTGTCCGGCTTGCGGAGATCTTGTTCCGAAATTCAACTTTGCGGAATTTACAGTCTAGACAGAAGACTTTTCGGGAGGTTGGGTTGTTGGGGCCTGTGGAGGGGTCGAGGGAAGATTCGTTGGATATGACTCTTCGTGATTGTACGATGTTTATTAAGGTAAGCCTTTTGTCCCCCCCTCTCCTTTCCTCCCTTTTATTGCTGGGGGCTTAGCCCTTCTTCCCACCCACTAGAAGGATTCGGGCTAATATTCCACCCAGATCCCCGGCAACGAATCAGAACCTGTGGAAATCCGCCTCGGCGACCTCGACTTGAAAACAGGAGCTGGAGGCAAAGCACAGTACTGGCGAGATTTGGAGCGCCAATTAATCGATGGAGGCTGGTACTGTACTTCTAGTTCGGACAGCAGCCAGAAACAGAGCGAGTGTGCACTGCGGTCTTCCCGTGATGAATTTAATGGTAATGGCAATGGTGTTTATTCGACATGATCACATCTTTCAAGCCCCGGGTTTATGCTTTGGATAATTGGGTAATCGGGTCGACTTTTTCGCTTTACGCTTCTTTCCTTTTTTTTCGGCCTGGTTCGGTTCGTTTGGCTCGGTGCTTCAGTATCAAAGGGGTGTCCTGATAGAATAATTTTAACATAATGGGTGGTTGGTTTTGAATTGTTATACATAATTCGTTGTTACATAATTCGTTTCTGTTGCTTGGTTCACTTTGACCAGGTTGAGCTTCGTTAGATACGAGTTTTAGTTCGGAAACGGTGGCTTCTTGGCTTTGTTAGACAAATATTAGTATCTCTTATTTCTTATCACAGGCCTTTGCTCCAAGTCACATCTACACTGGTGAAAACGGAAAGTGGGTTGAGCAAGTCAAGAAAGCGATTCCCATATATGATATACTTTAGACTGGACGGGGCTATTTTCATGCACTACGGCATATTCTAGGCGAACATGTTGAATTACTGATCAAATTAGATAGGGTGACATCGGTTGTGATAAAAAAGAGTTAACCACCACGAATTCCCGAGTTCACAAGTCTCCACGCATTCATAGCTTTATAGCCCTGCCTCACTTTCTGACAAAAGGGGTTCTCTTCATCCTGTAACAGAGACTCTATCTTCTTGTCAAGCCACCTCTATTCCCTGATCTCCAGCACCCAACGCTCTCTGCTGTTCGGTTGTGGTTGGCCATTCCCATTCGATCCGCCTCCCTCGCCACACCGTTTCTTCGCAACCGTAGGAAGAACTTTCAACTTAATGACTTTCCTGAAGCTTCAAGCATTCCCATCATCCCATTGATCAAGTCCCCAGAGCCAGTACTAAACCCTTCACGCGCCACGCGATTGATAATGCGCCAGCCGTCCATAGTCTTCTCGAGTTTGTCCACATAGACACCGTTCATCTGGTACATCATTGGTGTGCCATCGGGGCCATTGAGACCTAGAGGAGTCAATGTCTTCACTTTGACCACTGCAGTCTGCTTGTCATCGGAAAAATCAATGGCAGTATTGGCGTAGATGTGGAAAGTCCATGGAAAAAGCTTCCCAGTGAAGACAGGGCCTCGCTTGGCCTCCTCGTATGTCATTTTTCCACCACCACCTGCAGACCAGTCGAAGGAAGTATGCGGTGAAAAGATTTGATCGAGTGACCCTATGTCTCTTTCATCCGCAGCGTGCACGTATCGTGCATACAAATCATCTATCTCCAGCCGGTCGGAGATTTCTTGGATGGAAAGAGTCATCTTGGTCGGATATAGTGATTGTGTGCGAGGAAAGAAGGAAGGAAAGATCGACCGGCCGTAGGTCATTTGTTCACTCATCCGTCCTTTCCAGCATGCAGTAACTTGACTTTCTTACCTAGTGTGACGCGTGCTATCTCAAAAAGGTAGGATATTCAAGATCTTATGTGCACTGCACAGCACTGCACAGCGAGTCATGGCTTGATTGACTGTGAATGTGAATACAGGTAAAATGTGACCGAAGGGACCAGTGCCAAAATTGTACGAAGGCAAAAAGAGTATGTCTGCGGACACGCGCCTCTGACGCAGCGCGGACAAAGAATAGGTAAGTTAGAATGCAGGACATGAACTATTCATAGAGGATTCGGACTTTAATTCAGATAGTAGACTCCATAGCCATGATGGCGTCGAGTCGCTTCTGCAATTGCCTGAATCGAGGCAAGAGTCTACAGAGGGCAAAGGTCTAAGCGGCTACCCTCTAGAGGAGGCGCAGGCGAATAGAAAAATCTTACAAGAGGAGCTTAGCAGTGACAATAGACTACCTGCTCCCCGACGAGTCATTCTGCAGTCAGCCGTCAAAATTCTCGACGACGTACTACATTCCTTCCCATCGGCGTCGGTAGATATACCGGTAGATGCGAGGGCTGTCGCATCATCAGCAAGTTTGCACGAGCCATCATTCGAGTTCTTTTACATGATGCTTGAAGGTTGGTGCTCTTTCATTTGCTTGCTTGCGTACCTAGCGCACAAACTCATTTCTGTTCACAAACCAGAAGCCGAAAAAGGGACATTGTGGCCAGATCATGTATCCAATCCTTGTCTAAGGGACATGACCTATGCTCTGATGGCCAAAGATGGGAATGAACAATTTCTCTGTCATTTTCGAGTCTGCGTCTATACCAAGGCTATTTCTGTTATATCGCGATGGCTTGTATCCACAGAGACAAACACATCCATAACGCAGAAACTCATCGAGTCCAAGTCCCGGTACATGGCAGCAGCCTGTAAAGCGTTAGACTCGATCAGCTTTCTATCACCTCCAAGCATCTCAGTTATTCAGGCTCTCCTGTCAGGGGTATGGATACCTCTACAATATACCCGGTCTCTTACAAGCTTTGAAGGTTAATGAACCTGCACAGGCAATGCTAATGCAAGGAATGGAAAATTTGTCTCAAAGCTGGGCTTTAACATCTGTGGCATCTCGTTATCTCGTCGCACTAGATGGCCACAAATTGGCCAATTCCGCCCCCCAGAACGAAAGAGATAGAACTTTAAAAGCCTGCCTTGGTTGGTGTTTCTGCTTGGATAAAATCATGAGCATGCTGCTAGCTCGGCGCTCGTCACTACCAAAGCTGCTGACCACTTCCGCTGAGCTTGTAATACTACCCGAAAACTCTCCAGGTGCCGGTCTCATGAAAACCATGGTGGATCTCTCTTTAATTATACAGGTTGTGAATGACACTGTGACAAGGGCTGAGTTGAACGAAGCCATTGACCTGGAAGGCCGATTTGATGCTATCTTGAAAGAAATGAAAGAGATGTTAGCGAAGATTGACTTGGTAAGTTTTTGTGATACCTGAGGCATTGCTGGCCAGTTAAGATGCTAATACTAAAATTGGGTCACGGTACAGGCAAGGGATGAAGCTTCGCGTGCACATCAGCTGGACTGGATAGCAGTGGAATTCACCACTCGAGCCGCCCTGATAAGTATTCATCAGTCGCGTCTCAAGCTCATGCAGAACCCTTCGACCCGAACCGACTGCGTCACGTGTGCTCGAGAATCTCTTGGGTATTTCTCACGGCTTCAAAGCCAGCTAAGTGACGATGCCAGATTTGCAGAAACTTTCACTTTTCAAGCTTGGTAATAAATTCTATTCATTAACCGTAGAAGGACGAAGGAAGCTAGCTAACTAGCTTTCTAGGATAACCCTTGTGTTCCCCTTGAGCAGCTTCTTTATTCTGTTCTGTAATTTCATCGCGACATCCAATATCGAGGATTATGCTTTGATGGAGCAGGTTTTTCAACAGCTACATCTTTTGCCTAACTCCAAATCTCGTGCGAGAATACAGCATCTCCTGGGCAGTTATCGTCAATTATGCCAGGAAATTTTGCCGAGCTCAATAGAGGCTCATCGAGGATTGCAGACCGAATATGCCATACCACAATCGGAAAACCATGAGACTGGTAACATGCAGGCAATTGACCCGGTTGAATGGCTTGAGCGTCCTGAAGAGCACCTCAATTTTGATGGAGTTTGGGACGACGAGTCACTGCAAGATCTTCTTACGGCGCACTCTTCGCTGGGGCTGTTTGAGCAGTGCAATGATGTGTAGGCCATTTCCGCGGCTATCACTGCACTGAAACCTATATGTAATGAGTGATCAGAGGGCTTGACAGGTTATTCTCAACTCTGAACGCTTGTGTCGAACTGTTCTCTCTTCCCAGTCGTGGACGTGGCCTTATATCATGAAGATGTTTTTGATATCTAGGAAGAACAACATGATATTGAATTTACAAATCCACGCAAAATCTACTTGCACGAGATTGATTGATGGCTCCCTGTCCTTCTTGCTCAATTTTTTATCTTCGTGGAAAGGATTAGCTCGTGCGTCTTCCAAGGGCCTTAGTGATCCGCAGGTTGTATTATTTTCCCCACGCAATAAAACCTCAGAAATGGAAGATGATGGTCTGTTTGCTGTATTTAGCCTCTTTAGCTATTTTAGATGTGGTGAAGGATTTGTTCTCTATTATATTGTGGATTGATTAAATAAGCTTTGAAGGCGAGAGTCTTGGAGATATGTTGCCTGGATATTATCTATGGTACTGATCTCGTACTGTAAAATAGATTGATGGTTGCCCAGGTGTAGAAAGTCATCTAGATCAAAGTGTTTCAAATAATATCCTTTTCTGTTTAGGACAAATTTTTGGGAATTACATCATGGATTAAAAAAGTGAGAGGTCAAACTGAATTCAATAACTACTAGTACTGTAGCTTAACTATATGTTGTCAGCTACCCGCGACCCATAGTTATCAGCTGGCTGAAACCGGGACCGCGGCATATCACGACAGAACAACTAACCATTAGTTAGTTACTAGTAGGATACACTCCTAATTTGCTTGGCAATCTCATGACCTATCTACGAACCAGTTAACCTGTATCAAATGGTTTTCATCTAGTATTCTGACTTAATCAGACTTTACATATTTCTAACAATATCTAAATAACAATAGTAGCGAATTTTAGTCTACAAAAGTCATTAAGCTTAGTTTACCTGCTATAATAAGTCTTATTCAAGCTATTTATAACCCCCCTCCCAACCTTTAAGCCCGGGATTCGGCCTGCCCCTAGCCCATGCCCACACCTAACTTGAACTTATCTAGCGTTTCTTTTACACTCCTACTTCAAAATCTCTCCTATCACCCCATGACAGCAACCAGGAACCTTCACCACGATTACCAGAAGATTTCTTAGACCTACACACTTCCCACGCTTCTACAGCCAAAAACTACCCCTTTTCACTCTCTCGGGCGTCATTCGCTTCCCCACTCCCATCAACCTCTACCCTTCACGTCTCGCAAAGTCTATACACACCATACCACCAACACCTTCTCAACAACGGTCCCTCCTTCAAAACGCGATCCAACAATGGATTCCAATCTAAACGACACCGACCAAATCGAAGCCCTCCTAAACAAAGATAATTTCAAAACTTGGCGCTTTATAATCTACAGATGCACATACCAAAACAACACCGACTGGGATAAATTCCTAACTCACTTCCTGAGCCCCGTCCCAGAATCTCTAGAGTACTACAGCGGTCTAGATCTCCTTGAAACATTCGCCCCAACGGTGCTAGAAGACCCCTCCTTCGAAGGTGCGACGGCTGCCACTCTCCGCGAGCATTTAGGCCAGTGGTCAAAGACTGCAATGAAAGAGGAACAGGGCGTTAGTGAAATCTACCGTGCACGGACTGGTCGATACCGGTTTTTTATCATGATGGATCAGGAAGATATGCAGTCGGTTTTGAATGCACCTGTGGATCAAGATGAGATGGGGTTTGTTCGTATGGTGTATGCTGAGTGGGGACCCGAGGAGCTTGAGAAGGAGGATATTGTGAATGGTGATGTGGATGACCCGGAGGAGCCACTTGAGGGGTGCACTGAGTATGATGTGGGTTGGATGAAATTGTATTGGCAGGTTGCACAGTTGCCGGCCTTTCTTAAGTTGCGGGATAGTGATGACTGGCAGGCGTATTATACTCGTTCGCCGGAGATTGGACATATTCTTTGATGTCTAGTTCGATGATCTATAAGGTATGGAGTGCTAGTAGTATAAGATTAAGATCCCGAGTCATCATTCGCAAATAGGGATATGAGGGATCTTGAGATTAGATTAGATTAAATCATGCTGGGGACGGTATTGGATGCTTGACTCTGTATTTGCAACATAGATACCTGCATACCTGTCTGATGGTTTTATAATTGCCGTAGTGGTTCTACTACTAGTAGTAGTCTAAATCCCTGACTCCTTCGGCCCCAGCTCAAAAGTGAACTGCTGCGAAAGAGGTGACACCCTCCAACGTGCAAAGAGCTGCGCATTCTCCACCAAGATCCGCCGGAGCATCTCCCCCCTCTCCTCTTCACCAGGCCATACACCCTGCCATACGCATACATACGGCTCCATGATCCCCAAGGCCTCCCTGATCCAACTCCCTGCCCTCTCTTTGCCAATTATCCCCTTCTGCACCATCTGCCTCTCCAGCTCCCCCAGGAAACGCTCCTTCTCCTCTCTGTCCTTCACCGCAGCATGCATAACTGCTAGTAGTATATGTGACCGGATTGACAGGTCTAATTCATCCATCTCGATTCCCTCTAGCCCTAGTCCAAGTCCAACTGTCTCCTCCACCGCAACAGCGGCTAGGAACTTCACCTCCTCCTCACTCCCGATCTCTTCCTCCCACCCCCTCCACCGCGCCTGTACTCCAATCCCTCCATCCGGCAACCCACACCACATCACCTGCTCCGACTCGCCATCTCCCTCGACAATCTCTTCCCCCGATACCTGTGCGAGGTACTCTGCTTCCAACCTGTGTATATCATACTTCCCCTGCGCAACCGATATCCCAAAGCAATTAGGCATCCATTCTTCCCAAGGAATTATCTTACCCAGGTAAGAACGAGATATATTAAAAGTAAAATAGTCAAGCCAAAAGCGCGCATGTGATTCCGAATCAGGTGCCGCGCTGGGGTTGAACTCCAACGTACTGAGAGCTACAGCCGTAAGAGTCTCAAATGACAGAAAAGGCTGCCTACAGCGCGTGCACCCAACCGTATAAGCCCAGCGGGGTCGTTTCAGGACATGCGCGGACACCGGATTACGGCACGGCTGGCATAGCGGGGAAGAAGAGTCGGGCAGGTCCTGGAGATCAGGCAGGCGGTAGAAGCACGCTGTAGTGCGCTGGGTGAGGAAGTGGGTAGAGTAGTAGGAGCGCCAGACGGAGGAGTGCAGAAGGGCGTGGTGGGCTGTGTAGAAGGTAGGAAAATCGGAGAAGGAGGGCAAGTCACCTTCCAGTTGGGAGGTGTAGCGGTAAATGGCTGCTGCCAGTTGTGCGAGGTAGAATATATCCAGGGTACGATTAAAGCGTAGTTCGCACTCGCCGAAGGACCAGCCGTGTGCGTGTAGCTTTTCTATAACGTCGAATACCCCGTTGCCATTCCATAGGCCCTCGTCTAGATAGATGAATGCGATTCGTAAGATATCCTCGTGGCAGGTCACTGGCACGATGCCGCCTTCGGCATTGGTTAGGAATTCTTCGGAGTTCATTGTAGTGCTCATGGAACGTAGGGCGATAAGGGGATGAATGCGGGAGATTTCACGAGAACCTTTCCACTGTTCTACATGTTCATACAACTTGAAGGGCGAGGCATGTGCTATGTAATTATAGAAGTTGTAAAATAGTGTCCACGTAACGATACTGGAAAATATCTATTCCGAGACTATTCTCAATATAGTATGATAGTTCTTGGCATTAGGGTTCCAGAAGGGAGACTTGTTTTTCCATTCTTAACCGATGCATTGCCCAATATTTACTTGATCCTCATCTAAGACAAAACTCTTCTTCTCCGCTAACTTCTGCTTTGAACCTTTGCCCCCCCCCCCAAAGACACTATCTAGCTATATGTTCAACATACTGAATTGTTAAGATCAAGTAATTTATTCAAACGGAATAGCTTCAACAAAGGGCGGACAGTATGGCGAGACCTGGTCTATTGGGTCGGTTGCCGATATGAAGCGCCGTACCCCGAGTACAGGGTACAGTTCGATGGTCCACAAGGTATGGAAAGCCATAAGATTAAGACCCCGACTCGGGGCATCATTCACAGAGTGTCTTTAGATTAGATCATATCACATCACATCATATCAAATCAAATCATGCAGTTCACGACTGTCCAGAAGTAGGTTTCACAGGCTCACTGCCCCAATCACTCATCCTCACCGCAACAATCTTATCCCTCAGAATCTGTCTCTGGTGTCTACTCCACAGAAGGAAAGCCCCAACAGCAATAAGTGCCACGCCCACCAGAGATCCGATCACAATACCAGCGATTTGGCCACCCGAAAGACCCGAGCCCTTTGAGGAGGAGGATGACGAAGTCGAAGTCGAGGTCGAGGCCGTCGCAGTCGAGGCAGCGGTACTCGTACTGGTTGATGTCGTTTCGGGCGCCGTGATGTTACGACAGAACACAAATTCCTTGAATGCGCTCAGCTCGACATAGGTAATGTCCGCGCAAGCGTAATAGGTCTCATTTTTGTCTGTGTCAAAGGTGGACAAGTAGGATATTTGGAGGGTGGCATTTGACCCCGAAGCAATGTTCTTGGGCGGGTTTGTTACGTCGTAACATTCATGTCCTGGGACGAGATCGGGGAAGTCTTCGATGGCTGTGAAGTCTTTGTTTTCGGTTGGATCTGGGATGGAAGAAACTTTCAGTATTTTCTTCTCATCGTTTCTCTTTTATTTGCTCGTTTTAGGTCTCACTGTTTTGGTAGGAAATCGCTAGGTTGATGTTGTAGGATTCGTCTTGTAGAACTAGTGACACCTTGCCGTTGGCTGCACGTGGGAGGTGAAGTTAGCAACCCGATAGAATTCTGGTGTAGTTTCAATCTGTCTTTCACTCACTCAATGGGAATTCGGTTCGATTGGTGACGCCGGCAGAGGATCCGCAGGGAGCAGTGTTGTCTTGTGCGGCTGCCCAAACGCGATCCGGAGGCCAGAGGAAGGCAGCGGGTCCCATGTCTGTGGCCATGGGTGTCTCAGCGGCACGCACAAAAAAGAGGCAAAAGCTGGCGAGAGCCAGTAGCACCACCTGTCGATGCATGATGGTTGAGAGTTGAGTGCAAGTTTGTTGATTGTACAACGCGATGTCTACTGGGAAAAGGAAAGAAAGTAAGAAAGGGAGGAAGTGCAGATAGCGGGGAGGGTGTGGTGAGTCAAAGCAGGTGAGGTGAGCTTGGAGGGAAGGCAAACTGCGCCGCAAGAAAAGTAAGGCCAGCAAAATTAGCTACTAAACTAGGAAGAAGAGAATCGCCTTTTTTACTATATACATCTTAGCATTTTGAAGGGTACCCACTGCTTCAACATATGACTACTCGGTAAGATCCCGCGAGAGATGGTCCACGAGGTGGAGAAAACCACATATTCTTCTTTCAAAAGTCCAACTAGTCCCCTCATCTCTGAAGCGAGTACTACCTTACCACTTTTTGAACGTCGCCAAGCCCTGCAATACTTCGCTTGCTCGAGCCGAGCGAAGCAGCGTGACGGATGACATGTTAGCGGAGGAGGGTAGGGACGCAGTTTATTGGACATGCGTTATATTAAATGAGTGAATTGGGGTGTTAGGAGCATTAGCGTCGCCCTAGCTCGCAGTCCTTCCTGCAGGGTTCAGAGGAAGAGGGCCGGATGGTCGTTCGCCGGGTGGGGAGATTAGATTGATAAGATTTATTGGTGCCAAGGCCGAACTACCAACTACCCTAATTAGTTTCTTCTTGCAGTTCCATGTCCTTTTTGCATTTCTCACGCCGCTTTATCCTCCCTGGGTAGATATCAGCACATCCAATTGTGGTCAGGCGATGTTTTGCCAAGCCGACGTCCTGGCTAGCATTCGCCTGATCTCTCGAGTAGATTGGACGACCTCCCCCAAATCATATCAATAAATGACATTACCCTAATTCCATTCATTCAAGCAACTTCGAACCATTCATGAATAATAATAATTTGCAAAAGTTTATAGAGATAATCGGCCTGACTAGCCTTTACACATCAAGACGATTCCGCCATTCACCAACCCGATGTACCCAGTCACGAACAAGGGCCCCGAAAACACCTCTCTCGAGTCATCAATAGGAAGACCATGCGTACCACGATCAAGAACAATATAAGTTGATCGTGGATAAAGCTCCAGCAACCGAAGGCTATCCCGGTAGCCAACAGTCCGGTCTTGCCGGCCGCACACAATGAGCGTAGGTGCAAGGAATTTAGCACTTTCATCGAGCACCGCAGAAGATAACTGGTATCGATTTGGATCTTCTCGGATTGGACGCAACGCCTCACTATCCGCTGCATTCCATGCTGGACTGAGAACATCCTTATATTTCGCTTTTAAAGCTTGAATGTAAGGTGGCGTTTGGATGAGAACGTTTCCAAGTAAAGCTTTATCTTCAGCTGAGATGGTCGACATGAGCTCCCTATTTTCAACCAATGTTGTGAAAGCATCGAGGTCGCGCATGCTGTCCTTTGGCTCGATGAGTGGCACGCGCAATAGTAACCCATCGACTTGGTTGATGTACTTTTGGGCTATCGCGCGCGCGATATAAGCACCGCACGATGAGCCGATGAGTAGGAAATTCGAGCTTCCAAGTCGCGAGTCGATGAATTGTGTTAGACGGGCGTATATCTCGTCCAGATCTTTGACTTTATTTGCAGGTGTGGTGCCCATGCCTGGAAGGTCGACGTAAATTCGACGAAGTCCTGGTATTGTGTTGAAGATCGGCTCGAAGTCCGGCTCTTCGGATTTTCCCTGCATTTCCCATCCGTGGATGATTAAGATGGGGAGGCCTTTGCCGATTTCATGTGCAGACAATGTGGTCTCCATTTTGTCGTTTGGGTCAGTTTTGCTTTGGATTGATGAGGACTAAAAAGGGTGAAGTTCATGGCGGGGGAAAGCTTATGATTGTAATCACGCTAGCTCGTGATGCTGACAAATTGAGGAAATACGAACTACGCGCCATTGATTTTCCCATAGATTAGAGAAAAACTAGCGAAAAACCATTTATTCGTCGTCCTTCAAGTAGAGCTGTTCACTTGGAAATGTGCGATATCTCGTTATATTTTGTAATTAGAGTCGTTGGAAGAGAGAATCCGGAAAAGAACACTGGCACTTTGATCGAAAAAGCTACATAACAAGCCATCGAAAGGCTACATCAAGCTTTCAAGACATGGCTATCAATTTTGATATGGACCTGAAAGTAGATTAGGAAATTGATGTGTGCCGCAGACTTCGGCACAGCATGGTGTTTATTAGTTAGTATGAGATTTACGCTGTGGCTGCCTCTGAGGCCCGTCATAAAAGCGGCGACAGCTCAGACAGAACAGCCCCACCCGTCAAAGGGAGCCCTGGTCCCTGGTATCGCTCTTTACTCGTGGCTTGCAGTAGTTTATCTCCGAGGCGTGATAGGAAATGTCCGTTTTTTGGTCGGATTAGAGTATCGGTTATGGGCCTTCATTGTGCCTATATGGCGTAATTCAATAAGACTGGGATCAAATTTGATACATGTCCTAAAATGGATTTGATTTTATTATTCGCATAGTCCGTCATTATATGAGTTGGCATGGTAAGCTTGAAAGCTGCAGTAGATGAGAAGGTTAACACCACTAGTCCTGTCAACAAGTGAAACAAGCCCATGAACCCATGTTTGTCAAATCTGCAAATTGGGAAGGAACAAACAATACCAACAATACGCTAGTACTGGAGGAAGTCGCAGGGGGTGACCTCATGCAAAACTGGAGTATCCGATTCCGGTAGGCGGGTGCCTATAAACAGCTCTCACTTTCGCTTCGTTCTCCTTCCTTCTCCCTCTCCTGCTCACCCCTCCATCCCCTACATTTTGATCCGCCTCCAACATTCTTATCTGCTTTTCATTCTTTCGTTTACGCTTCTATCATTATGTTGTTCTTCTCGCTGCCTCGAGCGGCTTTCTTTGCTCTCCTCCTGTCGTCCGTACTGGCCCTCCAGCTTCCAGAACTGTTCTCGCGCCAGGAACCCGGTTCCCCCAACTACGAATGCCATGAAGATTGCGGTAAGCACTAATCAGAGCCACGAATATGAGATATGTGAATAACAATACCCCAAACCCATAGGCCTGGTTACCGCGTTTTGGCACAAAGACGGCGAATACTGTGACAACCCAGATTTCCAAAAGCACCTTTCGAACTGTCTGAAGTGTGCCTTGACCGAGGATGTCTGGAAGTATTACGGCGAAAATGTCAAGAACGCTGCCAACAAATGTCACGTTGATGCCACTCCCAGTCCCTCATCCGCGCAGGGGCCATCGCCAGCCACTGCGTCCGGGACGGGCTCTGGAGAAAGCTCTTCCTCTCTGACAACCACCACTGGTGAGGCTTCGACTTCGAAGACTGTATGTCCTGTTACTCACACTTCTCACCTCTTTCTCAATCTAATCAGCTTCATAGGAGACTTCTTCTTCCACCACCACATCCGCTACCGGAAAAAGCTCCTCCTCGGTTTCCGAATCCACCTCGAAGACTTCCGAGTCCGAAACTGTATGACAAGCCTTTCAATCCCATCGAATTTTTCTTTTAACTGACCCCAATGATAGGGCAAGACTGGTACTACTCCGGCCACTACTGGTGAAAGCTCCTCGGCCAAGACAACTGCTGAGCATACTTCGACCATCGTGACTGCCTCGGGCACTCCCCATCTTTCGACATCTGTGACTGCTTCAGTCACTTCGCATGTCTCGAGTTCCGCCAAGGTATGACTAGTTGTTCATGCTACATCTTTCACAGTTGACTAATTCAATCATAGGGAACTTCTCCAACAACCTCTTCTAGTGCGTCGTCTGTTTTCAATGCCGCAACGCCCATTCAGCAAAATGCCGTTCTTGCTGCGCTTATGGGTGTTCTGGCATGGGCATTCGCCGCATGAGTCTCGACATCGAGATATCTGAGGGGTTAATACCACAGCTGTGGCGGAAATTTCAATCAGGATATCTACAAGGAACAGGAAGTGACCATGTCTGTGCATGCCATGCCTACGCTAGACCGCACCCTTGAGGCAATGCGCGGGAGTAGTCCGTGCGTGGCAAGGAAGCGTGGATTTAGTCGGCCCTGGACCTTGTATGATGAAGAACCTTTTTGATACTATGTCAAAAATCTAATACCAAAAATTTAATTTTTCTATTCTTAACTTAGAAAGCGCTTTTTCCCAAGTGAATCCTAGCCTATTTCATAAACTGGACAAATCCTGACGCATGTGAGTTTCATGTGGTCTCGATGCCTGATATTAAGCATAGTTTGATATTCTGGTCCAAGTTAGTTTAGTCGACCTTTTCGAGAGATTAAAAAACGCTTACTCAATCAGATTCCCATCTGGGTCCCTCACGTAAACGCTCCGGATCTTCCCAACCGCCCCAGTCCTCTCTACAACCTGGGAGCCCTCAAGGACCTGTCATGGATTAGCAAAAAGCACACCTCAGTTCCCAATTCCCAGATAACATATAACTTACTTCAATTCTAGCATCTCGGAAGGCTTGAAGAACCTTCTCGACATTCTCATCCGTCAAGAAACACAAATCGGCGCTCCCAGGCTTGACGTTCTGTGCCTTGGGCTCAAACTCCTTGCCCGACAGATGAAGATTGATTTTCTGGCTACCAAAGAGCAAAGCATGTCTATCTTACCCATTAGTATCAGGAAAAATAGTATCAGAGCAGGTTTGTATTTATGGTCCTTACCTTTCTACCGACGGGTCCTTGGGCGAAGTAAAGACTTCATGACGCATCCCTAGATTGGTCGTGTAGAAGGTGACTGCTTCCGGGATGGAGCGGACTGTTAGAACTAAGTGGTCCAAGCTCTTGACTGCGAATCTTGCGGTCATTTTTTCTTCTTGTAGATGGTGTAAAAATATGTTTGAAATTGAGAAAGAGAAAGTTGGAGATCCCGCGAGGTGTAACTTCTCGGCAATTTGTGATCGGCGCCGATCCGGGGATCCCGATATCGTCAACCATATAGCCTACCTACAAGGGGGAAGTGCGCATATTGTTATCTTGAGTATATACAATCAGCTCTTTTACTCATTTTATTCCAATTCTTTTTCCACAAGCCACCTGTTAAGTTCAATAGCAAATGTTGTTTAAAGTACTACGCGTTTCATGCTTTGGGTGCCTTAGCACTAAGGCATCCACATGCATTCATCTGTATCTAGTTGCCATATTCCTCATCTTCATTCTCCCTATTTAATATTTTCGTCGAATGCTACTTGATGTTGATCTCGATCTTTATCATATTTAGGCTCCTCGCATAAAATGTCAAATTGTGAAGAGTCAGCCTTGGCCCCCACTAAGCGATCTGCATGCTGCACCGCCACAGCTTAGCATAAAGGTAACCCCTCCTCTTGAATTCCACTAGTCTCAAGTTTATCGATACACTATTCCTGACCCCCGGGTATGGATCCGCTTTCAATATCAGCAAGTGTAGCCGGCCTCACGGCAAGCTGCCTACAGACAGCAAAAGCGCTGCGCGATCTCAAGGACAAGTTCAACAACGCTAACCTCACCATCTCTGCAATATGTACCGAAACAACATTGATATCCGCGTCCATGTCTCATATCCAGAGTTGCATATTGAAAGACCCAGATGCCGTATCGAGTAAGCTGCAGAGCCACCCTAGTCTTGAGTCAACTTTAGACCAGGCCCTGACAGGCTGCTATGTGGTTTTCGATGTCCTTGAGAGCGAGATCTCAAAGCTGACAGAATCGGAGGTACTACAAACTTCAGTGGATTTGAAGTTTACTGCCAAGCTTCGCTATATGTGGAGTGAAAGTACGATGAAAGAACTTTTGGGCCAGATGCGTGGTCTTCAGACTGCACTTGGCTTCATTATGCAGTTGCTTGGAGTGTAAATACTATTCTCATCCTGGAAGAAGTAACGACTCTATCTAATACATATGCAGTGGCACAATAACGGAGCTCAAACACTTGATGGATCAGAATACGGCCATCCTCAATGAGGTAGCTCAGCATACTTCCCGCATTTCTGCTTCTGCCAATAAAGCTTCGCGAGCACCGAAGTCCATTTATGACATGTCCTTCAAAACCCTCAGTATCTCGGAGACGAAGCTTCGCTTTATAGCTCGAGGCTGTTTACTTTTGATGATGAGGTAGTCAACTCAACTGCCTATCGTCAGGTTCTGGCCAAGGCTTATGCTCGGGAGAGGTCCACGGATCCTGGAAACTCGAACGACGCGGCGGATGTCCAGGGAGAAGAAGAAGTCTCTCTAAACACAGATACACAGGATACATCTGGTATGTGGATTGTTAAACGCCGCTTCGGGTAAATTGGCTATTCTAACGGCCACTTCATGTTTTCTAGAAACCTCCACGCTGAGAAGTGGAGAAGAAAGCGAAGTAACGAGAATGACGTCCCACACAACAACATCAACCCCCTCTCCATTTATAACAAGTGATCCTGTGAAGGTTTTCCTAAACGGGAATATACTTCATACCCCAGATTGGCAGCATTATTGGTCACTGGGGCCAGAGATTGATTCCATCCCGAGGAAGGAGATCCAGCGCCAGAGCTTGCTTCACGAGTTAATAACCACCGAGGGGGGGATTTCTCCACCAGGTTCAAGTCGTTCACTATCTTTATTACTATCGTCTGATATTAGATTCATCAACGATGGTTTCTAGGGGTTCAAATCAAGAGTTTGCCGAAAAGACATTTAGCTTTCATCAGCGGATTTACGACTTGCACAAAACTTTCTTATATGACCCACTACTCAAGCGGCAAGAGGCCGAAGGGCCTTGGATCACCAACTTTCCCGACATTTTTCAGAGATGGCTGAGTGAAGCCACTCCGATTTATCTGGAATTCTGTGCTCTGTACCCCCGCCTGCACTCTGCAATCAAGATTGAGGCTACGAAAAGTTCCTACTTCCAAAGATTTCTCAACCAGACACGGGATCACAGATTTGGCAACAGGCTGGGCTGGGATACATATATGAAGAGTCCTATCGTCCGCATTCAAAGGTACCCAATGTTATTTGCCCATAGCCTTAGGTACAGCGAGCGGACCGATGAGCGGCACGGATATCAAGCGATAGAAAAAGTGATTCTGGATCTTCAGGATCTCGTTCGAAAGTGTGGTGTTGAGATTGAAAGGGCTGAGAAAGAAGTGCGAATGGAGAGACTGCGCGAGCAGATAAATTCCACACTAAAAGATGGGATTATCTCGCCGCATGCAAATATCCTCTTCGACGAGGATCTTTTGTACCAGAAACGTGGCTTTGGAAGAGTTACTCAATTAAGAGTTGTTGTTCTGGGTCCTGGCGACTATTCAATGGTACTTATCTTGAGTAAAATCTCCAAGCTGACGCAAATAAATGACGATACCGACTCGTACGAGTTGGTTGAACAGGTTAGTCAGAGCTTGGAATGGTTCACCTATTCTAGCACCTACCAATTGAAACATAATGCTAATGGGTTATGACGATGTGCATAGTTTGACGCTCGAAACCCTATCACACTCTATCTCACGTCCAGAGACTCGGAGGTTGTCAAAGAGCAGTTTACCCTGGTTTTCTCCCAGAATGGCCACCAGCCTGATTTGCCAAAGCTGAGTTGCACTAGCCTCACAAGCGTAAAAGAGCTTTTTAAGGCCGTGGGGGCCATCGGTGGAGAAGTCAAAGATATAAACCGTGGGAATATTATCCGCGAGATTCTGAATAAGAGTGCGTCTTCCGGGGTGTTGACGACTCCAAAGAGTGATAATACGACAATTTTGCGTAAGAAGAAAGAAGTCTTCAGATTTGACGAATGAAGAAGGCATCTGGGACACCACCGTTCTAGGCTACTCGGACCTCATTCAGGTTCGAAGAACCATTGTTCAATCAAGAAAATTACTAGTATCATCAGCTCACTCAACCTGTTATTTTCCACTTTGCTCCTAGGGAATAACTAGGTATAAAGTAGCGGGCGTGAGCGAGAACTAAAAATAAACAACCCTAATCTGCAGCCCATTTGACCCCATTTGACCCCGCATTCGAGACCGTCAGCATTGAGGGATTCTAACTACACTTTCTTTTTTTTCCACTGGTGATTAGCTTGCATCCTCTGTCGCCAGTAGGTCCGAACCAGAAATCACCTTTCAAAAATGGTTTCGTCCTCTAAAAAGCCTCTTGATGTGGAATATGCGGAACAGATGCAATGCCACCCATACGGCACTGCGCTGTATCGCCCTCAACCCCGCGATACATTTCATCCAGGAATGGTGGGATACTTCAACGACGATGGAGACTGGAACCCTATAATCGATCTTTCACAACGCTCACAGCCATCATTCACGCAATCTGCGTTTACAGCCTCACTCGCACTACCCGATGATCTTCCCGCCATGGCAATACCAGAGGAACATACCTGGGGCCCGAAGTTGGGCAATACCACGCGCGTTCGCCAGATCGATCTGACAGCAGGTATATCGCAGAGTGCTCTCTTGGCTGCTGCGGGTGTGCCTTTGAGTCTGGGGTCATGCTATCGGTTCGAAAATAAAGATTCCACTGGCGCGGTTCTCATTACCGGTGCTCCGATTAAGCATGAGCGGTTTTACCACGCGACACCCTTCAAGCGATGGGTCGCGTCGAATGCTAAGCAGCTCTTGACTGAGATAGCTGAGCTGAAAGATCATGCGCTGTGGGTTATCACGAGTATCTGGACCGCGGAGGAGGCGGCTGTGAACTGCTGGCGGGAACGCCATCGAGCTGTTGACGTCGGGTTCAACGTCGGTTTTGTCGAAATCGGTGAACTTGCGCCTAAAGGGGGGCTGGGTTGATAGCGGTTCGGCAGAGGGATGGATACGAGTAAAGGGGGATGAAGTAGGTTTTTTGCCCATATCTCAGTTTTCTCTTGTTGCTTGTCCTTAGGAGTGATTTTCTTTGAGGGGAGATTATACATGCTGAAGTTTAATTAGGGTACAGGAGGTCGAAGAGTAGTATTCTTCGGAGGCCTCAAGTTTAAATACAGACCTCTTATCGGGGTACGAGTGGATATCGCTTGAGAATCTCAAATGAGAGACTGTCTACTAACAAACTCACTTTACATAGGGACTCGGATCGCAGAATAAACGCACTACATTCAGGGGCGACTCGACAGAAAAGGAAACCGTGGAAGCCTCCTTGAAAACAGATGATGGTATGGAATACGATTTGTCTTGCGAAGCTGTTCTTGAAGATGCGTCCTATCGGCCTCCTCAAAATGGGGGTGGGCAAGAAGACGAGCCTGACGAGCTCGAAGTTGATGACGATGATGATGATTGGTGAAGATAAGAAATATCACAATACTTGCGTAAATATAAGTAGATTCAAATAAGAAAGGCTAGATTATCTTCCAAGGCATATTTTTCGAAGAAATTACGGACCCAGATGTATGTATGTGGCCCAAAGCAATGGACTTGCACCCGAATCTCTCATTTCGACAACAGCCTGTCGGAGCAGTTTAGCCGATTGCGTGGGGTCGCAATTTGACCCCAGGGCACCGAGTAGTTGATAAAACCGTGCAGCCATGTTGAAGCTAAATGTGTCGTCCGCGCGCCAAAGAGTAGCAATGACATGGGGAACTCCGGCCATTTGAAACCCACCAGCTAGGTGCAGTCCTTCGTCGCGGAATTTAGACTTATTTGATGCACTCTCACATGCTGAGAGATACACAAGTTGCAGTCTCATGTCGCTTTGGTTTTTCTGGGTTTGTTGAAGAATACATTCAACATCAAGTGGCTTGGTCTGCCAGTCTGTCAGACGGAGCGCGCTTCGGGCAGGATCATCTCCATCGCAGACACCATGACAGGCAAAGTGGGCAAAATCTGCTCGACTAAGATGGCGTAAAACCTCGACACGACTTGGACTGTGTAGAAGTTTACTTTTTCCAACGCTGCGATTGAAGATCTCTTCAATTTTGGTTACTTCCCTCACAGAGCCTGGGAGGTTTCCCTCTTCTCCCATCTCTGGCGTTGATTCCATTGAAATCAAGAGTGCACGCTTCTCTGCTCTGGACGAGTCATCTGGTCGAGTGCTGCGTCTACTGCGGGTGTATTCAAGAGCGCGAAGTCCATTGATGTAAGACGGTACAGTCCGATCAAGAATGTTACACGTGGCCCCCTTGCGAGAGTTTCCTGCAGCGTGGAGTGGAAACGTTCCGATGCGACCAGTGGTAATCCACCATGATCGTGGAAGGTCTTCTGCATCAGTCAAAATGCCACAGAACCCGAGGTGATCAAGGATTGGCTCTGCAACGGCATCCCAGATCCATTCGAGAAGTTGGTTCATTTTCTGGGTCGCAACGGAGAGATCGATACCCATCATGCTGAGGGTTTCCAAGTACAGATTATCGTTTTCTTCCAATGCTGGTCCAGTGAGCAATGGAAGGGAAATCGAGTCCACGCCCTCTTTTGTCAGAATAATGGCATCGCTACGGAAGAGTCCGTAGTTCACGATGATGACAGGACCTTCCTCGGCATATTCGGCGAGGGCGGAAGTGTCTGCCGGTAAGCATGTAAACCTTTCAAGCTCTGGGTGCGATTCTAGCTTCTTCGAAAGCTGCTGGTATTCCACACCTTGTCGATAGATTTCATGTTGTTGTACTAACATTCCGCCTATCTCACTCACTGAAGGCGTCTTTTGCGAACCCTTGGCCCCAGCAAGAGGCTTTAACACTTGCGCCAGTCTATCTCTCAGTTCGGGAAAGTTCTCAATTTCCTTTTCTCGGAGAGTCATCTTGTTTGACAGCACGCTCTCCCACATGACACTGCGGACTTTGTCGAAGAGCTCGAGGGCCATGTATGGTGAGTCCCCTGCGGCTAGTGAGCAGGCGATGGCAAAGGAAGGTAGGCCGACGAAATTTTCGAGGTTATTGAGAATATCCTTGCGATCAAAGCTGAGAAGCATGCTCTTGGGTAAAATTTCAGCGGTTGTGCAGATCACATCACGAGCAGCCCCTGGCTGTTTTGCAACAATATGCTGCGCAATCGCGGCGAAAATATAGAAGCGAGCAATGGCGGAGCTTTGTAGAGTTTTCAAGTGAGGGATCAGTGTTTTGCTTGCGGTCAAATAAAGCTGTCCGGAGGTGGATTCTGCACTGTAGCCTGAATCCATCCAAGAATCGAGGATAAACTCCAGGGTATTGTAGATGATTCCGTCCGTGTGAGAATAATTAGTTATGTTTTGCATGTTCCCTATATAACTGAGGCTTTTTGTGAGTTGAAGTAAAACAGCAAGCTGGTCCCGGCGTTGTTTTGTTTGCCTAGCTTTCAGTAGTAAAACACGGGAGAGGTTCACTGAAGCCGCTATCTGAAAGTCAGGGAGGGTGCAACCCGTTGCATCAGCCTTGCAGAAGTGTTCAGCCGCATATTCCAAGTACGAAGGCTCTTTGAGCTCAATGTATGAGAGTAAAAATGCCCGCCCGAGATTGTTATGCATGTTACATCGGTTATTTGGGTGCACATCAAGGCCCCACGCGAGTACTTCAATTAAGACGGTCTGAGACTTTTTCACGTCGTCAATCTGTCCTGTGAGTTTGTATCGTTCTTGGTAGGCGAGGGCGAGGTTATTGGCCCGAATCAGGCCATGTATGGTTTTCTTTGCGGCACCCTGAAAGCATTTCTCGTAGCAAGTGATAGCCCGGTCAATGTCTTGTTGCTGTTGAGTGACCTCGAATTGTGCAGTAAGTGAGATGGCCAATCCATGGGAAATCATTAGGCTATCTTTCTTGGAATCTTTTCTTCCACTTTGTTGGAGCTCCTGGAGGGCAGAGTCGTATCCCTTAATCGATTCAGAGAGATCTTTAAGTAGCAAAGTTCTCTTGAACTTGAAATAATATGCATTTGCAAGATCATGGCGAGTCAGATGCTTGTCCTTATCGCTGACCTTTCCCAGTGATTCTTGGTACTGCGCTATTGCTTGATCAAGGTATTCGGGTTTATTGCTCCATTTGTACCTTGCGTTGGATATCAGTCCTTGAACATGGATACAATCTCCCTTTATGGACTGAAGGGTAGTTTCGAGAGAAAAGGCCCTGGTAGCCTCGGCTTGAGCCTCATCGAGGTCATCTTGTTTCTCAAAAGCCTCAAATCTTAACAATAGGCACTGAGAAAGTTTCAAAAGATACTGTGCTTGATCCTCTGCTCGATTTTGTGACCGATCGACCAGCGTGCGAAATCGCTGGATAGCAACTTCGATATCTTCGGGTTTGCCTCTTCTCTTAAATTGTTGCATGAAAGTCAAGGCCTGGGCATCGCTGAGGCTGTCGCTTGGATTTTCGCTCTCATCGTAGGCCTTTTCCAAGATCTTTGCTGATTCCGTGAGCATCTCATCGGAGTCAGCATAATCGGCGAATATTCGAAGATGATCCGCAAGGCTCTCTATCACTAGCATCGAGTCTGGCTCTACCTGTAGAGCTTCCTTCAGCATAATAACCGCAGCTTCGCCTTTTTCCAAATCTCCACTCTCTTTGAACTGAAGCGCATTCACTCGGCCAAGGTCTCGACAAGAACGGAAACGGTCATTTGAATCGTGCTGAGGGCCCCCCCTTGCGAGACCGAATATTTTGCTCGCTTTTTCCAAATCCTCTGGCGATTTTGTGAGTTGATGGCGTTCACACATGGCAGATCCCAGATTCCACCAGATACAGCTGATGGAGACACGATACTCGGCGTTCTTAAATGCATTGCTTTCGCTGCCAACGGCTTCTCCCAGCTTGGTAATGTACTTGCGCAGCATCTCCGCTTTTTCGCAACCTTCAAACTCGTCTCGCTCACGGATCAGTTTCGCCCAACGAAATAGAAAGACTGGCTTCCCAGCAGGTCTCAACTCAGAAGCTTGTTGGAAGCTTTCTTCTGCCTCCGTGTAGTCGGCATCAGTATGCTGCCGGGCATATCTGGTCGTTAGTTGTTGACCCAAGTCGTTGAGGTGCAGCGATCGGTTCCATCCCTGGGGATCACCCAAAGTGACAGCTTTGCGACAGTATTCTATGGACTCGTCGAGGATCCGATCGTCCGCTTCGTCAGCCTGAGACTGGACGAGCAGCGATCGGCCGAAAACGCTAAGAAGTGCTCCGCGAACAGAATTCTCGGGGTCGAGCAAGGTATGATATGCGACCAGGGAGCCGATAGCGATACCGGTTTCCAGATCTGGCGCTGCTCTGGTTTTGAAATATGATAGAAGGTGCGCTTCGGATTCCTGGGCGAGTAACATCGGGATCACAGTATGTTCGTTCTCGAAATATATTTGTAAAAGCCTTTGCACCTCCTCGTCTCTGAGTTGTATCAAGAAGCCAGGGCTGCGGCAGTATTCTCCGTCACGAATAACACTGTCATTGTGGGGGACAATATCAATCAAATCTTGAAGTTGCTGTCGTATCTCCATGGTTGGTGGTGCGACGGGTACAGACATCAGCATGGCAAGTTACTAGTAGTAGTACTAGTAGTTAGGTAGTAATATAGTATGGAGGATCTTCAGCTTGGGAGAGTGAATGGATAATTTGGAATTCCAAGGTTTAAGTTGTCTGAATTGGAAGCGACTCGGAGTAGTCAGACACCAGTATATATATATATTCAAGTTGACAGTCAGAAGACAATTAACTCGCTCAAAATAAACAGAGAACCTCGTATATGCCTGATTATTTTGTAGCTGGGCGTTCCGAGGGCATTAGACAGCAAAACCGGAAATATGAGACGAGTGGCTGACCTATCCCTCGGCCTAGTTAAAATGTAGACAGTCGCATGTCAGCGGGAGAGAAAAAAAAGCCGATTCGGGGCTTTCTGGCTATTACGAATTTTACTCATTATGAATGGATTTTGAGTATTCGAAGGAGAAATAAATCATTTTTCTTCATGCTACAAGAAAATCCAGCATAGAAATATAGTGAGGAGTACATGGAATCCGCATTTGTACATAGTTGTTCGTGGCGGCGGCCGTTCGGCTCGGATGTAAGATCGACTTGGCCCTTGAACAACACTGAATCTACGGTACGACGGCCAAGAGATTTCTGCTTTCCCGGAAAATAATTAATCCGACACAAACAACCAATCAATACACCACACAACCTCCGCTCGGGCTTCCAAGTTCCACCCAAGATCCACCCCACATCCCCCATTTGTCCAAGAATCTTTTCAGACGAATACATAGATACAAAAATGCACCCTTCTTCAAGCATGTTAGCTCAGAGGAAGAGCGCCGGGAGGACTCTGGATAAACCAGGACATGCTATCAGATCAGATTGACCGAGTGTATCTCGGTTTCTTTTTTCTTTCTCATAACCCGGAGGACCTCTTACTCATTTTTTGATGATGTGAACGGGCTAACTCAATGGATATGTTGTGATTTATTAGTTCTTAAAGCCCACATTTCGCTAGGTTAACCAGGATGCTCTCATTTTTTCGTTGAGTTGGAACGAATTGATGAAGTATCTCGGATTTGATATCACATGACCAGATGATCAAGCACATGCTATCATGGCTTTTTCTCTCTTCTCCAGCCTTGTGAGACTTGTCAAATACTACATCATCATCTTATTTTATTTAAATTTATCGGTGCGCATTCCACTGAGCCAACATGCGGGTGTGAGATCAACATTCAACTGTTTTGGTAGCTGGTCATATGCGCTGAATCGGGCGGCCAGATCTTTCTTATCTTACATCTCAACACTACATAACTCTGCCAATCTCGAATAACGGTCACTGGCATCAATCAAAGAGCATGGCCATGGGCCATCTGTGCTCTTCTTGATGTGATGTAATGTAACTCTATATTCCAATTTGCAATCTTATAAATCTAGTTTCTCCTGGCCACCTGATCGCTCTTTTTGTCGTGACAATTCACATTCCTTAATTTCTGAGCAGTCGCACTGTACTTCTTGTCGCCTCCTTGCATACAGGGCTGCTCCCCGAGCAGCTGCGAAAGTCAGGTCCATGGATTTCTCTCCATGGACAGATTCCAAGGCGAAAGGGGCTATCTTGGGTTCGATATTAAGTTCCGAAAGCTCGGCCAAAGCGTCTTTCAAATTAGCCTGAAAGAGAGGGTTTGTTGTGCTCTCACCAGCTAAAAGAAAACCAGTGATTCGAAATTCGGAGGACTGAGAAAAAGTTGTGATCTGCTCACGGAAACGAGCCCATAATAAGTCCGGATCATCTGCTTCAAGAATTCGATCTAGCCCCAGTTCGAAGTTGAGATCTTTTATCTCATCGTATGCCAAGAAATGTAAGGCTTCGCCATTAATAGGTATGGTAATGCTGGTGTATAACAGATGGCGTGTGAAGGAAACAAAAAGAATAACCGGAAAACCGGCCCATTCAAACTCATCTGTACACTCCCACAGATCATGATAGTTTTTGCATAGTCCATAGCCATAAGCAGCATAAACAGCATCTGCCTCTACCAGGCGTCTTGGGTACCATGGACAATCACCCGTCCAGGCCTGTAAATCTAGCTCTTGGAGAGCAGTATTGATCATTTCGTGACCCAAGGTTGGTATATCGGGAGTTGTGATAGCAACCCTATTCAGATCTTGGCGTGTCCGCTTCTCTGTAGCAAGCTTAAGATCCCATAGCATTTCACTAATGATATTGATGTCGTCCGATCCCACCAGTCGCCCAAGCTTTTCATTCAGCCAGCGCCACCCAACTCGTGCTGAAAAGGGAAAACCGAAGAAAGAATCCAAAAAGGAGAAAATCTTAAAGTAGGACTTTTGGAGAATTCCTTGATCTTCCATTAATACGGGCTTGCCCTGTTTTGCAAGGCGTGTCATAAGCTGAAGGTACTCAGATTTGCCATGAATCTGGACAACTTCGACGACGGTTCCATTATTATAATGTACGGCGGATGTTCTGTTGAAAATGTGGATTAATTCCCTTTCGTCAAATCGTCACAATAGCGACACACTCACCCGTAGGAAGGTGTGAGATCGAACCCGACTCCCGGGGCATCATAGATATCGGCTGGAAGGCATGTTTCACACTTTGGACGGGGACAGTCATAAAGGGCATGACAAGCGACTGCTAAAAAGGCAACAAGAGTGAATATCCAAGTTAAATCCATCGGGAAGACAGGGTCGGTACGTATACGCATAGTGGCAAGATAGGAGTTGGGCACTGAGAGGGGAGGGAGGGGGGTGCTTAGTTCTGACCATGTGGCACGGACGAACAATTTAGTCCGAGGCTACGACTTTCGTCAAGAGAGCTCATTCGGTGGTAAATTGCCAATTAGTTGAAATAGAGACAGAAGCCTCTGAGTGGCCGCACCATAACGGAACTATGTACAGTTTTGATTCATCATCTATGCTATAGAGATCACCATCATAGATGCAAGTGTAGCCATTGGAGTAGATCTGTTAAATCTGTTATCTATGCCTAAAGCCAAGAAAAAGAAGAAAGTTTTACATGGCCCTGGACCATGGTTGTGCCTCGCAGCTGGCATCCATCTTAATCAAGTGGAGGAACCCAAGTAAAGAGACATTCTAAACGGGTAACGTCAAAACATCGAGATCTCGCTGAAGGTAATTTCAATTTCGGCTGCCTGCATCACTACGAGAATTTTAAACCAGTCGAAAGTATGTGCCTCTTTCTCAACATGCCACTTCGCCCCCATTGTATCTCCTCCGCTAGCACCGCTAGTACTGCTAGCCCCATGAACGAGCCTCTTAGCACAAGCATCGCCGAGCTCCGCCCAGCTCCGGCCCCATCCTGGGCGAATATACCCGCGGTGAGCAAATCACAACGAAATGCCTCATCGGCCCCTGAGGTCATCGGGCACACGGCCTTTACTAGCCCTTTGAGGCATTCTAGAATGCTAGCTTGCAGATCCAATACATCCTCTTGTCCCAAGTCTCGAGATCAAAGCTTCTCACCACCAACTCTTGCTCACCACTAGTTATGTCTTACACCTCATACTCGGATGCGCGCATATCGCGCACCTTCCGGCCCATTCCGCGTCTCGCCTTGAAATCTCCAGATCGCGAAGTCGCATTTCGAAACGAACATGTCATGCGAGCGAAGACGACCCTAATACTCAAACCTGCCCGTGACGATAGCTCGGAGGTCGGATATCGCATCGTTCATGAAGATGGCACCCCCGCTTTTACCGTGACCGGTCGGAAATTCGGCGATCGCTGCAGTCGAGAGTTCCGCGATACGTCTGGTCTACCTTTATTCGATATACACAGATGGTCGGCGCTTTCGATCCCGTTTCGTTGGTATTTCACAATGCCTGGCAGCGATAGGAAATCGAAAATAGCCACGGTTGACACGCACACGTCGTTGAAGGGCGGCGATTTAAAATTCACTTTTCAAAATATGGCTGCTAGTGATTCGAAAATGGAGGGTGAGAAGGACGTCACGCTCATGGTGAGGCGACATGGGGAAGCGCTGAGACTCTTTGACATTGTCGATGGAGACCGGAGGATTGGTGAAGTGCGAGAGAGCATTCACCACAATGAGAAGCTATATTTAACCAAACGCTCGAGACGGCAGGGATTTCGACCGGCTCTTGAAGTTATCATCGTTCCCGGCGTAGATGCCACTCTGGTATGAGCACTCAAACTAATTCACTGGTCGTTTCAGCTAACTTTAGGTCTAGGTTGGGGCTATTGCAGTTATATTGTCTGATTGGTATTTTGGAAGCGGCTAAATATGATACCCAAAGAGTAGTACTACAGTTCTTATGTTTTTCAGCGAAACTGTTTCATATCTGATGTGTCTTGTTCTTGGTTGCACCGAGTATTGTTCGAATTTAATTTTAGGACAGCGAAAACCGACCGAAATGAAATTCCTCTCAAATGTCCAATAAGCAACCCGGCCGGAGTTTTTTTTTTCTCGTTCTTGTGACTAGGTGGAGCTCTAGATGGATATGCCGGATTGAATATCCAACACTGCCCAGCACAACCTGGTTTTTATCCGCTCGAGGACACATCGTACTATAAATTCTGAGCCAATCGTCCATTAGATTATTAGTTCATCCACTTAGCAATCAAATTTCGTCCAATTTTGGCTTTGGCATAGTCAGCGACAAGGCGTTTTTCCTCAACCGCCACAGCACAGGCATAATGTGGCGGTGCGATTTGAGAAACAACGCATTGGGGCGCACTGTCAGGCAACAAAGAGCAAGAGCTCTCCCACCTGGGCATACTTATATCTCTCTCGTTCCAGGGCTCTCTTTCTCTTCTTGGCAATTAAACATATCTACTTTTCCAACAAATTTCAGGAGAAGATCGATCTTAGTGTCGATCTCCAAGGTTTTCTTTTTTTTCCTTGACCGCAAATAGTACCCCGCTCTACCCCTTGCAGGGCAGAATCGATCGCAATCTCAACATCGGTCTCAACCAACCGTCATTAATTCAGTCATGGATCCAAGGGTCGGTGTCGGTGTCTTTGTTCTCAACTCTGAGGGCAAATTTATCATCGGCAAGCGTAAGGGAAGTCACGGTGCCGGTATGTCCACTCTCAATATGCACTATTACCCTCTTGCATTTCATAATAGCACCATATAGCAGGATTCTGACCTCTTTATTCTGAATATAGACACATTGGGGCCTTCCAGGAGGTCATTTAGAATTCGGCGAAGGGTTTGAAACATGTGGCGAGCGTGAACTCCTCGAGGAGACTGGCTTGGAGGTCCGAAATCTACAGTTCTGGACAGCTACGAATAGTGTCTTCAAAGATGTTACTCCCAATAAACACTACGTCACCATCTTCCTTGGAGGTGTCGTCAGTGATGAAGGGGCTCAGCCGCAGGTGAGTACATAGCTTCGTAGATCATGTGTCGCTTCTGTGTGCCCCCCTTTTTCGTGCTTCAAGTGCCGTGCTAACTAGCCAATCAAGATCATGGAACCCAACAAGTGTTCGGCATGGGAATGGGTGTCTTGGGATGAGATCAGAGTTGACGCAGAGAAGATGATATCAGGTGCAGGGTCTCCAGAGAAGACGCTCTTTCTGCCCTTGGTGGAGCTGTTCACCCAGAGACCTGACTTTAGCGTTTCAAGGGACTCGGTGGTTTGATGAAACACAAATCTAGTTAAATATCGACATCATAGAATTCATGGACGGCATTATGTAGCACTGCTCATCTTAAACGAGTTATGCTTTTGCAAATATGACGACTTCTACATAATTGTGCAACCACACCAAGGTGCGATTAAGCCTTTTCCTTTTACGGCCCGTCCTATCTGATGTGTATAGCCACCTGCCGATCCTTTATGCACTTCATCAATCAAAAGGAACGATAATGGCAATTAGGATAAATAATCGGACACCCCTTGATAGACACGGCAAGCCGTTCATTCCTTAACTCCTAATCGAGTACACACTCCTTTGTTTCAAATTTCATATAATAACGCTTAGTATCATATCTTATACCTGACTCATATTTTTCATTGCAATTTCATTTTCGTTCGTGCTTTTCAGGATGCATTTCAAGTATTTTCTTCAGGTCAGCGGGCTGGCCCTTTTGACTGGTGCCGTCAGTGCCCAGCTGGATACCGATGCCCTCGGCCTCAATCCTATTCTTGGAAGCAACCCTCTTGGTGGTAATACTGGTCGCGCAATCCATTCCGTGAGCCCGACCTCAACTCCCGTTCCAACCAGTTCGCCTGTCACCGATCATAAGCGATCTGGTAATCCTAGCTTCCGACGAATCGCGAAGAAGGATATCGGCGGAAATCTGGCTGGCGAACCTATTGGGAACTTTGTGGGAAGAAAAAGCTCGCCTTCTGAGAAGGCGTCCTCGTCAATTGCAACGCCTACTTCCAGCCCGAGTGGAACCCCAACCGCAGTGCCGCAGTCAAACAAGGGAATTCTTGGAAGAAATAACGGTAACTACGAGACCGACTCAACGATTCCGGTAAACTTGGGTCAATTTCTCTCAGGAAGAGATAACGGAAACTACCAGGCCGGCTCGACAATTCCGGTGAATCTGGGCCAGCTGCTCTCAGGAAGAGATACCAGCAGTTCAAATACCGACTCGAATGTTCCAGGAAACTTGGGTAGCTTGTTGGGTGATGGAGACTCTCCGTCCGCAAAGACTTCTACCAAGAGCCCGAAACCCAGCTCAACTGGGCTCCCAGCAAAGCAGTCCAAACCATCGATCAGCTCAACTGGATTCTCAAAAAGTCAGGCTAGCACGTCGCCCACCCCTACTCCCTCGACAGTTATCAGAAGACGCCACCGTGGTAACTTGGGAGGCTCTTCGAAGGCCCCTGCTCCCTCCGTCACGCCGAGCTCTGTTGCCTCAACTGCCTATGCACCTACCTCCATGCAGACAAAAGCCCATTCAACCCCGCTGAAATATTCCTCGAAGGAAACCGGTGTCCCCAAGGGATCCATTCAGCCTGCTCCCCGGTGGAACTAAAGTTTGTACGATAATCATTTTCACAATTCTTCAGTCTTCAAAATCGCTGACCATTCAACAGCCTGAAGCTATCACTCAGCGAAAATCGAGATCTGGAACTATCTCGTGTAAAATGGCGAAGTATAGAACGACGATAGATGGTGTTGAATTGATATATCCGAATGCAAGACGTGGAAATATTCGGTTTTTTGAAAGCTCACTGGCATTTGGTATGGATAGCTTGAACCTCCTGGATAGGAATTTCCCTCTATATACATCCTTCGCGGGCTGTATATTAATGTCTTTTTCGGATTTTATGAGATTAATATAATCGATGTCCTTAGAATAGAGTTTCTGATTGAATGCTTGTGTAATAGAGTCCTATTTGCAAGAAACAAGTGCATTGAACACGCGATACTAAGTGTGAAGAAGAGATGAAAACAGTAGGTGAGGCCTCGCAGATAGGCTGCAAGGATCGCACTAGGCCCAAAAGTGAAGCAGGCCTGATCCAGAGTGTTACAGCTTGATTGTCTCGTGAGTATGTGCAGAATTTTGTGTAGGTGATCAATTTTCATCTCTCGGGAGGTTCAAGTTGCAAGGGTGTGATCGACATCGCCAGGCATCCCGATGGATCCACACAGAACCCCTGGATATATTTTCCACTATAAAAGTACTAGTTTATCAATAATGACGCTGAGTTTTGCTCAGAAAATAGCAACTCAAATTTGACCCGCCTAGTGATATAGCTCAAGTGACGTTGAATTTTCATAGATGTAAGAGCTTCAAACATGTACTACTCATACTATAAAAACGCACGAGTACTATTCTAAACGAAAATATGAAAGGAAATTCTAAGCCGAACACAATGCACCAAGCATATGACCTATGCGTCTGGCTCCCTCCGAGTTTTCACGAATATTCCATGGCCGTTTACATGAAAAGAACCACTTTTCTGTACCCACACCAATGCACAGGCCGGTTCATGACGACATATCTTCCTGTAAACGACTGAAAATAAGGAGAATGAATGTAGGGCATCGGCCCTAGCACTTACACCGAGAGAATCCTATAAGAAGCCTTCAGAAGCTCATAAATCAGAAGTTTTCCATCTCTCAGAGCATCCAAGATGATCCTGCAATGGAAAAAGGCATCACTTTTGGTTGATTTTTGGACAGAGTTCGGTCGAAAAAGCCGCAACCGTCTTCTCGGGAGCTTATCGTCCATTGGGCCGATAAACTGCGACCGGGGCAAAAGCCCCCTTGTTCTTTTTTTACTCTGAGCCAATGGCCCTGGAATCGATATACGAAGATCATGGCACTGGAAAATGATTCCGCGCCACACCCTTGTTCCCGCGGTGGTTACCCCCACTGACGGGAACGCTCGACTGGTCCCGGTACGAACGCGCCCCCTTCTTGCCCCCTCAACCCCAACCCTACCCCCCATACACTATATTCCCCAATGATCGCGCGACGCGATCGCAGCTTCGGTGATGAAGACCTACGATTTCCCTTACCAAAGAAATCCTTGAGGAAACCTAAAACACCTTATGTTTCAAGACGGGTCTCTGATTGAAGCTGCTTTATTAAATTATTTTTGTTATCATGTCACTCTGTCTGGTTGGAATTACGGGCTAATTGGTATGATCAGAATAGGAATTGTTGACGCTTTGAACCAAGCTGAGCGTGTGCTCGCGTATGACTCGGTGTTGTGCTATGGGCAGTGGTGGATGTAGAGGTCTGCAGATTTTGCAACCGAGGCCGCGAACGGTGGGTTTGAATCACACGCGACCGGTGAGATATTACATCCTAGTCTAGATAATAGAATGATCGTTGTGATCGACTTTATAATCCATGTCATTTTCTTTTCATACTCTTTTCGAAGTGTCCCTGTCTAAATTAGTTTCAGGCGTAACTTGAAGTAGTCACTTGCAATTTCTACTGTTAGCTTCGTCTGCCAGTGCACGTCCAAGGATTGTATCTAGTGGATGTCCAATTGTCATTTCACGTCCTTTGAACTGTCAAAAAGGCAAGGAATTCCATGTGGAATACCTAGGCACTTCGATTATTATTGGCAATTTGAAGATAAAATCCACAGGATCATCGTAATATTGGTCCTGAATTGAGAGAGACTGGGACTTTTTAGAGTTGGCCGAGCAGCCACCAACTTGAAATTATCCTGCCGACCAATCTAGCCCTCGGGTGTTGAAGCGGTCAATGTATCTCTCCCAAAGTGTTTCTTGCCAATCTCTTCATAAGTGTCGCATGCCTGCAAAAACTAGACTCCACATTTTAACTAGGTATAACTAATCATATGATGTGATTCAACATTAATCCCTGTTCGGAGACTACCAAAGTACCAATCCACCCACCCCATGGTTACGCACTATGATAGGTGGAAAGGGTGACAACGCGGGGCATGGCTGGCAGGGGGGGGGGTTAAGCTATTCTTCAGCGCGATCGCTAATCGGATCTAGCTGTTTGATGGACATACCCCGTGACCGATAGGTGGTGTTGGCTAGGTAGGCTAGGTATGAAGGCAGGTAAACTGGGCTTCGGCTCCTACATATAGCACCGAAAGGGTGCTACAGGGGTCATGGTTCACTATGCCATTTCTGGGAAGACAGTTTGAAGTTAAAGTCGGGATTTAGGCCTAAAACAAGGTTCTTATAGGGGCTGGGCCTGGCGAATACGAAGTGTTTTTGACCTTGTTGTGGGAAAAGTTCTTTGTTTTCGGGGTTTGGACCTTTCTTCACACAGGAGAATTGGTAATAGAAACCCGAGATTAAAATGGATCGACCAAGTGTGCTGTCGGTCAATGCTTGCTGATTGCTATTTGTTGATCGTTGGTAAGGTTTATACTGTGTGACACTATCATCGTGTCCAATCTGTGTATCCGGAGTACTAATAAGTACCTAATTTATGTGGACATGCTATAGATCCATCGTGTCGGGTCGGGATATAGTTGACATGTCCACGTCACACGCAAAAGAGAAAAAATTACGGAGTAGGAAAAAAACTCTGTGACGAGAGATCTCCATCTTGTAACCCTCAACCATCCTGATCCGTGCCCAAAACCAGTCTCCAGTGGGTTACCGACAGAGTGGTAAGACTCCACTGTGGCAGACGCATCATTGGCCAAAGACACCAAGGAATGCCACTCTTCTTGTGGATTGACGACTCCTCTTCTCGGGCTCCTCTCGCCTAAGAAACCTTTCTGGCCCTGAATGGCTGGTCTTATAACCTTCGACCGCCTAAACGTCTCGTCGATTAATGCTGGAACCGGGCGGTCCGGGTTACTCGTATACTCGTACATTGTATCTATCCTCTTAAACCTCCCTCCCCGCCCAGTCCCATCTCCTGTCACCCTCTCCCCTTTTTTCAAGTTCGCATCGTCTTTGTTTGCCACCCCACTTCAGCAAAGGGTTCCCTAGCTGTGGCCTTCCCTCCGGTCGGCATGACTGACCACTCCATCTCTGACGGGGTATCGATCGATGTGGTATGTTTGTGATGCGATGACGGAAACCTGACCCAAACTGTCGGGATATTGCGGTGAGCTGACCGAGGTGTCGTCCAGGACCCCGAATTCGAGAATGACAGTGCCTACGGTGGTGATGACTGGGTATCGTAAGTATTAACTCATTCTTCTATTTGCAAATTTGTGATGTTCTTTTTTTTGATTTTATCTCTATTTTTTCTTTTTTCTTTTTTTCCTTTTTCCCCCTCGGATACGCGGCGTTGCGCGTACCCGCTGGCCTGTGCGTATTCATCGGGTCTAACAACCACATTTTAGGCTCAGGGACACCACATCCATCAAATCTTCGATTTATTGGGGATGATGGAAAATGGAAGGAGGTAAGTATTTAATATTGACAATTACTATACAATTTTTGCCCACAGGTTGGTTTATACTGACTAAATATACAGATATCAAAGTCTCCGAAATAAAGAATACTGGTAAGGAAATGATTCCCCTCGGTCTACTCCCGAAAAGGGGCAAATCAAACTGATACCTTATCAGCCTTCCCTCAGATGAACAGCAATTCGAGGCATACGAAGCAGGGTAAGCCCCCTGAACCGGGATGTCCGTCGACATTCCACTAATCATCTATAGACACCTTGTGGATCTCATTTTGGACTCAGAGCGAGAAAATCCACTTTTCCGCGCGCCATGCGGAGATGATAAGGAAGCCCCCCTTCATATTCTAGATATTGGAACCGGAATGGGCACATGGGTTATGTATGGTGATCCCCAAGACGAGCCTCCAAGGTTCTTCAAAGCAGAAAAGCTAATTTGTTTCCTCCAGCGATGTGGCCGATATGTTCCCGAATAGTGGGTTCCTCCCCGTATCAAATTTCATATTAAAACTTCAAAGAAATGCGCTTACCTAGCATAGGTATTGTTCGAGGCGTGGATCTCTATCCACCACCCATAACCTGGATGCCGCCAAACTGTACGATTGAAGTAGACGATGTGCTACAGGAATGGACCTGGCGGGAACCATTCGATTTGATCCGCATGCGCAACATGATCGGATCCTTCGACCAAGCGGAGTGGGATCGCGTTTATCAACAATGCTACGACAAATTAAAGCCCGGCGGTTGGATCGAGCAGTACGAAGTTGGGCCATTTGTTGAATGCGACGACGGCAGTTTACCCGAAGACAGTGTGCTCTCGAAATGGGGGCCCAATATACGCGGCTGTGGTGAGCGTGCAGGACGAACCTGCGATGTCATTTTCACAATGGCGAAGAGTATTCGGGAGAAGGGATTCATCGATATGCACGAAAAGAACTACAAGTGGCCCATTGGGCCCTGGGCCAAGCATCAGAAATTCAAGGAGGCTGGTTTGCTGAACTATGAGCATTGGATGTCTGGGATTGAGGGGTGGTGTATGTGGTTGCTTACCAAGTTTGGTGCGCCTAAGCCCTGGAAGAAGGAGGAGGTGTATGTTTATTGCGCGCGCATGCGTAATGATATTAAGAATCCTGCCTATCACACATATCACAGGGCGTAAGTGAAGCCCTTATCTCAGTGATGGACAGTTTATTCTTTTTTTTGGAGTGACTAACAAGCTCTATAGGAAGAGGATATGGGCGCGCAAACCGTTTCCTGGCGAAGTTTCACAAAATATGAAGGCCACCACAGAGTCACCGCAGTCAAGACCCGTGACTAGTAATGAGTGACGGACGGATGGTTATTCGCATCTAATTCTGGCAAAATGGCGTTGGTCGGTCGGCTTTCTTGTATTTACAGCATACGACTGCGGGTCCTCCTTTAATGGGTCTGCATTGTTCACGATTTGATACCCGGTGGGTTGCAAAGGCAGAGAGAGAGTCCTGCATTTTGAGCTGAACTACTCAAAATGACTCGACTCCGAAGTCTAGCAACCATTTTCGAGATTCGAGACACAAGTGATATAATTGAAAATGATCATAATATACTCATACGAAGCTATCTGGCTTAAAGTAAGCACTAATCCAAATAAACTCATTGCATTAAAATCATGGTATTCTGAACTAGGGTATCATCAAGTTTTGAAAAGCTCCTTTAGGTCGACTAGAAGAGTCGACGCGATGAAGCTAGCGGCGGGGCATCGATCCCACTAAACCTCCACCTCATATTCCTCCATCTCCACTTTGAAATAAGGCTCGACCTGCCGCTTCTCGTCCGCGGCGCACTCGGAATCGATCGTGAATCGTACAGCTGCATCGCGACCACGCTCACTCGCTCCGAGGCGGTCCCCGTTGGCTGCAACTGGGGTTAAAGGATGATGGGGACGTTGTGGAGTATCGGCTTGTTTATCGTTGGACCCATTATTCACGGAATCATTTTGCTGACGAGGTCGGTCGAACCATTGGTTGTATTGGGGGATACGCTGAGAATTGGCTTCTTTGTTAAGCGGGATACGGACAGTCAAGAAACGTGGCGCTTGAAATTCGGGCCCAACGGATGTTAAGGCACGGTAGTCGGTGTATAGCTCGAGGAGATCGAAGAGCGTTTCTGTTCAAAATCATTAGTATGAGTCAAGTAAGAATATAGATAGCATCATGTTACCCATCACTTCTGTGCGACTAGTCTTCCAATGCGTATAGTCCGCTCCCGACTCAATATCCTCAATTCGCTCGTCCAGAAGCCGTCCTGCCAGTTCGAGGCAGGCCAAAGCCATGGTCGGTGTCGTCTGTTTGAGAGGGGAAAATGTTCGATAGAGGTCTAGTGAAATTCGATACGCTAGAGAAGAGACCTTGGAGCCCGCTTTATACTGCAATGACATCTTTGCCAGGGTCTTCTCGGGGTGTCGGGTACGGAAATCGAAGCCTGAGCACTCTAGCATGAGTCGTTCCAGGCCAATGATGGCTCGAGAACTCGCTTCAAAAGCCTAGCAACCTGTCAACCAAATAATCTTATTTGTGTATGTCTGAGAGTGGCGTACTTGGTCGTCCGGCGAAAGATACTCGGAGGGTAGGTATTTAAGATTGTGCGCCGCACATAAGATCTCACGAGACTTCTTCAAAGTGTCTTCGATCTTGCACGCGGTGAAAAGAGCCGCTGCCGCGGTATCCTGCGATAGAAGTCAGACCGGGGCCGCTTCTCCAAAATAGCGACATAAACTCACCGTAAAACTATATTCATTATCTGGGCGAACCAGTCGGTATCGGTGGTAATATATGACGGCGGTATTGAAGGTCCGGATGGGCCTGTACTCGCGTTAGCTTCACGCCGTCATTGCAAGTCTTCTCGATTCGGGATCTCAACGTACAACCGCAGTGCCTTGCGCACATTGTCGATCCAGGTCACCCCCTGCAGACGCTGCGACGCCTCTCGCGTGGCATCCAACCCTATAGCCTGGACGCAATCCTGGATTGTCTGCTCGAAGAGGTAGGGCTTGGCAACATGGACAAAGGACGGGTGGATAGACGGAGGTTCGGGCGGGCCATGATCTGATTCCGAGCCAGGATGAGCCCGCTCATCCCGAGTCGCGTGTGCCATCGCAGTATAGGGGCGCCGGATGCGATTGAAAAGCGACTCCTCCGTGTACGCGGGGATGGAAGAGTCGCTGGAAGCCGTCGATTCGATATCCTCCATCATCACGTGCTGATAATGGAACAGGTCGTCAGTGTGCGGAAGAATGCTGATCCGAAGTGTACAATATTCAATAGGATGGGACTCAAGAGTTATGGACGAAGGTATGGATGGAGAACAAAAAAGACAGAGTCAAACAGTTCTGTGATTTTGTTTGCAGGGGGATAGTTTGGTTGGGTTGGGTTGGGTTGCCTCGCTCATCTCCAAAGGTGAATGCTCGAGTCGGAGAGTAATCCAGGTGAACGACCGCAAGTGAATCAACAACAACTTGATGGTAGAAACAATCTACTATGCCTGGGGCTAATCATGCTCTAGGAATTTTCAAATTCCTCTATTTCAGATTCGCTTGCAGAGCTAGATAGTCCACCAATATAGAGCCATGGCCAATTTCCGATACTCATGGGAAGTTGGTGAGATTTTATTCACTTCCAGAAACAGGTGCCAGTGAAAAGCTGTTGATGACCACCGCTTCGTGGCCTTAGTTTGTAGCCTCGGAGACTGCGTCTGATCTAACCATCGCGATCATTCGTTGATATTGTTGCACGGCCATTCATTACGTACTTATTATAGAAAAGGAGAGGGAAGGACGAATCATGGACAAAATATTTCACTGAGATGGACGGAAGGCGAACTAGTAAACTAGCAGGATGGCATTGTAAAGAATTACTTATTCGTGCCAATTTCTCTCATTCCCTCAGATATGGTTTCCCTCCGGATCATACTTGATCTCTTTGCCTCGGTTAGGAGGAGAAACTAGCCCTAGCTGCTGCAGAGCTACCAGAGCTTGCTCTTCGCCAATTTCATCCACAATCTTCCCATCCTCCAATGTAAAAATAGTCGTACCAGAGAAATAGACTTCTCTGCCAGTATTTGGCTTGTCAAGCTTGCCAACTGGAAGGTCATCAAATTCCCGGCCGGTATGTTTGCCGCCCCCAATCCAACGGCCTACCACGTATTCACCCTCGGCAATCAAGGGGAATTTGTAGGCGTGGAAGGAAAGATTCGGGAACGCCTATTGGTCATGAACATATTAGATCTGGTCAGGTCTGTTTCCTGAGGCTCGTTCTGTTCTCTTACCTCTCGAAAGTCAAGTAGCATCTTCTTGGCCGCTTCTTTACCACGACGGGGGCCATGCATAGGATAGTCGATGACGAAATTGTCAGCGCAAACCTCATCCACGATGTCGACGTTGCCCTTGCCCCAGTATTCTTCGAAATATTTCTGCACCACAGCTTTGTTTTTCTCCTGGAGAGTGGACATGTTGCAGATTCAAAATTTGTAGACTGTGTTGCGACTGAATATGAACAATGTGAGAATATGATGCCGAAGTATGTATAATTCAATGCTAACTTGAACTGAGAATAGTTCTTATAGAAACGCTTGAGTGCTTGAATTACGAACGGTAGAGCCTGCTGTCGAACTAACCAATCGAGTCCGAATAAGGTGTCGATATGTTTCATAACATGATTTAGAATTGACAAATCAGGTACTGAGTTAGGCCGTAAGAGCCAACAGCATTTACTGTAGCCTAGCGCCGGATGAGGCCAGGTATTACTGGCTGATACAATACCGGCCCATTGCAAACTCAAGACTCAAGGGAAGCGACAAATTTTCCACACGGGGCGTTGATGTGATTGGCTAATTCCAGGACAATGTCCAGGCTTCTTGGGTAAATACAGTAGCACAGCTCAAGCTCCCGCTCTCTATTATCCACCATTATTGACCGTTTTCGGTTGGCAGACTAGTAGCTACCTAGGATGGAAGAGATTGGCTAACCTATTCCATCTTCTGTAGGTACCAGTTCCCCTTAGAAAGACAGATTAAGTCATCACATCACTCAGTAACAGTTGAAACTCTCAAGCCCACTCATGGAACTCCCCGCCCAGCCCTCGTAGCTTTAGCCAGCTCACTCTGCGCCTTATCATCCGCATAGCGCTGATAAATAGGCAAATAGTGCACTTTCTCACTCGTGGTGTTTTGAACACTCTCCCTTCCTTCAAGAGCAGTAACCCACTTCCTCCATCTACGCCAAACAGCCTCATCCTCGCCCTCACTTCCATCCAGTGGAATTCCAAGCCCGTGCTTAAACTCATCAAATACCCACAATCGTACGGCCCACGGCGCGAGCACAAGATCCGGAAGACTAATCTCAGAACCTAAGAAGTATGGCCCTTCTGGATGCATTTCCTTCGTCCAGGCTTTTAGGTGGTTAAGGAATTCTGTTCGGACTTGTGATAATCCTGCATCTTGGAATGGGGAAGTACCAGTACCATGTGGAACTTGGTACTGCAGGAAGCGGTGGAAGGAGGGAATTATTCGGGATGTCACGTAGTCGATCCAGATTCGAGCTCGAGCCCGTGAGTAAGGGTCTTCTGGGAGGAAACTTGGGCCATGGTCTGGGTAGGCTTCTTCAAGGTATTGGAGTATCACGTTTGATTCGTAGAGTGGTTGTGGATTTGGCTCTGTTGGACATGAGAGTGTTGGGACTAGACCACGGGGGTTTAGAGTAAGGAGTGAATCGGGCTTGTTGTATGGATTGACTTCGATGTATTCGTATGGAATTTGCTTTTCTTCTAGGGCGAGCCAGACGCGTTGGACTTCAAGTTGTGATGGTTAGACTTATATTATGTCCAGACTGTCCGGATGCAATGTTAATCGTAGTTTTCTTCACTCACCGAATCTGCATTTGTTAGCCTGAATGCTATACTTGCACAAAAGTTGGGGGAGGATACGCACGGACAAAACCACCCCGCATACAGCTTCAGCGGCTGCCCGGCGCGGTGCTTGTCGACCAGGACTTTGGCAGGGCCAGTGGCCTCTGGGTAGATATCAGAATCGGGGTGCGCAGGCATTCTGGTTCGGATATAACGATATGTCGAAATTCAATATAGTAGGGAGTTGGGAAAGTCAGAACGGTATTCATCCGTGATTATTTTAAAAGCTACTAATTGTGACATCATTGTAGCGGGGATATTCGCCATAAGTACTATGATTTCTAATCCAATACCCGTTGTATACCAGGATATTCCGGCTTCTCTAGCACGCTGTCCAAAGGGATACCTTCTGTTTACCTTCCGTTGCCATACTTCCGGATCAGCTTTTC